GGAGGTAGGAAGTATAGCTTAGGTTAATATAGATTAAATCTAGACTATTATTAGGTTAATATAGCTATAGAATAATATTCTAAAAGATATATTAATTAAAATTATCTATAATATTAGGTATGATAGCTATAACCTTATTATAAATAGAAATATTATAATAGTAATAGTCTATATTTTTCTTTATAATTAATTATATATTAGGAGTAAATATAATATTAATAAAAGTATTATAAATTTTTATTATATCTAATTATTTTAGAGTAGTCTTATATAATAGAATAAAAAGATTATATTTTAAAAAAACCTATATAATATAGCTTAAAATAAATATATTAAGATAAGGATTCTAGGTATAATAAATCTTATTACTATATACTAGATTATAAAGCTAAACTTATATAAATATTAATTACTTATTATTTTTAGTAAGTAAGGGGCTATATATATAGTATAACTAGCTATAGATTTAAAAAAGATTATAACCTAAAATCTAGTTATTCCTATAATAGATTAGACTTATAAAATAGATTATACTATTATACTACTAGATATAGTAGTAAAACTTAATAATTTTAGTATCTATACTAGATTATAGATTATATATATCTAATAAAGTAATAATTAGAAATAAATAGATTATATTATATAAATAATATTTAATAAATATAGGATTATATAATATAAAATTATTATTATACTTATTCTTCTAGTAAAGAGCCTTATAATAAGGATATTCTAGATTTATATAGTTAAGAACTAGGAAATATAAAATATATAATTTAGATTAATAGCTCTTGGGATTTAGAGGAGTATTGGTAATAGGAGGTATAGGAGGTATAGGGGGCATAGGGGGAGCTATTAGGAGGGGATACTTAATTATAGAATGGCTATTTCTATAATTATATAGCTGCAAAATATTAGAAACAGGTATATAATAAGGAAGAAACATATCCATGCCTTTCTGCCCACCTAAACCACTACCTGCTTTAGGTGTGCCATATATTCTTTGCAATCACACATTCTTCATGATTTTTTTAATATTTGAAGCTATATAATAATAATAATACTAGTAATTAAAATAAAAAAACTCTCTAGCTTTTTTAATATATCTTATATTATTAATTCCTTTTTAAATTAATTCTTATAAGTATAGAGAAGGTAAAAAACTATATACTTTCTTTTTTTACTTTACTAATCTTCTTTACTTATATTTAGTATTTTTTACCTTCCTATTTTTAATTAATTAAATAATATTATAAATTCTTAAAATCCTATTATTAGATAGACCTTTAATCTAATACTTAATATAAATCTAATATTAAGGCTCTTATATAGTCCTAATCTTTTAAATTACTTCCTAGATTATTTTTAGCTCCTCTAGCTTCTTTACCTAATATTAAAAAAATTTTAATATATTCTACCTTACCTAGTTAGATACCTTATCAAGTTCTTTTATAATCTTTACCTAATTTTTTAGAAGAGCCTCTATTATTACTAGAAGACTATTTTTAATACTAGAGGATAGTAATAATAGTAGAGATAGGATTTAATAAAAATTAATTAATATATTTAGTATATCTATCTAATTTACTAGTTTTTTAATAATTTTAATATTATTAACTAGCTAGATATTATATTCTTTAAAGGTATCTTAAATAATTTACTATAGAAAGATCTAGTTATAGATTAGCTAGATAATCTTTAAGAACTCTACCTTTCTATATAACTTACCCCCCTATTAAGATAGCTTATTATTCTTAAAATAAAATATTCTATTTCTATATTTATATAATCTAGTTAATTAAGGTCTTTTCCTAATATAGCTATAAAAGGTTCTTATTTATTATTATTAGTATTACTAGTATCTTTAGTTTTTTAAAGTATATTTAAAGTATAAAATCAGGTATATTAAATTCTTATATAATTTTTATAATATTTGGTTTTTTTTTACTTTTTAATTATAGTAATAGCTTTAAGCAAGCAAGATTTATTAAAATCTAGAGATTTAGGCATGTTATGTTGTAATAATAATAAAAATAAGTTAAAATATTAAAAATCACGAAGAATATATGATTGCGAAGAATATGTGGCGCACCTAAAGCGGGTAGTGGTTTAGGTGGGCAGAAAGGCATGGATACATAGTAATTAAAATACCTAGCCTAAGAATGCTCAACAGCCGTATAATAGGGCATAGCTAGAAAAAAATCATCCAGGGGCTTCAAAGTCTTGCAGTTAAAATAGTATTTTTAGCCTAGGATAGCCTTATACCTTCACTAGTATTATAGAGAGTACTTAATTAGACTATCTATAGTATTTATAAAGTGCCTTAAATATAATTATAGTATAATAGTAGATTATAAAGCTAGATAATATAGGGAGCCTTGCATCTAACCAGGTTAACTAATATATCTAGATCTATGGCGTGATAAAAAGGAAAAAATGGCCCTACAGGCCATAGTTCTTCCGAACCGCCAGCGCGCGTAGAACTCAGCACGGTGTACGGGTCATACCATGGGTGTTTGAGGGGGACTTTCATATATTATTTAATTGATAAAGAGGGTTATGATAGCACTAGTGGGGTAGAGACAAGTAACGACAGAAAGAAATTAGTAAAAGATATAGAATATATAGCAGGGCAGGAGTATCCCCTAACTCACAGTAATTCCAGACCCGGCAAATTATAACCCACAGTTCAAAATGTAGAGAAGCCCAGGTAATAGTCGATAATAGTTTACAGGCTACTACTAAATACCTAACTATTAGAGGCTAATCTCATCTATACTCTAGGCTTGATTGGAAGCCAGCCCCTGTTTCTGTATCTTTTGACAGTTCGCAATAGAAGTGGTTTTATACAGCCAAGGGCTAATTAGTGCATGTTGAGCTTTACCCAGACAAGGGTGACTTTTTTATCTAACAAGGTTTCTGTTATTATGCAAGAAAAAAATAGTCTTTTCCAGTATCTTAAATTCTAGTTTTTCGAATTCTATCAATCGGCCATTTCTTCAGCTTTTTACTTTGGCTTCCCTCACTTGCAGTGTGGCGCATGGCATCACCTAAGTATTCTAGTAAGCCTTGATATTGGCAATTACTGACTTAAATCTGATACTTTCCCTCTTTATACATTCTAGAAATTAATTTTTGTGGTGATATTTCTGTACCATTAACTAAGATTATGAGGATCCCGAATACTGTATTGTATGTTCAGTTTGGCCTTGCTTTGCAGTCTTGATTAGCCCGCAAAGAGTTTCCTTGGTATCCTATGTGTTTGGCGAGCCACTGTTAAAGTCTCAGTCTTGGGGGGAATCTGACTCGATAATATAAAGTATTCTGTCTTTTAAGAGGACCGTCCGTCACCAAGAGAGAGTTAGGTTCAATAGAGATTATAAAATCAGCGGATTCCTTGTGAACAAGTCAATAAAAACCAAGCTATTTTCTACATATCTATAGATTTAAAGATGGAGATGGACAGATATTGATTAATATACAGGCCTTTATTCTATTTTGCCTCTGGGAGCTGAGGGTTTCGAGGGGAGATATAAGAGTGATAGCATATCTGAAATAATTATTATACTTAAGATGTATTATTACGCGACCTTATGGTAACATGTAGAATATCTTCATTATCTATCTCTTCATTCTAATTAATCCCCTCCCCTTCTTCCGGGTTACCTTCACGGTATGTGTAGAGGCAGCTGTGGGCGTAATGATTAGCTGTAGGCTAATAACTGAGGGTCATAACATATTCTTTTATATAAAACGGGTCTACCATTTTATAGAGTTTTAAATAAGTCCTAATTTTATATGATAAAGTTAACTAAGCTTATCCAGAGCATGCTGTTTATACAAGAAGGAAGCATTTAGTTTAAACTATGGGAAAACCAGAGTATAGTGTTACAGGTTACAACAGAACGCCCTGGAAGAAAGGATATTTAATGTTAGCCCTGCTTGTCATGGTATGATGGTAGCGTAGCATGGCCATATATATAACACAAACCATGCCCTATAAAAGGGATTCGGGCATAACCAGCCATGGCGGATGGTTATAGTGGTCTTTTGGCCTAGTGGTAGAATACTTTCCCGACCAGTAGTTTCTTATACTGCTCTTATCTTCGACACGGCATAGAGATATTGACTCTGTAGTAAATTATCAGTTAGCCTAAAACCCCTTTGTCATTATCTATTTATCTGTGTCTAACTATACGGAGGACCCCGAGTTCCGTAGAAGTAACTTATCCCTTGAAATAGACCATAGGTGTTTGGGCTTCTTATATTACCGAAAGTATTGTTAGACTTGTACTCTTACATATCTAGGACAAATCAGATAGGCAATATGTTTGAGCTCTTGCTAAGGTTCTTTAGTTTTAAGGGGTCTGTCGCCTGCTACCATGTGCCCACAGCAACCTGCATTAAGCTCCTAGTAGAACCCCCTGCTTATCTTATTGTCTTACATCTGATGGCAATAGATAGGATCTAGAGCCCTGTGGAAGAACAAAACTACTGATAATTTGGCTATTTCTCATTTGTTGTAAGGGCTGTTTCTAAGGCAGAGAGATACCCAGAGGGAGAATCCGACTGTTATCAGACATTGGAGATCCCCACACTCACCAATATCACGCAATTTACGCTCTCTGGGCAGGAAGTCAGGGAGCAAATCATTTGCCATACAGGAAATGCCAAGTGGTAGCTAACTAGGCCGTAGTGCTTAGCTGTCAAGTTAGGGAATCCCGGCTGCAACGTCGCCTTTCATAGTCCAGCCTTGGGGTTGCAAGATAGGCCTGTGACCTTATCTTTCCTGATATAGCCGCCTCTCTCGCCTTTATCCATGGCAGTAATTGGCTTTCAATCTCTGTGCCGCCACCACATGGCAGGCTGTCCTAATGCAACCAGATACAATAGCGAGGGTATGTTATGTTGGAGTGCTGGATTCAGTGAATGCCAACATCACTATCAAGCAAGGATAGTAACAGGTGATCCAATATATTTAGGCCACTATTTCCTTTCTAGACCGAAATTCAATTCAATTTGGTCAACATTTCAACATCATAATTTGACAACCTCTCATCATTTAATGGGGTGTGAGGATATTCACGTCTATGGTAGCAGAGTTTGTTCCTAACTAACCCCCTGTTTTTGTATGTCTGTGATACGGAGTACAGAGTACTATCTACCATGTGTAAGTTTCGACTTTTAGCCTTGGGGTTTTTGCAATGTGAATCCTTTCTGGTAGTGCGAGACTGACTCCTTACCAGCTTCCCCAGAGATTGACGAAAAAACGGCCGGCTTACCCGCTGGAAAGGACATTTTACGCCCAGTGAGCGAATCCGATGAGGACGCGCCCACCGCGGAAGAGTTGGAGACCCTGCCTCGCGTGCCCGGACAGCTCCCCATCGTTGCATATCTCATCTGTGTCGTCGAGTTCTCCGAGCGAGCTTCATACTATGGTGTTTCTGGCCTTATCTCTAACTTTGTCAATCGTCCGCTACCCGTCGGCGGCAATGGCTACGGGGCACCCCCGCGAGGAACGCAGCAGACTGCCGGCGCCTTGGGCATGGGGACGGTAAAGGCAAATGCCGTCAACCAATCATTCAGCATGTTGGCTTATTCCCTACCCATGTTATTCGGTTATCTTTCCGATGCTCATACCGGCCGCTTTAAGATGATTTGCTGGGGTGTCCTGGTTTTCGGCATCGCTCACGCCTTGATGGTCGGGTCGACTGCGCCAACACTACTTGCTAATGGAGGTGCTAAGGCTCCCTACTTCATCTCCTTGTATCTTCTGGCAGTCGGTGCGGGTAAGTCGAACTTCTCCTGTCCCTGGTGGGGGGGGATGTTCAGAATTAACAATTTTAGCCATGTTTAAACCCAACGTCTCCCCGCTCCTGCTTGATCAGATGCCCTCCACCAAGCCCAAGACCAAGGTCCTGCCTAGTGGCGAGAAAGTCATCGTTGACCCCGAGGCCACCACTGAGCGTGCTATGCTATGGTTCTATCTGCTCATCAATATTGGTGGCTTCATGCAGGTTGCCACCTCGTATGCTGAGAAGTACATTGGATGGTGGTTGGCGTTTATCCTGCCACTGTTCTTGTATCTTCCGCTCCCTGCCCTCTTGGTATGGATTCATAGAATCGTCATTAATTTGCCTGTTACTGATACTGATCTTCTACTAGTTCTGGCTTCGTAAACGCCTTGTCCTGTACCCCCCCGGCGGTAGTGACCTGCCTAATGTCGTTCGTGTCTTGGGTATCTGCCTCAGTCGTGGAGGTATTTTCCGCATCGGGCGTCACGGCTTTTGGGATGCAGCCAAGCCGTCAGTGATTGCAGCCAAGGGTCTGGACATAAAGACTACATGGAATGATCAGTTTGTCGAAGACGTCCGGCGCACATTCCAGGCCACAGGAATCTTCTGCTTCTTCCCCATTCAATACCTCAACGACAACGGGTTAGGTAATGCGGCAAGCTTCTTGTCGACGATGTTGACAACAAATGGTGTGCCCAACGATGTCATTAGCAACTTCAATTCTCTGAGCATCATTTTATTCGCCCCGATTCTCAACTATATCCTTTACCCGTTGCTCCGTCGCTTCCACATCCGCTACGGCCCCGTCGCCCGTATCACCACCGGATTAGCCATGTCTTCGATTGGCGGTGTCGGCTACACCGTTCTTAACTACTATGCCTACAAACTGGGACCATGTGGCAAGTACGGTTCCTCCGACACATGTGTTGATGCCGACGGCGTTTCTTTGGTGGCTCCCATCACAATTTGGGTATGTATATTGCTACCCCTTATGCGCTCCTTCATGGGAGAACAACACCTGAAGGCCAAGTAATTGTTAACCAGAATACCAGTGGATGGCCATCCCCTTCGCGCTCGGTGGTATCTCCGAACTCTTCGTCAACGTGCCAGCCTACGGTATCGCGTATTCCCGTGCCCCAAAGAACATGCGGGGCTTGGTCTCCGCCATCAATCTACTCAACACCGCTGTTGCTTATGCCATCGGTCTCGCTTGCTCGGCTGTTGTCAGGGATCCATACTTGACCTGGGATTTCGGAGGTCCCTCAATTGCTGGTGGCGTCCTCACCGTTGTCTTCTACTTCACATTCCGCCATATTGACAAGGAAGAATACACGTTAAGCGACAATGATGATTACCATCTCGAGCTTGAAGGCACTGCTAACGTAGTCACGGAAAATTTGCACAACAAGACAACCAACCTAACCCCTGCAATTGCAGAGAGGGAGGAGTTCGGGATCTCACCAAAACAGTGAAGTGCTGACGAAATGAGCAACTGTGCTGCTGTAACTTGGAGACTGCCCGGTAGCGAGCGAGGACACCGGGCTTGTCCTGTTCTATAGAACAATAGCAAGTAATTAACCACTATCAGATTTTTACCTTCCTGTACAATGTAGAAGATTATTTGAATTCACTATATCTACCTTACTTGACCTTGATTGTTAACCCTCAAATCTTCTTGAACTAATTGAGGCTAATTTGGGCAGATGACGTCGGTGCTACCTAGGTACGATGCTGGGGACCATGGTGATGAAGGCTAATATTCGTGGGTTTAGTATAACCAGTACCCTTAGTTGCCGTAGGCACTGCGCTGAAATCCCCGCCACGGATAGGTGTGGAAGTTGATGTGCTCGAGCTTGTAGCCTAAGTATTGTTTTACTCCCAGTTGCAAGCGAAGATATTTTCACCGGCAGTATGTATAGCCACGACATTCCTCCCGGTAGTATTGGTAACGTGCAGAACGCGTCGCAGAACCTGGTATAGTCACAAGAACCACAGACCGCTGTATATTTCTGGTGTGGATTCTAGGTGTTTTTAATATGTAGTATCCTGGCTCAATATGCCTACTCTGGCACGATTATTACCCAGTTTTCATAGGATAAAGAGGGCGATTGACAACAACTTCATTATAAGGGTATGCGAATGTACTGTGATAGTATTATAGAGATTCATTTTAGTAATGTGGAATGCCTGTCAAATTCATCTTGAACATTCTGACTTCACACATGGAATCAATATCCCGCAGATTCCCATATCACAAACCTTGATCCACGACAAATAATGCTGTCCCGCTCCTAAAGGTACGAGTGGCAAGCGAAGCTAATGATCACAGATGCTAGGAAACAGAAGCACGACCCCCCCCCCCCCCCCGCCCTTACGATGAAGGAGGCTATTCTATCACCCTAGGATAAGTAGTCGGTATCGACCCAGTCTTTATAGTCGCTGCCGAGGATCGTAGTAATGCTGACTGCAGAGCGAAGCTTGCTGGCAAAGCTCGCACGAGTGCCTTCGCTACCATCGCCAGAGTTGCCATACTCGCCGAAAATAACATGTTCAGTATTTGGGGTGGAGCTGGACCATTCAATCCAACCTGCCGACTTTATGACGCTGGACATTGTTGTTTCTTGGAAGACAACCCGCGCGTACTCAGACCAGGGACGGCCAAGGTAGTAGGCACCATTGGACACAGAATTACCGGATGCAGCCTCGATAGTGGATTTGTTGATGACAAAGTAAGAAGTTCCAGAGCTGGAAACACGACCATTAGCCGTAATTGTACCCTGAGTAGGCCCGCTAACAACGCGAATATCACAGCTATCAAACCAAGCCGGTGAATATTGGCCAAAGATGAAATCACTAGTAAATCAAACAGTTAGAATCCAAGGTTGAGACAGACGTTTAGAGGGAAATATACATAGCTCCCTCAATCAAGCACTTTCCATAAACCTGATATCCCTCTTCGGCAAGGACGGTGTCTGCCAGAACTGTTGGTATTTGTCTGTTTCTTTTTCGGGTGACAGAGGATTTACCTTGATAGCCAATAAACTGACAGCCATAGTATCCTTGGTATTCGCCATAGGCACTTAGTGCGAGAGCCTGGTGACCCTTACCATAGGTGTTCTTGACATTGATGTTATATATTTTGCTGTTTTTGGCATGGTTTCGCAATGTGGCTTTTGATTAAATAGTTAAAAATGAACTCAGCAGGTAAATGATGTTCTCAGAACTTACCAGTCTTATCATCGTTCTTAGTAGCAGGGTACCCGATTCCGCTGGTGATTGTAACGAGGTTTGAGGAATACGTAGATGTACTATTGGATATGTTCAGTAAAGGTTTTCTGTTGCGCATGATCTAAATGAAAACCTACTCTTCTGTTTCACCATAAATAATGAGTTCACCCTCTAATGCTGGAATGTAAACCTGCTCCGCATATGTGCCCTTCTCGATGTAGATTATCTGGGTCTTAGTGGTGGTGGTACTCAGAGCGGAAACAGCAGAGCTGATCTATCAAAGCACCGGTGTTAGCAAATATTGTAAGATGCCTTTTAAAAGAAGATTGCTCCGCGTACAGTGTCATAATGACCACCAGATTTGGCTACAACGATAGACCCGGAGGGAGCAGTGGTGCGTGATGCTGCATACGCGACACTAGCTAGACAAACAAAAGATAAGAAATGCATGATGATGAATACAATTAGATATAGATTGTCACAGTAAATGAGGAATTAACATGGTCTTGATGAAGGGGTTGGAGGGTATTATATTCCATGTATACAAATATCTGCCGAGTATTGTGCCACTTTGGGGGGATTTCAATAAGATTAAGGACCGCTATGTTTCATCTTAGGCAATAGAAATATGGCTAGCAAGTTGTTTTGCATATCAGTGAAGTCATGACTGCTCATGATCCACCTATGGAGAATATAGCATAGAATAGCTTAATTAGTCTTGGCTAGGCCTAGCCTAGAGTGTTTGATTTTGAGGTTTCACTTTTGGCCCGGGGCAGTTAATATCGGAGCCGTCACCCCTAATATAGGCAAAACTAACCTCAGCCGTGCATCACCACTGGAATATGTGGCTCTGATAAAGACTTTGCTTCTCTGACAAAAGAGGCCCCAGTCCCCACTATGTACCGGGTTCACCTGGCGTAAGCCAAAATATCTCATGTCTCAAGTATCATATCTCGTAAAAATGCCCGGTCCACGTAATATAGGAGAAGAGAGCTCAGTGGCCCATGATATATCAATATCCCAATCTAGTATCTAGTCCGAATCACTCTAGAGCCTTAGCAAGTGTACGTCCTGATAGCTATCATGCTTTCAATTCCCCTCCAGAATATAATCTCCACCAACCATTTTGCTAAGAAAAAGAACAGTACATAGCCTCTTAGGGGGTCAGATATCATCTACCGCACGCTATCCTTCTATTCCACTGAACCTGAAATAGGTCATGGCAACACAGAAGCCTCCAACCTACAATGAATTTTCTCCACATTTATACATTCCTTGCGTAGGCTACCTATTAGTCCTTGATGCTACATATATGTATAGTCACCAGTAACAATGATGAGCAAGTTCGCAAGTTCTTTCAAAAACTCGACGCTATTGCCCTTTGATAAAGTATTAGGAAATATCGGGTTTCAGCTATTCCTGGGCTTGTTCGAATGCTAAGTGATAGTATTATTTAATGTGGACCAATATAATATAATACTGTCTCAGCTAGAAATGACTGTCTTGAGATCTTTTTAGCCGAACGGTATAACTGACATTTAATAACTATTACTATTTGGCATGTCCCCTTCCAATATATAATAGAATGACACCTTTTTGCCATACAAAGGATTAGATTTCTAGTGGCACACTATAGGATTTTATTCCATCATTCAGGAATGATGGCACCTATTTCCTGTATACTAGAGATTCTCTAGCATCCCTGGTATTGTCTACAGAAGATTCTCAATAGAATTAAGATAGTATTATTTGTATTATTCTTAAGCCCTAAACCCTAAACCCTGTCCATGACAGCATCCTGCTATTTATTTTGAAGACGTACCTCACCATGCATCCTGCATGCAAGTAAATATATTGCAGTGTCTACAAAGTATTAGTTTTGTTGAGTTTTATAATTATACCGCTGCTGGTACTGTTTTCCAATTAGGTTAATATCTACATAATATCTACCACCTTCTAGCTATTATAGTAGCTAGAATGATACTGAGCTCATAGCCAACACCTGGCTCTGATTCCCGTGCCGATAATTATATCTAGCTAATCACTTTCATTAATTCATGAGCCTGTGGAAGAAGGTCAGTGACCGTGTTCCAGACGTTCAGCAGCTTCCCGGCTGTAAGTTGGGCCGTTATAAGTCCTCATCCCCTGAAACAACCATGATATGCCGACAAGGGCCATAATGCCGACAGTAATAACACTTGTGTAATTCATATTTTGAGCAGTGACCGGCAGGGCGAAGGGAAAACAAAAGAATACCACTGTCACAGCAATGTAGAGTACTGAAAGGATATTGACCAGGAAGCCCACAGGATGGGACATCTGAAATGGGCCAGGAAGAACACTTCTGCGCCCCGAGAGGACGTGTGGGATAATGGCACCGGCATAGGAGAGTGTACTCAGCACAATGAAAGACGAAATTAACGCCTGGAATGCTGTGGTGCTTCCGACGTAAATGCAGCCCAGACAGGACACGAGAGCCGACATGGCCACGGTTGCATTAACAGGGCATTCTAATGTGCGGTGTACTTGGGCGAAGAAGGAAGGGAATGGTGTCGCGTTGTCCCGTGCAAGTGACCACCACATTCGTCCGCCAGTGGTAAGCGTTCCAACCAGTGTTGGAAACGTGGCTAGAAAGAGAAGTGCAATCAGACCTACGGCCCCTGCTGTAGAACCTGTAGCTTGCAAATATATCTCCGCCACAGGGAAATACTTGATGCCGCTGTTAAAAACGCGGTCTATATCGTTGATCCCGTAAAAGAGCGCAACGAGATACACGAATGTGGTAAGGAAACCCGTCAGCAGCTGCAGCATAATGCCTTGGGGTACCTTTCGCTCGGGCTGGGGGACTAGAATGAAGGGTATCGTTAGCGTCCAATCTTGCTAGGATGAACAACTCAAGTAATGACTGTAACTAGAAGCCACAGGAGTGACCAGAGGCACATACCTTCCTCGGATAAATGGCTGATACAATCGGGGGTACCAACAGCAAAAGCAGCATTTAGCAATCCCGACAGGAAGCAGATACCGTCAGGCCAACCCCCGGTTTCGTTGTAGTAGGTCTTCCACACCTGGGCATTGCTGGCACGTCGTCCGTGGGGCATCACGGCGAGTACAATAACAGTTATAAACCAGCCGCCCATAGACAGCACCAGCGATATCCGGTTAAGTAGCGGCAAATATCGATTTCCGAAACACACAATTGCACAGGACATCCAGAGTACGACGAGGAAGACAATGAAGGGTTGCCAGCTATGCCACTCCACATCTGGATGGCGGAGGAGGTACATGGCGACAGCCTCATTCCCCAGGATCGAACTCATCGAAGCTGCAGAGAGCAACCAAGCGCAAGCATTCAGGTACCCCGTGAAAAAGCCAACAGGACGACCATACTTCCCCGCAACTACTGATGACCAGTGGTATACACCCCCCGCTGAAGGAATGGCTGAGGCCAACTCCGACAAGGATGCAGAAACGAAGGCATAGAAGATGCTGACCACAACAAGGCCGTACAGGACCGCCATGGGGCCACCATTGTAAAGGGCAGTGACGATTGTCCCTCCAGTAGCTGCCCACGAACTATTGTTGACCCGTGTTATAACTCAAATTTAAGTACTTTGGGAGATATAGGGCAAGATACTCGCAACCAACACACTTACTTGGCAATGATTATCCCCAGACTCGTCAAGCTAAACAATCCGAATCCGCGAACCAGCTCCTGTTTGTGGCCCAAAGCTGCCTCAAGACGAACCTCATCAAATTCAATGCCGGCCCGACCAACGGCAGTATTTTTGGTCTGAGTCTGCTGCATGTCGAAGATATCTAGGTGTCTCCGGGGAGCTTAGGGAGGAGTCAAGAGAGGGGGGGAAGCCAGGTGAAAAAAGAAATAAATAAACAGCATGGAGTACTAATGCTTAGCGGAAAAGTCATTTGTCTATAATCGTTATTATTGCTATGCAAGAAAATCCAGGTCTTGGGTGAAAAAAGCGGCAACCCCCTCTCTTTTCTCCCACGCTGCCCCGAAGGGCAACTTCTGCGAATATTTGCCAACGTAGTGCTGTGGACCACATTTCTGGCATCAACAGGGGTTTAGATTCCGAATTCGTATCTGATTGTCCCCGGTTTCGAAAGGTTCACGGATAACACTTATGCATAGTGTGATCCGCGAACGTTTTGATATTTCCTTGTCCCACGATTGGCTTGCTGGTCTCTGGGGGAAAATAAAATTCAGACGTATTTTCGACCTTGAGATCCAGTCTGTTAGATGGTAATTCCTACACGACCTTCGCTCGTCTATTAATCCAGAAGTCGCCGTGCCAGATGTTGCGGGGCAGTCCCAGAATCACGGCGGTCATTGTAAGGGCTCGTTTGATTTACAATGGGGGATGTTTCGCCCACTCCTTACCGGCTCTTGGTGGAAGCCGTCGTATTCTGGAGTATAGGGTTTGTTATTTGGATCGGGAGACTGTGAGTGAATAGATACGCTTCTCCCCAGGCGCGTGGATGGGACTGAAAAGGTAACAAGAATCTCACGGATTATTTCTAATGGAGGGATCAAGAATCTCCAACGTAAGTATTGTCTGATATACAGTCACCACCGATTCATTGCTACAAGGTACTAACAAGAGCGCATCTAGCGGACGACTACATTATGGTCGTCACCTTTGTACGTTATTGCCCTTCCCATAACAACATAGGCTTGCAGGAGGGGCCATCGGACCTGTTACTGACCTGCCAGGCATTCTACACATCGCTCCTGATCCTCATCCAAGTTTCGGCTCAATACGCTACAAACCTTTTCACCCCAGAAGAGCTCCCGGAAATCATAGCGAATCCAGAAGATGTTGCCAATCGGATATATGGAAGCAAAATAGTCATTGCGCTGGAACAATGCATGTTATTCTCGACCTGGGGGGTAAAGACATGCTTGATTACTGTGTATTGGAAACTCACACAGAGCACCCGCTGGCATCTCTTTGTCAAGGTCCTTGCTGGGTATATCGCGTTAGGACTAATCATCATCGAGATTACTTATTTCGCGGTATACTGTCAACCTTTCTCCCAGTATTGGGCAGTTCCACCAGAAAACCCCCAGTGTGCAACGTACCAGCATTACTCCATCACCCAGGCGGTCTTCAACCTTTCGTCCGATGCATGCATGTTGGTGATTCCCGTCCCATTGCTAAAGGGGACGCAAATGCCCCTCCGAAAGAAAATCCTCCTGATGACGGTTTTCGGCCTGGGGATCTTTGTCATTATAGCGGCGATTTTGAACAAGTACTTCAATTTTCATTCTCCACTTACCACCGTCTATCAGCTCTGGTATATTAGAGAAGCGAGCACCGCAATCTATATCGCCAATCTCATGTGCTGGTGGCCGCTAGTGCGCAAAATCTTCGGAAACGCTCTCTCTCAGTCCAATACCAACTACGCGAACAAATACGGCCGTCCTTGCGCGCCGTTGGGGGCTCTCCCAGGGGCCGCGGATTCATCACACAAGACCAAGCGATGGTGGTGCCCCAAAACCCGAGAGGGCCCAGCCCACCTGTCGACCTCGACAAGCCAGGAAGCGATCAACCTAGCTGTTTGCGAATCTCAGCCCGAGGTCCCATTGAAGATTTGGCGCAATGTGGAGTATAATGTGCAAGAGAATGCGGACGCGAAACGCTAATCCGAGACATGATTCCTACTAAGTCATTTTTATCCATTCTTTTTGTTTTTGTTGTTGTTGTTGTTGCCTCCCGGTTTATGGATACTTGGAAGATTCAAGGCCTCTATTAAATTAACGATACTTTTTGATAAGCCAAAAAAAAAAAAACCTTCTTCCGGGCCGTACGGGGCAGGTATGGGCCGAATTAATCCCTCCTCTCATGGATGGAGCCAGTAATCATGCTGTCTCGCCCGCATTAGTCCTCCGCGGCTTGAAGCTGTTCGCTTCGCCATTTCGCGGTATGGAGTACTCCGTCCTAGTAGTCTAGTACGTGCTACTCCGTACATAGTAGCCCATGCGACGACGTAACCTTATTTGAAAACTGCTTGTAGTGCAGAATTCCGATCTAGAACAACGAACCTGCATCTTCAGGTCTAGTTGTCTGTGGTAAATTGGATTCGTCGATACTTATATCCCACTACTGAGTCCTGAGTCCTTAGACTTGGTCAAATGGTTGTGTTTCAGACGAAAAGCGCCTAGGAAACGGATCAACTTGGCAAATATCGCGCGTCATAATTTAACAACCACAAGTTTTCGGGTTGCGGCTCGCGAGACACTTTCCAAAGTCGTCTTCTCTTCCTTGCCAGGCCGCAAATATCCCAGTAGGCTCCAGGTCTTGCTTTGATGAGTTCTAGCAGTAATAATCGTTCAGGGAATTGTTGTTCCGCTTATAGTACTCCGTAGTACGGAGTAATGTTGGCTTGCGTTAGGTTTTAGGGTTATCCACGCGGCATTCGTAACCCCTCACATGGAGTGTCAGCTAATATCCAAATTAACCTGCAATAATGGTCTGATAATTAAAGTGGACCTGGCGCGAAGTACGGAGTACGGAGTAGAACCAATCTAAATGTAAGCTTTTGGTTTCCTTCGCGCAGTTAGATTCAGGCCAGGCCCATGGAGTAGGACAATCCTCTTCAGGGCTTACAATTGAAACAAGTTGCGCGTCACACGACTCGCACCTGATATTAGCATTGTACCCGGATCGTACGCCATAAAACAAATATTCTGGTATTTCACAGGTCTAGCCCGAGTTTACTCCGTAGTTTAGAAGTATAAGGATCATTATCATTACACATATACAATCATTTCTGCTCTGGTCGAGACTCGGGTTCACGGAAGTATCAAGAAATACATATAATAAACAGCTTATCCTGGCCCCAGACCCATTGAGCAGCAGTGGGAAAGCATCCAGAGGTGATGCTGAAAATATTAGCCCCTAGGAGAAGAATAGTATCTGTTCCGAGACCAAAACCCCCCGCGCCAACCTGAATTGGCTAATATCCAGGGTATGTACGGAGTAAGTTAACTAGTTAACTATTAGTTAGATGTCTTTGCACATCAAATCTTCTAGTGTTCGATACTCGAGATTTCTCAGCTAATCGATGCCCATCAAATCCCCACGCCGTTTTGATAAACCAATCCCTACTTGTACTACTGAGGCACCTAATACGCTCCCCACCCTATCGCGATTTTATCTTAAAATATTACTATAAGCTTGTAGAAAATACTGCGTTATTTGCCGTTTATGAAATAGATAGGAGAGCAACATGTGGCATTCTTCCACAACCAGTCATGTCATCAAATTCCTTCCTGCTCTTCATTTGTGTCAGCAAACTCTAAGCTGCTTTCCTTCATAGTAGTTGAGACCGAGCTCGTTGATATAACTCCGTGCAGCAAAATCCAGTCTCCCCATCTGGGTATTTAACAAAGGTAATTCTCCTCGTACTGTTACCGAAACCAGGATGGCGTCCTAGTAACTAACTAATCACTGCACACGCTTACACATAATGTTCAGATACAAACTTCCCTCTATATGAATACCTCCAAAACAGCCTTGGCCCTGATAAAATTGATGAAGGAAGTAATTATCGCCTTTATTCCACGTTCAGCCTCGTTCTTCGAATCGGGAAACGTCTTCCTGATGTTGTGCTTTCCCTCGTTTAGCCCCTTCCGTGGGCAAAGGGATTATTATGTATCTGCCATGTACAGTAGCGCCGGAACCTGCTCAAAAGCTATGTTTACATGAAGGTGAAGAGTAACCATTCCGAATCTTGCATATGGTTATGCAGGCCTTGCACGATAACTTCAAGTGGTTGGTAGGCGGGGATATCTGCTCCACAGATGGACCTAGGTCGAAGGAATTCCGGTACGTAGGCCCGGAGTCTATCGCCATAGTACTGGATAGGCAGAATGCAAATGCAAGTACTAGAATCAATTGAAAATGCAATTACTAAAGATAGACGTTAATTATCCGGCTTCTTCGTCCCGCGGGAGCCTCTGGAGCTGAAATTCTGTGGTTCTAAGGATTCCATGCTTTTGCTCCTCTGCAATGATGATGGGAATCTCACTATCACTTCTACTGCCCTGGTGACGCCTTTCCGAACGAGCCCAGCTCACCGGATATTCGACGTATTCCCGTCCCACGCTTGCAAAATGGGAATATGGCTGAGGGCGGCTCAACTGGCGACTATATCCAACACCTATCCTCTTGGTATTTCGGGTACTCGTACGCTTGGTAGACCGATAGCGCACCGCAATATTAAACAGTGGTGTCAGGGCAGGAATTGAGGCGGCTAGGATAATAAAGTATTGCTCCACGGTCACCCAGATGGTAAGCTCAATCATATCCCAGGTGTAATCAGTTCGGGACGACAGGGCCGCCAGGTGAACGGTTTTGATGATAGCAGCACCCATCGCGCTACCCAATCGAGCCTTGTTAGCTTGAGAACCCGCGAGGCAAGGAATAAGGGAGGTAATCCCAACACCTGTTACTAACATGATTCCCAGTGAAAGCACAAATCCCAGCCCAACTTTTACTTTGGTTGCCATCTGCAGTCTCGAGATTGTGAAAAGTGGATAAACAGCTAGCACCAAATCGGTGAATGCTGACACTGCTATATGTAGCCATGTTTATGTTAGAAAGGCCCTGGTAAGTTTTAATCCTCCAAATTAATACTTACAGCCTTGAAAAAACGCATAATCTCTCTGCATGTCAGAGGGCCAGCAGGAACCTTCCAGGTTGCTATTCCAGATCTTTGCGGTTGGTGTGCACTGCCCGTAAATAGTATAAACTCCCAAACCATTGATAATGGTCAGAAGAATCATCCCAGCATACATGACTTGCTTATGCTGCTTGACACCTGAAATGATGCGAACAAGAAACAAAGCTACTGATACCTTCCCCCAATTTGTAGACATAACATGGAATCCTTGCGAAAGTAACTGAAATTTGCCGGAAAGAATTTGTTGAGACTTGGTCAACTCGTCCATATGACGCCCGGTGCCATGCAGGATACTGACTGCAACCAACGCAGTATTGACAGTGGCGCAAGACATTGCCACAAGAATCAACGCATCATCCCAGCCGTAGGAGTGGATGATATGCAGCCGGACCCAAAGTCGAAGCGCAGTGACGATAGCCGAAATTCCAAAGAGTGGCCAGGAGACCGCATGAAGCATCCAGGCACGATCAGGGCCCGCTGCATTAGCCATACTCTTCAGATAGTGTAGAGAGGCCCCTAGAGTTGAGGATTACAGAGAAGTGAAAGTGCAGGGAGCGTGCGATCTGGGAGATCGAGAAAGCCATCACGACGAGAACCAACCGCCATCTGATTCCCTGCGTGGACGGATCGAAAGATTTTTGGTCTACATGAAATGTTGCAGGATTTCCCCTCAGGAGCCGATCTCGTCCATTTCAGGGGCAATCTTCATCTGTTTTCTTAAGGGCGGCGGAGCCGTTAGCGAAGACTAGGCGGGTTGAAGTTTAGACCCTCATACTGAGATACTAAGATATCGGCCGATGCGATCAACCCTATCTGTTACCAAGTCTGGCGAAAACACGTTCTCTCCAACTTACCCAGGACAGCGGAATGCAGATGATCTCGTATAGTGCCCCAACTGGAGCCGTGTCTAGTCTTTCTTGATTGGTTTCGGTTGTCCCAATGCACAGATGATGGTTTGAGAAAGGGTCCACAGTCGCCTCATTATCAGGAATCACGGTGGTTGCATTAGTTAGTTACCGAGTACTGAGAGGCTATTGCTGTAGAAGACGACGTTTACAGAGTAGTCTAAGTGGAAAGGGAATAATTGAGAATTTCTACTCTTTTTTGGGTATTATTCAGAAATCTGGAACAAGATTTCAAGACCTGATTTTTCATAGTGCTGATATACACATAGTTATAGTTTGTGTTATGTTATGTATGTAGTTTCCACCCTGAGTATGAGTCATGTGTTTATAGGGATACATAAATATAGAAGTTAATATTGACTGTTGTACGATTTCACCAGATATATAGTTATGCAATGCTGCCTTCTAATATCCAACCTCAATTTACCTAGATAATGCTAAGCAATCTCTAAGATGCAACGGGTTATCTCAAAATCCCCCCTAGAATAAATATCCAACGTCTTTGTGCAATCACCCGAGTTACATCCGAAAGCGAGGGTCATAAAAAACAGTGAAGCGATTCAACTTACCCTCAACGTTTCCATTATAATGAATACGAGTTGATCACACACTCTCTCTCTCGCACATTGTGCGTATTTAGAGTCGTCGATTTGACTGACAGTCGAAACTTCTGGTCTGTGTACCTCAGCTGGACCAGGCTCTTCATTGCCTTCCATACGACGCCTGTAAAGAATGAAGACATCGTAATATCAAAAGCAAACACAGGCGTGCCAAAATAAACTTAGTAGGAAGAGGAAATCTCCAGTTGCCACTACCACCAACAATGCCGTTCGGGCCCGCTTCCGCTGGTGACCTGATCAAGAAACATATACAATAGAATAGGCCTTTAAACGTGCGATAGGACAAGGAGGTGGGGGCTTTCATCCCACCGAGCAGAACCTGGGGAATCAAAGACTCCTCGGGCTCGTATGATGCTTCGAAACCCCCAGTCTCTACTGCCGGTGTTTGCGCGAGAGATCATAGCGTAACCAATGTAAAGCTCACAGCCTGTCCCCGGCCCTGGTGCAGGATTTCCAGCACCGTGTGCAACAGCGATTTTGGCGATCTATCGCCCAAAGTATGCCAGAATATCAACTACAAAGGCGGCCATCCCGGTTTGGCTTACAACATCTTGACAGCGAGCACTGGCAAGCCCGGACCAATCCACGAAGATCAGTGCGGCATTGTTAATTAATTCAAGAAGCACGAGAGTGAAAAGAGATGAATAGCCCAAAAATTAGACAGGGTCGGAAGACTATCTTGCGGCCATCGCTTGAGATATCTGACAATGCGAAACATGGCCAATACAGAAGTTCTGTAACCCTAATTCTGTGTATCACCAAGTAATGGTCAAGCACTCACGCAAAGACATAGAAATTGGAAGAGACACAGGCCACGCCCTCAAAAGTATGCATGCACACAGGCATAATTTTGCAAGAGAGTGGTTGTAACCTGGAACAAAATCTCCGGGCCTTTTTGAGTCCCTGCTAGGGTATTCTTACCTGCGTTGGAGGCAGATATATGGCGAATTCCCAAATTAGGTGATAGTTAATGGTATATTCAAGACGGCCAATCATGATTTGGATGTGCGAAGGCTTCAATAAGCGTAATTATACATAAAATCTTAGAATTCAGGGTATCATTGGGCTATCAATGATAGGTAAAGACTATCAGTGGCCATAGTTGGTACATTCATTCAGATCGTTGAGTCCCGAGGAGCCACCAATCCTCTTCTGAATGCTCCTTCAAATGCTTTGGACGTTCCCCTTCCGGACATATCGAATAGTTCTAGTCCTCTAGGTGAACAACGCAGTGTCCTTGATATGCACATGTCAACAAACTCTTCCGCCTTAAACATCACACAAAGGTTCCGGAAAATGAAAGCAATCTGTAAAGGCTTCTTCGTGACGATGTAAAAATCCTTTCCCCCCCCCCCCCAGTACAGAATCCATTCCGGGTTCTTTATGCTGGTTAGGGAAAATTAGATAGCCTGTGGATGACCATTTTCTCTTTACAAACCAGGTTCATGTCCTGACTGCTGGAATTTCAGAGTTCGAACTCTTTCAGTAGCTAAACTACAGCCTGTGTGCTTCACTACGGGTCAAGGAATGTCGGATATAGGGAGTAGAACTTGAGAAGGGCATCAGCTGCTAGCCTCGGTCTTTGCAATCGACCAAAACCCGGTAGATTCCCTGAGGCCCCTATCCATAGCCCGTGATAACACGCCAATTTTTGCCAATATAATAACACCAAAGTCTATTATCGAGTGTAACGTATTCTATTCCTTTTCACCTTCAGGGCATCCCAATTCTCTTGTCGATTCCCGTCCGCTTGAGGGACAGATCCCCAAAACCCGACATGCGTGTACAGAACTTTCAAAAGAAATGCAAGATAATGACCATCAGGGAGTGGCGGGGAGCTGTAAGCTAAGGAACAAACAAAGAAATCCTCTATGCAGCAGAATATTTTGACCCCCTTGACCTCAAATATCTCGCCTTCCAGCTGCCTCTTCTTGCCAGCTCTTCCTCGACGTCTAACTCTACCTGACAACGCTTTGCGGTAATGAGGGCCACGGATCACACGAGCCAACCTGGTGCTACGAAGTCTACTAGAGAAGACGGAGACTCGATACAAGCATTCATGTCTACGCTTGACCCCCCCTCTCTTCTACGGCTGTGCGTATATTCTACTCTTCCGGTCACCAAACCAAACCCCCGTTTTTTTGGGCAGTGGCACTTACTAGCAGACAGGTGACAAGTGCAGACGCTATCATACGTTGTTGATGGTTCATGAATTTACAAGTGTAGGTCCGGGAAATTCATATCTGATCCCAAAGACGGTTGGGTATTTGGCCAGGAAGCTACAGTATGACGAAATTGATTCCAGGATATCAAGAGACATGTCCGGCTATAGTCTTGCCACTCCAAAATATATCGTGCTCAAATCTTCCGTCCCCAATCAATGGCCCAAAGAACACCAACGCAAAAACATGATGATGCCTGCCTAAAATATACACATGCTCACTGATTATGATTAAAGTACGATCCGTCTGGAATCAGAATATTTGAAGAGATGTCCACCGCTATGCTGCTGGTATCCGAGACAAATGGTTGAACCGTCGGTTGCTGAAGTGCTTTGAATCTGCCAACAGGTTTCTGAAGCAGGGAACGATGCACATCTGTCAGAATGTCTTGGAATGAGAGTAAGAATTGTTCAATAAGTGATTGATAATGATGCTGCAAAGAAAGGTCTTCGCAGATGCAGACTTCATCCATCGCTACAGAGAGTGGATGCCAGGGGACAAACAAACGCATGAACCATCTAAACGGCTCACTCTGCTCGTCGCGATAAGTCCGATATAACAGCTGCATGAATTCAACTGTCATCAATAACAAACGTTCTGGGGGTACCAGACTTGGCGAAAGATTAGGAGGGTTGGATACCGGTCTCACTGCTGCCAACTGCAAGAAAGCATGGGTGATCTCAACCATGCGTTCCAAAAACCAGCGGAAACCCTTGGTATCCGTATGATATCCAGTGAGTGAAGCGAGTGACTTTTGTTGGAACACTGCCACTATTTGCTGGCGCAATGGGATGTCAATATCCCTAGCGGGAATATCCATGAGCCCGGGGAGGGCGAGGGCACGAAAAGTATTTTGGGCTTCGCCCATGATTGTCATGAACATCGGGTCTGTAAACGAGGCAGACAGTGGTTCGCTCTCTGCATCAAGCCGAGGCGGGACCAAATAACCCAAGCAGTGTACGGGAGAAAATGTCTGGGATATCAAGCAATCCCAGCGCAGCATTGGCTCGGATCCATGATCAAAGGAGGCCTGGACGTCCAACAGGGTTATGACGTGCCACAGGCGCCGCCGCATCTCCCGCTCCAGTGGACTCACCGGGAATGGCGGGTCTGATTCGGAGAGAAAGAGAGACTGCGCAATGCGCAACACCAGACTAAGCATTGTCCAAGCCTTTCGGCTCTGCTCATGAGCCCGAATAGATAACTGAACAGGGAGGGTGTCAACATTGAGCTACGGATGAAATAAGGGGAGGAAGAAGGCAAGCGAAAGATAGACTATCGGGGCCTGGGAGAAATCCATACCAAGAACAAGACAAATGCTTGTAAGACAGTGAGATCATCCGTGTTGAGATAATCCACTTTTTCCAAGGCAGACTGGGTGTGCTTATGGTATTTTTCAAGAAGCACTTGTCTATGAATCCCCAGCGTCCGCGAGCATTGGTCACTACTCATGCTGCTGACTGTCATATAGCTGACGGCAAGTGCGAGGGCGCTAGGGGCCGGATGGTCGAGACTGTAATGAAGATATGGTTTGCTCATGGTTAAATATAATCTGAGAGCAGTACAGGGCAGGAAAGGGAAAATCGGATCCACTTGATCGACAAATATCTGCAATAGACGTCCGTTTAAGAGATCGAAGTTGCTTTTGCTATCGCCAGACGCTAAGCTGGCATGGGAAATGCGGCCTTCTCCAGCAGTCTGGCCCCAAAGCCGGTTGTTCAGAGGGCTGTCCACTTGAATCGCCTATAGTATCACGCCAAATATGACATCAGGAACATGCATCGCCAGGACTGCAAAGATCACACTCACTTGCAGGGGACGAAGGATGGAATCGTGCTTTCCCGTTAGAAATTCCGTAAATTGGCTGTAGTCAGAGTTCAGGCCCTCAGGAGGGGCCTGGGCCCGAGTCGTGGTGATACTGGTATTACCAGGCGCGTGGGACGACGATGGGATACAACCCATCTCGTCAACTAATTTCAGAGAAGTTGAACCACGAACGGCCGCCCTACTGCCGAGTAGGTGCTCGACCAACTGCTCCAGCATCGCAACCCGGTCGCGGAGGTCAATTCCATAGTCCTCTCGCGCGTCCTTCACCAGTCTCGTCCTTCCGGAGCGTCCGCGCGGGAGACGAGGTCGCTCAACCGGTACACAGATAACATTACTTTTCCGGCAATTTGTGCATGGATGGAGCTTGTCACATTTGACCTTGCGTCTCTTGCACATCTCACATGTTAGCTTAGCTCTTGGGCCCAGAGAACGGTGGTCTGAAGGCGGGTCCATGGTGGTGTTCGGAGGCTTCAAGCAGCCAAAATCATCTTCGTAGCAAGCTGTTGCAAGGTCTGCTGGCAACATTCAACGAATCTATCTTCCTCTTCTTCTTCCCTTCCCCCTGACACCAAGACAATCACATCACAATCACACAAAGAAACCTTGATCTCGCCGTGGCTTCCAATCAATCGCCCTGCAGCTTTCTGGACGCGCCGACCGGAGCCCGATTCCTCCGATATTCCGGCGGTGAACAGTCACTGATCGATCGATCGATCCAGGCCTTCTCCTAACATGGCCTTGTCAGAACAACTGGAGTTGGCGAGCCCTTATTGGCGTTTATCCAGGTATTAATTGGATATTTGAATCGGAGACAGGGCCGGTATGGTGAACTAGAGTCCCAAGAAGCGCTGTTATCCACATTAACGTCCAACTTAACGTTCAGCTAAAAACCTGTCTAGACAACCATTTCGTCCTGATACACAGAATAACACGATGGGTGAAAATGCAACAGACGATACCCCGAAAGATAGGAACAAGAAGTGGGAGATGGCATTCAGGGCTCGGGTGAGGCAGATTGTCCCTGGTCTCTTCCTAGGCAATGTGGAGGCATCATACACTCGGGAAATGCTTCAAGAGAACCATATCAACGCAATTGTCTCCCTTACGGATGCCCGATGGGTCTGGTGGAATACCATTACAAGAGAGGCAGGCGTTCCAAAACATCGTCACAAATGGGTTCAGTGTGCAGATTCGTCGACCCAAGATCTCCTCGCCCATATGAGTGATATTTGCGACTTCATCGACCAAATGGCACCCCCCGCTCTGTCCTCGTGAGCCTCTTTACCCGTCGAGTGCGAACATGAAACCAATCACGAGCGGCGTGGTGCAGCTTCGGAGGCGATATTAATTCACTGTGATCTTGGAATATCACGATCGCCGACAGTTATCATTGCCTACCTCATGCGCAAACTCAACATGCAGCGAGCAGACATATGGCCTTTTGTTCAATCAAAGCAGAAAATCAAACCGAGCGCGAATCTTACTCGTCAACTTCAAGTTTGGGAGGAGGTTGGATTCCAAGTCTGGAGAAATGACGATAGGACTGTCCCGAAACAAGCGTATAAAGCATTTTTGGAACATCGGGCTGTCCTTCTCCAGAACAGAGGGCTCACAGGAAATGAGCCCCTTGCACCTCAGAAACTTTACTAACTAAACCTGTTTCTTAGGCCATACAGGCACTTAAAACCCACCGCACTGTGTCTAATTGGTGCATCTTGTTTGGTTGGCGCTGGATGTCCACTTTGATAAGACTTCTCATTCAAAGAATGAGGGACAATTATGCGTAATCAGTTGGAAGCCCCATATGCACAAAGCTATGTTTCTGAATTACGGGCCTTGGCTTGTTTCTGCACTTCGTTTGAACTAGGTAGAAGACTCGATTCCTGCTACCGCCACAACTAACCGTTTGAAAATAGGAGGGCGGTATCTTTTTTAAGCCGAAACTAGCTATAGTTTCAAATAATACAAGATGAAAGGGGTTGGACCTCCCCGGCAACATAATTGTCAAGTAGTCTCTGAAGGAGCCTCATAGCCGAACAACTACTCCTTGGTCTAGCCGGGATTAAGAAATCATCGGCGTGTTCTGCGGTTCTTCGTGCTATGCTGGGTTGAGTGATATCACGGTATCTCCGGGACAGGGAAACATTGTACCTTAGATCTCCACAAATTTTGCATATAAACAGTGCCTAGACTTCGAGCATTGTCAACGTCCGCGTTAATACGCCCCGAGCATGGACCCATGCGACGGCCTCGGTAGCCTCTCGACACCAGGATAACCGTTGCTGGATCGAAGGAGGGGGGTGGTCCGATTCGAGGATATAATCAGCCAAGGTTCCATTTACGGCTCGCTCGAGGTAGATAGAGTCCATCATCCGAGAAACCCTTGAGTTTTACGATGCGTTCATGCGGCCCGACAATTTCGAAAAGTTTCTTCTCGATTTCAAGCCGACTCATGTCTCCCCCCGGGGCGAGAGGATATTTCATGACGGTCGACTCATCTACTTCTCCAATAAACGCACTGCCTCCGGCGGCTATCACGCGTTTCACTCCTGGGGGGCAGTACTGATTATAAACAACCACTTGGTCCAGGGATAATTGCACATATAGTTACACTGTATACATATTGAACGCGGTGTATTAAGGTGATGCTCTTCCCAAAAGGCATATATGGCCTGGAAATCTGACAACTGAGGTTGCAAGGTATACATCTCTGTATCCCGTGCAGTTTCTGCCACCGGGCTGGCGGCAATGGACCGTTGAATAGTGGGTGCCTTCGTGCTTTGGGGTGGCAGTGCAGTTTTGATATATCCTGCGGGCAATCCGTCGTTGACATCTTATACCTTCACTCATGGAGACCTTACTTTCCTCAATGTCATGGTTGATAATGACCGTATTACTGGTATTCTTGACTGGGAGTTCACCTGTGCTGGGATTGGCTTGGGTAATGAGGACAAGGAGTGGAAAAATCTGCGACAGCTATATATGCCTGATCATACGGATGCTCGCGAGTTTTGGTTGGATTTTTATGCCCTTTCCAAGTATCCCAATCGGAATGAAAGAGGAATGGAACTGCTGAAGAGCACCCACCAACTAAATAGGAATAGCAATGGAAAGAAATCGAGACTCAAGGTTAAGTCCGATACTGATGTTGATATTTACCATTTAGAACAAGAACTCAAGCAGATGAACGCGAGAAAAGTCGCCTGCTTTACGAAGACTCAGCTAATTGGCATTCATCTACCAGTTTCTTATCTCAATACCCTGTGAGAAGGCCGCTCGTACCTTGACGAGTACCCGTCGATAGTCATTTCCTGCTCAAAGGAATTGAACTATGCGCGTAGCTAATATGAGTGTTGTTCTGGCGGGTTCTCACTGCCCTGTTTAGGCAGTAGCATAAGCGATGGAAGCAATATATGGGAGATAATCAAAGAGTATGCAGGTGGCTTAGCTTGAATGCTAAACAAGTTGCAGTTAGTATTGCTTGCAACATATCCCTACAATAACTAAATGGCCTATCATGTCAATGTTTCGGAGACCGGAGATCGGATCTTTAAGATGACAGCTGTGGATGAGAGTTTCACTTATAAAATATAGTGGACCACCCTCAAATTTCCGGTAGTGGATGTTCAGTGACGAACCAATATGGCCCCGCGCGATAAACATCTTGTAACATGGAATATATATATATTTGTAAAATAAATCAAGAAACCGAAAACATACAGCGTCAGAATAATTCAAAATTCAAAGGGTCATCCTGACACCTTCTCTCTAGCAGCCTGAATGAACTGTAGAGATATTTCGCTGGCTGTTTTGGAGAGTTCCGCTTTTTCAATGACGGCGTTGGTGGTCAAAATCTGGATATGGAAGCTCTCATCACTGATAATGCTTGTGTATGCGCATCCTCTGGGAATGGAGATAAAGTCGCCAGGTTCCATCAGGATCATCCCTCGTTGAGAGACCACCAGCCTCTTGCCTCGGATTTGACACTGAATAGCATCTGCGAGTGAATGACGGTAATATACATGGCCTGGAGAGTGCTCTAACCGCCAACCTCCAATCCAGACCGACGGAGACTTGTAAACCCACTCGGGCTCGCTGTTCAACCCCAAGGGCTGTCTAGCGGTGAGTAGCAGATGGCTTTGAGGATGGTTATTTAGCCGACCATTAGTGAGGAGGACTTCATCCAGCGTGGATGTTGTAAAATCACATCCCGTTTCCCCTAGGCCCGTGTTATACATCTCAGTGACCATCTGGGGAGACCAGCCGTCGAACGGGGTGGGTTTCAACTCTGCTATTCCGGTGATCTTGCCCGACTCCTCCACCGGACCAAAGATGTAGAAGAGGATGTGGACTTCTCTCCTGCCATAGTTGTCGTGGGTCACTGATGGAGGAATTAAACAAAATTCTCCCGGATGGAGCTTGATGGACCCTAGCCCTGTGATCAACGTCCGCTCACCCGACACCTGGTAGGATATCTCGTAGGCATCTCCATTGCGGTGGTAGAAAGGCTGCCGATTATCCATTTGCTGCCATTCCAGTCGTAAGGAGTTCCCGCCATATATATCTCTGGGAGGCCCAAACTTCATAGTGACAAAGTCTTGTCTGGAATGGATGGCCGCCAGGGGAGCGCTGTCCTTCGACATAGGACAATCGTTGGGATCTGAGGATTGGAGGAAGAGATTTTCGTCATGCTGAAGATGGGAAATCTCCGACGCTTCCGGAATAGAATCGATGAGCTCGGTAATCATAGGCATGGTTATACTGAGAGACAATAAGCCGATGGAAGTTATAGAGAATGTATTGGCATTGAGACCGGTAGAAGCCAATTGGCCCTGTTGGGCTTGTCGAAATATCGGCGATGTTGGCTTTTAATAGGTACCTCTAGTATGCGTCGCCGACTGAACAGGCTCCACGTTCACTGAAATTTGACCGAGATAGTCCTGGGTAGCCGGGGATCGAGTGATGCTAAACTTTGGAGTATTTGTGCGAGTGTTGAGGATCGAAGTATTGAGATCGAGGCGGGGTCAACTCGTGCAATGTGCTGTGGTACTGAGGAGCATGTATGGTGACACCACTGCAATCTGACAGGATGACGAAGAAGAAAATCAACAATCTCTCCGTTTGCCGAAATTTACTTCCTTTTTCGATAATTCTCCAAGCAGGCACAAGACTAGGTCTAGATAGTTTCTAGGCTATCCTAGCAACCAAACTCGAATGGCAGATTTGTATCCAGTCTGGAGGTGTTGAACTTGGAGAGGTCCGTCTTTGTATAACAACACCTTTCTGTTAGAGTTAGGCGACGGTTCATAAAGCCTTGTAAATACATCTCATAAAGTAACATAGATTCATAATAGGAATATTATTAAGGACCAACCCTAATGCTAAAGTCCAGTGGGCAAGCAGAGTACGAACTGGAGCTTCGAGAGACAAGTATATATCACTTAACCTCCTGCTCGCTCTAACCTAGGTATGCTAAGATGGCGTACAAGAAGTTTCCAGTTGTGGTGCTCCATTCATCACCGTGGACGCCTGTAGGGCCATGCCTCCATCCACTAACCAGGCAGCTCCGGTCACATAGCTAGACCTTGGGCTGCTTAAGAAAAGAACGACATCGGCAATCTCCTCCGGTTTTGCTGTACGGGACATGGGGATCATTGTTTCCACCATATGGGGACGGCTTGCATTTTCATTGCAATCAGGTGTAGGGCTCTCGACCCAGCCGGGGCAGACCGCATTAATGCGGATACCATGGGGCGCATTCTCCAGCGCTGTTCCGCCAGAAATTGTGTATACATCAGCTCTGAGGCAAATTAGCTGCGGCGTACATAGTAACTCACCAGCATTTTTTGTCAACCCTAAAACCGCGTGTTTAGTCGTGGTATTCTGGGGCATTTGCGGCGTGAGCACAAATGGACTGTGAGATGCCACATTGATGATCGTTCCTCTACTGGTTTCGCGAGTTCGCCCCCGGGCCTTGTATATCCCAACACTCTGATTCCTCATCACAGGCACTATCGCCTGGATGCAGTTCAAGGTTCCCGTCACCACAACCTGCCAAAATCAGTTTATATGTTCTAGGTCTGATGCGTCGATAGTGGATGGGTCCTTTACATCACAGCCAGCACCATTGACGCAATAATCGATGCGCCCAAACATGCGTGCTGTTCTTTTGACCATACTGTCCACACTCTTCGGGTCCGTTACATCGACACGCACAGGAAGCGCTTTAAAGGCCGGATTTGTAGCCACCGTTTCGCTCTCTTGGGCTGCATCCAACGCTGCATCATAATCTATATCAGCCAGCACAATGCTGCGAACACCCTCGCCGGCATATCCCAGGACGCATTCCCGGCCAATGCCGCTGCCTGGTTTCTCAACAACATATCAGAACGGGCGGGAAGAAAATTAGCAGAATTGAATTCAACACAAATATTTACCTGCACCGATGACTAGTGCCACGCCATTCAGATAAAGTGACATAATCAGAGCTCAGCTGGGATTGGCGACTTGTATTCGCACGCAATACACACACTGTACTATCCCCTCACATGTATAGGCAGGCTAGAGGAAAGCGCGTAAAGGGAAGACACAAATCTATATTCAGATCTTGGAGCAACCAGCGTGTATAATATAATAAAACTCGAGCGATGAATCATACATGAAAAATCGTGGGCGAATTTCAACAAAGAAGCGACAGACCAACTTCGGCTTTAAGACGGGGCTCCTATGTCCGGATTATCACCGCGTGTATAAAAAAGTTGTCGGACGCCGAATTTCTGGCGTTTTCGTCTTTCAGGTACGGAGGATGTTCTCAGTGGGCATTCATTGCTATAACACTTCTTAACTCCAGAAACAGACCCGATATCGTGCACGCCTGCGTACGGAGTTCCATAAATACTCCGAATAATCTTGCGCTTGTTAATCCAAATGGATCCCAGATCATGTCAGATTACCGGAGCTAATCAGTAGGTATTCCTCCTTCCACACATCTTTTCTTGTCTACTGCGGCCTTGAATCCACCCCGCAGCGATTCTCCCGTACGCCAATTGACGGTTCATGTTGAATTCCTGTCTTCTGTTAGTTTCGTGGCCCTTCACTCACTTACCTAGCTAGGCGCCAATGATGTAGCTAATTTGTTGGCAACGTCCGCGGCATCGCACTCCGGGACCTTGAACCAGGCTATACTCATCGCCACCTGCATGGAGTTTGCCGGTTCTGCCAGCATATCATGAGGGAAGACATGTGGATGAAGACATAGTTACTAGTATGTGCTCAAAGGGTCGCGTATGGTATCATTACAAAGCATATAATACTAATAGCAGATGCAAACATAAGAAATCTATATAGAGTGGGTGAATTCAACACTAAAATCAAGCAGTCACAACTTCCAGGTCAAGACCACGCTCCTTAGGAGAGCGGCTGGACCTCCCTGCCACACTCGAAGCAGTGCGACCTGCAAAGCTATCTTCACACACTGGCCATTGCTCGGGTTCAAGCCAGAACTTCATGTGTGACTTCTGGCCGCTGATTAACCCAGTCAAGTCCAGCGGATCAATAAATGTCTCGACGGTAGATCGCTTATCAATCCAACCGGGGCCCATCCGCTCCGACATGCCATCAGTGTCAAGGTACTGTTTCTTGTCGCGTGGGAGACTGCGTCCAGGGTGCAGTAGGTTGACCCAAAAGGTGAAAACGACCATAGGCGCGGCATCAAACGCGTAAAGTAGCCATTCCTTACCGTACACTGCCGCACATATGTCGTTGCAACTGTCCCTACTCGTTGTGTTCATGGATTCGATGGCGCGGAAAATGCATCGCACCATTACCAAGGCCGATGTGCCGTACAGCGTGTAAAACAAGATCCGCAGATTCGGAGGGACCATTCTGGCCTTGTGGCAGCGACGGTGGAGCATGGCGACTACACCGACCAGGATTCCTTCAATAACGCACTGCAGGACCACCGCGATCCCTACAAGGGTCATGCCGCTTTGATACATATCGGGGTCGCGGCTACTAGTGGCAGCTCGAGCCGCACCCGCTGCGGTGAGGGCTTCGACAAGAGCCCCAATATAGACGAAGAAGTAGGTGGTTCGGTTCGGGTTGAGCCAGGCGAACATGGGGATATAGTTCATAATGCGACCCAGAAGGTTGTACGCCGCAGCCGAATAAACGGGCGGGCCGGCATAAATGAAGATGTACTGGGCAATGTAGAGGTTGACGTTGGTAGGATGGTGGCTGGAGATGGCGCGTAAGATCCATCCTGTGACATAGATAAGTCCACCCCAGCACATGAAGAAGGTGACTCTCCAGAACCGATAATGGCTAAATGTCGCCGTTAGTAGGGTGACGAGTATTTCTTATTGGAAGGGGGACGCTGACAAGTTTTGGTAGGTATGTGAGATAAGTGAGACACTCATCACGACCGCAAAGACAATCGGGAGCACATGGCTGGGCTTGTAGCCATAGGCGCCTGTCTCCGGGTCCAACCCAGACACCATGATATAGAAGTGTCGTAAGGCGTGATGTCGCGTGTTCAACAGAAGAACCGAAATCTTTTATCCAAGGTTAATCTTGTCCAGCTCTACATTACGATATTGAGAGGATTGGAGCCGTAGTTTATATCTCCCCATCTTGCTTTTTGATCGACGTATTTACTCCATGTCACCGTGCGTTCGTCGGCGCTGTATCGAACTCGAACTGGTTAGCCTAGTACAATGGATGTGGACTATATGAACCTAATCGGTACCAATCTGGCGCCGGAATCAGGGGAGGCGATGCCCGGGGCTCGGTTCTTGTTTAAGCTAACAAAGCGCAGTGAAGCTAAGCGCTGAAGAAATCCTCGAATAGGCAGAGGCATCCATCGATATCTACCCAGACAGTTGTAGTCGTCCCGAAAACATCACTACGCAAGCCGGCTGTGGGCTGTTCCCGCTCTGGGGATTGGCTCCCTATAATTGCCCAGTGGAGGGGAGCGGTCCATTCAGCCTGATCAGGTTAGCAAACTTGGATATCGGGGCGTATACTGGAGATATCTCTTGGAAGGCTTCGGCAGTATAAGAACGTTGGCAGAGGCATTGACGGATTAGATTATAAAGAAGAAGACAGTGAATTTTGCTAGGTAAGTGGGAATGATTATGTCTGACAAATCTCTGTCGCTGATAACAACTATAGTTACCCTTCCTGGCCCCTCCTGCCACGATAAAATTCATCTGTTCAGTTCAGATATGGACATTACCGTACACAGCCATAAGATGGGGCCGGATGTCAAGACACGGCTTAGAAAAGAGGCAGTCTACCAATCGCCAGCCCTTGGGAATGTGACATTAACATGGAGTAGTCACGGTGCCATTTGAGCGTTGTTATGGGCTTATATATAAATTCCAGGGTCACCCTGCGCATGGGCAACGGCCAGCGCCAACAGGTCGTTAACAGAACTGCGTTTAGCCAGATCTCAGTGCATCCAGCTCCGAATAAGCTGTATATCCATGGGTAACTATGAACTTTATGGGCATTTAATATTGAACCAATCTCCAGCCTTTTTTGCTTCTTGATCAACAGCGCTACGCCACGCCAAGCCTCACAAGCCTTGGCGCCTGAAAGCTGGAGTTTCATCCGTATGACCATTGTTCATGTTCATCGCGACTTTGACTCGATGTCTCTGACCAAGATGCACCTCATTCTTTACTTGAATTTTTTTATTCTCTACCCCTGAAGTCGTCAATCATGCCTGGTGTGCCCTCCGGAAGAGGGTGTAATGCCTGTCGCAAACAGAAGAAAAAGGTACGGAGCGTCTGAGCCAACTACGCGTGGTTTAAGATTAAAATGCAGAGGAACCCCCGCCCACTAATATGCTCTTGTATTCTCAAGTGTGACGAGGCAAAACCTGCCTGTTCGCGATGCCTTCGACGTGGATTTGAGTGTGTTGGAGCTGGAGAACAGCGATATAAATTCAAGGAGGAGTACGGCACAAATATTGGGCGAAAGCGAGCACCACCGCCCCGCCCCAAACAAGAACTACAGAAAGGCCAAGGTCAAGTTGTGTTCGTGGCTCCAAGTAATGCTGTCACTCTTCTAGCTCAAGCTCTCGTGGCTACCATCAGACCTGCAACGGATTTGAGATATAACTTGATGTGGGCTTACGGAGACTATTTAACCTTGGTACCCGCTCATCTAGGCTTCAACGAAGCCTTGGATGCCGCCGTCGATGCTCTAGTCACAACGCATGCTACCTTTTCGTCGCGAAAGGAGGTCACGGTGGCATCTTTAATGAAATATTCCCGTGCTCTAAGCGCTCTGCGGGGCTGTCTGGATAATCCTCGTAAAGCGGGGACATCAGAAACGCTATGTGCAGTGTCTTTGTTGCTGCTAGTCCAGGTAAGCGTTCCAATTGCTCTTTGGTTTTGGAGTAAAAGTTGACGAAGACAGAATATGCTTGGCCCGCTGAACCAGCAATTCACAGGACATGCGGAGGGGGCTGTGAAGATCCTAAAAGCGCGGAAAAGTTGCGCCCCACGGGATGAGTTTGAACGTGCCCTCTTACTATCCTTGCGCGGTCCGGTCGTATGATTCGTTCCTCCCTCTCAACACCACCCCGCTGAAACTAACCACTACATAAGCTGTTTGAGGGCCTAGTCAACCCAAATATTCAACTTACCGCCGATGAATGGAAAGATATGGTGGAGAATGAGCTGGACTCAACCGCACCGGAAGGCCTGATACTGCGGTGTTTGTCTCGAGTGCCAGATATACTGCGCCGCGCACGGAACAATCCTAATGGGCAAGCCGGGATTTTGTCTCTGCAGACGGAGATGAAGGCATTGTACTCAACCGTTCGAGAGGTCTGTGACCAGTTCCGGGATCGTCTGCTAGAGATTGAGACTCCAGGCGGCAGCAATGGTCACACACTTACGCCTGGGATGTTTCATGCCCATTATCAGCGCATGTACGGATTGGTTGTTACCATTGCGTTATACATGAACTACATGCTCATTGCGCTGGGCACAAATGACAGGCATCTGAAGCCCGATGGCACATTTCTTGCGACAGAAATGCTTAATATCGCAGAAAATGCAATTATATATCGACCTTTTGGGTCCGGATATGTTCCCTTGGGACTGATGGCCGGCTGGGTCGCCATCGACAACAAACCACTACGAACGCTGATTGAACGATCGATCGCGGACTACCAACAGGACTTCAACCATCGAGTTCTCAACCCAACAAAGTTGGAAAGCCAGCTCCGTCAGCTACATCCGCTGATACCGGACTATTCTCGGGACTGGTCTCAACCTATTGAGCACGAGATGTATGAGCCTTTATGAACTTGTTTGGGCGTAGAATCTTTCCACCTAGCGGATCTAGATGCGGACAAAGAAGAGTATTGTATCATCAGCCATGCTAGACACTACTCGCGTAGAGAAATTATCTTTGTAAACCAAAGTATATACAATAGTTAGCTACTTGCACTACTCTGCATAGCTGACATATCCTTGAATTATACTCACTCGCATATTTAACATTACGAGAATGTCTGCGCTGAGTCAGCATATCCACCAATCAAAACCACTATCGTCACTGTCTTCCAAAACGAAGGCCGCCCAAGTTCCATGGAAAATAGAGCTGCAGATGCACTCCCTGTGGGAGTTTGAAATGTCTCTTTGTCGTGGCGGCTTTGTCATGCTCTACTCACTTCAACCTTGTTAGATGGAACTATTGTCTAATCACTCACTATGGCAGACCCTTCGTCGAGCTCCTCACAGCCGGAAGAGGACCCCCAAACCCGAGACGACTCCAACATCCTCTCTCAACACCTTGACCCGCAGTTCACTGCTTCGTTGCAGGAAGAGGCTGCCGTCATTCCTGATGACTACCTTGAGGCAACGAACGATGCCCTATTCTCGGAGCCACAGTCCTCTCTCAAGCTACAAGGAGGAGACGTCCATCGTGATTTGTACCGCCTGGAAGCGAAAACAAAGCAGGCTCGGATGGGTAAACGAGCGGCCACGTTTTCCTTTCTCCCGCGGCGTCAGCAAGATGTCATCGAGGAAGGTGTTGCCGCACTTGAACCCGGCAGTTTTCGCCGTCATTTTATTCGAAACAAGCATGGTCAACTGGATCATCCCGCCATCACCGTGACCTTTCTCGATTTCCTAGACCTGTACGGAAACTTCGCTGGAGAAGACCTGGAGGAAACTGAGGAGGAGTCATTGGCCGTGGAGGAGGAGGAGGAGGAGGAAGAAGAGGAAGCACAATTGGAGGCTGAACGACGACCTTTGCTAGGAGCTCGAAAGCGACAACGAGCCGCCCGTCCGGGTGATGCATCCAACGTGAAATCTTTCTTCACGTTGCTGAAGGCATTCGTCGGGACTGGCATCATTTTCTTACCGAAAGCTTTTCGTAATGGCGGCATTCTGTTCTCCTCCATCACCTTGGTGTCGGTAGCTGCAATCACGACTATATGTTTTCATCTACTCCTCCAATGTCGGAGACGGTATGGGGGCGGCTATGGAGATATCGGCGAACGAATTGCGGGACCTCCGCTTCGGACTCTTATTTTAGGATCAATTACAATCTCCCAGATTGGATTTGTTTGTGCTTGTATAATCTTCACTGCAGAGAATGTACGAGCCTTTTTGTTGGCGGTGCTTCCCAGTACCATCAACTCTCTCACTACTGGACGCTTGATCGTATTACAGTTGCTGGTCCTCGTGCCTCTCGCATTGATTCGGAATATCTCTAAACTTGGGCCTGTCGCGCTGCTTGCCGATGTTTTTATCCTCTTTGGCCTCGGGTATATTTACTGCTACGACATTGCCAGGTTAGCAACTCAGGGCGTGGCACCGACTGTGAAGTTGTTCAACCCCCAATCATTCACGTTAACCATCGGATCGTCTATCTTTACTTTTGAGGGCATCGGCTTGATACTTCCCATCCAGTCTTCGATGAAGCGACCAGAGTGTTTTGACGGCCTACTGTATGCGGTTATGTCCGTCATCACGGTGCTTTTCACAGCGGTTGGGGCCCTTTCGTATGCGACATTTGGCTCTGAGACAAAGACCGAGATCCTCAGTAATTTCCCCCAGACCAGCCGGTTAGTCAATACCGTTCAATTTCTTTATTCCCTCGCCATTCTTGTCGGAACGCCTATTCAACTGTTTCCCGCCGTTCGGATCATCGAGGGCAGGCTTTTCGGCCCCGTGTCAGGGAAACGAGACCCGTGGATCAAATGGAAGAAGAACGTTTTTCGGACAGTGGCAGTCCTGGGATGCGGACTGCTATCAGCGGTTGGGGCGGGGGACCTGGACAAATTCGTGTCCTTGATCGGATCGTTCGCATGTGTACCCTTGGTGTACATCTACCCTGCCTACCTGCATTGGAAGGGAATAGCGGAGTCTCCATGGGCCAAGCGAGGCGACCTTGCTATGATCGTTCTCGGGTTCGTGTTTATGATTTACACCACGGCTGCGACTGTGTCAGTCTGGATGTTGGGGAAATAACCTGGGCTGGTTGTATCTTCTCTTGTTCTCAACAAAACTCGAGACCCGGAGAGGGCGAAAATTGGTGTATCTGAGTCTGAGTCAGGGCCAGAGTCAGAGTTAGAGTCAGAATCGAAGTCTCAAGGAGATTTAGAGCATCATATGGAGTGTATCCTGGCGAGAGACTGCCTTACTTAGGTAGTGACGGGGATAAATTCAACCTTGGTTCGGCGTAGAATTCCCAGAAAGGAATTCAGTACGACCTAAGCAAAGGCTGCTATCAACAGCGCAGCCTGCAGTTCGTGTTGGATTCCCGGTCACACAAACTCTTACTGGTGATCAAAGACGTTCCGCTGCACGGTTCGGAGTCGTGGCTGGATCTGATTCCTCTGCTGAATTCTATGCCGGGGACCTTATTTCGGATTATCCTATCTCTTCTCTTGAGGCTGTATAACATAGCGAGATCAGCAAATAAGACCCCTCGGTCAGTCCTATGCAACAGGTTTCAGACCAACACCAGCCCCGGCAAAATCCCAATTCCCATGCTATTAATATACCGCCCAGATGCGTATTTGGTAACTAGAGTCAGATAAGCCTCCGTGCTGCGCCGGTCGATCCCGGCGTGTGCTTCTTTTTTAGCGTCAGACTTACTCCCACGGGGTCGGGTCTGTTTACTATATATATATGAGGGCGCGAGTCGTGTTCCCCTAGCTAGATGGCTAGGTCTATATCACTAAATACGACAACTATAGTGACTTAGTCCGGTTCTCTGGCTGTTCCCATTGACGACCATGAAGTATACGCTCGGTTTCGCGCTCGCAGCCCTACTTCCACTCGTTGCTGGCAGCACTACCACCAATTCAAGTACTACTTGCTACAATCTCGATGGTTCTCAGGCTACGGGCGATGTTCCCTGTGGCTCGGGAACGGTAGTCAACTGCTGTAATACCAATGACATTTGCCTGTCCAATGGACTATGCTTTCTCCAGGGAGATCGGGGCATGGCGCTTTCCCAGGGAAGCTGCACCGATCGAAACTGGAGTGCTAACTGCTATGCACCATGCTGTATGTTTTTATGGTCCTGATCTCGCTTTCCTGATTAGAATCATGCCAACTAACAAAACGGGCAGCCCGCTACACCAGGCAGAGCAGGATTCCGATCATTCATGTGGATTATGATGACGAGGACTCCAAGTACTGCTGCGGCGCGGTACTGACGGAAGACGATAGAACATCGTGCAAGTACGGCGATGGCCCCTTTCAAATCCCCCGGGGAGCGGCGGTGATCGGATATGCAGCTCTTTCACGTAATTCCTCTTCCGATGATGAGTCGTCCGACTCCGACTCCGACTCCAACAGTGAGAGCTCTTCGACCACAACATCAACATCCCAAGTCTCGCCCAGCCTTGCTATCGGCGTCGGGATTGGCCTGCCGCTAGGGTTACTAGCCATGGGTGGTGTCCTGTGGGCGGTTTGGGAGCGTCGTCGTCGTCAGCTTCGGCAGTCAGGCGAGGGAAGTGAGAGCGGAACGACAGTATCTGGGCTGCATCATCGCTATGGACCTATACCTTCTCCCACTCCAAGGTCTGGAGGTCGGGAGTCCCCGGGGGAACTGGGAAATAGACCACATACGGAGGAGTTGATGGAAAGGGTTGATGAATCACTGTTAAGGCACCGGTTATTTTAGAGGTATATATATATATATGCATGATTTGATGATTAGATGGATGATTTACTATGAGATATCTCGCAAATCTATGATATAAAAATAGAGCACGTCGATAGAACTGACAAACGTGGAGAACAGATTCTATCTCCCTTTTCTAGAATATTTATTTGCGAAACAAAGGTGATATATCACAATCTCCCGAACATCTTTCCCCGTTCCCAGAATGATGGCACTTTGGGAATCTCCTCCACCAACTTCCGCAGCCCAGCGATACCACGCTGGGCATGTGTGGTGGGTACATCCTCCCCAGGGACATTGAGTGAGTTGTTGAATACTTCCAACGAGAAGGGACCGCGATAACCGGTTGCAAGAACCGCAGCAGCCACCAATTCAACCGGCATATACCCCCCGAGATGCGATTCGTAAGGGAAAAGTCGATGTCCTCTCGACCAAGGAAGTAAGCGAGGCACTGTCGGGTCTGTAGGAGGCCTGAAGGTCCTTGGATCCACGCGTTCGGCATCCGCAACTTGAAAGAAGAAAATCCGATCCCCGGGAACAGTGGCCACTAAAGCTGTGAGCGAGGCACGGAGCACATCTAGTGACTCTTCCAGCGTGGCATAGATCCTGCCGTGGCCGTCAGGGTGATAAGGGTTCGCAAACTCCACGGCCAAAACGTTGAAAGCATCGACAATCAGTCCGACGTTGGGTCGGTTGGCCATTCGGACCGCTTCCCATGTCGAGGCCCAGGTGTTTCTCCGAGCCCATGACAGCCCCTCGTATCCAATCCGGAGCAGAGGACCCCCGTCCGCATCCGAGTAAGCCCTTGCCATGTCCCCCAATTCAGCCAGATCTCGAGCAACGGTCTGCAGGTCTGCTGTAACGCCCGCATCGGTGCGGACATTGGCACACATGAAAACGAGATCGGTGTCGAAAGCTCGCATGAATGGGAAGCGTTTGGCGACCCGGTCAAGGGTGGCGCGGCGCTCGGCGGGATCCTTGATGCCTTCGATTGCGCGGAGGGGCTGCGTGCAGGCTATCCGCATGCCCAGGGATTTCACCAAATCGCCAAGTTGACGAGCTACACCGAGATTCTCTTCCGTTGCTTCCCAGAGCTGGTCCCCGGCAAGACCGTGTTCCTCCAGGTAAGCGGCCCAGCACTCATCGAAGAGGTCGATCCATTGGTAGCCGGCGCGGGCGGCAGCTTCAATACGAGGTTTTAAACGATGATACCGAGCGTTCCCGAGGGAAAGAGTGGCTATACCTAAGGGAGGAGACATTTTCGATTGGAATCCACTGTCTTTGCAGAAGGGGGGGGGGGGGGGGTTATGAACCATGAATCTGGGGTTGCGGGGGGGGGGATGATGTTTTTATACTGGGGTATGTATGTAGGCGGGTAAACGCTTATCCCCGGGGTAAATCACTTATAACTTCATCAAATTGCAGAGTATCAAAAAAACAGGCTCGACGTTATTGACATATCAAGGCTCATCGGCCACCAGAGGCTTCTCCGGCTCATCCAAGTCAGAAGAACAATGCTTTGGGTTATACATGAGTAGCAGCACCAGATGGCCCACGGTTCCGATTGTCTGCAGCACCACCGCCGTCCACGACATGCCCAAAAATGCACTCCCATGATCCGCATAGATACCGGTCAGTGCTCCGGACTTGTTAATCAAATGCACAAACTCGGACGATATTGCACTTCCCAGGATGGAGGAAATGAATAAACTCAACGCGCTAGTCAGTTGAACCAGGAAGAGCAAAGATGACGGTGGTTTCTCAGCCCCCGGGTCCGTCGTGCGCGAGCTCCAGATGGAGAATAACTTGATGAGAAGCACCAGTCCGGCGGCACCGGCGCCAATGACATAAAAGAACGCCATGGTACGGTTGGTAGGAGCTAGCGCCTGGAAGTCGTCACTGATATACGACGGCCAGCTTGATGGCGGGTTACCGGTCACTGCCTCGAGGGCAGCCGTTGGGTTGAATGAGAAAAAGACAGACTGGTCGGAACAGCTTCGAATGGTTGTCACTACATTGGTCTCACTCGTCCCGTTCTGGGTGCGATTCCCTGTTACTCCTTCGCAGTAGGACATCACGTAGACAGAGAAGAAGTCCGGGGCTCCGGGTATGGGAGGCACCATTGCATCCAGATGGAGCTGTACCCTCGTTAGCCTGCGAATTCGAGAGACAAGAAGGAAGTCGGCATACCGTCAGAAGGTCAGCTTTCGGTAAACATTGGCGCTGTGTTCCCGACAAGAGACACAATATGCCCAGGAGAAACGCCACGAAGGAGGCCAGACATGGGATGAGGGTGTGAAGGCCCTCCATTCTGTTGTAGATAAGATACACGAGATCCCGAGAGCAAGCGGAAGAAAAACAAAAGGGTTGGGATGGACTTTTGATGAAGCAATATCTCATCTCACCGATATATACATCCTTGTTAAATAAAGTTCCAGTTTCAACCCTCGATTGCCGAAGGAGCATTCCTCCTAGTTTACCCTCGATCGGTATGCTAGCCCCCAGTCTATTTACGATCTTGTAGTACGGAGTACTGTACGGAGTAGTATATTGGAAACTTTAGTAGCAGGCCCACATTCCACACAATGATCAAATTCCGGTGTTGAATAGACTCCCATCGGCCACCTATTGGTATGTAAGTGGCCAAGGTAACTAAGGGTATTTATTCTACAGGCTCGTTATACAGAGGGTCTTTCCCCTTAGTCATTGCTGACATTGACTCAGTTCCCGGAATCAGGCAGGCGGCTTGCGATTATGCGTGTTTTTCTACCTGGGGTGCCAGCCGACTATGGCGGCGTAGTCGAGGCCCATAGTTCATGAAGAGTAGGGGAATCGGCACCATCAACACTCCGATACACCCTAGCAGCGTTCCAGCCCATTGGATGCCCAAATTGGCGAACATTTGTCGCGTAAACAACGGGAAGCAGGCCCCCACCAGGGAGCGCATGATGGTATTGGCGGCGAACGCAGAGGCAGCGCTATCAATGTCAGTGGCAAGACTCGGTATGGCGTCCGGGCCGTTGACATACAAGTTCAGGTAAGAATCGAGCAGGTAATTAAATCCCTGCATAAAGATAGTCGTGAGGCCAAATCCAATCATCACGCCCGAGGCCGCCGGGGCCATCCAGTGAACCCGCGGCGAGAACCCGGTCCACCCAAACCTTACCATCGCGATCCAGTCAGTCCATACTCCGCGGGAGATTTGAGGAATTTGGAGCTTACCAGAATAAGCCCCCTGCGAAAGCCACGCCTCCGACTATGCACGGGGGTAGACGCCACTCTGGCACCGGGACGCCCTCATTGGCCGCCAATTTACGCGCATATGACCTTTGGAAGAAGAGGACGAATGCACCACCGAAAAATGCACCAAGAAGAAGCCCTATGAATGGTAAGCCACTCACTTCAGCTGACATTCTGTGCACTCCTTGGAACACAAGGGGATACGCCTGCAACATGGCATAGCATAACCCATAGATGAACGACATATAGACGGTGATCAGGAAGGCGATAGGCTCGGTAAATAGGATCCGGAATGGTCGTGCAAAGTTCTTGGTCACCAGCTCATAGAAGTCAATCTCGAGCTCCTCCTGGCGGGCGTGAATGCCCCAGTTGCGTGTCTGGCGACGAAGAATCACCGCTTTCTCTACCAAAATGATCGGGGCGTACGTCTCTTGGGTGAGGATGAGCATGAGGGCTAGGCCAAAGAAGCCCGCGATTGTGGTGATATATAAGGTCCATCGCCATCCAAGATAGCTTTCGGCTATAAAGCCACCGATGAAAGGAGCGGTGAATGGACCGGTGAATACGGCCAGGGTGTAAATCGAGATGGCAATCCCACGATGGTTGTTGTTGAAGAGATCTGACAGACTGGCAGGGACTAGGGCAATCACACTGGCGGCAAACAACCCCGAGAAGAAGCGAGATAGCATGATGGTTTGGGTGTCCTTCCCAGTCGCGCATGCTAAGGTAAATATGTTGAATCCGAACATTCCGATCAATAAGGGCCATCTTCGACCGACCAGCTCAGATGTCGGTGCCCATATCGTTGGCCCAGTAGCGAAGCCGAGGACGAACAAGGTTGTGCCCAAGGATGCCACCTCCTGGCCGAAGCCAAATTCCTTCCTCGCGCCCGCCGCAGCAGTCGCAAAGATTGCACTGGCATATGCAGCCACAAGAGCGCAGAATGTCAGGATCCCTCCCATAAACATCCTACGATGAGATGAGCAACGAACTACCCGTGAAAATCAGGACCCGGGGGGGAGAGAATGAAGGTACCGTCGCTTCATAGGCCAGTTCTGTGGATGCATAGGATCATCAGATCCTTCAAATTCCACAATATATGCCTCTACATGGGGCAACTCGGGAGGATATGGTTTCCCTGCCCCGAGAGGTAACCACTGGTCGCGCTGGGTACGGCTCTGCGTTGATCCAACGGTCTCGTGTTGTTGAAGCCGATATGTATTGATACGCTGCAGCTCAATCGCATGTTCTGGCCTGATGTACTCCAGGCCGAGGCCGGTCTCCGTGTCCAAACTGCCGTTGTCATCACGGTTCGCACCGGTCTGGTCTATTGGGGCCATGGTCAGTCTGACTTGGTTGCTCTCTGGCCTAGCCAGGGGATATAGGGGTATCGGCCTAGATTAAATAGGCAGCTTCCCACTAGCGGATCGGAATTTTCCCTACAACCTCGAAGAAAACAGCGGTGGGCGATTATTGCATATGAGGACCTCGAATCAACATGGCTTACTAGGACTAACTACGTGTGCAACCCTAATACCTATATATCCTCATCGGGTATTTCCGGTCATCAATATGGATCGCATAGCTTGATTCAACTCAATTCCGCTCGACATTTCCATCTCCATCTGAATCTTCGGAGTATTCCTTGGGCAGTGGGTTAAGGACGGAGTAGGGCTATCTATGATGGGGGCGGATTCTCGGCATTCTCCCGCTTGATTCATTCCGTCCCGATCTCTGTTAAATGTCGATATCTCGGTTGACCGGATTGCATATCTTATAGAATCTCTCAGCTTTATTGACTTTTCTTCCTTCTACTTGTAATACTAATTGTAATCGGAGTCAGTGGATTTTCATTCCGTGGCTGATCTGATTCTTCCAAGATGACTCTGTGCGGATCCTACAAGTTATGTACTCCGTAGATGGACTTGGGATTCCGGAATAAGTTCCGCTTCTAATTTTCACTTACCCACTTAATTCGACTCCCATTTGGGGGATTTTCTTTTTTTCTTTTTTTGATCGGAAATCCAGGAGATTGGCTGGACTGCTTCTAATGCCACCTTTAGAGATGCCGATGATGGTACTCCGTACCTAGATAGATAGATAGGTAGGTAGGTAGGTAGGTAGGTAGGCAGGTTCCAGTGCGGGGGTGCAGTCCAGCCACTGACTCGTCGGATATTCTTGCTCTTTCTCACACTGTGCCTTGGAATTCAACCTTCAATATTCTCTGCTCCCTCCGTATTCCTTCATTTTTCTGTGCAATACTCCTTCTCGTTCTATATACTGGGGAAATGATTACGGGATTGGCACACATCAATCTCCTGGTCCCTCCGGGCACACTGGACCAGGCGGATGACTTTTATAGCCAGACTCTTGGGCTGACATCTGCCCCAGTCCCACAGTCACAGAAGGGCACACTTCTCTGGTGAGTCGCGGAGGCGATCCCGGTTTCTTTCTCTTCGACCCTTGTTCCTCTCTGACAGCGTTATGTGACAGGTTCGATATCGCAGACTCCGGTCAACAAGTGCATGTCGCGTTGGGGACGAATGAATCGCAATCATCGCGCCGTCACCCGTGCTTCAAGGTGGAATCCTTGGATAAGCTCATACAATTGCAACAACGGATATGGGAACACTACGAGAAAGGAGGCGCCGCTGCGCCTTTGGAAGCCGATAAGCCGGGAGTTCAGAATTCAGGTGCGTGCAGGTCAAATGGTCTTGATTCGGACTCGGCCTCGCTAATATGAAATGGGATTGGGTAGGGTCGCAAGGAGTCGAATATCCCACTCGATTCTTTGCTAGGGATTTTGCTGGAAACCGGTTGGAATTCAGTCTCTAGAGATTATCTTTCCCCGCCCCCACTTGGAATGCTGTTTCTAGCGTGGCGTAGATGAGAATCTGCGGACCAATATCATACTGTAATCAGCTAGAAATGGACGTCTTGACAGCTTTTTAGCTGGACGGTAAAGTTGACAGGATCATACGGCAATGCATTTCTCCAAAGCAAATCTCTCATTTCGATTCAGGCTTATCCAAACTAAGCTCCGAGATTCCCAAAGGCCAGAAAGTGAGGATATTGCGGACCTCGCGGCCTTTTAATCCCCCTCCCTTCTAAAGACCATACGAGGTCATGTCCTTTGCGACTCTTTCTTCATAACAAACCCGGATGTTTTCCCTCCACAGTCCCCCAACCTGCAATACCCCGCAAGTATACCCCGTATCATTGTTGCAATCCGGTGCGTGGAAAGAAAGAAATGCTCCGGAATAGCTTTGTACAGCTATATCAGTCGAACTACTTCCCAACACACATCTTTCTCTCTCCCTCGTTCCATCGATAAACGTCCCCCTTGCCAACATTGTAGGTATAGTAATTATTTGTTCCTCCCGGGATTACAGCTTTGCGAAAGGTAATATTAATTCTCCCCTTGTACGCATCGCCTCCTTTCCGTTGGGGCACACTATGTAGCCAATTGGCCTGCGTCTGGCCGCGCATAACAATCATATCTCCCGAGGCCAGCGAGAACTTGAGAGGGGGTCCGATCAATATCACTGCCGGACTCTACGGACGGACCTGGGGGCTTATGCTTTATAAGAAAATCGCGCGGCGCACCGAGCGACAGCGACGCAATGCACGGATCCGGTCCCAGGAACCGCTCATCGTCCGAATGGTAGGAGATGCTATCATCCCCAGAGGCGTAGTAGTTGACCAGACAAAAGTTAAAGGTTGCCCCATCGCCAATTGCAGCTTCAGCCCTTCGTCGTAAGGTATCCAGACACTCTGGAATCGGGCGAGGAGCAGATTGGTATTTGCTGGGAGAGACTCGCTGGTGGCTTCGACTATCCACCAGAGTCGAGGAGCTGGTGAGATCGGGATCGGGAGCTGCGAAGCTAGGAATAAACTGCGAGGTGGCATCTACGCCAAAGACCGTGGTAAAGCGAGGAGTGACAATTTGCGTGTCGGTCGATCCGCGACGAATGGTGTACTGCACGCGGTAGAAGGGCAGTTCCTGGCGGAGAAAGATGAAGAGATCCTGTGCAACCGGCGGTGGTATAAACGGCTGGAAATAAAGCAGGTCGAGATGAGGTCGATGGCTGATTCCTTTTCGGCGGGCGTGAGATGTGAGGTTGATATTTGCAAGGGGGTTGACAATAGCCGCGGACAGATTGGCGATGGGATGGGGATAACTCGGATGGCGAGTGGGAGGAGTTGACTCTTCAATCTTGGCCTTCTTTGGAGCCGTGACTGGTTTGTAAAAAGACTCCAGCGTCCGCTTAGCCATTGTAACTCTGATCTAAAAGATCGATAGTGGTGAATGTTGTGAGGTTGCGATAACTCTTTGGATCGATCGATCGAGCTCAGACGATGATGGCAACACGGGATCCCATCGAGGCACTTCAACTTCATTTGTTTACTTGCAGCGAAAGTTCATTTTAGTGATCTCTATCTTAAGCACCAAGTCGAAGATTAATGGGCATAAAAAGGCTATATATTTTTAAGATTCGTCGCCGTACGAGATCTGTCTTTAGTTAACTACAGTACAGACTGTACGAGTGCAGGCAACCTCACAAGCTCACTACCGGCAACTCGGCCATGTGTAACTTAGCGCTACCATACGGAACAAGGTCAAGGTCAAAGGGATCTCCTAGGCAGGTACGATGCTCTTTTGGCGGCGGATTGGGTGCATACCCATCTACGAACACCCAGTCAATCTCACACGCCCGGACGGTAATACTTGTCGGCGCGCCGTCGGTCCATAGCGGATTAGGGAGGGAGGAAGATTCGTCCAACCCTTGAAAGCGTGCTGTGCGTGGATCAATTGCATACGCCCACGAGGTCGTCGGCGACATTTCGTGGTTCAAGACCTGGGGAGGTGCGTCTTCATATCCTGGAACTTGGGAGGATGTGAGATCGTACAGGATCGGAGCCGCGTACAGGAGAGCGCCATGGTACATAGATACGGTGTCATTGGCACGAGGTTCTACCTTGATTTCGGCAGACAGACTCACATGAATCTGAGATTCTCCGCCTTCTAGTGAGATCCTCTGCATTCCTGTATATGCGTCCGGGCTGATACTATGCAGCGGATTCCCGTTTACAGAGATCTCCGTCTGCGTGGACCATTTCGGGACCCGGATGGAGAACTCAAATGATCCACCGGCTTGTACATTGTATAACAGTTCGTGGGCAAAGGGATATTTCGTGTCACATGAAATGTGTACTGAAACTCCAGCATTCATAGTGGTGTCGACGGATGTCGGGCCAAGTAGTGCATGAGCAATCCCATTGTCGCCATCTCGAACAAACGAAGCTGAAACAAACTTGGGATACCCCTGGGGGTGGTTTACAGTGCAGCAAGGATAATTCGGTTCCAGTCCGTACATTTGGCCGTCAGTGCCTACGCTCCAGAATGGCGCTGCTGATAGATTCTTGGAGGTGGGCTGGTTGGTTTGCGCCACATACTGGTGCGCCCACCAGTCCGGCAAGGTCATCACGGGCAGAGCATTATAGGCAGCCAGTTCACAACGATCTGCCACGGAGTTCTCTCCCAGGGTATGGTAGATATAGCTGAGCGAGAACATCGTTTCGACCACAGTGCACAGTTCCACCCCGCGCACAGGACTCAGCCCGGACAAGCGCTCGTCACCGATTATGACTCCAGAAGGCGTCCCGTGGTAGGTAAACGTCAAGTCGATCGCTGTTAATGCACTGGTCGACAGCTGCTTGTCGCGCGTCAGACGTCCAAAGACGGCCCCGGCCTTCAACCCTTGTCCGACATTGACCCCGTGCTCAAAGGCGAAATTCGGCACTGTTATGTCGTCCGAAATAGTATCCAAGTCCTGTTGAATATACGGCATATCATACCACTCCGTCCAATTAAAGGCCCTTTCATAAAAGAGTTTCATGCATTTCAACAGTTTCTGCTCCTGCGCACGAGGGTCATGTTCGTAGAGCCACTGTAGGGCAACGATCATATCTGCTGCGCGGGCACGACCCCACTGGTCGTCGAAATTGTCGTCAGGATGCGTCACATAGCCAGTATAGTTGTCCGAGAGCATCTCATCCGTCAGATCAATGAACCGGTGCATGGAGTCTAGAATCTGCATCCCCATATCCGTTCCCTCCTCCGCCTCTGCAAGTTGCTCCAGCCCTAGTAGTAAAGGGTACCGCGCCCAGAAATTGCGCGAGGTAGGTTCGGTTTCTGGGCCCAGCCAGCCGTCGCTCTGCTGATGTGAAAGGATATAGTCAACGGAATCCAGGACCTGTTGCTTGAGTCGCCCATCATCCGTCAGGTACGCCAGTGGAACCAGACCGTTCAACCAGTAAGTGAAGGCTTCATTTAAATCACTGTATTCCTGGTCACCCCCTAGCCACGGGTTGTCTTTGACAATCCGGTAAAAATCATGTTCGTGACCGGGTAGCCCATCCGCCATGAGCTGTAGCTGGTCGTGAAGCCAGCCGCTTGCTTTGACGGATCCTAGTGGGAGGGGTACGAAGGCGTAGGGGAGCACTAGATCTTATGATAAGAGGTCGTCAAACTATGACGGTAGAAGTTGACCGAAATGGATTCAATTGGGTCTAACTAGGAAATAGAGAGAAGGAGAGATGCTTGGAGGAAGCATGGAGATCTAGAAGGAAATGGTGGCCTTAAATACACAAAGTAGTCACGTGTCACTATCTTCTTCTTTATAGTAATGCTGGTTGCATTCACTAAGTACAGCACTCCAATACACCCCCCTTAGCAACATGTCCATTTCATGAAGCTATTTAGAGTCTATCTCTAACCTGCCAAAACCTAACCTCTTGATAAATTCATCAAATTTTACAATTAATAGTACCTTAATTAGCCCGTCAGCAATATTATCCTCTTTACTAACTATTTATAGCTAAATTCTACTATTTTTAATTGCTTCTTTAATAAAGAAGTAGTAAATATTTATCTAGCAAAGTATAGATATATAATTTAGCTTCTTTACTAATATAATAGTATTTATAGAATTAGTATATAAAGGTATAATACCTTTTGCAGACTTTTCTAGTCTAATAGCTATATATAGCTTTTATAGTTATATAGCTAGCTTTATTACTATATCCTATGCAATAAATTTAGTAATAATTAAATTTAAAATAACTAGTAATTACTTTACTAATCTCTATATAATTAGTACTCTAAATATAAAAAATATAAAGCCTTTTATTAATTTCTTATCTTTATAATCTACATGGAAGGCATTAATATATATATATAATAAATTATCTAAATAACCTAAAACTATTATATAGTCTAAGGTCTTCTTTAAATATTAGAAAACTTATTTAACTATATTATAATCTAACTTACTAGGATTATAATTTCTTTATAATAGTTATGTTGTTGTATATTAAATATCCAGTCAAGTCTGAATAATAATCCAATTCAATAATCCAGTCAGCTCCTAGTAGTAGGTAATATCATCTTTATCTGCAGAGGCATACATGGCATCTAAAATAATACTGCTAGTATCTAGTATCTCTCTAGTTAATTTCTATCCCGGAGTTATTAGTATATGATATGGCTAAAGACTATGGAAATTCTATTTATGGAGTATCTTTTAGATATATATATATTAGGATATTAATATTAGACTACTAAGTAGTCTATAAATATTATATTTTAAGAACTATACAAGTTCACCTAGTTACTTTAATTTAAAATATTTTTCTAGCTTATCTATAAATTATTAAATATTTACTTTATTAGGGCCAGTAACTATTGTATTATTAATATAGATAATAAGTATTAGCTACTAGTCTAGGTTATAGTAGAAGTATAAGTCTTTATTAATTACTTTTATACTAATTTTTACCAGAATATTATAGAATTCCTTATATTAAAGAAATACTAACTATTATAATCTATATAGGGCTTAGAGTAATAGATATACTATACTATCTTACTTATTAAAACTAGTCAGTTAGTATATATAGATCTTTTAATCCTTAATTATTATATTAAGATAGGTAGTTACTATATTGAATTATACCTATTTTAAATTAAAACAAGCAATCATACTTAAAAATAGCTTTACTAAAGTATCTATTATTACTAGGGAGTAGACTTGGTCAAAGTCTATACCTAGCTTTTAAAAATTTCTATATATAACCTATCTTATATAGAATTATAATATATTATTATCTATATCTAACTTTAAATTATATACTTATTTTCCTAGTAAGACCTTTATATCCTTTAATAATAGTATAAATTTATAAGTCTAAATAGCTTTAAGCTTGCTAATTTAACTTTATATTACTTATATCTAGTAATCCTTTTATAGTAACTTTATTACTTAGGTATAGATTTATAGGATTCTAACTTTATAAGTCTTTATAAGCTTAATCTCTGGTATAAAACTACTAGAATCTAGTAATATTATAGTAATTATATTAGGTGATTCTTCTAGCTTTAAATAGGATCCTAGTAGACAAGGTATTTCTAAAAGTATTTTTAGAGATAATATAGACTAGAATTAAGACTATTATTCTTATTTTACTTCCTCTTTCTATAGTTACTTTGCCTGCTTATCTTTAAAGTAAATACTTTAGTATTAATCTTTTATAGATCTTGAAGATTTCTATAGAGTAGTAATACTATTACTAGTATTATTACTAGTAAAATTCTATATCTTTACTAGATTAATTATTTCTATATTCCTAATATTAAATTTAACCTGCTTTCTAATCTTTAAATACTTTCTTTTTAGTATATCTAGAGTTATTAGAGTATAGTTATCTTTAGAAGGTTCTAAAACTAGTAAGACCTCCTTATATTAGGTAAATAACTCTGGAAGCCTTTATATTAATTATAATATTAATATTCTTTTAAAAATAGGTTAACCAGTATATAGATTATTTATAGTAAAATAATTAATTATTCCTTTATATCTACCCTGCCTAGATTATTCTTTTATACTAGATCTTACTATCTCCTCTATATCCTTGCTAATCGCTCGATTATTTTACTTAGTAATGGTTTTGGAAACAGCCCCAGAGGCAGGCCCAGAGGCAGGTAGCTGCTTGGGTATGATGAGCTCGGTAGTCTTGGAGATAGCCCTAGGGGCAGCCCCAGAGGCAGGTGGCCGCTCTGGTATAATGAGTTCGATACCTGCCTCTAGGTCAGGTAGGGTGGTTTTAGCAACAGCCCCAGAGGCAGGTAGGCGCAGATATATCAAGTCAGTACCTACCTCTGAGTTGGATAGGCTTGGTTCAGGTAGGGCTAGATCAGGTATTAATATTTAAATTCTCCCTATAATAACCTTATTATCATTTACTAATAATAAGGTTTAGGAAATAATATTATTTTAAAATATATTATTATAAGTTATTCTTCCCCTTTTAGTATTAATAGGTATAGTTGCTCTAGATAGACTATTATTATTTAGTTTTAGTTTATTAGAAAGTTATAGTTATATTCTATCTATTCTATTAATATTATCTTTATTAAATATTATATCCCTTAACTAAATTATCTTCCCTATATCTAGATACTATACCTTGTAGATGTAATCTCTATTATATCTAACTAGTTAACTAATTTTTACTCTAGGCAATATTTTTATACTTTTAATCCTATCCTTATATAGGATATTTACAAATACCTTATATCTCTATATATAAATATATTATAGATTAATATCTCTAATTAAAATATTTAATTCTTTATAAAAAAATTATATAAGTAGCTTTCTTTTATTATTACCTTCCCTAACTAACCTATTTAAAATATAGACTGCTATATTTATACTATATAGCCATATAATTAGCTCTATTTTTGCTTATATGCATATTATGCGGGCAGTCTAGATCATATAATCACTAAACTATTCAATAGTGCTGTTTTCCTTGGGGGTTCATGGTAGTATTAGTTCATATATAGTACTAAAATCCTTACTCTACCTAGCATACTCATTAAATTCAGGAGCAGAGTCAAATCTGACCCTTCTAATATAGATACTAGTCATATTTAGCTAACTATTATATATTTCCTTTAATACCTTTAAAGATTTGCTTTTTACCTTTAAATATTATATAAAAAGGTATCTAGAATAATTATTTAGAACTAGTAGGATATATCTAATATTATCTCTTTTAATTAGTTTGATTTCTTGGAGATCTACATATATGAATTATAATAATTTTATTATATATAGTTATGGTTTTCAGGATATCTTTTTCTTTAATTTTGATAATTAACATACTTTATAGTATGGTTTAGTATTCTAATTAGCAAGTAAGTTATTAGTAGCCAAGTTATTATTATAAAGCATTACCTTATTACACTTTAATTATTTGATAGATAGATAACCTAATCATTAATATAATAAGTCTATTAGTATAGTGGGCATGATTACTGCCTTATTTAGAACTAAAAATAGGATATTATTATCTAAGATAGTATATCTAATTACCTTATTTATTACTATTTCATGAATATATTAATTTTTTAAGTTAAAATAGATTCCTAATTCTACCTTTATTCTTTCTACTAGCATCAGGTTACATAGTATATTTAGATTCTAAAGATATTCTATTTAGTATAATATTAAAGTACTATTATTTAATTTAAATTAAATTATTACTTTTCCATAACCTTGGGGATATACTATCTTGCTATTAGAGGTAATAAAACCATAATTCTTAAAGCTATTTAGATCTTTAATTAGATTATTAAAGAGATTATAATTATTATATACTATATAGCCTGCTCTAGAGTTACATAGTTACTTATTCCTAAAGGTAGTTAATATTAAAGCTATTAATATATTAACTCTAGATAGTATGAAATTATTAGTATCTAGAATAGTATTAGCTTATATAGCTAGAATAATAACTTAATTTTAGATTAAATTATTCTTATTCTTTAACTTATATAGCTTAAAGTACTAAAGTATTAAAATTAGTCTTTACCCTTCCTTCTACTTATTAATTACTAAATATAGGTAGTCCTTAATATTATATTTTTCCTCTTTATAAAATAGGTATAGCATTCTAGGTTTCCTTAATTACTTTAATTAATAGTTAATATGGCCTGTAACTATCATATTCTATAGTAGTATATATTTCTATTATTGCTATTACCTTCTTCTATTTGTTAATTAAGAACTTAGTATATTTATGGCAGGCATGGTAGTATTAAATATAGTATTTAATAGTAGATTCTCCTAAACTTTATCCTTTACTATATTATATATAGTATAAAAATACTTCTATATTATTATTTTAATAAGATTGTTACCTAGGTTATTTAAGGTTAAATCCATAAAGCTCATATTATCCCTTTCAAGCTCCTAAAGTATTACAGCAACTACTTAATAGAGTATAATAACTATTTTTAACCTATTAAAAGTATTTGTCTTCTAGATAAAGTCTAATATAAACTTATTAATAATTATATAATTCTTATACTTAATCTTAATAGCTTCTTTCTATATCTAGTATATATATCTTTAACTATTACTAATAACTATTCTTTATAACTTCTGTATAAAATTATCTATAAAAATATATAGGGTAGTATCTATTAGTAATTTCTTTACTAATTTCTTACTTATTAAATATAGTATTTAACTAGCTACTATTTATAAAAGAAGTTCCTATAATTTATACTTAGGATTATTAAATTATAGTCTAGGAATATTACTTTTAAGAAGCTTATCTATCTTATAAAGCCTTAGTTCTATTTATGTAAATAAAGCCTAAATTTTAAATTTTAAATTATTTTCTAATACTATTATCAGGCTCAAGTTAAATGTACTATTCTTCAGCTTTATTACTTGATTTTAGCCATCAGTAAATAGGGTAGTAGCCGTCGAAGGTAGGTATAGTAAATCAGGGATGTCAGGATATCTGCTAGGGGTAAGTTTAATTACTATTTTAGTCAAATTATAGAAATTTTCCACACACTATTGCCTAGGTAGTGTAATATAACAGCAGTAGGTAATATTTCTGCCAGGATCTTTATCCAATCAGGGAGCAGATCTCTAGTACAGGGGTATGATAAGAGTTTTGGAGGTCTATAAAGTATAAAATAGAACCTTAAGGAGGGCTCATAACCTGATAAGAGGTTGTCAAACTATGATAGTAGAAGTTGACCGAAATGGATTCAATTAGGTCTAACTAGGAAATAGAGAGAAGGAGAGATGCTTAGAGGAAGCATGGAGATCTAGAAGGAAACAGTGGCCTTAAATACACAAAGTAGTCACGTGTTGCTATCTTCTTCTTTATGGTGATGCTGGTTGCATTCACTGAGTGCAGCACTCCAACATCTTATATATACATGTTTTAGCTTCAATTTCGCTGGTGCGAACACACCCCCTCTCTCTACTCACACTTGTCACCACTCGGTTCATCTCGGGGAATGATGGAATTCGACGGTAAATTCCTATGAAAAGCGAAAGCCTGTGGGAAAATGGCGAGACAGCCTAGCGAGGCAGGCCATAACGATCCTCCGTCCAAATACATGGTCGTTTGTGGTGTTGTATGATGAAGCTGTACAACAAGAACAAGGCAACAAATAAGCAGGTCCAATAATCAAGGGTTAAATCTATCTGTTGTAACAAACTCCATGGGCCCTTGGTAATAAGCGCGTGGGTTGGAATGTAATTATTATTCTCCTCCTGGCTGTTAGGGCATTCTTGTCTTGGTGGAGGGGGGATCAGTTTACTACTTTACTTACTATACTCCGCACAGCAGTTTACAACCGACAGCAACTGGATACCATGGTCGCGGTAGTAAAACATATAACTAGTACCAATTGGATCATTCTGGGTCAGTACTGCATGAGTCTTGACAATCCAAATTTAGTATAGTTGAGATTGGTCTACTGAAGTAGTTCCAGCGTTGTTGAGATGGTGGGTCAAGTGTTGCTGATTTACTCTGTATACCTAACTAACTAACTAACTAGTTAGTTAACTAGTTAGCCGTACAGAGGAGGGGTTTATTAATTTCCCAAGGCAATATAACTAGTTAGTTCTCCAAAGGGTTCTGGTAATTTCCCAACTGCTGTAGACCGCGAGGGAAGAAGTCTCGTACTCGTTTGTTACCTATAACTGCACCTTGCTTTATATCCCTCCATCAGGGGAGGTTTTGTTATTTTATTTCGATCTTTTCGTCTTCAACCTAATAGCCAGAATAGCCAAATATGTAAATGACCTCATTTTTCAACCGTATATCCTCCAAGATACAAATCGAATCGCCTTCTGGCGGCCACAAGGAGCAGGGCTGAATCGTTCCCAAAGAGGAAAGTCTGCCTCTCGTTTTCTTCTCTCACTTTCACCTCACTTCATCTCATCTTCTCATCTCCCCTTCTCATCCCATCTTCTCATCTTTTCCTTTCTTATTATCTACTCTTCTTTCTTTCTTTCTTCTTTCTTTCCTTCCGTCCTTCTGTTTATTTTCTCATCTCCCCCCGCCCCCATGCTTGTTCGCCCTCCGTTGTCTCTCGCCTACTCCGGAATTCCGCCCATCCTCGTGCAACCTTTTCTTCTTTCCCACCACCTCCACTGCCACTACCAACCGGGATCTTGTTTTGACACCTCATCTTAATTTGCTTCTTCCTTCCTCCTCGTTCCCCTCCTCCTCTCTCCCCTCTTCCGGCTGGTCCTCCCCTCCCCCGTCGCTCAGAATGGCCAACTACCATAATGGAGGCCAGATCTACGGTCAATCTGGGAACAATCAGCCGTCCGGCTATGATGCGTACAACTCCCAGGCCGCCAGTCCGCCGCTTCGACGCATGCCAAGTTACAACGTGGGGGACGACGCGAGTCTCTTCGCTTCCTCCTCTGCCCACAACTCCAGAGTAACTGATGCGAACAGTCGATATTCTGGTCTCTCAAATGTTGGCGAACAACCAGGAGGCTACAGTCTTACCGGGACTGCGCGCGACGATTATGCCGACCCCCGGTACTCCCACATCCCATCGGCTACTTCGCCGCAAATTCCCCCCCGAACTCGTACCCAGTCTCAGTCCAGCTATCAATACCAGTATACCTCCTCGATAGGTCCCACGTCGCCTACGCAACTGTCCTACAACCCGCAGCAATATGCGATTCCCGCGACTCCCTCCCAACCGCAGGCCGGATACAGCACGCTCTCATACTCCGCTAGTACATACAACAACAGCAACAACAATAATCATCATAATACCAACGCCTTATTGACCGCACATCAGCCGTATAACCCGGCTGCATATCAAACAACTAGCATTGGGGGCTTAGGGTCTCCGATACTGCAACGTCAGTCGAGCATGGTATTCGCCCAGACCCCCATCACACCTCATCCATTCGGATCGTCGCACTCACAGTTGCCTCCACCACCTCCGCCTCGCAGCTCGGACCATCCTTACGGGAGTCGATCCTCCTCCCAATTCCCGAGCACCTCCCCAGGGACGCAGTTCGGTTTTCCTACGCAACAATCCATCCCGTCCTCCCTTAACACCTCGTCGTACAGCGTAATTTCTCCTCCCGTTCCAAGCACAGCTTATGCCCCTGGCAGTGGTACTCTATCGGCTACGAGTATGAGTTCTATGAGTTCTCGTACCTACGCCGGCGCTGCACCGACCCCTGCCTACATGTCGCAGTCCCCCCTGACCCCGTCTGTTGACGAAGAGCCGCCAGAGCCCCCAGCGCATCTTTCCTCCCCCGATGACTCCTACAGCAAACCGCAAAATTCTTTGCGTCTCGGCCCCGGACGATCGCTTCCCACTCCTCCAATATATCAAGGGCAACCACCCCTATCACCTCGCAGAACCGATACCCTAACAAGACACCCCCAATCGCGGCCGCTGCCAGGACCCCCCATCGATGCGGACGAGAGGCGGAGCTCGTACTCGAATGGCATGTCAAACGACGTGCACCACGCCGCCGACCAACCAACGGGCTGCGATGACTTGATGCAGGAGGTGGAGGCCGCTTTCCCAGATGCTTACTGGACTGGTGAATATCGCCCTCGTCAACGGCCACTACACATCGATACGCAGGATTCGGCGGATAGAGTTCCCTCAACAGAGCCTCTTTACTCTTCCTCGGCTTCATTGGGCACGCACATATCCCCTGATGAGAGCCATACACATACGAACGGCAGCATCGCCACCGGCACTGGTCAGTATGTCAACTATGATGCCTACAGCGACGAAAGCGACGCGGAAGCGGAGGCGGGACTGGCGATGCTGCGAATGGCCGACGAGGAGGACCGTGTGCATGCAGAACGTATGCAGGAACGATCAAGACGCGAGACAAATGCCTCTACTGCCAGCGCATACGGGGGCCGCCCCTCCATCCCCGCGTCGCCACCTTCCCATGACGCCCATTCAGAAAGACTTCCGTCGTACAGTGGTAATAGCTATCGCGGTAATTCTCCTTTTGAGGATGGAACTCTTCACGCAAATCACTTCGCGGGTGACTTGGAGCATAGCGATCGCCCTGTGCTGAATTCCACATCGCGGCACAGCTCTAATGCGTCGCGCCATGATGATCAAACGCCGTACTCGGATGAGTATTATTATCCGCCGATCGACGATGACTACGCATATTCTTTACCTCAGTTCGAATCAAATGCACGAGTTGACGCGGGCGGTACGGGTGGATTGTCTGAACCGAACGCATACGGGCGTCGAATGAGCTTCGACTATGGAGATGAGACCGACGGGTCCATGTCGCACATACGGCATTCGCATCACTCGGGAAGCGAGGGCTCGGAGGGTGGTGAAGAACCTGGTGATCTCTTCTTCCACCCAGGAATGCGCCCGCTGCCTCCTCCCCCAGAGGAACCCGCCAACAATGCGACCCTGATCCCACACCTGATGCCCGCGGGTACATATCGCCGCCCGGAATCAGGGGGAAACCAGAGCGTTCAACAGTATAACCCCACCCACTTCTCTATTGCTTCTCCAGACTCATATGGATCGACTGTGCCTAGCCCAATTCAAGTTCCGCGGTCAACGTCCTTATCGAGCCATCCCATTGGACCTCGTACTGACCCCCCTATCAGATCCAAAACCGATGCAGACAGGGCAAAATACAAACAACAGCAGGAGATGCTGCGCCAGCAGCAGCAGCAGTCAGCGTTTAAGCTGGACCAATCCCTGGCCACCTCGGGGGTGGCGATGACTCTTGACCTGCCTGCCATCCCCGCTGGACGTCGCAAGAAGTTCCACCCGGCCAAATTATCGTCGGAGGATTTCCGACGCTGCCCAGAACCGTGGGCGCTTAGCGCTGTTCTTGATTGGATTCGAGATTTGACCGAAGATGAGACTGACCTCAAGGAACAGGCGATCGTCGATGCTATTGTCGCGTTATTCACTCACAAGGTTCCAACGATGAATACTGCGGACGCAGAAATGCTCGCCGCACGTGTGATTCAGAACATGCTTGACAATGCGGCCTTGGTTCAAGATGAGGAATGGGTGAAGCTCAGCAGCGGAACTTTGTCGGGAGTCCTGTTTCAGGTCACTGGGACGGGGTGCTACTCATCCCAGTTGCACGAACAGGAGACAGAGGTCATTGGACGATGCTATTCACACCACTGCATGCGCACATTGAAGAAAGTCAACTTGAGAACACAGGTCATGGAACCACGGAAAAAGGCAGAAGACTGGGTCACGTTCTACAGGGTGCCGAAAGAAGTCTGGGAGTCGCATCCGAAGAAGGAGATTGACCGCCAGAACAATCTGCATGAGATTGTCACAACTGAGGATTCCTTCATTGAGCAACTCGATGTCCTAAGGGAGCTGTATCGTGACCGACTAGCTACATCGGAGCCTTCTATCATTGCACCAAAACGCTTGAACAAGTTCTTGAACGACGTGTTCGGAAAAGTGGACTTGGTTAAGAAGGTCAACGAGGACCATCTCTTGGCGCAGCTGAAATACAGGCAGAAGGAGCAAGGGCCTTTTATTGCCGGATTTAGTGACATATTTCGAGAATGGATTCGAAAAGCAAAGGCCGTTTACATTAGCTACGCGGCTACATTCCCCTACGCAAACTATCTCATTCGCAAAGAAGCCGAAAGGAATACCGTTTTCCGACAGTTTCTGGGCAATGTTCGAGATCACAAGCTGTCAAATCGTCTCAGCTGGGATACTTTCCTCAAGGCACCGATCACTCGAATCCAGCGATACACTCTCTTACTCTCAACTGTTCACCATAACATGCCCAAGGATTCGGAAGAAAAGACCAATTTAGCGCAGGCCATTGAGGAGATCAAACTCGTCGCCTTGGAGTGCGACAACAAGGTTGGCGAAATGAGTAAAAAAGTCGACCTCATGGAGCTTGCCACTAAACTACAACTCCGTCCAGAGATGAAAAAGGAGGTTGAACTGAATCTAGAGCATCTGGGCCGGGAGGTCGTTTTTCGTGGAGATTTACAACGACCAGGGTCCCGAACAAGATTCTTAGTTGACACCCATGCGATCCTCTTCGATCACTATCTTGTTCTCGCTAAGTTATCCACAATGAGAGACCCTAATCGCACAATCAAGTATGAGAGTTACGACGTTTCGAAACTGCCGATCCCGATGGACCTCTTGGTGCTCGAAAGTACCCAAGAGGATCCTGTCGTGAAATCGGCTGTGAGAGGGGTTGTCGCTACTGCCCCAGCAGCCCAGTCCGCTCAACGTGCAGGTGGTAACGGCGCTTTAGCGCATACTAGCAGCGGTAACTCAGCGACCTCTGGCAATTCAAACTCAGGAAAGGTGTTGGTCCCGACCACTGTACTGGAAACCCCAAAGGATGACAAGATTCTCTATCCTTTCAAGATTAAACACCTTGGCCTGGAGGGGACGTATACTTTGTATGCCTCTTCCTCGCAGAATCGAAAGGACTGGTGTGATAAAATTATTGAGGCGAAAACTAAGCATGCTGCTGCGTTATTTGCACAGAATGCAGAACCTTTCCGACTCCGTGTTTTGGCAGACACTGCATTTGGGAATTCAGACAATTCTCCCCCTTGCAAGAGTGTCACCATCAAAGGCACTCCACTTGACCGTGCAATTAAAGAGGTAGACAAGCGATACTCTGTCTCGAAATCTCGCCCTCCACCGATTTGCCGAGCCTCTGTTCATTGTGCCACCGTTTTCCAACAGCCCCCAGGCCGAACTATGTGCGCTATTGGAACTGATTATGGTGTTTACATCTCCGAATACAATGACCCTAGAGGCTGGACCAGGGTATGTTGATTTTTGCATGCAATATCCACATGAACACAAGTCTGGAATAGAATACTAACCATGGGCTGCAGGCAATTCCTATTGTTCGAGTAACACAGATCGCGGTCTTCGAGGAGTTCAATATCTTCCTGCTCATCGCCGATAAGTCCTTAATTGCATATCACCTCGATGTCGTCTGTCCCGCAAGCGGCGTATCTACGCAAGCAACCAACGACTCAGCCCGTCGTGCGCCGCAGAAGCTTTCTGGAAATCGTGAAGTTGGCTTCTTTGCTGCCGGGCAAATGAAAGATCGCACCTTAGTGATGTACAAGAAGCGGGACGGGCTGTCGTCAACATTCAAGGTTAGTCCAACAAGCCATTCATCAAGTTTTCCTTGTTCACACATGTGTACAGATCTTAGAACCCGTATTGCAGAAGTCAGCAACTAGCCGGGGTCGGTTCTTCCTTTCGCGCCGGTCTCAAACCGAGTTCTTCCGTGAATACGATGAGTTTTACATTCCCGCGGAAAGCTATGGGATTAACTTGTTCCATTCGTCCCTCGCCATCTCTACCCAGAAAGGTATCGAGATTCTCACTCTTGATAAGAAGCAAACATGGTCTGTGCCTGAGTTCCGAACCGAAGCTCAAGAAGTGCAGGCCCATCTCAGCAGTATCGCTCATCGGATCATCAACCTGCGGCCCCTGGGTATGTTTCGCCTCAGCGATAGCGAGTTCCTTGTCACGTACACAGAATGTGCTGTATACGTCAATCAGCACGGAGATGTGTCCCGCAGTGTGGTTATGGAGTTTGTGGGACGTGCTCACTCTGCCTGCCTTTATGGTCGGTTTTTGCTCTTATTTAACGATGATTTTGTGGAGGTGCGCAATGCTATGAATGGGCGTTTGCGACAGGTTATCCCAGGTCACAATGTTGTCTGTCTAGATGATGGAAGCCGACTCCCTGGATCAGGTGCAAACAGCATTCCCACTAGCAACGGCGGCACTGTTAATCTTTCAAGTGGCCAGTCAAATGGTGCATCTTTGGCCAACCAGGGCCGTACGGTCAAGATTTCCATGCAACACCCTGAGTATGAACGGTGCCAGGTTATTCTTGAGCTGATTGAGAATGATGGACAAAAAGACTAAGCTCCCAGTTTAATTCTCCTGCCATTCAACCCTTGGATTTAAGCATGTCTACATTTGACCAGCTAATCCTATGATTGATATTAGTTATGTCTTTATCTACAATGGTTTTTTTTTTTTTTTTTCACCCCCTGTCTGTTGACATGTGTTTCATTCTTATTCCTCTTCATCCCCCCTTTTTCTTCAATGCACCTACCTCATAGGTCACGAGTATATCTACATACCTGTGGGGCCGTGGTATGCCTACTAAACTACTTATTTGCAGATTACTGTTCTTTTTTCATGTTGCATCATCTTGTCTTGGAAGAAATTCTTTTATACCCCATTTTGAATTTTCATGTTGGACCCTGACCTTTGGCATCAGGTTTACATAAGAGTCACTGTGCTTTCATGGCTAAGTAGTTAGTTAGGCTATAGTGTGATTGATTAATGTACATATTTTAACTCTTATGATTGATGAACAAGCCCTTCTCATAAAAATTATATTGTATTGATATATATAATTCAACAAAATCAGGCTCATGCTGTTCAGAGTAATGTTCGCTTAAAATATATGTATGACCAGCTTCTTCCAGTCAAATGAAAAACCCACCCCTATATCTGTCACAACAAAAAAGCAGATTAAAAGGAAATGATATAAATAGTACATTATCCTTCCAGAAAAAAGAAACCTATCTAAACAGATAGATAAAAAAGAATGCGCTTATACACGCGTAGGAAGACCACAAAACACGTAATACAATTATCAAGCCATAGCAAGAACAAAAAAGGGGGGGTCCAACAAGAGAAATACTGCAAAGTTCGTTCATGACTCAAACTCCACAACCTTACTAACGACACTGTCATCTCGACTACGGTGGGAACTACCACCGGCATCAGGTGCGAGATGCTGGCCGTGGTGATGCTGGCCTTCTTTATCATCCAGGAGCGACGAGGAGGATGTGTCGTCCCGCCCCCGCATACTAAGGACCTCTGCACCTTCTAGGAGATCACGGTCGGTTTCGCGCACGCTGCGACGCTCGGGATCCGCGCCGTATGCCCCCGCACCCCAGCTGGAGATACCACCCACTATGGCGGGGGTATTGGCCACAACATGGGGGTCGACTTCGTCCTCGTCATCCTCGTCATAATCATCCCGGTTGAGGGCGTTTCGCTCGAGTTCGCGTTGTGCTTCATCCATACGCTTCTTGACTTCTGCAGCCATACGGATGCCATCGGAGACAATGTTGTCTAGGACACCGCGGAGACCTCTGTTAGGTGGAACGATGCCACCAGAGGCACCGGCAACTGGAGCGTTAGAAGCCGCACTGAGCTGGGGCTTCACAGAACCGATGTTTGAGAAGGTTGTGAGATTCGAGGAGAGAGATGGGGTCAGCGAGGTGGCTGATCCCTGGTCAGAGAGACGGAAGGACTGAGGGAAAAAGGTGTCGAAAAATTGCTCTAACAGCTCGTCAGCCAGAACGACCATGCGGAATGTAGGGAGAGTGATGTGGAGTGGGTTATTGGGATCGAGAGCGGGATTCGCGGATTCGGATATCTTTTGGGTGTGCTGTTGTGTGTTGTCGGCTTGGTCACTGCTCAGGGTTTCAGGTGTTTTGGTCTCTAGAGTCGGTGTTGACGAGTTGGATTTGATGTCGTCTCCAATATCAATTAGATCCTCCTCCTCCTCCTCGTCACCTATGCTGAAAGACCCGAGCTTGTCGGCTGTTTCCGTCACGTCTTTCTCTCCCTCTAGTCCCTTGTGGGTCGGGTCAGCATACTGGAAACAGCGCCGGATGAAGGAGCTGACGCTTCCAAGAAATCGTTCGCCAGTACTGAGCTTATCATGCTCAGCTCCTTCTTTTCCGGGAGCTGTGAGGTCTTCCGTGCTTTGGCTGGCGACGATAGTTCCTTCGAATCCGCGTCGGGATAGGAAAAGGAGCGCTTCAGACATGCGAAGGATCCCTTCTCGATCGACCATGCCGTCTCCGTTATCGTCGTAAAGATCAAAAAAGTAGCTAATATTATTCATGATGTCGCGTGGTCCCTTCAGGCGTGCAATACCATTTACTACATTTTGTAGGCTTAGTCCTTCCTCGTGGTCGGTAGCCCACTTACGGAAAAGACGATGTAAAAATTCGTGGTCCGCTGGCTCTGGTCGGGTGTTCCATATGGATGATGATCGTCCAAACCCTTTAAAGCTATTTCCGTAAGACCCAATAGTGGACGCCTTGCGCGATGGGCTGGGGGAGTCGGCTCTAGCCCATTTTGCTGTCGCGGCAAGAAACTCTCGGAACGCATTGTAGTCCATGTGAGTTGGACTCGGACCTAGACCCACTCGACCAACTTCCTGGTCAGCCGGTGGGCCGACGATGGAAATTCGTTCGGATTTCTTCTTCTCTTGGCGTCTCTTTTCCTCCTCTACCAGCTTCTGTCGCTGCTGGTACTCGTATAGGACTTCGTAGTAGCGGTCATATATCGCGCCGAGATCATCCATGCTTAGCTTCTTGCTATCGGGCCCAAGGTTTCGGATGGATGTGCGCTTGGCGAAACTTTCAATGTTCTCTAAGACTGCATCCTTATGTTTTTCGCGCTGCTCAATGACGGTTTGATGTGTGATCTGGGAGAACTCCTTGAACGCTACTACCATTAGTTCCTGAAAGCGTGTGATAGCTCTTAGTTTGGGATTCTCTGATCGTGGATGAGCAGACTCGTCGAGACGAGAGAAATATGACTTGAGAACGGAGATGAAAGAACCATCATCTTGGACATCGAGCAGTTCCTCACCATTGATGCGGAGGATGGCAAGTCCAACCTGGAAAAGGACCTTGGGACCCTCCAAGAAGAACACATCTAATACCCTAAAGGCGAAGACAAGGGGCATGGAGTTGATATACAAGGAGAGAAACCAGGGAAGAGAAACGACAGAGAGCTGGACATCGGACTTGGAGAGATGCTCCCAAAGAACAGGCATCGTTTTCTCCACCAGAGACTCGAAAACCTTTTGGTCAAGCAAGGTACCATACATGGTGGTCGAGTAATATCCCGGTAGAAGGCGGTCGCATAGAACAGAAAGAAGGAAGAAGGCTTGTGCCTCAGACATGTATCTGGGAATTGTGAGCATATGATATGGCATTGTGGTTGGGAGCGGGGAGGCCATACATCAACAAAGCTGCAACCACGATGTTCATCGCTTGACAGTACCCAATTTCAGCGTTGGTCCAACTGTACGCTGTAAGAACTCTCCGAAGACGGCCAATGCCTTCTTCACTTTGGAATCCCGCATACTCGGGCAAGCTTCGGTTCAAGTCCTTTTCGATCTCATCAATAGCTAAAGATTCCTGCCCGGCGAATTTGGCAAGAGTCTCGGCGTATAGTTTAGGTGATCTCAAACGCAGGTACAACGAACCAGAGGCTACCTCCCACACTTCTCCGCGGAGTCGGTTGGGAAGGCCAACGCGAATAAGCTTGTGGAAGGTGGGCTGTCGAATCAAAGTCGCATTGCGGCCATTTTCTACACAGGCTCAATACAAATTACTGGGCAAAGGGCTGCAAGGGCACCATACCTCTGAAGTATTCCCCCCACAATCGCATTTTACTCCGATCTCGAAGCTTGCGGGCATCACCTGGGTAGCGGAAGAGCATGCCTAATCCGGCATCCGGGGGCTGTCGTGTTTCAGAGTTATCAGACGCATCCTGTGCTTGACTCTTGGCCTTTGCACCCGAGAGCAAATATTCCGAATAACAGTCATTCACGACGTCCCGCAGATTCTCAATTTCCTTCATAGACTCCCGTAACCCTTTTTTTAGACCGTCACAGAATCGTTCACAGGCCTGCCTGCTTCCGACTAGCTGGATAGTGAATCTTTGGGGCACAAACCCCGGTGCCTGCTGTTTGTTTAGAGCGCCATTCCATGTTGTTAATGCTAATGAAAAGACATGGCTGAGACTATTCAATCGCTCCACGCGGCGGATGCAGCAAAGCGGGACCGTGAAGCCATTCCCGGACGGCCCTGTGCCATTGGTTTGACCCGCCCAGTGAGTAGAGGCGCCAAGGGTAGCAGATGGTACGAAGCTAGTAGGCTGGGTAGAAAAGCAGATGAATCGCTCGCTCAAATGCAGCTTGCCGGCATATCGATTTCCAGCGCGGTCGAGATTCCGAGGAGGGTTGCCGGGGGTGGTGGAAGATGACGACGATGACGATGATGTATGCGACAAAGGAAGGATTAGCTCTGCCGTTATCTCCTGTAGAGGATTTTGAGAATCGGGAAGTCGGAACTGCTGGCGAAACAAGGAAGCCTTCGACGGGTTGCGATCGGAGGAGGAGGAGGTGAGGTTCGGGATAGTGAAGTTAGCCGGGTCAATAAAAGACTGGGCTTTCTGGACGAGGGACGACCACTGCATCATCTTGGAGGAAGGCTGCAGCGGGTTTCGGGAGGGAAAGGGGGGCAAAATAATAACAGAAGGCAAGGTAAGGATGGAAATTCAACAGCTGGGCTTGATAGTCCACAGCTGAAGCTGAAGGTTGGCCCGGTAGAAAGCGGGAGCTGCTGAAGCTTAAACAATCAGACCAGGGAAATGGGGATGGACAGAGGCCGACAGATGGTCAGCGGATAATCCAGGGTCATCGTAGGAGCTAGCGCAGCATTATCCAAAGCAGAACCCCCGACTGCGACAAATAAAAGGTCCTGAAGTGGTGGAGATGGGGAGAGGGGAGGAAGTTCGTGGTGGAAAGAGGGGATAAATCGTTCCCTGCACCTGCAGGCATCCACGACGATGCGCTCACGTGATGCCGGGGATCTGAAACAACGCCAGGTCTCAGCATTATTATCCAGGCGATTCTACACGAGAGCAGGAAATCATGAATGGCAATTCTTATTCTAAGAGCTGGATCGAAAGATCTCATTGGAACTATGACGAGAGCTACGGCTAGGGGACGAAATTGCATACAAGTAAAGAGAGAGAGAGAGAGAGAGTGGGTGTGTGTGTGTCACAACACGACGAGAAAACGAAAGCAAGGACAAAACCCGATCAAGTAAAAAAGTCTCCTGGTCTCCAATAAATATCACCGAAGGTTTTTCCTATTCGACAGACAAAGCCCCTCGCTACGTTCTCAACGCTCTTGGGATAGATTACATGGGCGAGAGACGGGCCATTAGGATTTGTCGGCTACCTCCTCCGCTGGAGCTTCTTCATCGCGATAAGCAGGAGGAAGCTCCTCAACCGATTGGGTCATCAGGCCCTGCTTCTCATCCCTGGATCCCGGCTCAAGCGTTTCCTTCGGGGAAGATCGGCGGTAACGACGCCACATAAAGACGGCAAGCTGACCAACAATCATACCTAGAGCGCTGGCGGCAAGACCTGCGAAGACTCCAAGGATAGCTGGAACGACAATGAAGCGAACGACGCGATGAGCAGTACGCTGCCAGTCTCCGTGATGAGGTTTGCCATGGGAATGACGGTGATCAGCAGGAGGAGGAGGGGGGGGAGGAGGAGGAGAGTGATGGCCAGGGAAGTCATGATCGAGCTCGTCATGGTGAGGCCGGGGTGGGAAAGGTGGGGGAGGCAAGCCTTTAAGCCCCTTGCAGCCCTTGCCCTTGAACATGCCAACCAAGCGCTCCTTAGCTGCGCCAAACATGGAACGGATGCGTTCAACCATGAAGCGTCTGAGACACTTGGGCTTTCCATCACACTTCTTCCACGAAGCCCGGTCGGCAGTTTTTTCAATGTCGGTCTTCACCATGAACAGGTTGCCTTCCGCGTCATGGATGAGAGTGATAGCGACGGTGTCCAAAGGAACGGGATAGCCGTCCAGGTCGAGAACCGTGAATCGAACAGCCACCATATCAAAAGGTTCCTCTGGGGGGGAGGGGAGTGGCATCATTTCGACTGCGTAGCCCAAGGGAACGGGCTGCGACTCTTCGCCATCAGTCAGGTGGCGCTGAACGGCGGTGATAGGAGATGGGGGTGCGGGAGGGAAGATATGGTGGTCGTTGGCCAGGAGGACGCCATCTTCGATCGAGAATTCGAGCGACTGGTATGATCTATTAGCTTATCTGCCGGGACCCGTTGAACGATCTTCACCAAACCCACCATACCCAAAGAGGGTGGGGGCGGATAGTACCGCCTTGGGATGGGAGGTTGATGACTTACCAGGTATGTTTCGTCGCCACTTTGAATCGCAAAGGGACATTCGGTGCAGGGAAGATCGATTTGCTGCTTCTGGGCCGCCTGGGCCTCAAGGGGGAGGATGCTGACAGTGTCGCCGGGGAAAGCGAACGCATCCGATTCAACTTCAGGGACGACGAGCAAGGCCCTAGCGCTGCTGAGGGCAAGCACGCTCCCTAGGAGGAACGAGCGGAGGGTCATGACGATAAAGAATCTAGTAGACGAACATGCGATAGAAAAAGAAAAGAAGGGCACGGGTAGGAGGGGGTCCTATTATTATTATAGTGATATTAGACCAGACAGAGGAAAAATGAATAAGACGAGGAAGAGGAAGAAGAAGACGATGATTATGATGATAAGATGAGATGGAGAGATGATTGATCAGAGAAAAGAAGAGATGAAGAGGAAGAGAAAGATGGAAAGACAGATGGAAAGAAAGAGAGAGAGAGAGAGAGAGAGAGAATGATGGATGAATGGATTGAGATGGAGATGACTGACGACGATGCCTCAGGCTGATTGGAGCAGTCACAGGAACTAAAGGCAGGTGACGCAACCACTAGACTGCATTGGGACTAGACCGGATGTTTTTTTATTGACTTTCCTTTGGTTTTGTCTTCGTTTCACTGTATATTTGAGGGATTAAAGGGGGTTAAATTGTTAATATTATAATTCCAGAGTATAGGAAGTAAAAGGAGTAAAAGCTTAGAACATGAACAATGAATGAATAAATAACCAAATGAATCAAAGAATCAATCAAGGAATCAATGAGCTGATGTATGCCTGATTTCGACACCATCCCCCATAAGGCTAGCAACGCCGAGTTCAAGCAGCCCTAAAAAGAGTCGAAGTTCCTACTATGTGACTAGTAACTAACTATATGTAGATGTATTACGCAGTGCTCCTGGAAAATTTATTTCATTTTGAAACATGAGAATAATAGAGCTTCACGAACGTACACACATACGTAATATATGTAGTATGAGTCCGATCTACTCTGTATATCCGGAAACCTGACACGCGGTAGGCTGCAGCCCCTCCCTGCCACTATCAATCAAGTACGGAGTCTGCAGAGTACATATAACTACCATGTTGATCTTACTGCAGATCATGATCTTGAATGATACAGTACCTTTGCTAGAGAAGCAATCAAGATCATGCCTAGCGAGTGAGTTGTTAATATCAATACCTAAACCAAGTAGATCAGCTAGCACTTTCAAGATTTGAGAATAAAAAACGAGCAATACATTACCTTGAGATAGATACCCTGGGGGGGAAAAACAAGCAAGGAGGAAAGAAAGAAAAAGCAAAGGAAGAAGAAAAAAATAAAAAAAAATAAAAAAAAAAAAAAGGGATGACCCCGCCCGAGTTCATCCTAGGGCACTGGCATCAACATCCGACCATCTCGCAATCTCGAAATCCATCACCGTCACTCCGCCGGCTGCATTAGCTTCGGGACCACGCAGCATGGCGAGGAGCCTCTCGGGATCCTCATTCGCCCTGAGCCATTCCTTCTTATGGTCGACTTGGCTGCAGTGTGACAAAAACAACCATAACGCTAAGAACAAAATCACCCAGGTCTTCCATCTGCCTGTCTCCTCTGTCTGGGTTTCGAGAGGATTGGTTTGGGTCTGGCTGTCCTGATTCTTGTTAGCGGCCTGAGCAGGGGAGTCTAGGGGGTCTTCCGTGGCCTTCCCTGAGCCCTTGTTGCCCATGTCTGGCCCCAGGGTCCATTTTCTTACCGGCCTGCCCCATACTCGTGCTATTTTCGCGGAGAGAGACGTGAATCCACGCTGTGCCGGAAGATATATCGGGCCTGTGAAGATGGACTGACCAGGCAAACGCGAGCTGGCTGGCTTGGGCATTGTGGTGATTTTCGCTTCAACGCCAGCCACAGTGATGTCATTCAGCGTTACTCTCCCCGTGCACTCGCATAACATGTGTACATTTCTTCGCTCGTCCGGGTTGATGAGGTGGTGCCGAGCCTTCTTAATGGGCCGTGGCGGGTCGTCGGGATTCAAAGCCCGTTTTCTGATGATAGGGATGTGAAGCATCTCATCCCGAGGGCGCTGGCGCGACGGAAGAGGCTGGGTCGCTGGCACAGAAGTTCTCCGTTGCTGGGAGGGTCGAGGGTCACCGAGTCCGCGTAGTTCTAGCCCCAGGACGTATGATTCCATGGCTGCCGCTAATCCAGCATTCGTTTGCGGCCGTTTGCGTCTGATAGGACTTCGTCCACGCGTGCGATCGCGGGGCGATCGCGGTCGAGGAGGCGGCGATGGGTCCGAATTTAGGTGTAGTGAGCGTAGCGGTTTAAGCAACGGGGCATCTGAACAGTTATTGATCATCTCGACATCGCTGTCGAGATCGGGGGCCTCGAACATGGGCGTGTCCGGATCACGACGGCCGTGTGAGCCGGGGGCCATCTGTATTTTTCTCCTCGCGCGTTTCATGCTCTCGATCATCCCCGCGACTATTTCCGCCTGGCCCTCCATGCCTTTCTCGTAGGTGCTTTTCAGCTGATCCCACAGCAGATCAATCTTGTCGTGTTCCTTTTCCAGACGCTTCTTCAGGGCGGCATTTTCGCTCTTCAGAGCACCTAAAAGGTCATTGACGGAATCGGCATACTCGGCATAGTTCCTCTTGCGCCTTGCCAGCGTCGCTTTAAACTTCTTCACCGTCGAGTTGGCCTTTTTCAGGTTCCTATCTATGGCCTGGATCGTGCGGTCGCGATTCGACAGCTGCTCTCTCAGCTGCTTATGGTCCCCCTGGTAAAGCCCCAGCAACTCAAGCTGCTGTTCTGTCGCCGCAGAAAGAAGCTCATTCGACGCCTCTGCCGACGCGATCTGCGACCTGGCCTTTGTTCCCGAACTTCCCTCTGCATCCGGCAGGGCGGCTGCCGTACTCTCGGTCTGGAGTCGGTGCCGGATCGCATCATAGATTTGGTTATCGTGGGCCTGTGTCATTTCGCCGATGGTAATTCGATATTCATTATTCTCGGCTTCAAGTTCCAGGACGCGACGTTCATTGTAGGTGAGAGCTGTATCTTTATCATCGAAAATGCTCTCCAACCAGTCCACCTTCGAGTCGAGGGAGGTAGAGGAATCCCCAATGATATGCCTTGCCTGTTCGGTGAAGGCATGCTTCCCCTTTCGACGTCGCTGGTCATCTTCGGGAGCCATGATCAATCTGTAGGGGGTAATTAATCCCCGATGGGAGATAGCAAAGTTCGATTAGGTCGAAAGTAGATCAGATCTCGTTCGCATGGAGGTGAATATTTTTAACAAGGAGACGGAAGGCATCCTGTCCTTTTATATAGGTCCCCCCCCCCCCCAAAAACTATGGACACCCAGCTAGAGGAGATATCCTGCAGAAAAGCGAAATGTGCCCTTATATCTAAGACCATGTTCTACAGTGCTCTGCCTGCTAGTCTAATATCCTTTGCACACGAGCAACCCGGTTGGATTGCATAACGGCAGAATTCGAAACTTGAGGCATTTATTGAAGGGAAAGACCGGGATACTCCTTTATTCTTTATTAGTCCTGTGGCTGTGACATGGCTGTCTTAGAACTGGACCTTTGCTTTGTTGCCGTTGTTCAAGTTTCATTGTTGGCTACTTCTTAAGGGTTAGTTATAGAGGTGAAAAATGAACAGGGGCGGCATGAAACAAGGACTTATTGCTTTAGAGGCAGTGACAAGGCATTGTTTTCACAGTGGTGTTAAAAGACATACATCCATATAGTACAGACATCGCGCGGTTCCCCTAGGATGAGTCAAAAAAGAAAAGAAACAAGAGTAGTACTCGAATATATATGAGGCAAATTGACAAAATGGTTATCTGATGATCACTATATGCTTATCATGGTGAATTACGATAATGTATATCTATATAGTTCCAGTTCCCCTCATTCCGAATCACAGATTCGACTTCTTCTTTCCCTTCACATTCCGGAAGGTATCTCCCGAGAGAAGGAGGTCGGGATAGTTGGAGGCTCCGATGCCAGATCCCATGCGCCAGCTCGCACCGTCAACTATCAAACAATTAGTACACAGCTGCATATGCACCCAATATTACCATTATGACTGACCAACGAGGATTTGACCGCTCACGTAACTACCAGTATCGGCAAAAAGGTACACAGTGGCATCTGCAATGTCTCGGACTGAACCGAATCGTCCGAGCGGTTGTGATTTCTTGGACTGTTCTTTCTGATCTGAAGGAACGAGGCGCTCCAGGCCCTGTAATTTCTGAGCATTAGATTTACATGGTTCGGTATGCATGGGGGAACGAACCTCTGTCGAAGCAATGGGTCCAGGGGCAATGACGTTCGACGTCACCCCCAAGGGTCCAAATTCAAGAGCCACGGTATTCGACATGGCATCGATACCGGCTTTCGCAACCGAGACATGTGCCTGGAATGGAGTCGCTGTGTAGTGAAGAGTGGCACTGACGAAGATGATTCGGCCGCCGGTACCGAGAGGGGAGGGCTTCACTGTAAGACGAAACGCAATTAGTAACCCTGCACGTATTTAACTAACGAACGTCCAGTCTAGACCCTCATACAGGTGTTAGAGTCCACTTTGTGCTTTTGTGCGGACTGTACCAAATGCGGAATGGTCGCCTTCAGTGTGTTGTATGATCCCAAAACATCAATTTCCATGACCGATTTAAAGGCATTAATGGACAGCTGGCTGATTGAGGCGAGGAAGTTCCCTGCGGCACCAGCACTACATGCGAATCAAGTTAGCACAGGAAGCGTTTAATTTTTTTTTCCCCTTTCTTTTTAGGGTGAATCATTACATCACGTAGTCAATAGCACCGAATTCTTTGACACAACGATCAACAGAGTCCTTGAGACTGTCGAATGAGCGCACGTCCACTCCACCAAGACCCAGCACTTTAGCCCCTGGACGAGCAGTTGCAATGTCATGGGCCATCTTCTCCGTCTTTTCCACATTTCTGCCGACAATACAAGCATTGGCGCCTAGGTGAACGAGTGCGCGGACTTGAGCACTGCAGATAGTGCCAGCTCCCCCAGTACAGAAGACAACCTTGTTCGCTATGCGGAGTTAATGTCCATATCGGTATGTAGTACGTAGAAAGGGAATAAACTCACCGAACAAGCCATCTTTCCAGGTATCACTTAGGTAGTCGGACTTTGGGAGAGGCATCTTGACCAGGATAAGCTGTGATAACGATGTCGGGAGCAAAAACAAGGGGCGCTGCACTGAGCTTTATTATTAAAATCGTAGGGCTCCTCCTCTCTCACTGTTTCCCCACAGGAGCGTGTCTTCGGCCGCGGTTATCGGTAGCCTCGGATAGTCCTAGTTGGGTTAGTCGCCGTGATATGATGTATGTATTGTCTAGTATATGCAAGGGAGGTTGTGCAGCTGGGAATCAGGTACAGCAAGAATGTTTAGCCAAGGGAGTACGGAGTACTCCGTAGATATTGGAGGAATTAGTTTATAATTACCTCTTCAACTCAATGTGCTAAAGTTCGAAGTTCCTTGTGTACAGAATTAACTAAATCATTCTTTGATTACTGATCAAGTAATTCCGCGGCGATAAGAGGATACACCGCCTTCCTGTTATGGTATTCTGCCAGTCCCATCTTATCCCAGATTCTCTCTCACAGCAATGCAGCTTCCAAATCTCCTGCTTGGTTGATAGTGTATTGGCTTCTTATATTTTATACAATAGTTTCTTGCAAAATAACACTGCCTTCGTTATAGCTCGTAGCACGCCCAAACGCCCAAAGTCCCCACTTCTCCTGTCATATCGCACCGTAGGTTAAAAGTTACCCACTGTGATTCGTCACTGCCGTCCCCGCCTCAGGCCACTCTGCGACGTCACTTTTTTTCTCTCCACCAAACAATCCCATTAGATTTCCTCGTATCGCCGGGGCAGTTTCATCACGACCTCGACTTCTCAGCGACCCTGCAGGCGGTGGTTCCATCAGTCTATCTATACGGGATCCAACGGAAGATACCCTACGAAACAATTTCCACGATTTGTGACGCCTATCTGTGTGTTGTCGCGGTTGGGTCGCTTTCTCCTCGATCGCCATGGCCTGTCCCATCACCATCACCAAATTCATCGGCACCATCTCGCTTGGCCTGTTAACGGTACGTACTTGCACCTAGAGGAACTACGGCGCCTTCTCTAAGCGACTGGCCTTTCTACATGTTACGTGCGCAAGTGGAGACTAATACCTACTCAGGGCGTCTCGTACTCCGCTTCCACCATCACCATCCCATCGCTCAGCCTCCTTTCCACCTCATCCAATGCCTCCAAGTCGCTAAGCGAAGTCAGGCGCCTAAACCGTAAACATGGATTGCGCCTTGCCAACATTTCCAATGCATGTCTTCTCTTTGCGTACAGCGTCTCGCCGAAACATCGAAAACACCCATATTTGATTTGGATGTGCGTCATGTCGACCATCGGCACATATGGAGCCGACTTTTGGTTCCATCGCCGGCTAGGATTCAAGGCGTGGGTCTGCAGTGTTGCTCAGGATACCGGGTATATGAGTCTCTTGTGTAACAAGGCCCAGAAAAAGGAAGACGACCTCGTCGTGGTTGAAGCTGAGGAGAGCGTCAACGGCGAGAGTGTCCGGAATGAAATGGATTCGGAACGTCGGCTGCAGGGGGTGCGGGCTATATTCTCTGGTCTTGCGCTCGCGATGGGTATAGTCGGTCTTTGGGGGGACCGGAGATCCTAAGTCCCGCCGGTCTTCCACCCCGCGCCATGGTTGGCTCGGTTTCTATGGAGGGTTTCCGGTTTATTTGACCGTGTGTGGAATGGAATCGTCAAAATCCCGGGGGAGTATTTCCTATGTTCCGCACCGAACTGATTCTTTTCCTTGCACTTTATGAAGATTTATTTTATATGTATTCTATTTTATGGCACGGTGTCCAGGTGTGTACGAGAAATCCAAGGTCACAAATGGGAATTAGAATGTCTGGATTTATTGCTTCGTGGATTACCTGATGATCTCTCTGTCTCTGTAGCCAGTCATCTGAAAATAGTACTTAGCAGGGTACTGGAAGATCTGGTCCAAAGGCCTCCAGAGTCCGGTCCCACCTCCCTGCTAACCCGGAGCAAGGCCAATACCGTGAGAAAATTATCTGTCAAAGAAAGCAAGGAAATGCCGTATTCCCAAACGGTCATGCACTGGGCAGCGCAGTTGAACTACTGTTTTGGAGGACGTGCAGGAATTGCCCGGAGCGTTCTTCCATCTGCAGGATAGATGTTGGCTTGTCAAAGCTGGCTACTAGTTAGTTAACTACGTAGTATCTGGACAGGTTCAACAGTGGACGAGGCTCACTCACAGCTAACAAATTATAAAATTTCGTTATAGCTGTTCCAGCTGTCGTCATGTATTATGCTGATCGTATCTTGAAGCAGCTACTCGCATGTCTCTCAAACAATCCGAGCTTGTAACAACGGCCCTTGATACGGAGAGAAAATGGAGGGAACTTAATTAATACCAGTGCTCGTCTACTACTATATATGGCCGAGTACAGACTGCTAATCGATTGAGAACAGGATTTGCAAGAATCCAAAGAAGCCGCTCGGAGAAAATTGGATCTGCACGAGTTCGATATGGGTCGCCTGCAGATTTATAGCGCTGGCGGCGTTTCTACAACAGCAGTAGGGAGTTGTATATGTATGTAAGCTGCATGAAATTTTGAATGGAAGGGATACTGCAGCCTAATATAAATCATTAGAAAAAAAAAAACAAGTTTTGCACCTGTGTCTTGTCGACAGGCTTGGAAAGAGTTGTTTCCACCGTGTCTGTAGGATGAACTGCTTCGGAAATTTCCTGCAGGCGATTACCTCTCTCATGTTTTACACTATGAGTGAGGAAAAGCCCTAGCTGCAGTAACTGGGTAGTCCTATTCCAAAAAACCCCCCTACCTATTCAATATCTCCAACCTGTAAGATCGTACAGCTCGTAGATCGGCTTTTGCACCTTGAGATTATCAATCTAGAGTAGTCCTGCGCATTTTTACCTGAATAGATCCCCTTCCCATGCCTTTGCATACATAGGCTTCCTAGGAGTTAATCATTCGTGGAACCGCTATAAATAGCTGGTGTCACCCGAAGACAGTTTCTATGAATGATTGAAGAACTATTCAGGGTTATACTACCTAAAGGAATAACATTGTCATCGGGAAGGGTCGTTTCTGATCAAAACAACGAGCAATGCCTTTCTTTCAGCCATCTCTAGCTGGTATCCCTTCCACACAATGGGCTTATGTCCGTCAGGCTGGGATTGACAGTAAGGGTATGGGGCAATAGCAGCGTATCTTATCGAGGATTGACACGTTAACTTGGTGCAGACATTGAAATGACAAGAATTCCAGTACCGACCCCGGGACCGGATGACGTCCTAGTCCACCTTCAGTACTCTGGCGTATGCCATTCAGATTACAGCATTTTGAAACGTATGTCTTCCATGGTTTCCCATGCCGGGATTCACTAATGAAAGGAATCTGTCAGAGGAATTCAATTGGCCGCCCGGTTCAGCCATAGTTGGTATGTTGCCTGTGTTCGAATGATAATTTGTCGCGCGCGAATGCTAACCGGTACCACAGGTGGCCATGAAGGCGCCGGCATCGTAGTTGCCATTGGACAAGAGGTTCATGATCTCAGAATTGGGGATAGGATCGGAATACAGGTATGTCATCTGGCCAGGGCTCTTCTATGATACTGGTAAATAAGGCTAATATGAAGTGGCCTGTAGTTGATTAATGCAGCGTGTGGAGCCTGCAACTATTGCGATATCAAGGACAATCGGTTCTGCCCTAACCCGAGGATGTCTGGTTATAGCATCAACGGAACCTTCCAACAATACGCAGTGTGCAAGGCAGCGAATGCTGTGAGAATTCCGCCAGAGATCCCCCTCGAGGATGCAGCGCCGGTAAGTATCAATTCAATGTGAAAGTCACGTTCCGTTCTAATGGTTCGCCTACGGCACAGGTTCTTTGTGCAGGTGTTACATCGTACAATGCGGTTAAAGCATGTAATCTGAAGCCCGGACAGATGCTAGGTACGTATATCATATATTCAGGGTATTATCTGACGAGCAGAGCTTTGTGCTAAGTACTATGGGGCATTTAGCCGTTGTTGGAGCTGGTGGTGGGCTCGGAACCTTCGCGTGTCAATATGCGAAAGCAATGGGATTTCGGGTTCTAGCAATATCAGCAGGCCCAGAAAAGAGGCGAATGTGCATGGAGTCCTTAGGAGCGGATTTATTTATCGATTATTCTACCTCTTCAGACTTGGTTAGTGAAGTGATAGAGGCCAGCTCTGGAGGACCACACGCTGCCCTTGTCCTCTCCCCGTTCGATAAACCATATAATTTGGCAATACAGGTAAGTATAGACCGACTATGGTATATCGAGTATATTGAGAAACTGATAATGTACAGTATGTCCGCCCCGAGGGAACTGTTGTCGCAGCCGGAATACCACATGGTACCGTCGCGGTGGACGTTCTCACTGTGATCCAGCGCCAGATCACTTTCAAGGGATCATACATTGGAACTAGAGAGGACACTGAGGAGGCTCTTGATATCATGTCCCGTTGCAGATTTCCCGTTCAATCAAAAATCATGGATTTTTCGGAATTACCAACAGTCTACGATCTCATGGAGAAAGGTTCGTGGGGTGTATCTCTCTCACCTTTACTCGGGCGACCCTGACATTGTATAGGCAAATTTCAAGGTCGAGCTGTGCTCCGGATTGGAGACTGTCATTATGAACAGATAGGCGAAGCTGAGGCTTCCCCACGGCTCGAGTTCCACCAGGACCAGTATAATATCGGCACCTTTCTAGCTTATAGAATGCAGGAGATTGGCATATCTGATTACTTTGTCGTTCCCGGTAGGTAGAGGACTTGAATCACAGCGGATTACCTGATGACACTCACTAATCATACCAGGTGACATGAATATGAATCTCCTGGACGAAATCTTGAAGAATAAAGCCCTCCGCATGGTAGGGTGTTGTAATGAGCTAAATGCGGGCTATGCGGCGGACGGATATGCGCGAGCATCACCTTCTGGAGTGGCGGTGGTTATAGTCACTTTTATGGTCGGCGGATTATCTGTTATCAACGCCATTGCAGGAGCATACTCCGAGCACCTCAAGGTTATTGTTGTCTCTGGATTCCCGGGAAGCAAATTAGTCGATCATCCCCTGGTACACCACTCGCTGGGTACCAGAGAAAAAGGTCAAGCACTTCGGGCGTTCAAGGAAGTTACCACTGCTTCTGTCCGACTCGATGCAAAGGCGGATCCAGCTAATGTTCTCGACGAAACCATTCGTAAATGTTTCCGGGACTCACTCCCCGTATACATTGAAATTCCGGCCGATATAGCCACGCTCCCCTGTGCAGCGCCACGCAGGCTACGCCTTGAAGATGGGCCGTTTTTACCGACAGACAAGCTCAACGAGGCAACGGATGCTATGATCAAGACCTGGAATCTTGCAATAAGACCAGTTATCATTGTGGGAGCCTGGGTTCGACGAAAAGTCCCCACTGATATGTTGGTAGCTCTGGCTGAAAAACTCGGCTGTGCGGTGTACTGTCAGTTCGATTCCAAGTCTCTCTTCCCTGAAACACATCCACAGTTTGCGGGTGCGTTTTGGGGCGCTGTTGGATCACCAGAATGTGACCGAGCTGTGATGGAGTCCGATCTCTGGGTGGTTCTCGGTGGCCGTTGGAGCGACATTCATACAACGGGAAGATTAAATATCCACAATGAAGAGGCGCATCGCATCCTGGACCTGCAGGAGGAGCGTATTACACTCCCCAGTGGGGAGACTATTGCTGGGGTGTCGCTCTACCATGCCGTCGCCGGCCTGATCGATGCTGATATTCCTCGTAAAGATACAATCTGGCGCGCATCTGGGTCTGTAACCAAAGGGGCAAATGGTCATGGCGTGACGCACAGTGCGCACAGCTTTATAACGCTGGCAGGGGTTATACAAGGGATTCAAAGTATCGTCAAACCTAGTGACACTCTGATTATCGAAGCAGGGGACACTCTGTTCCATTCGCAGGAGCTTCATCTCCCAGAGGGGGCTGACCTCCAAATGCAGAACATCTACGCGTCAATCGGCTGGAGTCTTCCTGCAGCACTTGGATGCCAGCTTGCCCGTCCAGATGGGCGCTGTATTCTGTTGATTGGGGATGGAAGCCTGCGCATGACTGTCCAAGAGTTAGGTACGATGATCGAGATGAAGGCCAACTCGGTGATCTTTATTTTCAATAACTTGGGTTATGCCATTGAGGTTAGTTTCCAAGAAAACCCGCTGAAAAAAAAAAAACCATATCATATTTCTAACCTTTTCACAGTCTGCCATACAAGATGGACCCTACAACTACTTTGCAAATTGGAACTATGCAGCGTTGGCCACATCCATGAACTACACGCCCCATTTCGTTGATGCACAGAACCCTTTCACGAGCAGCTATGCGACTCCCGCGTTATTCCCGGTATTTGCATTGCAGATCAAGACAACTAGTGACTTAGTTCAAGCGTTGAAACTAATCGAGATAGAGACAGACAAGTTGGTCATTCTCGACTGTTGCATTCATCCTCAAGATGTCAGCCCAATGCTTCATCGGCTTGCTCAACAGATTGCGGACTCAAACCGGGTTGATAATAAGGAAAATGGTTCTTGAACTTGACTCTGGATCTGGTTCCCTGTGCTACTTGGACGGCGCCAGAGGTCATATATAGTATCAAGCAGGAAAAACGCCGGTCGTTTGAATCCGGGAGCGAATGAGAACCGCAATCCTTTTGAATGTGGAGAGATATGATAGAATGAATCACAAATTATTCAAAACACGTACATGATAAATACACAATTAGGATTAATATACACACCTCCGTAGACCTGCTAGGGGGGTTTCCGGGAATCTCATAGATTACAGCACCATCATACCTGCCATGACCAGCGCAAATAATGCCCAGTGCTTTGCCCCGACTCTAGCCTCTGTAGCTGCATTGCCACTACCCGGACTGTTCGTGACGTTGGAACTCCCTGTCGCATCCCAAGGCTGCCCCGGCAGGGTGTCATTACTCGCTGCGGAAACAGCAGGCTCGAAATCATTCTCCAGCAAGCTACAATCCGTTCGGTTATCGGACTTTTCAATCGCATTTGAGACGGATATCGGCAACTCGAAAACCGTGTAGTAATCTGTTCCGTTCCAGCGAAAGGACTGATGCATGGAAATGTTGTAGTTTCCTCGTGCCGAGTCGCTGCTCCCTTTGCCGTCGCCCACAAAGCACTCGGGCCAGATCCAATTGACGTGTTTGACGGTTGACGAGGGCTCCAGGCCAAGGACAGGGCCAGCGTATGCGTTCGAGCCAGTTGAGGTTCCGTTGGAAATGGTGAAGTTTTTCTCCTTCTCGGTCGAGGTCAGGAAAATTGTAATCTCGTGAAATCTGGTCGCAGCATCGTCGGACGGGTCAAGTGATAACTTCCCGTTGCCGGAGACGTCTAGAGCAACTTGCAGGGTATCTTGACCGGATTAATACCAATGTCCGCCTTTATAACCACTATCTGGAGTGACTGCTGAATAGGAACTCACCCCCTCCTAGTGGCGTATAGGGCTGCGGGGCGTCGACAATCGCCAACCCTGGCGTCAGAATCTGGCCGTTGACAATAGTGAAGCCCATGATGAACCTGTAGGCAATGACTCCCAATGATTTCTTTCTATCACTTGGTCATTGGGCTGCCTTTATAAACGTTTCTGCCAGGGGGGTAATATCCCAAGATTCAGGTTGGAAACGATGGATGAAGGCTGAACCCTTGCTCCACTGTCTAATCTATTTTATAGCAAGTGGACAGTCAACAGGAAATCTGACTGGCTGGTCTAATTAATTGTGTTTATTTGAGGATATAGGTTCAAGCCCGGTATAATAATAACCATTATTATTACTATTAACTATGGATGTTACTGGTCTGAGGAAGAAGAGTGCATTCTCCCCACAATCAACCCCCTTTTTGATTGACACAATGCTAGGGTTTACAGGGAATCGATAAATTAAGGGTTTTCTGCTTATGATCAGTTTAGTGCGCATAGTATATCTAAATTAAAATACACTATACATAGATGTGCTGTCTGTCCGTCCGTAGTCTGTACGGAGTATGAATGGAACTCTCCACTCTTCCTCAAGTTCTTCGTACCGCTCGAGTCTAACGCAGGCTCTCGTCTTCACGAATCCTCGGGTTCATCACAAGGAATTACTGGGGGGCATCCCAGGCTACTTAGAGAGAGCTACCATTACATACTGAAGCTACTACTAGGGTTGATCTCACAGCTTCTCTTCGTGAGATCAAAGGCGGTGAATGGGTTATCTAACGTCATCTGAAGAACAAGTTCACTTTGCATGGTTTCAGTATCTCAGCAAAGTAATCGATGACCTATAATAATGGACTCTCTTCGTCTCTATATCCTGACATTCAATTGTGCCCGCAATGTCATCGATGTCGATCATTTTTCCCAACACTTTTTTGATGCCTTGCCCCTCGGCCATGATTCTACTTCCTCTGCTCCGCCCGACATCCTTGTGCTGTGTCTTCAGGAGATCGCGCCTATCGCCTATGCTTTCCTCGGGGGGTCGTTCTTGACTCCATACTTTGTAGCTTTTGCGCAGATGGTAGACCGCGCAGCAGCCAGCCGGTGGGGTTCCAATTATGTTAATATGGTGACGGATAACAGTGGTATGACGGGGCTGATGGTGTTTGCGCGGACGGATATCGCAGACCAGATATCATCAATTGACGTCGCTCGAGTAGGATTTGGTGTCCAGGAAGTAGGCAACAAGGGAGCAGTCGGCGCGAGGCTGTCTTACACATCCCCAGAATCACCGCAAGTTGGTGCGGACTTGACCTTTATCGCAGCGCACTTGGCGCCCATGGAATACGCCGTTGCGCAAAGGAACGCAGATTGGCGTAGCATAGTCGAGAGGCTAGTATTCAGCGACTCTGAGGTTGCGGAAACTGGGATTATGCAGGAGGAAGATGATTCAGAGAGCGCGGCATTATTGGCAAATTCCGCGTCGCGTCCACCCCCCGAATACCAGGGTATTTTTACACCTACGAGTTATCTTTTCCTCGGCGGTGATCTCAACTACCGCACATCCGACACATCACCGAAGAAAGAGGACTCTTTATCATTTCCCCGGGCAACCGCGGACCCCAGCAGCCCACTACACCATTCATATCTGTTGGGAAGGGACCAGCTCAAGCGTGAAATGGAGCAGTCTCAGTGCTTCCAAGGGCTCTCAGAAGCTCCGATTACATTTCCTCCGACCTATAAGTATACTGAGGAGGCGCGTGAGGCTGCGCGTGATATTTCATCCGGAAATAAGGCCGAGGAATGGAAGTGGACGAGGAGTCGATGGCCGAGCTGGTGTGACCGTGTGCTGTATCTCACGCATCCGCCAGCCCTAGGGGAGCAAGCCAAGGTCAATGTCCTAAGCTATAACTCCCTACCAGTCTTTCCCACATCCGATCACCGTGCTGTTGGCTTCGCCGCATGCGTCCCTATTTCCAGGGTCGAGCCTACAACCGATGGACAGTTCGTTATTCCGTTTCCAATTGATCCAGAATGGGAACGCAAGAGAGCTACAGCTCGAAGAAAAGAATTTCTGGTGGGTTGCTTGGTATACCTTGCATGGACTTGGGAAGGTAACCTCCTGGTGGGGGCCTCGACGATTGGAGCTGTTGGGATTTGGTTTGTGATTCGCTCGTTTTTCAATGCATGAAGAGACATGCCGTTGAGTGATTTCATGTTTTCTTTTCTCCTTGAGCGGGCTCTTTTGCGGAACACCCTTCCGCGCCTACAATCCAGGGCGCCACCCGGCGAGTACATCCGAATAGTACCGTCATAATGTTTTCTTCCACCTACAGAAGACTTGCCCCAATGTTGCCGTTTGAAGCATGAATTATATACATTTATGTCACGTATAATAATCTGCTGGGAATTAGTGGGAAGCGTAAAACAGGGGATCATCTAGAGTTCTAGATTATATTGTTTCCCTGTCTATTCGAAAGGAAATATAGCCGCGTAGGGTTATTGCGGAGTGCAGGTATGCATGATTCGAACAGGATTGGATTGAGTACTTGTTCGGGGGATGTTCATATATCTTTCAAGGTACGTCAAATACCATCAGATCCCCCAAGGTTTGCTCATTGCTGGATCAGGTTTAGTGGTGACAGGACATGCGGTCAATATATATTCATTCGCCCCCGCAATCATTCCCAACAACCTTGGAACCTTCTGAAGTCACAAGAGCAGCTGCGGAACATGGCGATCAGTACACATGACACAGCTACCCAAACAGAACCGGCGCTTTTCTACGAGGTCTCTACCAGTTGTGGTGAAGCCAAATCAAAGGATCCCAGCGGCGAAGCCAATTTCCAGAACCAACCGCCGTCCGCAGAGACGCTACAACAAGTGGCAAGACACAGGGTCCTCGATCGGCTTGGTAAGGCACATCGTTTCAAGGATCTTTACGATGGGCCGGATACCGCTGACCGGGTGCTTGTGATTTTCGTGCGACATTTCTTCTGTGGGGTATGTACGCCTTGACCATCTTCCTCCTCCTGGACGAGTCACAACTTGCCGTGAAACCCGTTCTCAAATGTTCTCATGAGTTAGTTAGTTGACAGCTACATGAATGCTAAGTAAGGTCTTACAGAGCTGCCAAGAATATCTCCGGTCTCTTTTGCAGGTCATCAACCCTGACTTCCTCTCCCGCCTGCCGGTTAGTACATCCATTGCCGTCATCGGCTGCGGGGATCCTGGCTTAATCGATATATACGCCTCCAAATCGGGGTGTGACTTCCCTATTTACGCGGATCCGACGCGAAAGCTCTACACTGATCTCGGAATGACCACTTCGCTGGCCCTCGGCCCGCGCCCAGAGTACATGCGCAAGGGTATGGTTCGTATTGTCATGGAGTCAATCTGGCAATGCCTGAAGCAGATTCCCAGTGGACTAGCCGGCAAGGGAGGTGACTCGAGGCAAATTGGCGGGGAATTCCTCTTCGAGGCCAGTCATGACACCGAGGGAAAGACTGTTACGTGGTGCCACAGAATGAAAACCACGCGAGACCACACGGAAATACCAGCGCTAGCCCAGGTCCTCAATCCCCAGTCCAAGCATTGATTCCTTCAATGCTGAAACCCGATTGAGAGGGAGACCAGCTTTCAGAGCGTGTTTTCGAGCGTAGTAGGTGCAGTGATCACCAAGGTATCAAACCATTACATCACTCCTTGAATGTCTTCATAAATTGTTGTTTGCTTGAGTAAATTGAAATTAACTAAGATCTCTTACACACGCTTTAACAGCAAAGGCTTGTTGATCTTGTATTCGTTGAGTGATTACAGGAAAAATACAACTCTCTTAAATTATTATTCCTTATTCAGTATAAACTCCTCACTGTGTAAATTATTATATTTTAATAATGAAAGTAACCCTTTTGGGCGCAAAGGAAAGAATCTATAGTAACGAAAGAATGTTTGGATATTTCTAGGGACAGTAGAGCATTTCCAAGTTATGTACATTGGAAAGTTCGAATTGAGAAACATGGAATTGGCTTTAAGGAGGAATTAAAGTACGCTTAGGGATTAAATAACCCCCTCGATGGCTGCGAGGTATCTAGACCTGTCTGGAAGTTACAATTGGAATGTGAGAGTGAAGCTGAGTGGTTCTCTACTCTGTATAGTATCACAATGCCATCTCCATTCTTGGTTCACTTGCATACTTTAGGTCTCGAGAGCTAGTTTTCACTCCATTATATTGGTGGCTGTCATAACCTGCAATGGTATGGCTAAATTCCTCTCAATAGCCTTTCAGGGAGAATGCCAGGAATTAGAGAGGCTAGAATTGAGCTGAACTTTTCAGACAACAGGTATGTTGGGTCGTAAAGGAGGCACATTCTTGTTAAAGCATGAAGTATATAAGACACAGGAAGCTCCTTGCGATTCCTATCGTCTTTTCAATATAGATTCTACTACCAATACTCTGGCACGCTTTGCTTTCTGATATAAAATGCACCTTGCAGCATTTACCCTACTTCTCGCGGCGGTTGCCGTAGCAGATCCCTCATCCGTCGTAACGCTCAGGAAAACTCGTCCTTCAGAGGTAAGGTTTCATTGCCCTTTCATTCCTTGAATATGGCCCCTGATCCTTCATATAGGAACCTTCTTTGCCAGACAGATGCAATCCGGATCCATGCAAAGGCATCACATTCCAAAACGAAACCGCCGTCTGTGGTGATCCTCGCCTGGGCCCAATCAAGCTTCCGAAATATTTCCCTCTCTCCACAGAGCTCCAGACCTATGCGCGGTTCGGGGATCTCTGCCCCTATGAATTTCTAGCCAAGTGGTCGACCTCCGTCTCCGATCCGGACGCCTCCTATATCTATCCCTATGACAATGGCTTCGCTAATGACACTGCCGAGGTACCAATCTATGGCAATGTTACCCTTGTCGTCGGGCAGAGGCTGGACCGATTTGGGTCGGAACGAGGGAACTTCTTATCCCCCCTGGGAGCACCTTATATTGAGCGGGCCCTCCCCCCCTGGAACCTTTTTGCGCCGGAGAATAGCAGTTTCCCCTACAACTATCATGTGTACGAGGTGATCCAGGAGTTTGATGTGTTGCTTGGTCCCATCACACCTTGGTTTCAGCAGCCTGGGTATGGCACGCAGTTCATGGTGAAGACAAACGTGTCCGATCTGGTGGACAATGAGTTTTTGAGAGCGTTAGAGTTAAAGGAGTATGACGATGCGGAAGACTTTGCGGCGAATTACTTGCCTCCGCCGCCGCATCCTTCTAGCTGAATGTCGTGGAAACCTGATGTCCAGGGATTGATCTAGGTTTGTAGCCCTAGGCCTGATTCGGGGAATATATAATCAGATACGAGGAGGATTTAATAGTTACCTGGACTACCTTGGATTGGCTAGCGACGTCCCGGGGACAATTCATCATTAGTGCCTCTATCAGCGCGTCTTTATCCTCAATGCTGACGCGGCCTTTGTCCCGGCTTATCTTTTCGAGTGCTATATCTTAGAGGAATTTCATATAAATATTTGTTGTTGGGCTTGTGTAGTCTATCATGCGCAAGGTACAAAAGCATTTGATATCCACAAAGATTGAGAGGGGCAGTAATCAAAAGGAATGCAAGGCTAACCAGGAGGAGATCTGGATATACTTGAAATAATGGATTGACCAATGAAGCGAGGAGAATATAGGTAACAGTTTAAAAGTAGAGACTCCATTCCATGCCTGGGATCTAGCCCTAGACCTATAGGCTATACGGAGTACATATAGTATAGCAGTACCGGTGATCTATGTACTTAATTACGCTGCATATAACTAACTAACTAACAAATAAATCGGTTTATTAAGATAGCCATTAGATGAACTCTATCCACCATGTTGATCGCCGATATAAAATTGTCATAGATCAAGGTACCTCTATCGCACTGCTCTTTGCAACAACCCCCGAAAGTGCATAATACCCAACGACATGTATGTATTCTCCAACGGCTATAAGCACTCTAATCTGCAGAGTAGGTTCCAAACTAGACAGTGTGGTTCCTGACTCTCTCCGAAGCCGAGGACTTTGGAACGGAAATGGCTTGACGCTCCACTGGACGCGAGTCGTCTGTAAACTAATCCCGTACTAGCTAGGATAGACAGCTTTTTAAAGCACACCAAGTGGACCAGACGAATAAAAAAAAAAGATAAAATTGCTTAACCAAGCCTTTGCCTATATCGCCTTCTCGGGCACTAGCTGGAATTTAAGATTAAAAGCCAGACATTGCGCGTGGTTCGGGAGAGAAGGCCTACTCTGTACTCCCATGGACGGATCAATTTCTGTTTATTTATGGGCCGATATAGCTATAGAGATGGCCTCATGGTATATGCCTTTAATAATTAATCCTTTTTTTCGCTCCGAGAAGGTCTAATCCAAGTGTAATTGCTTCGAGAACTAGCGGGGAGGGGACCTGGATTGCGCAACATGTGCAGAGTCTTAAATAGTGTCTCGCAATCGATATAACAACTTCATGAGACTAGACACATTAGCGCCTCCAGGGTGGGTTATCGCTTCTACACCATTACATGTTTGCCTAAATCTTTTCTCATTTCCCCTTTCTACCTCTTCTTCACTCCTTATCTTGCTGCTCGCAGTGAGTCGCGGGCAGCATTTCTGCACCACTCAGCTGAAGATCCTCGAAAACGAGCATATATATATATATATATATATATATATATTTTCACGCAGCGGAATCGACCTTGAATTTCCGGGAGCTCGGTACTAAACAAAGAGGGCCGTGGTCCCTATTGTCCAGCATTCAATTGAATACACACCCGATCACAGCAGACCACGACCCAGGGACATCATCTTCAAAATGCAGACCTGTTACTACACATTCCTCATAGCCCTAGGCGCCCTAATAGGCATCAGCGGTGCATCCGGCTCTTCCCAGACGGACTGCAACCCTACCAATGAGACGTGTCCAGCCGACCCTGCTCTCGGTACAGAGCACACATGGTGGCTCAATTCGACGTTGGACGATTCGCTATGGACAATGGAGACGGGGACACTTGACTATACATCCGAGGGGGCCGAATTTTCCATCAAGTCCGAGAATGCGTCGACTTTGCTGGTATCGAACTTTTATATTTTCTTCGGGGTGATGGAGGCACATGTTAAGATGGCCAAAGGCCGGGGCATTATCAGCAGCGTGATCCTGCAGTCGGACGACTTGGACGAGATCGACTGGGAGTGGGTGGGCTACAACACGAGCGCAGTGCAGTCCGACTTCTTCGGCAAGGGCAACACCACCACGAGCGATCGCGGCGGCATCCACGCGGTTTCCAACGCCGATACCGAGTTCCACAACTACACTTCCTATTGGGACAAGGACCGTCTTGAGTGGTGGATTGACGGCGAGCTGAGGAGAACGGTCAACTACTCGGAGCCTCTGACGGTGTATGGCGAAAACTATCCGCAAACCCCATGCAGAGTCAAGGTCAGCAATTGGGCAGTTGGAGTCGCAAGTGAGTCTGTCGGCAACATTGAATGGGGGGGGGGTCTTGTGAACTGGACGGATGTTCCTTTCACCATGACGGTGCAGAAACTCCGGGTTCAGGATTTCCACTCGGGGAAGGAGTATACTTACGAAGGACTGTCCGGTTCATATGACAGCATCCAGGTGGTTAGGTGAGCGATATCCCCCACGGGGTGATTCCGTCAATATACTTGAAGGGGGCGCGGCTAACTTTGGGGGGGGGGGTTCTCTTTTTATCCTACATATCCCAGTGGGAATTCCACTGCTAAAACGGAGATACAGAAAACACCGTCCAAAACTTTGGCCGAAAAGTGGGCGGACCTGGGAAAAGGTGCTCACATTGGCATTTACTGTGGTGCTGCAGTTGCAGGGGCGCTTGCCATAGCTGGAGCTGCTTTCTACTGCATTAAGCAACGCCGAAGAGGCCGTCTGGAACGTGCCCTGGACCCTGATCGACAGAACACCGAGGTCATGCAGATGGAAGACTACAGGAAGCAATGGAGACAAAGTGAGGTTGGCCACTATGGCTATCAACCCGTTAACTAGTGCCTCTGGCTCTTTTCAAAACAAAAGACTGTGGTGGGTCTCGAGTTGTTATTTTTCGATGCTTCAGCTGTTGTGGTTACAGCGGATATTTATACTAGACAGTATAATATTATACACCTCTCTCTCTCTCTCTCCTATACTATATAGACTTTGAATACATTTCTAATATAATAGCGAACCTCATCGATTACTTATTCCTCCCCCTGAAATCATTCTAAATTCCATCGGCAGATCCATCCTGTCTGTAACCTTTTTGCGACGAACTGTCCGTATTCACCTCGTCGCCGAATCGACGCTCAGGAACTTCCTCAGGGATAGCGTACAAGGAAGGGATTGTGGATGCGGGGCCCCGCATTTGGCTGATTCCGCTTCGGATCCAACAAAAGTCGCGCAAGATGTGTATACTATACTGTCCATGGTACTCGAATTCGTGCAAATATCCTCTCTCCCCTCTCACCTACATACATCCGAGGTTAGGTTCTGTTACACATGGACGCCGGGCCATCTCATTGTCGGTGACTGGACGCCTGCTAAATTTGAGAACCCGTTTATGGAGCCCGCTAGGCCTGCCCTCGCAGATACTAGTCTTGCAAAATCAAGGTCAGCGTTATGAGACAAAGAATGCCAGGGGCCCTATCCTCTCTACTTCGCACCGAAAGGAAAGCCGGGTAGTCGATTTGAGTTACCGAATAGTTAGCGGGGGGTATGGCCTTCTCTATGACTCCCTTCCGTGGGTTTGTCTTTGTCTGCGTTGGAATGCGAATGCGAGGCTACAGTTTCTCCTAAAAGATCGTCTAGATTGATTCCCTGGAAGATAAAATAAGGATCTCGGGAGAATTAGGGCTAATCATCTATGTAGTTCTGTACTTTGATCTCCAAATAGGGTGCCTTCATCTAGCTTCGAATCCATTCTTGGAAAAGTGCTGAGTAGAAAGTACCAGGCTCGTCGGATAAGGCGGCATTCTTGTAATAATCATACTCCAACACATTGATGCTAGGTTGCAGGCAGCCGTGATCCGATTCATTCACATCACCATCCATCATGGTCCAGAGTATATCCAACAGGATGCTGCAGGAGACCGGCTTATCCCAAACCACATCTTGCTTGTGGAAAATACGTTCACTGTTAGTGTGCGATCTTTTCCTCCGTCTGGGGAATCCGTGTATCGTCTTTCTAAACAAGATAAGCAGGTCATCAACTCTGGGGGATTTTTCTTTCTAGATTCCATTCCTATCCGAAGCCACCAAGAAAAATGTGGGATGGCCACTTGCGACTAGCGATTTTAGACTGTTCCAGCCAGGCCGATTTCTCGCCTCACGGGGAGGGGGGCGAAACTTCGCCAAAAAATCAGAGCTAATATAGTAGTCTCTCCAAAGAATATAAAACCGAGACGGTTAGAGAGTTAGATGGAATTGCATTCAAAAAATTTCCTAGAGAAGAGCATAACTCGTCGATCCTCCTCCTTATACTCGGAGTATTGCATTGTTCTGTGGTGGAGTCCAAACAAGAGTAGGTTTAAAACATGGACTGAGAAACCCTAAGGTATTGATTGATCATTGCAGTGGATATTAGCTCTCCTGTAATCTTCTTGCCTCGGGTTCTGCTGCCTTTTCTCCCAAGCTCATAGGTTGAACTTTGGGATGATGGCAGTCTAGAAAAGTTCCAGGGAGCATTGGGTAAGGAGATTATACTGGTGCTGGGGCAATGATCTCGTTTTTCGAAAGAGGCGGGCCCACAATAGACAGCACCCGGCTGCTAGAATTACATAAACTTTGAGAGAATGTATCAAGTAAAACGGTGGCTATCTCGGCCATAAAGCGCCCACCACTCAAAATCCTAGGAGGTCAAGCTAAAAAGCATCGAAGTCGCTAACAAAAATCCACAGTCGGGCGTCCAACCCCCCACCCGAGGCGGCAGAGTTCGTCTATTGAAACAAATTTGGGCTTTCGGATCTTGTAGCTGTATAAACTTCCTCCTGAGCGAACAGGAATCGTCGAGAAAAAAGGGTATTACGGGAGATCTGAATTCACATGCGCAAGTGACATCCTCTGCACCTAGTTAGTTAGTTAGTTAGTTAGTTGTCATACGACGCTGAACCATGAGTAGTGTCAAATTTTTGATATTAAACACTCAACCGGAGACAACCAACTCTTGTCAAACCCGAAGCCACGTCAATGTAGGATGGCAAATACGGCACACTGCTGACGGAAAGCACGATATTTAGCAGTGGGAGGAAACAAAGTGGAGGGTCTGGCCACGTATAAACATTGCTTGCGGGTCCCATTCGCATCTGTTTCCAATCCAGGTAATAATATTGACAATAGTCGTAGTGATAAGGACAATAATGTTGATAATAACAAACTAGTAACTAGATGTAGTTCACAGGTTGGGGGGACCAGGGGGAGGGGGGAAAGGAAGAAAAAAAGAGGAGGCTCCATAATGAGAATCTAGCAAAAAACTCAGGCTTCGATCAAGAAAGATCCAGGCAGCCAAGGCACATGACCCTCTCTCATTTTTTTTTTTTCAAGTCAAGTGATCGCAACACATTTCCAAAATTTCCTTTCTCTGGCCGCCTCAATAATTATTGTTAATGGATGCATAGAGTAGTGTCTCCTCTTTCTCCATTCATCTCATTTCTTTGCTCTTGTTCTCCATCTATTTATTGGATGTCTTGCAGACAGGCTGCAGCTTTCACAGCCTATTAGCAACCCTGCACAATGACGAACTCCCCACTGCCTCGAGTACTGCAGATCTGAAGCAGCCACGGCCACTATAGGGAGCTTAAGTCGTATTACGATTACACAACCTTATCGCTGAATTTTTGATGATCGTTTTTGCGCCTCAGACTCGTGCCTGGAATGACAACAAACATAAGCCCAAGACAGAGTCTTCTCGCCCAGGTGGAGCAATGTTATTCTGGGTGCTGTTACAACTTTGCCTCTCCACTTCAGAGCCCCGAGATACGGGTCCCGGAACCACTTAGAGCCAGTACACCGAGTTACGGTAGAGCAAACGGGGGAAGGGAGGGAATGAAAGAAAAGAAAAGAGCAACCCCCTCCCCTTCTTCCTTTTTCCCCCAAAAAAGGGGAAAGGTGAACAGGTTACGATCAAGGCAAGGTGATCGACAGCTGTCATCCAAGCGCAAGGAGCATCGAAGATTCTATTGCCCTACAGGTCCAGGCATTAATCCATTTAGATATGTACTCTGGTAAGAATTGAACTTGCATGAGGTGATGTCTCTGAGCAGCATAACAAAGAGATAGACATACCTCTTTTCGATTGGCTGTGGTTTCCGTATCTTCCGACAACTAGGCATTTCCTGATCGGGAGAATAAAAATGCGAAGAGCCTAGAGGGGGCGGCTGCCCGAGCCTGTCTCGCCCAGTCGACGTTCCAGAAACCTTGGAATGGATCCTAAGATCCTTTGATGTGACAGTTTGGACCCAAGATCCGGACTCCAATGGTACGGCTCTACGACCTCATTAATCTGAAACTCCAGAGTACGTCGGTTGCGCATCAGCTATCCAATGTATTAGCATTCTGAGGCAGTGAGGATGGGCTTCCAATACGGCTCACGCCCTGCCTGCAATCAAGTCCGTAGTCACACTCAAGATATCTGCGAGTCATTGTTACTCAGTCGATCCGAGTGCAGGGGCCAGTTTCAGGAATTGATCGACTTTTCTATTGCTTGAGTTGTCCCCTTTTGAAAACGACAGCTGGTGGTCCGGGGGGCCCGAAAATCTGGACCGACCAAAAGCACAAACCCGCGGCTTGGTTCGAGTGGAACAATTCAGCCAACAAAAACAAAGTTTTCCCTTTTTGTCACAAATGATTTTCCTGTGACCGAGGGTATCTATCCAAAAGCAAATAATGCAATCCTGCCCTGAGCCTGACAGTCAGCGGACAAGTGTTCCACGGATAGAAGCTCTACCGTTGTACGGAGTAAGACCAATGAACCATCTCTGTTTGCCGAGGAGAGGGCAGCATCGTTTAGTTCAAGTTAGCCGTCAGTGATGCCCAGGACGGGAACTGCATGGCGGTTACCTTGTGGTTCCTAGCAATGATTGATTACAAGCAGTAGTAAGTTTTCAATTATCCAGAGTATCAGTTTTCGTTTCTGATCTTCGATCCCCCCCCCCCTGGCACGGATTATTGTTGTTGTTCTTTTTGTTGTTGTTGAAATTTAATTATGATTATTTCCCTGCCTCTCCAGTTGGTATCAGAATAATAACATTATAGAGGATTAATTATTGCCACAGGATAGTTTATTCTGATGCTACAAGGACTCCCATTTGCTTCATCCTCTTCAAGCGGGCTCCATTCCGGGCCTCCCCCGTCCCGTGGCCCATTAGATGATATGGAGCCCAAAATTAACCCGGGCTTGCTGCTGCTTTCATTTGTATATTCTGCATTCTTATTATTATTCTGAGAATAATAATAATAATCAATCCTTATCCCTTCTCATCTCCCTTACCATTTCCTCCCCCAACCATCAAGCGAAGATCCGTTTCAAGTACATCTCCATCGTTGATATAAATCCCGTCCGGCTTCCTCCTCCGGCTCCCTTTTGAATTCCAGGGCAAGTCCTGATTGTATTTCAAATCCATTCTTTTCTCCATCTTTCTACAGGTCATTTTCCCTTGTGATTCCCTGCCTCATTTGCTTCTGTGAAGTAATTGCAAGCACCGCCGCCCCTTTTTTTTTTTTTTTTTTTTTTTTTTTTACACACTCTAGTGGCGCAGCCCAACTGTTCACGCTAGACGTTAACGGGCTCCAACCGGCGGCTTTTAGGCTGTGATCTTTTTCCTTTTTTTTTTCCCCTGCTTGGGTCACTATCAGACAGCCGTCTCACGATCTTGACGTAATTATCGTGTGGCTTGCTCAGGGATTGGGCATTCGACTTTTCTTCCATTCTTCTTTTCTTTTTCCTTTTTCTGCTATTTTTTATTTATTTATTTATTTTTTTTTGGCTTGTTACAACTTCGAAGTGTGATCCATTATATCCATATTTCCGCTCTTTCTCTTCTTTTTCTTTCTCCCTTTTTTCCCCTCCTTTTCTATTATCCGGGATAAAAAAAATTTTTCTCTCTCTACCCTAGCAAGAGCTACCAGTACCCTTGACGGGACATATCCATATCTATTTATTATTCACTTCGACTGGTTCGTGGTCACCAGACTACCGGCAATTCATCCCTCCACTACATTTTTCTTCCTCTGGCTTCTGGAAAACAACACAGCCGCTAGCTACCATGTTCTCTTGCGCTAATTATCCTCGCGGTTGTCGTGGCCGTGTTAACATTCAAGGAGCCAAATGCTCCGACTGTGTGGTATGTCCTCCGGCTCTCTTTAATGCGACTACATCCTGCGACTTATGGAAGCTCACAGTAGGCTAATGGATGTAAACTTTTAGCAACTAAACCTCCGTCGACCATTATCCTCGTCTCCCTTTGCCCAGCCAAGAGATTACCGCAGGGCTCTACCATCTGAGATATCAACCAACTCTCCCTCCAAAGCGATAGCCCGGGATATGGCCTAAAGCCTCGGCGGCGACAGATCCCCCGATCTGAGTCGGAGAAAAGACGCCCAAAGCTTCCAAAGCTTCTACTGGATTAGAGTCCTGCAGGTCGGGACCAATGCCAGGGAGCCTTGTCGTACTTTTTCTCTTTCTCTCCCCGACTTTCCTTATCATTTCCTACTGTCTAAATTGACGCTCTGACTTGATGCATTGCTGGGAGTTCTATATACCAAACAACGGCGGCTTTCTCGGTTTTACATAGGACCCGGCGGTCTCGCACTGAATTTCTTCCTCTTATCCTTTTTGCCCGATATCATTCCCTGTATATTTTGGATCACGCCGGTGGTGGGGTGATACCTCAAACGCGAAAACCCTTGGCTTCTCTTGCCTTTTTTCCCTTTACCCTTGTCATGGTTTCATTTGGTGGAAATAGAATGCAACGCATGAAGGCTGCTGGAAAGCAGTGGCGCAGGAGGATGTCTTCCTTGTTTTTAGTTTGAACATTGCTTATTCCCTGTCCACTAACCCTTGCTTGGCCTATTATTACGTGTTTCATTATTGTTGTGATATGCTTACGCTAATATATATCCCTATACTATATGAATAGATTGTATAGTTCATTTTCCTTATAACCATCATGTCTAGGTTCGATCTGGCTTTTTCTTCTTCTTCTTCTTCTTCTTCTTCTTCTTCTGGATATTTTCTTTTTGTATTCTCCACCGGATGCATGCATGCCTCTCATTCAATGTTGCGACCGATCCAGCGCTGCGATTGATAGCCCATTAACAGTTAACAGCAGATCGAATTCTCTTGTCAACAGACCCATCATGGCACACAGATATCTATGCGCAGATTTATCCGAGACTGTCCTCCCCAAGCATCTCCCGACACACCCACTGCGCCGTTCTCGTATGCAGACTCCAATATCTCTCATCTTCCTTGCTCGAAGCCGCTGTGTTAATTTGACCACGCGACATTCTTCCCAGCGCCTCAAATACCACCAGCTGATCTCTCATGTATTCGTCGACGCAGGGCGGGCGCGTTGCAGCGCATGGCGTTCCGGACTGCAAAGTGGGATTGTACAGCTCTTGTATAAACCCCTCTACACAGTCCTCGACCAGATCTGTCACCGCTCCTATCATCCCCCCACGATCTCGACCTTCGGTTCGCTTTTTTCCGTCTCCTCGATATAACGCATCACGACCGATTTTAAATCCGGTCGATGTATGCGCTACGATCAGCACGTATAAACACGAGCGCGAATACGTAGCTTCTGTCGTGTGGGTGTCGATCCGCACAGCATCCTCGTCACTGCCCGCTTCTTCGGGCCCCTTGACAGAAGAGCTCGAACTCGGCTCTCGCGGGCTGAAAATAGACGACGGGATCTTTCGAAGCCGTTTACGCAGCAGCCTATAGGTTTCGCTCTCCATAAATTCACGCACCGTCCCGAGATTTCGCCCACGTTGGCCAGCGTCAGTTCCCTTTTCTTCCTCCCAAGTCGTGTAGTTGTGGTTCTGGATTCGTGGGTCTGTCCTGCGATGTCCCTTGTTCGCCTTTTTATTCTTGCCGGATCCTCTTTCGAACTCCTCTGTGACTGAACCATCGGGGGCAAGAACTGTGATGTCGATCTTGGAGATTGTTCCGCGATCATATTGATTTAAATCGATCAAGGGAAACCAATATCGCGCGTCCCCGCTGGCTTCCGTGTCACGGTCTCTGGGAAGCGTTTCGATGCGGAATGTCACTTTCCCCAAACTCCTGGCACCCGCCAGCCATCCGCGCTTTTCCAGGTCCGCAGAAAGACGAGGTAATCCACACCGCGCAAAATTAGGAATCAACACCTGAGATACGTAGTCGTACGATGGAGAAAACGACACGTTCGTTCCCCCGGTGATACTAAGGTAAATGGGGTTATCGGGAGTGGTCGATCCTCCGCAGTGGAGAAGGCATGGATAAAGCGCTTGGAAGACAAGGAAAATGGAGCCTACTGTCGGAAGTCGGATGTTAATTTCCCTCTTGCTTAAGGGACCATCCTCGTGAGAGCTGTCAGTTATCGACTCTTCGCGTGGAGGAGGAGGATAAAACCCTAATGAGGGTGAGTCCACCTGCGCTCCAACAAGGGTACTTCCGCTCATTTCACCCAGACAATTGATTGCGGCAAGATGGGAGTTCTTCAGGCCTTTCTTGCCGGATCGGTTGCCTCTAATATGATCAATAGTTATCGGTTGACCCGTGAGGGCGGAGAGAGCAATAGCGATGCGAACTAACTGGCCTCCTCCTTCAAGAGTTCGACCGTCAAGCCGAATCGGCTGAATGGTGGTTTCGACCCGAGTTGGCTGTGCTGGAGCCATGCTCGACAGTATTTTTGGGGGGGGGGGGGGTTAGAGTGAATTAAAGAATACTGGTCTGATTTGCCTGTTCTTATGTCTTCTTCTGCTGCCACTGCCTCAGTCGTGATGTTGTGGGCAGAACTTAGGGCTTGCTCTGCCATTGGGTGACTCACACTCTGACTATGACTGCACAGCCTGGATGATGATTCAATTGACTGTCAGCCTCGTCAGGCAATTCACCAGCCAATAATTACAATCTCAGTAACCTGCTAGATCCGGTTTCTTGCAATATAGGGAAACTACGTTCACCATCTTTGGCAATGAACGCTCAATAATGCCTTCCTCAATATCGACCACATGCCTTTTCTTACTTTTGTCCCTTCTTCCAGCACCGACCGGTGCTGGTGCCTCCTCTCTCATTCTCATCCGTCGACGTCTATGTATCGCGCAGCTTTTCCCAAGAAAATAGTTCTAGCTCCCTGTATATACGCAACCCCAACCCCCACAGCATGAACACAAGAGATCATCTTCGGAGATCTAAATCTACTCGATCAATTCGGACAAGCCAGGACAGTTTCTCAGCAACAGACCAGCTCAGCCCAGACATTGCTAGGCTGCACGCAATGGCAGCAGCTTCCAGGGCAATGTCACGATCCACAAATAGATCCTCGACCTTGACTCAGGGTTCATACGGCCGATTGGGGGGCCCTCATAGCATGGCAGTTCCACAGAGGAGACATCACCCAAGCAGGTCCTCCTATCCATCGGAAGATATCCCCGCTGCGGATGAGCCATCCGCTCACGAATCAGCCCCGGTGTCCATCGAAGGAGCAGGGCACGAACCGAGCTGGTCGACAGCACTTCCTTCCATCAGTGAGTTCGGGGGCCTTGAAGACCGAATCTCTTCTCTGCCTTCATCCTATCGCCGGTTACGCAAAACACGGTCGATGTTTTCAACTAGACAGCACTCTTCCTGGATACCTCATAGACCGTCCTCCCCGGACTCTTGTTCATTCACTGTTATCAATAAGGGGGTGGCATTTAATCCACCAAAATTTCACAAAACACTGCGACGGTCCATGTCATTTCTTGGGGGCAATGGTCAGCCCCCGAAGACTCTGAGACATGCAAAAAGCCATGATGTCTCGGTTGAATTGGCGCGCCATCAATATGAGCAGAACGCCACAGAGTTCACAGATCCTCCTCGACGACATTCCGCTTACATACTACATCCCAAACGAGAGCACAGGCCGTTCAGAAAAACGTTCCGCACAGCCAATCCTTCCGAACAGACTCCCATCGAATCTCCGCAGGGAGGAGCCGAGCTCAACATTCCCACAGCTCGTAGGAGGGCTAGGTCAATCTCATCTTCTATCAAAAAGGGTCTCAAGCGAGTTCTAGGACTCTCTAGAACTCCTCATGGGCGAGGGCAGACACAGGAATCCCCTTCATCTGGCCATCATTGGAATCAAGCTCTTTCTCCCGCAATCGATGGAACCACAATGGATTGCCTCAGGGACGGCTTACACAGCCTGAAATCAAACACCGTGGACAGTCCAGCCGATCACCATCCGCCTCCAACAATACGAAGAATGCAGAGCTCTGCAAGCCTTGCCACCACCCGCTCTCGTGTGACAAGTTGGGCCGACTCAACCGTCGCGAATACAATAGCGACCCCAAGAGCGGACGCCCGGAAACATATTTCTGTTATTGGCGAGCAGAGAAGTCCCAGCCAAGAAACCATTCACTCCTTCCATCGGGGTACTCGGTCAGGCATTGCAATAGACAGCCGTCGGTTGTTCTCTGCCCTGATGAAGCAGGTCAGCGGAGCCAGTGCAGCCCAAAGCCCAGCTGACGAGATGGTTGTCGGGCATGTCAAGGAACATCGTGCCGTCCCCACAGAAGGATCTTTACACCTGCACCGCAGCAGCCATACTATCCGCCAGATTGCTAGTAACGAGTCAATTACCTCTCCAGGATCCTTTGCCACGGCCAGCGTCGGTCCAATTACCCCACAGAAACAGATATATGGTCACAATTCCAGACGCCTCTGTGAGACAGGACCTCCTCAGGACATTCAGAGACGTAAAATTATCGATGCGGCCCCTGAAGAACCCGAAACAAGCTCTGATTCAGCCAGCGTCTACTCCCGGACGACGAGTGGAAACTCACCCAACCCCAAGACTTTTACAGGGTCACCCCATTCAGGAGAAGAGCCAGGAATCGCAACCATTTTTGCCTCCCAAAGGGTACCATACAGCTCTCCAGCCAAAGCCTCTCAGCCTCGGTGTGCCGACGTTGCAGCGGAACCAGGTACCGATTGGCAGAGTTGGATGAACTCTCAAATGGCAATCATTGAAAACACCACCCCCACACGACATTATCGCGAAAATGCGCAGATTCAAGACGATGAAGAACTGGGTCTCCCGGCTGCCATTCCAGCACGGAAGGTACGGATAGCTAGCCGAGCTGTGAATTCGCCTGGTAGTGACCGCGAAGGTTTAAGCCGCAAGTTGTCGACAAGCAGCAACTTTTCCCGCCCATTTAGTCGATCTTCAAGTGCACGCACCATAGTAATGAGCCCGAAGCACCACCAGGTACCAGATACCTTTTCTCCTTCTGTTCCTTTGATGGCGCCCGAAGACGTCTTCCAGAGCTCCAACACGCCTGGGGGCTTCCTCGGGTCATCGCGCGCAAGGGAAAGCAATCTCAAAGTACCCCCAATGCGGTCGAGACCCAGCAATCAATCCCGCGTCCCGGAGTGTCCAACTGCTACACAAGAGTCGACGAATATATCACCTAAGATGGGCCGTGGAAAGCATCCAGTGAGGTGGTCCCCCGGATCTCAAGGTTCCAAAGCATTCCCCCGACGATCTGCTCGATATTGTCGCGAAAACCGGATGGTAACGAACGAGAATTCAAGAATTAGACAAGGCCAGGATGGCCATGGCTTTGATCCTCAGTCGCCAATTTCGAGTAAGCACATGGTAGAGATGTTTTTAAGCAGTCGACGCCGCCAGATGGGAGCGGACATGTCAGACGACGGAGATTCCGAAGTGGCGTTCATCTAAGACTTCCAGAAAAAAAAAAAAATGCGTGCCTCTGCGATTATGATCAAGATATCGCTAGCTTTTAATAACCTTGTTAATGACTATTCTTTGGCCAAGTTGGACCTGGGTGGTGCCCATACTTAGTGTCGTTAAGCTCTGTATTGAATCAAAAATATATACTTCACAGGCGCTCGCCACAGCCAAAACCTCCTTCTTCTGCCAGTTCGCAATACGATTGCCCAAATACATAAGACAGTTTTATAAAAAAAAGTGGGGTTGATTAAAACGAATTATCCCAAAATTAGTTCGTGTTGGGGGAAAAAAAAAGGCACGGTTAGGAATAATCGGCCCTTTACTCCGTACTCATCATCGGGTCATAATAAATATAATCAAAACAACAAGCTTTGGGTTGGGCGACGTGACATAGTATTCTAGCCGCAAAAAAAAAAAAAAAAAAAAAAAAAAGAATATAGATAGCCTGGCCAGCATAAATGAAACCAAGGTGATCATTGTACCAATTCCACATAATTGGCCGGGAAGCTCCCCTTGACACCGCGAAGCTCCCCTTCCCACCAGTCATCTGTACTATCGGTCTTCTTCAGCACCCGGATGCGGTCCCCTTCCCGGAAGGCAAGGTCCCCCTGGCTTTGTCCGCCGAAGTCATAGAGGGCCGTTACGTAGAGCGCCATATTGGACGACGACCCACGGGGTTTCGGCGGGGGCGGGGGCGGGGGTTTCTTCTTCCCCACTAGCATGGCGGAGATGCCAGGAGAAACCGATCCGTTGCTCCCTCCTGGGGAGTGGCCATTCCGAACGCCGGACCCGGGAGAGACCATACCATTTGTTGTTGTTGTTGTTGTTGTTGTTGTTGTTGTTGTTCCGGCGGCACTGTGGGGGGTGCGACTGAAGTAATCTGAGGTTCGGGAAACTGCATTGGAGAGCGCGCTGGAAGGGGTAAGCAGGGATCCCGATGATGAAGGAGACACGGGCCGTTCGTTTGAGGAAGACGCCGATGGTTGCGGCGCGAGATAAGTCGACGACGGAGCGGCGATGGGGCTGGGTTGGTGGTCGCCAAGACGGGGTTTGGTGTCGTACGACGGGGTTGGGGCGGAGGGCGGCGCCGGGCTTGGAGTTCTCCCTCGGCGGGGGGCGGCGGCGGTGCTCTGGTTACTGGATAAACGACGACCGTTTGTGAGACGACCGGTCAGCGAATTGCTGTTTCGGCCGCCGTCGCTAGGCTGCAGGGATGCTCGGACGGCTTTGCCATTCGCGATGCAGGTAAGAGCCTCGACTTCCTGCTGGATGTGGAGGTGTTCTTGCTCCCATTGCGTGACGGCTTGGTCCATCTGGATTGGGGCCGAAGAGAAATTCTCCTCTTCGCAGTAGCTGTATATCACCGTATAATAGTGGCCTAGCAGATTATTCTGGATTTCGATTTGGGAGGCTAGCAAGCGCGGGAGCATCGAGAACACGGCGGTAATCAACGGAGGTAGGTTTTGGCGCAGATTGTCGTCTGCCGCATGGTACTCCTACATTTGTCAGAACGGGCCCAAAATCCTTGGTAGTGGGGGGGGGGGGGGGGGGGGGGGGGGCAATACCTCTGTTGCCTTGGTCAAATCAATCTCCGCCTTGGCTAACGAGGCATTGTCACGGTCCGATCGCTTTGTCTTCTTAGTGTAGCTGTCGACACGGTTTTGGTAGCGTTCGTAGTCCAACTAGGGTAGGACATGTCAGCCATTGAGGGGGGAATAACAAGTCCTCGAGGGGGCCACTGTGTGCTATGCAACCGAGTCTCAGAAGCATCCCATTTGGTTCTGTTTCGTTGGCAATGGACGGGCTCAATACTGACCTTTTTATCCTCCCTTTTCTTGATATTTTTCTTCACTGGCGTCAAGCAATCTTTGGCTTCAGACGCTGGCCTGATGATGCGATCATCCACCGCCGCGAGCTCCTCCAGCATATCCTTTTTAAGCTCGTCATATTCCGCTCGAAGTCTTGTCGTACGAGCCAAGGTGTCTGGTGGGGTTTGGACGGGAGTATGGGAGGAAGCCTCCGCGGCACCGATGATGGGCGCATATAATGTCTCGAACTCGGTAAACATTCGATCTTGGTGGGTCAAAAGCGAAGACCATCCGTCACGCCACGACTTGAACGCCTCGATGATCTGTCGAGAGATTCAGTGTGAATGAGCATCTCGCTCGCGTATTGAATGGCTAATCACCCACCTTCTCCAGAATATGGTCGACTTCATTGAAATCCTTCAAAATGATGGCCACCTGACTTTCATCGGCGGATCTTTTCATAAATTTCCCGAATTGTCTTTGTACGGACTGCATTGTGCCGTGATGACTCTCCAGCTAGGCGGAAGAATTAATGAACGGGAGGGAGTGCGGGGGATCAGGCGAACTGGTGGGAAATGGGCTAACAACAGACGAGAGAGGAGGGTTAGTTAGTTGGCTAAGCCATGATATGATGTAAATATAGTCTGACGATGCACAACAGAGAGAGAAAGGGAGAGAGAGAGAGAGAAAGAGAGAGAGAGAGAGAATGCTATAGAGGAGGTTTCGTGTTTCAGACCATTCCTGGACCACCGCCACAGAGGCTATTTTTATCAAGGGCCCATTCACGAGGATATTAGAATTTGAAGTAATTGATATCACATTCTCTCGGGTTCTCCCATCTGATCAGTCTCGTCAGAGTCAGAGAATTCAAATAGGAAATCCAAAGTCCATACAAGATAATTCGAGCAGTTGGAGTTATTATACTTGGGTGGATGCCTCAGGACACTCCCGCTCTCCCCTATCTGATCCTCTTTTTCTGCGTTTCGGCTTCGTTTTTTTTTTTTTTCTCTCCAGATCCCAAAGCGCTCTTCCTTCTCCTATTCGGCCAGATGACACGCCTCTACCGGGTCTCCATTCTTGGTGCCTCAACAAATCTGCCATGTCCGTTCCTTTATCCTCCGCGACAGCTCCGCGTTCCTCCAACTTGACCGTCCCCGCAACCCAAAACACCGCCCCCGTTATCAAATTCCGATGTCTCTACACCCACGACATGCGACGAAAGGCCAAACGCTGGCAGGATGGCTTTCTTCGGTATCACACCTTCAACAAGCGGGTCATGGTCTACGATAATACCGGCTACTTTATTGGGGATCTCCACTGGCGACAGGACGAGGGAATACAGGATGGCGAGGAGTTGGAGCTGGACAAAGGCGTTCTAATCCAGGTCTGCGAACAGATGGAGAGAACAGAGACAGATATCACATCGATATACAAGCAGAACAAGAGCCACGGTTCGCCGTCGTGTCCAGGACAAACCCCCGCAGCTTCGTTGCGCTCGACTGCCGCTACCCGTACCTCGCTTCCTTCCCAGACCTCTCGTTCCTTAAACGATCTTCTTGGGATCAACAAATCTTCTACTGCACAGTTACTCTCTCCTTACGAGCAACGCTCCAGACAGCGACCATCCACCCCAATCACTCCGCAGCTCCAGGAGCGGCCTGCGAAACGTAAGCGGACCGCTTCTCCAGAGTGTAACACCTCCTCCCCCCCCGGCGAGCAATCGCCGCTTGAATTGATCGCATCGTCTTCTCCAGAGCTGTCATGGAGCTTCGAGTCTTGTCCGAGCACAACTCCAAGGCTGGTAAACATCATAAACCGAGGTACGGCGGTCTTACCATCCGCGCGCGCATCACCCATCCACCCCAACGCAGAGAAAAGGGCGGCCAACCCGCCCGAAACCCGCCATCTTCCTGCTACGGTTCATCAACCGGTTCCGCCGAAACAGGGGCCACCCATTTCATCTTCAGAAGCCCAGGTCAACACGCTTAGATTGTCTGGGGAAAGACCGCGTAGGAAGCTGGTGTACCAAGAAACACGGCATACATCTCAAGCCATGTCCGACAAGACCACTCAACCACCGATCCCAACACCGTCAGTATTTCTTAATCGCAAAAGGAGTCCGTAGGCTGACCCGTCATAGGACGAGGATAAACCCACCGAGACCTGAAAAAACAGGCTCTAGTTCTGCCGTACTTATTCTCGACGAGACGGATGACGAGACAGCACCGGGTGCATATCCTGTCAGACCCGGTCAGCCAGCAGCACGTCGGGAGAACCCCAATGCAGACAATCGAACCGGGCTCATCGTAACAGCCGCCCCTGGACAGCAATCCAAGCCCACTGAAGTACTCGCTAGCACCCACACGACAGCACCAGGGCAGCCTCCCAAGTCTCGGGAAATGGCCCCCAGCCCACTCACTCCACTATCAAACCAAACGAAACTACACGAGCAGGGCCCCTGGACATCTGAAGCCCTGGACCTATTCGACTTTTGGCCGCCGGGACGACCAAAGCCGAGTTGATACGGAGTACAACCATTCCATACCCAGCAAGATCTTCTCTACGATACAACGACTCATGACAAACAGGTGCCGGCAGGAGTAACTACTTAGTGGTAGCTAATAGCACATGTAATTAATACCTAGGTAACTTGATACTCGCCTATATTCAATCCATATCCAGATCCCACAGCTAAACAACAGCCCCCCCCCCTCTCTCTATGAAGGGTCTTCTTCTTCCTCTTCTTTAAAGATTCATTTCGGTGATTCCCCTATCTTGAATAGATTCCATGTCCTCCCTAGCTAACACCTGCAGAACCAGCTTGTTCTCCGACCAAATGAAGATATCAGGCAATCCTGACTACATCAACAGCATCTACGAGAATCATGTCTCAAATTCAATCCTCCATGACTATGTCTAGATCAATTTCTGGCAAACGATATCAAACAGAAATCCAGACGACCACAGGGCCGGTATTATAAGCACGATAATCAGTCAACGCTCTGCCCGTACAGATCAAATCCAATATAGGGCCAGGAATCAGAATGTCAAAATTACAGAGCCCAAGTTGCGCTAAGGTTCGCACAACAGATAAGTGAAAAGAGGAGAGAGAGAGAGAGAGAGAGAGAGAGAGAGAGTCTGCGCCCGGAATGAATGAGCGGCGCGGCATGAGTATCAACAAATGAAACGATGAATCAATGGTTCATACAGTGGTAATGATAGAAGGAAAATCAAAGATCAGAGAAACGAGGCATCAAGTTGCAAGGGGGAAATAAAATAAAATTAAGCCAAATGAAAGAAGTAAACCCCAGGATTAACAAATAGATATGCAGGTAATGGAAGTAGAAAGGTGCTTCTATAAGAGCCGCGTTTCAGCAGAGTAGTAGAAGACTCAAAGAGGCTAATGAGATGCCATCATCATACACACTCATCAGATGTGAAATTGCAAAGTTGAAGGACACCATTAATGCACATATACTTTTTTTTTAAACAACGCAGGCCGCAAGTCATGTCTCTGGCCAGGACTTAGTGATGAGAGTGCATCCGATTGGCCCGAGGACTATATCGACTCGTCCTGGACAGTGAGCTCACATCGTGCTTACCTACGAGTCTCAGTTAGCGATTTCTTTACCATACGAGCATCAAAAGACACATACCATCACAGCAAGCCCGAACATTCTCTAACCGGTCAGGGTCAATTTCCATTGGGCGAAGATCTTCTTCGCTGTCCTGGTGGTGGATACTACCCTCGTTCACGCTGGATGTAGCATACCCTGGGCCTTTGCGTCCAAAGGAGCCTTTAATGGTTGTGTTGAGAATCGTACTAAGTCGCGTGGTGGAGCTCTGCCTAGCCTGGCCGGAGTAATGTGACGGCGTACTAAGAGCCGGTGATACACGGCCAGGTGTCACGCTGGGACGGACAGACATGGCTGATGCTGAGCGCTGCTTCGAGGTATTTTGTCTGGGGCGGCTCTGGGACGAGGAAATTGAGACGCGTGTTGTCTGTCGCGAGCGGGAGCGAAACCCAGGGTTGAACTCATCTATGTCCTCCAGGGTCACGCTATTATCTTGATCGTCATCGTCCGGCCCGCTTCGTACTAACAAATAAGAAAGTGCATTGAACCATGTCTCATGTCTCTGGCTCGTGGTAGCCGTGAATCTGATTTTGCGACCAGGGCTGACAACCTCCAAACTCTTGCAGTGAAGACCGGGTGGGTAAGGGTTATCATCAGCAACAACTCTTACCGCTTCAATAGAAACGCTTTTTGTTCGAAGCTGGCTCTTTCCGGCTGTCTGAGGATCCTGCTCGCTCCAATACAATGTGCGCGTGTATGGATGAACCCAGAAGTAACGACGATGTCTGGTGTTCGAGATTTCGCCAGAAACGGTCCTGCGGGTGTACTTCCAGAGGAACTCGCCGATCATGGTCTGAGTTATTGCTTGAATCATTCGAGGATCAGTGCCCATGCCGTAGCCTTGAGGCGCGAAAGCCGGGCTAGGTTGCATATTAAACCGCTCCTCAAGCTCGGATGCGAACGAGGATACCGATGATCTTCGCGACATCTGGCTCTCGCGTCTAATGCTAACGCGAGAAGCAGTTGTCTGCGCAGATCCAACTTGAAGACCCGTATCGTTCGGCGTCCGGGGACGAGGAGTTGTGTTCGTCTTATAGGCAGAAGCGGGCGCGAGTGGTGGCCCCATCAAACCAGCAGATACGGGACGTTGCTCCAGGGATCTCTTCTCGGCGGCCATGATAGCCTCCTTATGATCGGCGGGTAATGGTGGGTGACTATAGATACTCGATGTATGGCTGGCAGCACTTCCGGGCCGTTTGGGGATAGATTGGAGGGAGACGGTTGAAGATTGATGAGTCGGACGAGGTCGTGCTTTGGGGGTAGCGAAAGGAGAGTTGCTCAGTTCCTTGGCCCTATCACTATCAGGAGGCGACAATGGCCTAGAAGAAACACGCTCCATAAGGAGTTGGTCGATTTGTTTGGATGACAAAATGGTCTGAGCTCCTTGGTCCGCCTGATTGGACGAGGACGTCATTGCATAACGGGGAGCCGCATTGCCAGAAATAGCGCCTAGAGGCATCGTTACACCAGTGTGCTGGTTAACCGCATCGTTGGCGGGATCTTCATTTGTAGCATCTTCAGCAACAACAACAACAACTGGTGGGGCGTCCATAATTTGCTTGGTCTGGACGGCCTGCTCGCTTGGGTGATAGTTCTCATCAACGAAGGGGGAGGGAGGAATAAATGCCACGGCTGGAGCGAAATCCACAGGCGATGTCTCTACGGAAGAAACAGTAGACAATAAGATTTGCGGTAGTGGAGGAATGATGATTTCTTGCGGCGTTGGGGCAGCTGGTTCGGTGGACTGTGGGGGAATAAAGGATATCGTTAACTCAGGAAGTACTGGCTCTGGCTCGGACTCAGGCTGACGCTGTGGGCCTGGCTGCTCGGCACTCGCGACCAAGAGTGGCTCGGGCGCAGGGGCAGGGATAATAGGTTCGGTCTGCTCCGAGAAGATGGTTGAAACCGAGAACTCTACCATATCAGTACTGGTGCCTTGCTCGGCAAACGACAATATGGGTTCCGGAGTAGGTTCAGGAAGTGTGGCCTTGACCGGCAAGGTACCCTCAGAGAATATGTGAGAGAGAGCCATATCCGGAATATACACCGGTTCGGGTTCAGGTAGCACAGGCATGACTGCCTCCGTAGGTTCACTTGATTGCCATGAGATTGAAGACAGGGCAACTTCGGGAGGAACAGGAGCGGGATGTGCAACCGGTTCGGAGGGTTCACTCAAGTGCGAGATGATTGAAGACAAGCCAACTTCGGGAGGAACAGGTACAGGATATACAACTGGCGCTGAAGGTTCACTCGAGTGCGATATGATTGTAGACAAGCCAACTTCGGGAGGAACAGGTGCAGGATATACAACAGGCTCCGAGGGCTCACTTGATTGCGATGAGATTGAAGACACGGCAACCTCCCAGGCAATAGGCGCGGGATATGCAACTGGTGCTGAAGGTTCGCTTGACTGATATGCAATTGAAGACAGGCCAACTTCGGGGGGAACAGGAGCGGGATGTGCAACAGGTTCGGAGGGTGCACTTGATTGCGATGAGATTGAAGACACGGCAACCTCCCAGGCAATAGGCGCGGGATATGCAACTGGTGCTGAAGGTTCGCTTGACTGATATGCAATTGAAGACAGGCCAACTTCGGGGGGAACAGGAGCGGGATGTGCAACAGGTTCGGAGGGTGCACTGGATTGCGATGAGATTGAAGACACGGCAACCTCCCAGGCAATAGGCGCGGGATATGCAACTGGTGCTGAAGGCTCACTTGACTGATATGCAACTGAAGACAGGCCAACTTGGGGGGGAACAGGAGCGGGATATGCGACCGGCTCGGTGGTATTGCCCACGAAGTAAGATGTACTCAGCTCCGGTAGTTTGGGCGCCACCGGTTCGGTTTCCTGCGAGGAGATCGAGGAGACATCCAACTGCATGGTTGATTCAGGACTCTCAGCCTCCCGTAGTTGCTCATCTACCGCATACGCATCCCATACCATCTTCGGCGGGGTAGGTACACTTGACCCTTGATCACCATTGAGGTCAACAGATGCTTTCATCGGGGTCCACTGAGTTGCAGAGCTGACCAGCCTAGGAGACTCCTCTATAGCCATCCCAGTACCGGCATCGGACACTAATACCTTCTTAGGCGTGGAAGGAGCAATGCTCATAGTCTCCTCGCTCAGAGCTGGGGCCACCACCACAGGCGTGATGGGCTCCCATGGATCAGTCATGACACCAGAGTCAACCATAGTAGGTCTGGGCACTGGATCCAGGGTGATCTCAGAGGGTCTCCTTGAAACAGTCTCGGGCAGCATGCACGGGGTCGAACCCCGGGATCCTGCGTCGAACGGCATTGGCGGTCCGAAACTTCCATCCTCATCCTCATCCTCATCACCATCAAGTTCCGCAAGTTCTGCAAAAAGACTCTGTCCTTCCTGGGCCATTGATCCCTGCGAGAAGCTGGCCGCAGGGGATTCTCTTGCACTTGGTGGTCGGCTACCGAACGCCATAGGCGCCTCACCCGAAGGGCGAATCCGTCGAAGGACGCTCTTCTTCTTCCGCAGACGGTAGCGAGGAGTGGAAACCTGACTACCGGAAGGTGTGCCCGGGTCCTCGCTCTCGTCCTCATCAGCAGAGGTAGATGCCGTGCTGTAGTAAGACGTGCGATCACGAGCCTTGGCGAGCGTCAGGGAAGATACTCGTTCGCGAGGAGTCCTGTGGACGCGATCTTCGGTCTCGGTCAGTTCATCACTGTCGGTACTGTCGCCAGCCATGCTTTCAACACCGGTCTGGAAGGCTTCGCTTTCGGTTGCGGTATCGCGCTCGTTAGCCGTCTCGAATGAATCATCAGCCTCCGTCGCGGTCTGGTAAATGTCACTTCGCTCATCGATGGACTGATCTTCCATGAAATGCCGGGGGGGGAGGGAAACTTGGTGAGGTGGGCTGGCATCGGCCGCGTTGTCTTCCCAGTCTGAGTCGTGGATTTCGACTTCTGCCTTCTTTCGTCCAGCACCCAATAAGTCGGGACGCGCCAGTTTGCGCATCGAGTCGGACTTGGTTTTGAGTCGCTTATTCGATGGACCAGCGGGAGCCGCTGCTTCACGACGGCGTTGTTCAATCTCGTCACGAGCCTCTTGCAGCACGCGCTTTAGCTCGATCTTCTCGGTCTTCTCGCGATGAACAGTGCTTCGGAGGTTTTGAATCATACGATGCGCATGACCCAATGAACTTCGCAGGGTTTCGGTCTCCAGGTGGTTATGGCGCGGGGTGAATTTGCTCGGCGATGGCGGGGGCGAATTTTCTGGCGTTGCTTGGTCTTGGTCGTCTGAATCGCCATCGCGGGAGGTTTCACGGGCGAGTTCATTCTCGTGCTGACGAAGGCGCATCGCAACGACTTTCGCCAGCTCCTGATTCTGCGAGTTCAGCTCCTCTAGCTTCTTGTGGAGTGCAAGCTTCTCGGTGTCACCAGCAGTGAGGTTCCTACGGAGGAGGTGAATCTCAGAGTCATTAGCCTTCTGAGCCGCCAGGTGGTCTTCAATGAGTTTTGCGTTCGTTTGTTTCAAATCCTCCAGCTCCCGTTCCATGGCCCCTTTCTCAGCGGTGACTGCGCCGAGGCTGCTGTTGAGTTTACTTTCGCGGTCTGCAGCATCCTTCATCATGGCCATTAACTCGTGGGTTTTCGTTTCCAGAGCCCAGTTCTCGTCCTTGTAGCGCTCCTCGCTCTCGTCCAAGGCACGTATCCGTTGGGCATATCCTTCTGCCTCGAGTTCGAGCCTGGACTTTTCCAGGTTCACGGTCTTCAAGGTCTCCTCGCGCTCCACCAGAAGCGACTGCAATTGGCGCACTTGGGCAAGTAAAGAGGTGGAAATTTCGGTAGCAAATTCGATGTCATGCACTCGGGTTGACGGTTGGTTGCGCTGCTTCCGCGACGGCACGCTTACTTTACTCGGAGAATTTGTGGCTTGCCCGGCGAACAGTGCTGGGCTGAGTGGCGACTACATGCCCGACGAGTTAGCGGCCAGCGGACAGGCATCAACTCTGCAGATTGCAAGGTAAAACAAACCTTTTGGTCAAACGACGGAGTTGCCAAGTGAGCATCATCGCCGCTAGCTAGGCGCTTAGGTGCGAGGAACGCGCGAGCGGTCTCACGGCCGATTTCATTGTACTCGCGCTCTAAGTCGGCGAGTTTACGGCGCAAGCCAGGCCCAATCTGGCCTTCATCACGATGCTGCTCGACCTCCTTGAGCTTTTCCTCTAATTCCTTCTGCTGTTCAATGAGCGCGGTTCCCAACTTCGACGCCTCCTCAAGCCTGCGCTCCGTCTCGGCTAGATGGGCCTCAAGGGCTCGTTTGGCTTGCGCCGGGGATGATGCATCCAGACTGAAAAGCTGGGTATCGAAGGAGGAATATCGATGCGACTCACGGGGAGCCTGTTCCCCGTCGGGTCTGGTGATGAAAGGATCATCCATCACGGGCATCAAGGAAGTGCTTCCTCTTCCATCAGCACCCGCCATCTCCTTGGATTCGGGTTCTGCGAATAGTTGCTTGATCGGTTCAGAATCAAGGCTTTGGGGGCCTTATTATCGTCTCGGCTGTTTCTTGATTACCACCTCACGCCACAGTCATCATCCGACTTGCTACTCAATCAGCCGCGACCGGTTTATTTTTCTTTCTATTTTATTTATTTCTTGTTTCCTGTCCAGCGATTCTTCGAGGAATGAATGTGACGTGAGCTTGGTCGGTGAGTAATCCGCGAGGGTGGCCGTAACAGTCGTCGACTCGGAGGAAGATGGAGGGTGAAGGGTTCACGGCAGCGAAAGGAGAAGCAAGCAGACGACTGCGAAGTCGAGAAAACAATAAATCCGTCGAAAACACGCTTGGTTTTGTTGTCAGTCAGGAAGGCGGGGAGAAAATATGATGATGAATGGAGGACCGTTCGGGAGCGACCCAAGGGCGACAACCAGCGCGTTAAAGATGTTGACTCGTGGCGTACCTAGTGCGTTGCGACCGGGATACGAGCCAACCACAATACAGGATGAAGAGGTCAATTTTCGGGAACAAGCAGGGCGCAATACCAAGCAAGAGCCAGGAATTGCGAATGGTCAAGTAAGGCGACAATTATGGGATAAGACGGAATGCCAGAAGGATCAGCGACGCCATACGACGGGATCGATTAAAGGGGAGGAGGGGAGGGGGAAATCAGATGAAAAGAAGGACGCAAGAAAAGAAAGAAAAGAAAGACAAGAGGGAATAGGGAGAAGAATGTAGGAAGAGGGTATTAAGGTAAGAGAAGAAGAAGAAAAGGTGTCAGGTAAAAAAAAGACTAATGATGAAAAGGAAAGAAAGGAAATAATGATAGAGGGGGGAAAGAGAGTGTAAGAGAGAGAGAGAGAGAGAGAGAATGAAAATGAGAATGAGAATGAGAGAATGAAAGAACGAGAGAGTAAGAGAAAGAGAGTAAGAGAGAGAGAGAGAGAAACGATCTGTTAGGCGCGGGGAGATGAGGAGGAGTAAGTGAGATCGAAGAGAGATTCGAGTCGCTAAAAAGGACCAACTATCTACAGTATTGATATACTAATTCGATCCTACTACTGCTACGGAGGACGAGGGGAATACGGAGTGAATGAGAAGGAATAATTGATCTGATATGTAATAATCGAGGGAGACGACATCCACTTGGAATTCGTTGCAGCGATTCTAGAAGAAGTAATTAAACAATGGCATGAGAAAAATCCCGTCCGGTTACTCAACATCAAACAATTTCGTGTCCGAATCCAAAACTTGAAAGACGCCCAAAGCATCAGGAAGAAAATTAAGGCACCAAAGGAAGTGTCCCAAACAGGAAATGACCACAACATTGGAATGTTGCAGCGTTTGCATCCTGACTCAGCAGCGCGGACGTCCGCTGAGTCAGCGCAGAGACTGCACGTGATTTCCTGGCCCAAACTGGCAGCTGCGACGCCACCCGCTCTTGCTGCATTTATAACGCATCCCATCCCTCGCCCGACGATCCTCACAAGCTCCCCAGGTGTCGAATTTTGGAGAGGAGCAGGGAGGAAAAAGAAGCAGAAAGAAAAAAAAAAAAAAAAAAATGGCCGACACCGTACCCCAGATCTCTTTCAAAAAGCGCGGAGCCCGGGGCAAAGCCCAGTTTCGCAAGAAACCCGAAACACCTCCCCCAGCCTCGGACGCGGATTCCGACTTCACCTCGTCCGACGATGAGGACGGCCACAGGATCAAACGCCGGCGAAAGAATACCGTCGTGTCCGCCTCCTCGGCCACGAATGTGCGGCGAACAGGTCCTGCCGAGGACGAGAACGCCAGCGCCAGCGCCGGAGCTCTGCCTTTGACCTCCACCAACGACGCCACGAAACAATCCAATTGGTACGATGAGGACCTGAACGAGAAGAATCTCCTCGGTACCACGCGAACCCGGCCAACTTCGTCGACCGCTTCTGGGCCGGATGGTACTTACAAGGGCGCTGCCAACTACCAATCCTTTATTCAGAAGAATCCGGATGCGCCTACGAAACAATTCGGTCCGATTAAAGCCCCAACCAATGTCCGGACGGTGACCTTTATGGATTACGCGCCCGATGTCTGCAAGGACTACAAGTTGACGGGATATTGTGGTTTCGGGGATTCCTGCAAGTTCAGCCACATGCGCGAAGACTACAAACAGGGGTGGGAGCTGGATCGGGAGTGGGATGTGAGCACGAAGGGCAAAGCAGTCAAGGGGAAGGTGGTATCGCAACGGGGTGCCAAGGCGGGCGACGGCGATGGCGGGGACGGGGACGGGGACGGGGACGGGGACGAGGACGAGGACTTGCTCGAGAATATCCCGTTTGCCTGCATCCTCTGCAAAAAGCCGTACCAGAACCCCATTCTTACCAAATGCGGCCATTACTTCTGCGAGTCGTGTGCCTTGCAGCGGTACCGCAAGAACCCATCCTGTGCAGCGTGTGGGGCAGGGACGGGCGGAGTATTCAATGTCGCGAAGAAGTTAAATCACCTCCTAGAAAGGAAGCGGGAGCGTGTTCGCAAACGACGCGAGCAGGCGATTGAGAATGGCGAGGAAGTTAGTAGCGAAGAGGAAGAGGAGGGGGCAGAGGAAGATTCCGAATAATGAAAAAGATGGCACGAAACTGTTCAAGTATATACACTCTGTAATGAAAAATCCAAGCTGCAGCGGGCCTGCAAACAATCCGGAGCTTTGATAAGATATGCAAATATAGGTACTAGTTCACTAGTAGCTACCTTAGAAAGGTAAGATAGAATTAGATTCGATTACCGCATACATGCATACATGATTGTTCTCCTCTGTCCCGAACATGATCCCTTTTTCCATGCCGAGATCGACAGGATGAGCCTATCAGCTCCCGTCCGCGATGACAATCCATGCCATTCATTTCCTATTGAGCCAATTCGTAGTACCTAAGTTTCGGCTATTCTTGGATGCCTGGAGTCCTGGACAGCGCTGTGACGAATCAGAGTGCTACCAAGGAAAAAGGGGATCATAGGATTTTTGAAAATAGATTCAATGCAGGAATTATTACCGAGTTGGTATTTGCTAGGAAGGAGCGTTTTACCCAGTTTGGAAGTTTGGGGTTGGATGGGTACCTAGGTAGGGAGTAGTAGATTTCTTGCTGTTTCGGATTTTTTTTTTTTTGCTTTGGATTTTTTAAGCTTTGGATCTTGAATGACATTAAGGTAAAGATTCAATTGGATAGTAAGATTGTTTTTCAATGAAATAGAGGATTGTTTCCTCCTCATAATATTAAATGTTCAAAGAAAAAGCTGGAAATGGTTCTACCTAAATTGTCTCCAAACCCCAGGGACATACCTCAGTCTCGATCTGATTGGTCCAATGCATCTCTTAGGGTTTTTAGGGTTTTTAGTGTCTTTTTAGCGGCAAAGCTTGGCGGGCGAAGGCTTTTTGTTTTTTTTTTTTTTTTTTTTTTACCACCGGAAAAAAGGAGAGGGGCTCTACTGTATGTAACTAGAGAGTAACTACCTAGGTACTTCAGATCAACGACAACTTGAACTCCTTACCAGATCTTTCTGAATCTCCAACAGGAATAAATAGAGCAGAATTTTCTACCCGTTGATATCTTCTTGGGACTGGATCCTAGAGGACCAAACGGTCCCACACGTGGGGAGACGGTAGATTCTCAGGGAAACCTGGTATTGGGACGCTGAATACGAGATATTCCTATTTGGTAGATACATGATATGGTAATATAATGGGGGGTTTCGCCTCCAGCAATGCCTCTTTCTCTCTCCCTTTTCCCCCTTCTATCCCTCTCTCTCTCTCTCCTCTCTCTCTTTCTCTATATCTCTCCCTCCCTCTCTCTCTCTCTCTTTCTTTTTTGGTCTTTTTTTTTTTTTTTTTTTTTTTTTCCCCTGTCTTCTTTCTTCCCATAGTCGTATAGTGGGCTGTTCATTCCCTGAGCCCTAATTTCTCCAACCCCCTCCTCCGTCCCATCCCATAATGAAGAGCGCTCCCCGCATCATCGTATGCGTATCCTTGCTCCTCTTCATCCCAATCTACCTCCTCAAAACATTGCTTTTGGATCTATATGATCAGTATAGCGCAGGCGCATACCTGGTCAACTGGATAAACCGCCACCACGATCAAACATGGAAATCGTACCCTGGAAACGCACGGGATAAGGTGATTGTCATGGCCAAACTCGAGTCAGAGCCAACAGAATGGGTCGAGGAGGAACTCCCAGAGTAGGTGATGGTGATCCAACCCCATCCTCCAAGATCCAGAACCACTCACGAACCCAATCTCCAGCTGGCAACAAGCCATCTACACCGTCAATCCCTCGCAAGGAACAACCGCAGACAAATACCAGCTCACCACCCCGATCAACAAGGGCCATGAGTCCATGGCCTACCTCACCTACCTCATAGACCACTACGACAGCCTCCCCTCGACCATCGCCTTCCTTCACTCCCACCGCTCGGGCTTCCTCATGGCCTGGCACGTCGACGCCCCGCTCCACGACAACGTCATCGCCATGCGCTCCCTGCAGCTTGACTTCGTCCAGCGCAACGGCTACGTGAATCTCCGCTGCAACTGGAACCCGGGCTGTAAGGAAAACCACCGTTTCAACGCCCACGTCACGCCGCAGATCTTCGCCGAGATCTTCGACGGGACCAGCACGCCCGCCCTCAACTCCACCACGTCCAGTGCCCTCGGAGACTCGGATCAAAAGTTCCTCCGCATCCCAGAGCAGGTTGGGGCCGCCTGCTGTGCCCAGTTCGCCGTCTCCCGGGAGCAGGTTCTCCAGAGACCACGAGACGACTACATCAAAATCCGCCAGTGGGTGATTGACACTCACAAAAGCGATGCGAGCAGTGGCCGCACCATGGAATTCCTCTGGCATATCATCTTTGGCCGAGAATCCGTCTAGTAAGTTTTCCATTCTTTCCTCCCACATTCCATGTCAAATACACATATAAAAGAGAGAAAACCTCCTAACATAGCATCACAGCTGCCCTGACCAAGAACTCTGCTACTGCCAAGTCTACGGCCAATGCTGATCCTCATACTACAAATCAAATAATCATTTTGGCGACTCTTATTACAACATATTCATACCACGTCCCCTGCCTCGACACCTATTGATTTATTTATGTATTTATTTATTTATTTCAATAGGACGATGTACAGTTGGAGATCACATTTTGGTTTTCTTGAACCAGTGACAAGGGCGGTATTAGATTGATTATTTTTGGGTGGGTTACTACTTATAGGTTGGGTTGGCGTTCTCTTTGCTTGCATTTTACAGCATTCCACGGCGTACCTGTACTGTACATATTCCCATATATATATATATATATTATATATATATATACCTTCCAAGGTTCCACTAGTAATTGCATTATATGATTCCCATTACAAGTGATGCTATTATTTTTTTATTTATTTTTTTTTCATTTTCTTACCACCCTTGTTAAGACTGATTCCTGGTAAGATTCTAAACAAGCTTAAGCTTAACCTTGGCTGCGATCGATCCTACTAAGTTTACCAGGTAGTTATAGTACGGAGTAGTGTCAGCAATTAGGTACCGGGTACCCTACCTAGGTACGGAGTACTAGTTAGTTAACTATAGATAGTAAGTTAGTTAGTTGGTATACTGTATTACTCATATGCTGATATAGGAAGTAACTAGTACAGGAAGATCTACATTACTTCTTCAGCGCAAAGCAAACCGAATCCAAGCATAGTTAATCATACGGTTTCATTACATAAGATGATGACACAACATCAATTCATATCAGAAAAAAAAAAAAAAAAAAAAAAAAAAAGGTCGACCATCCGGACGGACCTACTTCGCGTCAAGAAACTCTTCTACCCGTTCAACAAGGTCCGCCTTCTTCCCAGCAGAGGAGAGCCCATGCGAGATCATAAACTCCTTGAGAGCCACTACCGTGAGCTAGAAACATAGCATCAGCCTCGGAACCGATATATATATATATATATATATGTGGCAAAAAAAAAAAAAAAAAAAAAGCATAGGGGGGTGGGTGGTGGTGGTGGTGTACCTTTGACAAAGTTCCCTTTTCGTAGTGGCCTTGGACTATAGCTCGGATGTCATCCGGGCCTTCATCTGCCTTGACTTTCTTGGAGGCCCGCCCGGCTTGGTCTGCGCTGTCGGGGGCGGCTCGGTCTTTGGCGGGGCGTTTGGCCAATGTGCTCTTCGGTCCGAGAGGAGCAGCAGGGATCTTAGCATACTGTTTCTCTAATTCATCGGCCCAGGATAATACGTAGTCACCGGCGCGCTGGGCACAAAATTTAGCGATCAATCGATACGCAGAGGGCTCGGGTCAGCGGGACCCTACCTTGTCTATTTGCCGATATTTTGGCAGTGTTTTATCCTCGGGTTTCTCGGGAAGGTCCTCGTCCAGAGCGAGCGCCTGAAGAATACGGTAGTGCCATTGAAGGGCTAACGAGATAAGTCTACGTTTCCATTTAGGGACTCTGTTGGGAAACTCACAGGGATTGGGATATTTTTGGGGCTCGTAACAACCCTTGGGCAGTTGTAACTGTTGCACGATGGTTCGCATCTGGTCAATGAGCGGCTCTGGGGCAACCTGACAAGTGGCTTCGGGGTTCTGCCGGATATCGTCGGCAAAGGGGAGTGGTATAATCCACATCCCCGGGGGGAATTTCTGCACCCCGTTCTCATCTACCGTCCCCTCGCCGGCCATCATGGCACCAAGAACCGGACCTGCAGTCTTGCGTGCGATGAACCAAACAAGGGCTACTTTTTTATCCCGCAGAAGCTTCTGGTACAGCGCAGAAAAAACTCGCGTGGAGCCGACATAGTCTTCCTCGGAAGGGTAGATGAACAACGGATGCTTAGTGTTGGCCCAAAATGGGAGGGCCGAGAGAGGTTTAAATCCAATGATGCGAATCACTGGTTCGCCAAAGTCTCTTAGCCCCTTTTGCTCCTCTGGTGTGAAGGCAACTTGATCTCCACCGAATTTGTACGCCTTTCGGATCTCCGCCTTTTCGATCGTTCTGGCTGTATCGTCTGCGATTTGAGTAGTAACCCCCTTCGCGATCTGCGGTTTTTCACCTCCAAGCCACACAAAACAACTCCTCGCTGGCTCCTGGCGTTTGAATAAGAGATATCCCGAGACCGAAATCTTCAGGTTTGGGCCAAGTTCCAGCCCCATATTTGAGAAATGCGCGCGACGGGGCACAGATCTGGAGTTGATGCTTGATAAAAGACCATTAAGCAACGAAATTCCATCTTCAGTGGCGGTGGAGCTTTTCGAGTCCGGTTTCAAATATGCGGGGGCCTCGGGATCCGTAGGAGAGGCCTTGTAAATGATATCCTGGATTCCGTGAGCAGACTGGTCATCGATTTCAAGGAGCCAGCAATACCTACGTCATAGAACTTGGAGGTGTCGAACTCATGATCCGGTTGGGAAATTGGAAACAACTCAATGGTCACTCCCAGGTCATACAAGTCCTTCGCACGAACAGTAGCTGCGGATCGGAGAGACTTGTTGTCCCCATGAGGGTTGTCGTTGTCTGTCACTATGAATAATCGTCGGGATATGAAATTGGGAGCTTTGGACGTGAAAATCTGATTCGCGCAGAAAAGTAGATTTGCCATGGATACCGGCCCCGAAGACGGCACAAGCACCTCTTTAGCTTTTTCTTCGTCTTCGACCAGTGAGCGCAGTTCCAGAACTTCATGTGCGGAAGGAATATCCAGATCCGTCAAGAGGTAGCAGTTCGGGTAGGAGAGGTCGCCCCGGCTATTTTCGTCCTCATTGTAGAACTTGGACGACTCTGTTCCATACAGTAGAACTCCTATCATATCATGCGGATTGGAGATAATGCGCTGCTGCATCAGGTGGTATGCGCATTTCAGGGCAGCGGTGGTAGGTGACTCTTGGGTGGATTTCTTGGAGTCGGGGGATGAACGAGGTAGAAGCATCGAGTCGCTAACATCAATTGCAAACAGCACGGCATCCCTCACCGATTTGTACCCCTGTGGTTCTATATTAGCGAGGCCATGTTCTTTGAATATCGCTTGTGATTGATTGATCTCCGCACAGTATCATCCAGCTCCTCTTCCTCCTCCACCAGCTCGTCCTCTCGATGTGGACTATCGTCAGCCATTTTATGCGAGTTTAAAATACCACAGGAAGCTAAAATGTAAGCAAACTCATTGGGAAGAAAGGAAAGCAAAAAGAGGAATCGGGGCAGATCCCCAGCTCCAGTTATCAACGACGCCCGTGGTAGTATGCCTACCTCTATCGCTCTGTTGCCTACGCACCGGTGACGCGTTTCTCCGAGAAGACCGACGCGGGGAAGACACGAACATCATGTGACTGCGCCAGGGCTGGATGACCCTAGGGTTCTTCTGATTGGCTGCAGCAAGTCCGAGACTTGTGTTCCCAATCCGTCATCGACCGACGCTGAATTTGGAAGTCATAAAAGAGCTCCAGCTGGTCAGCTTCCATTCCCTTTTATTCCCACATCTCTTTCCTGTGGAAAATATTCCAGGTCATTTACTTCTCTTCCATCCGGTTATCTCGTTTTTTTTTTTTCATTTTATCTTGTACCGAGATTCAATTTGCGAGCTGATACCTCAGCTTCCTGTCATGGCTCTCCGCCGCCCCTTCAGCCTTACCCAGCAATTGCTGCGGCCCGTGTCCCGAATTCCCCTCGGATATAGTAGAGAACAGAGGCACGGCCTGGCGACAGCTGTCCCCCCGGTTACTCAGGATGCTACTGGGTCAAAAGGCCCTACAGCTATGGTCTTCCTCAATATGGGTGGCCCATCAACCACAGATGAGGTTCAAGACTTTCTTAGTAGGCTCTTTGTGCGTCTCGGAGTGTCTAAGATTTTAATTACATGCCACAATTCTAACTGTAGCTCATTTTATAGGCCGATGGCGATTTGATTCCTTTGGGCCGCCTTCAGACATACTTAGGTCCGCTCATCGCCAAGAGAAGAACACCTAAGATTCAAAAACAATACGCGGATATTGGAGGAGGATCGCCAATCCGCAAGTGGTCCGAGTATCAGTGTGAAGAAATGTGTAAACTGCTCGACAAGTTAAACCCCGAATCCGCCCCTCACAAGCCTTACGTTGCGTTCCGGTACGCTGCGCCTTTGACCGAGGAAATGTACACTAAGCTCTTAGACGATGGGTTTGGAAACGGGAAAGGAGGCCGTGCTGTCGCATTTACACAATATCCACAGTACTCGTGCTCTACAACAGGTAGCTCTCTCAACGAGCTATGGAAGTGGAGGAACAGACTGGAAGGCAAGGGTGGAAACGGGGATGTTGACCCCCAAGGTTCTATTCAATGGAGTGTCATTGATCGATGGCCTACTCATCCAGGTCTGGTTGAGGCATTTGCGCAAAATATTGAGGACCAGCTTAAAACTTACCCTGAAGACAAGCGGAACAATGTGGTTCTCCTGTTTTCAGCCCACAGTCTGCCCATGAGTGTTGTGAATCGAGGTAAGACTTGGTTCCTATTTGGAGACACCGCATCGTTACAAGTCTAAAAAAAAATAATTGTTTTCTAGGAGATCCATACCCAGCTGAGGTCGCTGCGACCGTTCATGCGGTAATGCAAAGACTGAACTTCAGCAACCCTTACCGACTCTGCTGGCAGTCCCAGGTGGGACCATCCGCTTGGCTCGGGGCACAGACTAGCGATACCGTTCAAGAATACGTCAAGAGGGGACAAACCGATATTGTTCTCATTCCAGTCGCTTTCACCAGTGACCATATCGAAACCCTGTACGAGTTGGATCTTGAGGTGATCCATGAAGCCAATTCGCCTGGCGTCAAGCGGGCCGAAAGTCTCAACGGAAGTCCTATCTTTATTCAGGCCCTCGCAGACATCGCGCACCAGCACCTACGGGGAGGAGAAAAGTGCTCGCTGCAGATGACACTACGCTGTCAAGGCTGCAAGAGTGAGAGATGTCTGGAACAGAAGAAGTTTTTTGCCGGCGAAAAATACTCTCCTCTTGTTCTCTAAACGATCCGAATTTCGAAGATTCTCTTATTGCTTTTTTGGGGGGATCGATATGTATTAGTATATCTTGGTCTCTTCGGTTGTACTTGGTCCTAGGTACCTGTAGATGCATTCATTGCCATAAGTAAATAATGTTCTTATGTAGATCAATTTTAACGACCACAATATACCAGTGGTTATAAATACGGGCATAATAATTCTTTTTCTCTTTTTTTTTTTTTTTAGCACCAACACTCGCCTTCCCATCTTCCTAGGTATAAACACAGTAGAGAACACATCGGTTCGGAATAGTTAGCAGAGAGGTGGTTCCATCCGGGAAAACCAGCAAAAAAAAAAAAAGGCGGACTACGGTAAGCGGAAGATGCCAACTCCGCCTAACAACTGCAAACTTTCCGATGAGCAGCTCCGAAAACATCTCCAACACCAACGTCGACAATCTGGACCAGCCAATTGACCTCCTGCCCGGCACATTTTAAAGTACTCAATTGTGCACTTTTTATTCCGTCCATCTCATGCTCATAAGGTGATATCTTACCATCCCGCCTGCTTCTCGCGGTGCTACCCCCATGACCCCGAAACCTGCCCACGGTGTTGCCGCCGTTCCCTCGCGAAATGCCCTTCGAGTCCTTCGGAGACTCGCTCTTGCCGGGTCAACTGTGGGCAGCTTTTGCACCGTTGCAGCTATCACGTACGATGTCCACCGGCGAGTTCGTATTGCGGAACGCATAGTCGAAAATAAACGAGCTCTACAGACATCTGCTCCCAATTATGATGCGACCTCCGCATCTAAAAGGCTCTGCCGCATGATGGAGGCGGCGGAAGCTGGTGAATTCATGAGCCTTGAGTCATGGCAGGAGGAGGAAAGAAAATTCAGAAAGTCACAGGGGTTCCAACCCGAGTATAACGTGAAGAGTGATCTGGATAAACAGCTCTCTACGGCCGCAACGGAACAGGAACAGCTTGTCGCTGTCTCCCAAACCAGGGCTCCTACAAATTCTGAACAGCCAACCGAGTCAATTCATTCCCCGGCGAACCAAACCATTCCCAAGTATGCCGACGGAAAGGAGTTCCCCGTCCTGACCCCAGTGACGGATGCCCGCTCAAAATATACTATTAGCCCACCAAGCCCAACAGCAGACCCAACTACTCCCTCACATGGCCAAGGGATGTCAATTCAAGAGGATGTTTCCGTGTCAGGCCAGATCCAGGACTTGCTCAATCGCAATCGACCTATCGATGCTGCGGAAGTCTTCTTGGGGGCCCATCCTGCCTCGGTCCAGGGTATCTCCTCAGGTCGGCGAGAACTTGCCACTCAGACATTCTATATCAACTGCAAGCAGAACAACGTTTTTATGGCAAGAAGTATCTTCAACCGGTTAAACGACATCGATACTGTATCCCCCACGATGTGGAAGGTTCTGCTGGTCGCGTTAGCCAGAAATGGCTCGGTCGAATCGGTTGCAACTCTTTATACCCAATTCATGCACAAATTTCAGCTTCCAGATGACCTAGTTGATATTGTTCTCCGATCACTAATTGAATCACGACGGCTTACAACCGCAAAGTGGGTTCTTCTGAGGAATTTACGTGTGGACCGGGATTGCGGATTATGCGGCGCATATTTGCAAGGTCTTTGGAAGAAAACAAGGAGCATAGAGCTCTTGAATGGTCAATTTCGAAAGCTTTTAATTATGTTTCCCCGCTTCGGGAAGACCCCTACCGAGAAACTTTTCAACCCACTGGTAAAGGCGTATGTGGAATTTGGCAGGGCCGCCGACGCTGAAGCTCTAGTACACGAAATGGTGAATACATACGAGGTTCCACTTGGTTGTCGGACTAAGGGGCTTCTGGTATACGCCAAGGCTCTGGATTGCGATTGGGAAGCGGTAGAGGCGGGTTTTGAGGAAATGCACGAGCTCAATCTCACGGACTCGAAGAGAGATTTCACTCAGATCTTTGATCGCATATTTCTGGAGTACTGGGTGACACATACAGGCACTGAGATCCGTGATTTCCTTTACCGGTATATCGACAGGTTCCGCATTGTTCCCGACCGAGTTCTTTACAAACACATTCTGGAAGCTTTTGTGGAGAAGGGTAATACAGACATGATCGCGGAATTCTCCCAACTGGCCAAAGAACGATTGTGGACGTCCAGGCTCAATCATGATGAGTTTCTAGAGCTTCTCCGGGATCGCCGGCAAGCCCTGGAGGATTCGCCCGTTGGGTTCTGGAATATGCTGCAGGCCGCGCGGGAGGAACATGGGCGAGCAGCTGCCACACAACAGGTCCTCGGCTATGACCAACGCTCATTCCCGCTCGCTACTGTGAACAAGATGCCCAAGTCGCAAGCTTCCCTTCCGTGGTATGAACGCACGCTGAAAGCGATGACTCCATCGAAGCCGGTGGATCAGTATCAAAAGCTTCACAAACAAATGACCCATTACATGCATGTGGGCAAGATGCACGAAGCCCTCAGATGCTATCAGAATGCCAAGAATGCCCAGTTTCAAGTGAAGCAGCTCCATGTGGAGCTGGCCGTGATTGCTACGCTCTTGGAAGACGGATTGAGCGCTGCGCGCGAGTTGATCGAAACCGAGTGGAAAAGCATCCGTCACCTGATTCGATTCTTCCCCGTCTTCTTCCGTCAGATCACGGACGCCGACCCGTCAGCGGAAGGGGAACTGATTAAAAGTGCGGTTCTGCGGTTTTACGAGCTCTGCTGGTCAAGCAAAAAGATGATGGTCAAGCATCACATCACCGCGGCGACTTCCCGACGTTTGATCATCCGCAAGCAACCGGAGTTGGCCATTGATGTGTTGACGGCTGTTTACACGTCCCGATATCGACGGGTGGTGAAATTCGATGCTGTTTGCATGAAAATGTTCCTTCGAGCTTTTGCGAGCGTCGGCAATCTTGCCGGGGTCCGGTGGTGCATGTTGACCAGTCTGTCCCGAGGGAGCGCGCTCAGCCGCGATTTTGTCGTTGAAGTGCGTCGGCTCATGGTAGCTCTCGAGCGCGACTCTGCGCCGGGGGAGCTGGCGGAGGAGGCAACCGAGCGGGCTAAGCAGCTGAGGTATCTCAATCACATCGCGGACATCCTCGAGCGGAAGTGCAACGGCGAATCCGAAGCCTGGGGGGTGAAAACCGACCTTGCGGTGAAGAAGTCGTATCGGCGGATGTTAAAACGACCGCTTGACCACACACGTCTCTACAATCAGTCGGAAATCCAACGGACGATTGAGGAGTGGGACGAGGAGTATGAGCTCGAGGGTGTGCTCGGACGCATTGACATTGAACCCAAATCCATTCTTGCGCGATGGAACGAGCCTTATTGTCTGGGCCAGAAGACGTCGTCCATGACAGAGTGGCATTAAGCAGGTGTTCCGGGGGGAGTGAATGAACCCCAGAAAGGGTATTATTCGTCTTCTTTCTTTCTTTCTTTCTTTCTTGTATTTTTAGCTAGCTTATTGGGAGTACTCAACCTGGATAAATTTCTGCGTATATTTCCTGCAACATATTTGGATCTACTCAAGAATCCGTGGGTTTTTTTGGCATGTGATTCTATACCAGCGCCGATTAATTCTTTCTTTTCGCATCGAACCACAGACTCATTCTCCACACATATCATACGTTTTTTTTTTTCTTCACCTTCTTTTCTTGTCGCTTTTTTTTTTTTTATTCAATTTTTATTTTTTTTCTCCTCCTCTGTCCCAGCCAAAAGCGCCTAGCCTCGTGTACTACTACTACTCCGTGTTGGCGGAGGCGGAATGTGAGTCTGCAGTCAGGCCACTTCAAGAACCACAAAATCCGCATCCCCCCCCCCCTTTCTACCTTAATTTAATTCGCGGCTTCCTTCTCCTCCCCCTCCCATCTTTATTCTTCTCCCTCTCTCGCTCTCTCTCTCTCTCGCCCACGCCCTGCGCGAGAACTATGCCCAGCGCCTTTTCGTCCATTCCCTCAGCTCTACCATCTCCGCCAACGTTCCTCCTCTTGACTTCCCTTCCGCCACAACAATGGCTTCCGCCGGTCTTGCTACCGACCATGCCAATAGCCCCAGCATCAAGGTCTCAGATGCAGCAGAAGAGCGCAGACGGGTTCATCACGATGCCGATGTGGTAATTGTGGGCGCAGGAGTTCTCGGATGTGCGGTGGCGGTCGCATTGGGCAATCAGGGGCGAAGTGTGCTCCTGCTCGAAAATTCCCTGAAGGAGCCAGATAGGATCATCGGAGAACTCTTGCAGCCCGGAGGTGTCGCTGCACTGGAACAGCTGGGGCTCCGTGACTGTCTCGAGGGTATCGATGCCATTCCCTGTCACGGTTACTATGTCTCCTACTTCAACGAACCCGTCACCATCCCATACCCCGTTCAGAGTCCCGGGTCGCCACCGCCGGAGGGCCGCTCGTTCCACCATGGACGCTTCGTGATGAAGCTGCGCGCAGCCGCCATGGCATGTCCCAATGTCACCGTGGTGGAGACAAAGGTCACAGATCTAATTGTCTGCTCCTATACCAAGCAGGTTCTTGGCGTTGAGTGCTTGACCAAGGACAAGAAGGACTGCTACTTTGGCTCTCTCACAGTTGTTGCGGACGGCTACGCCTCGAAATTTCGAAAACAATACCATCCTTACACTCCCAAGGTCAAGTCGAAGTTCTGGGGGTTAGAGCTTATCGACGCGGAGGTCCCGCAGAAATTCTACGGACATGTCCTTCTGAGCAGCAAGCGGCCCCCAGTCTTGGTCTACCAGATCGGAACACACGAGACGAGGATCCTGATCGATATCCCCGAAAACCTACCTACAGCGTCCGTCAAGAATGGCGGTGTCAAAAACCATATGCGAAATGTTGTCCTCCCTACTCTCCCCGAATGTGTACAGCCCTCCTTCGCCGCCGCTTTGGATAAAGGTCAATTGAGGTCGATGCCAAATTCCTACCTCCCAGGCGCGACGAACAAAACACCAGGGTTGGTAATGCTAGGTGACGCCCTGAACATGCGACATCCTTTGACTGGTGGCGGAATGACTGTTGCCTTCAACGACGTGGTGATCCTCCGGGATCTACTAAGTCCGGAGAAGGTCCCCAAGCTGAGCGATACTGCTCTCGTCCTGAAACAGCTGTCTGTCCTGCACTGGAAGAGGAAACAAGGTGCATCAGTCATTAACATCCTAGCCCAAGCTCTCTATTCTCTTTTCGCAGCTGATGGTGAGTTCCCCCCCCGCCTTCCCAGCAACATAACCTCTCCCGCATGCTAACCAACCCCTCACAGACAACTACCTCAAAGCCCTCCAACGAGGTTGCTTCCGCTACTTCCAACTAGAAATGCACAGAGAACCCGTCAGTCTGCTCGGCGGTATGCTCAAAAAACCTACAGTCCTCTTCCGCCATTTCTTCACCGTCGCCTTTCTCTCGCTCTGGCTCGTCATCCGCGAGTACCCAATATACCTCTTCCCCGTCGCCCTCGTCAAATGCGTAATGGTTTTCTGGACGGCGTGCGTCGTCATTTTCCCTTACATGATAACCGAGGCCTTCTGCTAGCGAATCGCCCTCCACCCTTTCCTTCGGGTTCCAATAATGACTAAACTACCAAGGGGACGATTCCCCCCGGCCTTGATAACGATCCTAGTTTGTGTGTATAACTAACCACCTGTACTTACTTTCTTATTTATTTACTTCCTTCCTTACTCTACCCCATATATCTACCCTACCCCCTTGCACCTCTTGTTTTGTCTCTTGAGAAAGGGACAGAGAGAGAGAGAGAGAGAGAGAGAGAGAAAATATGTTTCATGGTTTCTTTTCTTGTCATGTAATAATAGAACTTTATTAATTTTTCATTTATTTTTTGCAAAGGTTGGGGTTTCCTCTCCCTCTACATATTTCAATGGACCATTTAGACTAGGCTAGGATATGTAGATGATGCATCTTGTGTTTGTTGAGCATCTTGATAATCATGCCTGGGGATCATCATAACTTGATACATGAGTTCAATGTATACGGGGCCTGGCTGACTGACTGGTATCTTGATTCAAATTATTGTTTTTTTCACCACTCCCGTATCTGGTGAATAAATAAATAAATAACTAAATAAATATAACAAGAGATATATGAGCCAAAAAAGGTCTAAGAATCGGATTTCATTTCATTTTTTGATTCCTTTTCAGTATCTTTCTCTGGCAATATGTAAATCCCAAGTTCTACATCTGATTCATAGCCCAATCCTGGCCGCCTGGAGTTTTAACAAAAGAGCAAATTGTATCACACAATCACAACGCAGACAGACAGACAACAGCAGGAGCATAATGAGCAGGGCACAAGAAAAACAACAACAACAAAAAAATAAGAACACACATGTATAAATTGAACCCACTCGCCTGGCTCCCTGCTATGATGGTATATTGATGATGATAATGATGACAAGGATCATGCTGCTCGGAAAATAATCTTCAAAAATCCACAACCAGCAACACAAAAAAAAAAAAAAAATTCTGGGGGGGTAAAGAAGAATGAAAGAGTAGATGGGGAAACACTACTCAAACTGTATAACGTACAATAACATACTTGGCCTTTTTTTTTTTTTTTTTTTTAACGTGCAATTTCCCCCCATTTTGAATAAGTCTGTGGTCTGATCATGGCGTATTCCTCTCTCTTTGCATATGAGAACGCTTTTGAAAGGGGGAGGCGAATGAGCATGGGAAGCAAGAAGAGCTTGATATTCTGGCAACAGCCAAGATTCTGCCAATGTCGGGAGAAATGCCACATCTCGAGCGCAAAACAAAAAAAAAATATTATAGAGAACAGGGTTCAGATATTCATGAAATGATGCAATTGATGCAGAGGTGACCCATAACCAGCCAGACCTATTGCCTGCCAATTTCCGTTATCTGGCCTTGAAAACGCCAATAATGAACATGATAACAAGCCGATTCAGAAGAGCATAGGGGATTTTGACATATACACACACACACACACACACACACACACACAGGGAGAGAGAGAGAGAGAGAGACAAAAAAAAAGAGAGAGAAACATGTCATATACTTTCCATTAAAGAGCCGGAGAAAACAATTCACCGAAATATGTCATTTGCCGAGAGGATATCGCCTCTTTTATACAGTGCCAGACTTCCAGTATAGTTGATAGGGAAGTAAAGTCGAGTTTTAAACTCCGACAGGCCAAACATAAGAAAACTTGGAGCACAAACTGTACACATGCCTTCCAAGTAGTGCCCATTCATGGATATAATCACTGACTAGGTAACGGGCCCAGAGAGAAGCAAAGTCGTACTGAGTAAGCTCATGTGCAGGATGCCTGAACTCGATACACCCGTGGGGATTATAAAGCGGTGTTGAATACCAATAGTTCAAAGTAATGGTCGAACATGACAGGGAGAATAGTTTGACGTCACATATTGTTGATTACCCCCCTTTTCTCAAGGTTTCATCCACTGGGAGCGGCTCTGCGCCATTAGGTAGCCCATGCCTGTGCTCTGTAGGTAATTTGGTGTTCTTTTTATGTTTTCTTCGCGTTGTTTGCCAGCCACTGTTCGTCTGAGCATTGGAATCTTGCGTTACAGAGCCAGCACCATTTGCTTTCCGTGCAGGACCAGGGTTCCGTTCCTTCGTATCGCTTGATCCAGTTGAAGGCAACTGTGAGGGATCTGGACGGCTTTTGGGCTTGGCTTTATGGGAAATTCCATTGGACTTCTCTGGTGCATCGGAGCCATTGGGTCGACGTTTCGTATGAGACGGTTGACTATGTTGGTCTGGTGCTGGTGGAATCCCCGGAAGTGACGCTGCTCTCTCCCCTACATTTGTATTCCTTCTGCGAGGGGGCTCCTTCTCAGTAAACTCGTGACGGTGCTGTTGAACTGTCTTCGATTTTTCCTGCACCGGCTTGGACAAGGATTCCCTCTCCCCATTGGCAAGGTGAAGACTTTGCAAACGGCTTGAAAGCAAACCCGGCTTCCCAGTATGTCCATTGACAAAAGGATCGGCTGGGTTTCCAATGTTATGGGAATCGGTTGCTTGTCGACTAAAGAGCGGCGTCGGATCAATTTCAGCGGAGCTGTTGTCTTGAAAGTCCTGCGAAAAGGAATTCGACACACTGGCAGGGGTATCCGTATTTTGATCATCAGAGTTTGACGTACAATGGCTCATCGTACCATATGGATCGTAAGCATCCGTCGGAATCGAAGGTCGTTGCTCACTGGGAGGCACGGACCCATCCACAATTAATGGGCCACCTCGATCACCGGAGCCGGCTGTTCGGGAACTCGTCCTTTGTTGCAATTGTCCAACTTTTGGGGATAAGGCGGAACCGGTATCAGAAGAAAGACTAGTGGTTTCATTCGATGGCACGGCCGACATGTAATCCTGCGGGTTCCCAACTAAAGGTAGAATGTTACCGTTTTGCAATGCTAGACCGACTGAAGCCGACAATGGCGATAGCAGAGCGTTTTGGTGATATGTCTGCAATTGCGGAGAGCTGCCAAAATAGTATCCCATGTAGTCAGCCTGTCTATTGTCGTCAAAATAAGAAGATCGACTGGGCAAGCTATTGGGCATAAATCCGTTATCCTCTTCACTCTGCGTATCGTCGGGGGAGCCAGGAGCATTGCGCTGTTTCGAAGCCTGGACACTCTCCATCGATTGCGAGATTGAATAAAGGGGCGCGAAACTGGGAAGGGAGTTAACGGGTCGAGCAGGTTGCGAGTGCGCTCTAAGAGACCCTCCCGGGGATCCGTTCGCGACGGAAGATCGACGTGGATTACGGCGGAGATCAGGCATCGCAGCCGTGGCTGATGGCGACGGTGGATTCGTGTTGGTTCCCTGTACCCCAGCAACTGTTACTGGCAAGTAAGAAGAGTTGTAGTAGAGATTTTGACGGGAGGGAACACTAATGGGTGGGTGGTTCACAGTTCCAGATCGTGAACGGGAACTATCATCACCAGCAGGTTCTTGCTGGGGCATGGGAAACTGAATAAAAGGTTGACGAATCAGGACAGGAGGTGGCCTTCCGGTTAGCAGTGCTTGGTTTTGCAACTGTAATCGCAATTCTTGCTCTTGAGCCTGGAGAATCTGTATCTGCTGATAGAGATGGTCATGTAGCAGGTACTGTGCATGTTGCGCCTGGAGTGAGAGCTCCGACGCACTCATTCCACCGCTGGGCTGACGAAAATTATTTGACTTATTCGGAGTATTTGAACTTCGACGACCGCCCGAATGCCCGCCACGATTATATTGATTTGAGTGTCGCCCGCCCCGGCCTCCGCCTCGACCACCCCGACCTGAATGTGCAGGTGTTGCGGTAATGATCGGTCGTGGTTGTGGAGGTGGCCTCTCCCACGAGCGCTCTTCTTCAGGCGGATACTCATATTGCTCACAACAGAGCTCGAGATTCCCTTCGGAAACTGCCTTGAACGCTCGGCGAAGCTCCATATGAACACCCCTAAATGACGTATCATCCGCAGTATTCCCCAAGTTTCGCGATGTATTGAACGGTTCCTCAACACAGAGTCGATTATTTTGTAACAGATGCCACCCCTTGCCAACTTTCGAAATTAACTTCGCCTCTCTAACCGAAATCACGTACGTCTCGTAGTCAAGTTCGTGCCCATAGTAGCGGAAAAACCGGAACAGAAGTTCCCCTAACGACTGCTTATTCTGTCGGCCATACCCCGTCAGAGAGTCCAAGTCGTCATCGAAGGAACACACCAAGCCGTCGGCGGTTAGTCTTTTCTTATGAGGGCGGGTCTGGAGGCTTGGTAGGATCGGAGGATCTCGAGTCTGGAGAAAATTGATAATCAAGCAAATCCAGGTATAAGAACTTAGCGTGCCACCGAGTCCTGCAAGTCAATTCTGTCAGTATCTGAACCACAGCGGCTGCTTGCTGTCTCAAGGTATGCGACCAGGAACATACCAGCATCATTGAGTATCCTCCGCTTCGTCCAATGCTTGATGATCATAGCTAGCGGCCGTACACGATCATCAATTTCCACATATGTTCGTACCATTCGCGTATTTTCCAAGGCTAACGTGTTGTTCACATTCATGTCACATGCCAGGCGTAACTCCGGGTCCCAGATCTTCACAATGGGGACTTTCGCATGCGAAACACAGACAACTCGTTCCATCCCATCTACAACAAGGGTCAATCAGCACCTGGTCGTGGCAAAGGGGTCAAAGAGGGCATCTCCTTACGTCTTGCGAGAACATCTGCCAGCAGACATACATGTTCCAGCTCCTTACAAGTGGTGGTTATACAAATGTCCACTGCTTTCCATCAGTCTCGTCGTCTCCAGCTATACAGCAAGCATACGTACCATCCGAATCACTCGAACATAATTTGTTTCCTGATGACCCAAAAACGTTAACTTTGATATCGCACCCTGGCCACTGATCTCTAAAGAGTTTTTCCAACTTCCGGACCAGTTGACGTCGTCGATCGTCACTTTCGGCGGATGGCAGTAGTTTATCGTAAACCTCGAGCATTTCCGTTGTCAGTTTCCGTTCCTCCTCCGGTTCCAACCGTGGTTTGAGTCCCTCCTTTTGCTCTGGCAGCAGGTCCGCACCAAGGCTGTACGGCATCCGTCGACGAAAGAATGACATGGCAGTCTCATATTTACACCCGGAGAACGGTTTTCGCAGGGAGGGAGGGATATGTGTTGTCTCCGAATGCGTTGACCGAGGGGAGGTGTTTCCGTGAGGTGGGGAGGGGGATCTGGAGCGAAACGAAATTTTCCGCGCATGTTGGTAAGGGGTGGAGGGGAGGGAGTTAGATTGTTGTGAGGCCAATGGGGGTCGATTCGAAGCCTCTGACGACGTCTCGTTTGGTGTCAAGTTCCACGACATAGTCGAGGGGGTTTCCGACGCTATCGGCGACTGTTCATCTGGTCTGTAGGATAATTTGTCATTCCCATCGGTGTCTGGGACCATATAGCAACTCCAACGTTGTCGGGCAACGTTGGCCTCCGAGAGAGGTAAACCGGGTTGCTTTCCTGCCACTACCGAAGGCCCTGTGTGCAAATCGACCCGAACTGCCAGACTCGAAAGATCTCCCAGGTTAACCTTGGGGCGAAACGAAACAACCTGTCACTTTGCAAGATTATAAACCACGCGTTATCCCTCAGTTACAAAGGGGAAAAAAAATCCCCCCCTTTCTATAGTGAATTGAGAGTAATATACGGGAGTCGAAAACGAACGAGGAAGGAAGGGGGGAGGGGAGTAGAGGAGACGCGGACAAGAAGGGAGAGAGCGCAGCGGAGGAATCGGCCGGCGATGCGAGCGAAATTGTCTTTGTGCTGCTGGAGCACCTTCTCACTTTGTCGGGTGGTGATCAAAGGCTGGAGTGCCACGCGGCAAATCAACTTGAGGGGAGAAGAATCGAGAGCAAGGGGAAATAATTGAAGTCCGTCGAACGACGAGAGTTGTAGTCGGACAGGTCGTTACCATCGATGAACAGATACTCCGTAGATGACAGCGTTTTAAGGGGAGTGCGTGCGATAGACTTGGAGGCGGGAAGGGCAAACCTCGAAACCACACCAGTCGAGGAGACAGAGGCTAATGGGGAGAAACAAAAATACGTTGATCTTCCTCCATAGAAGGGCCAGCCTAGTGGGTAATAATTTTTTTTGGAGCGATTGTAGCAGAATGCCAGATAATATAGAAACAGCGTGAGAACTGTGAAGGGGGCTGAAGATACAAAGTGAGGAGGAGGGGGCAAGTCCCAGCAACGAAGCATCGATTAAGCACACAACGCGGGAGAGATGAGCCTGAGCCAGGGGGCTGTCAATCACCCTCCGGCGCTCGGCAGTGGGAGTAGTAGTAGTAGTAGTAGTAAGTTATAGGTCGTGCAGTGTTGAAGACTATATAGGAGGTAGTAGAATCTCCACACACTGACCTCAAAAGTAAGATTATTCTTTTTACTCATTTAGTTATTTATTATTATTATTATTATTATTATGAATAAGGGGCCAGAGAAATGAATTCAGAAACTCATCGCCAGCCAAGGAAATTTCCAAAGAGCCAAATAGTCTCCCCGTCTCTTGTCTCAGAAATAAAGAGGAGGATCGCTCACTGTAGTTTTAAATCCAAAATAAGTCCCGGGTAGATGACAAGGTGAGATTGCAATTCCCCTGTGGTCGATAGAATCCATTCATCCATCACTGTACTCCGTACATGATTCTTTTCCCGGGGGATTTACAGACTTCTTTGTGCCTCAGGCAGCCCGCGAGACGTTTGACACCTCAATCTGGCATGAATAAGGAATGTCTTTTTAACTACTCTGTAATTTAATTTAATCTTTGATTTTTTTTTTTTTTCCTAGTGCCCTTTGAGTCATTCATGATGATAACGAAGACAATAGCTCGACTCAGGTAGTTGAATCATCTACACAATGCAAAAGGTAGGCCAATAAGATCTATCTATCAGAATCTCCTTCCAAGTGAGTCTTTGTTCCCCCTCCCTCAAGGAACTGGAACTTGATAGAAGTAAGTATGAACTTCCCCTTTAATGTCCATCGTTTCTACCGTGGTCGAGTCCTCAGGCTAACGAGCACTTTCTTTCTCTCGAGTATACATACCTAGCTACCCTCTCTGTAGTAGAGGTAGAGGAGTAGGTACCCCTTTTGCCCCGCGTTTCTTGTCTCACTCAATTCTAGGGTGAATGCAGCGCGTCCAGCACGTGTGGCCGTCTGGTTTGAATTTCACCAGGTGGTACGGAATACCAGGGATTTGAATCTATCCATCTAGTCTTTTACTACGCTGTACTGTACTACGGCCCACTCTTCTTCACAAGATTGACCACCGTGTTCTTAGGATTGCAGTGTCATCAAAGAACTCAGAAACCCTTGCACTTGGATTCTTTCTTGTTCCCTTTTCTGAACCTCACCTCCTCTTGTCAATTCCCCTACGTATACATACCTATATAACAGCGACAATATGCAAGTGCAGTCAACTACTGTAGTATCTATCAAACTAAAAATCCTAAATTTATCTCGCGTTAAAGGATGACCCCCTGTCGTTGCCAAGTTGTAATGGAGGGCAGTTTAGTCTGCGACTTTTGTCCATTCGATCGTCCCCGTGTTGCTAAAGTAGGAGATCCTGTTTAGTGCCAGGTGTAGTGACTAAGACTGTACCTATCCAGTCTGACTTGGATTCTATTGGGGGCGATGGTTAGTTTCGATGCGTTCTCTAACAAAGAGAAGCCGAGGGAGCCATGGATTCCCCGGGGGGGGGGGGGGGGTTCCATTTCGCTTCTTTATCTCTGTATACTCCGTATATCAAGTTTCACCATAGCTCGACCATCAATAGCCTGAATTGTACACGGGAAGTTGGATAATATCAATCATTCATATCCGGAACTATCCTGAGAGGTACCTCTTCCCCGCAATATCTATGCAAACTACAGAATTAATATTCGCAGATATAGAGAACTACCACCTAGTTAGTTCATGTGAGTTTATGTCAAGTCAGACTGCAAAGCCAGCCTATCCCCACCTGAAGAGATATCTACGATTTATCATTGCACCGGATGTAGCAGCCGCAACGCAACACGGATAATCCACGCCACTCGCAGTATAATGACGCTGAGCAGCACCGTGAGTGATTTGGCTCGTGTTCTGTCCAGACGTGGGGGTCCGAGTGTTATCCATATATGTTCAACTGCAGTGACCCCGCCTTAACTTCCTGTACCGGTTCGGATTTTTGAACGTTTCTTGAACAGGAGGACATCTTCTCACCATGTTTCTCATATGAGAGGGATACGGTTCGAATTGGAGGAGATATTACCTGATTTGTTGTAAATGTAAAGTAAGCCGGACGGACAAGATGTGACCCGCAAGGAGTCCGCAGCACAAGGCCACTAGTGAAGGTTTAGTTGGATTAGATTAGCACCATCCCCACGAGGCCGAGGACGCTTCGATGGGGTTTAACTTATACAGAGTTCGTTCCAGCCGTTGTAGCAGTAGGTAGGGGTAATAAACCACGTAAGATCTTCCTCTGCTTTGGATGTATCTTAAAAAAGAAAAATGCTCCAATACTTTAATTAGGATATTCATCATTACCACAAAAGAAAGGGAGAAATTATTCCCTCAGCCTATAGAGTATGGAGTAGTGGGATAGATGTGGCATTAGTTTTTAGTACTACCAGCCAGTACGGAGTAAAATTCAGTTGCTACATACGCCATTGTGCATTGATGTTCTGGGGCCAGAATCATATTTCCCTGATTTTGATTTCAACAGATGTACTCTTTTTCTTAACTCTTGGAATGTGGTACATACTAATAAATTTTGTGAATGACTACTACTTGTACTACCAGTACTAGTAGTAGTAGTAGTAGTAGTAGTAGTAGTAAGTACACTCTGTAAGTATTAAATACTTACCTGGATGGACTCCGATGGAGTGAACTGATGGTGGATCCCCTAATAATGACTAGTTAACTAGTTAGTACTCGCTGGATACTCGATGATAAATCAAGATACGCCATGGTTGAATAGAAGAGAACAGAAATCCTTAGAGATATACATATATATCTATGTATAGATATGTAGATATTTACTATGCCGATACTCTAAAGTAGAAGCTGTAGGATTAAGAATTCCTTCAATACAATTATAGAGAGTGACAGCCAGGGTAAAAAACCAGTCAAGTAAAATCAAATCAAGTACTAAAAACTGGCCCGATGAAAAGTAGCGATGAAATTCTTCCATCACACCTGCCCACCTACTTGGTATTCTTTTCACCATAATAATAGTAGCTTGGGTATGAATGAGATAATACAGAGTAATAACTATTCTATTGATGAAATTAATAATAATTAAGGTATAGTTATGCTTGTTCTAAAAGACATTCTATCACAAGGTTAGGGTACTCTGTATGGAGTCACCAGACTGTTTGATACTTTCTCTTATTAACTAAACCTGAATGATTCTAACAGCCGAAAGGCTCCATATTTTTTTTTTTTTTCCTTCTCCTGGACTGAACACTGTCTTTTTTTTTTTTTTTTTTTTTTTTTTTTTCTTCCCTTAAAATATTAGTTAGATTATTATTAACTAACTATGTATTATTATTCTCATCATTAGTTATTATCATTATTATTAGTTACTTATTATTCCTGGTTAAAAAAATAATAATCCACGCTTCTTCTCGCTTCTCTCCCCCCTCCTCCTCTCTCTCTCTCCCCCCAGTGCCTCTTCTTCTCCCTCCTCTTCCTTTTTTTCTTCTTCTTTCTCTCTCCCTCTTTTTCTGCCACCCGACTTCAAGTTTGTGTATCCATCTTTCTCTTCCCTCCTCCCTCCCCACCCCCCCTGTCTCTTGTTTCTTTAATCCCCTCCCCCCACGTCTTCTTTCCCTTTTCCTTTCTTCCACGCCGGACTTCGCCGTCTGTCGTGCCTTGGGGGGTTAAAAGTGCTTCATTTTTAATTCCTTTTCTGCCTCGTTCACTCGTGGTAGAGCCGCCCGGAATCCCTCCTTTTCTTGTAAGCCACCTCCCTCCCCGATTGATTGTGTTGCATCTCTCTTTTTTTGCCCTCTCGCTCTCGTCACCAAACTACCCTCAGATGACCCCGGGAATATTCCAAAAATTTCCGCCTCCCTTGTCTTGTCGGTTCTGTTTGACTTTTGCGTTGTGTTGGATATCTCCTTGTCGAGCCCTGGTGGTTCGCTCCCAAAAATAAAACCCGAAAAAAAAAGTTTCTCGATACCTAAAGGGACAACTCGGGAAACTCAACAATACCTCCGATCGATGTCATCTGTCGTCGCTGGTCTCTCGACTCCAATTCTATCCTCACCGTCTCCTGTCTCTTTCGTAACGTCGCCTTTGGTGTGCGGGTTATTTTTAGAGTCAAAGCTTACCGTCTCCTTTCCAGCCCAGAAATAGGGTCCGACTTTCGTCCGAGCAAATCAACCATCCTAGCCAGAATCTTTGATCTACCCGTCATCCAAAGTCTCTATCGGTAAAAATGGCGTACTACGAACCTCAGGGATGGCAAGCTCCCACCACGCGCCAGGCGTCATGGGAGCAGCCAGTGCCTCCGTCGCGATCAGGTATGATGCGAACCATTCTATGATTCAGGTCCTCTCCCATTCGAGGTTAAAGCTTACCCGGTTTTTTCCCCTCTTCTTCTTTAGGCTCGAGTTCTGTTTCCCAGCGCGACGAAGCCCCTGCCTTTTCCTCTCAATTTGATGGTATGCACGAACCGACCTTACTTCTTGAACACAATATCTAGCTAGCCCTTTCCCCCCTATTCCTGGTGTTTTGCCTACAATCTATATAATGTGGCTATCGGATGATGCAACTGTCCAACTACCCTACCCCAGACCCGAAGATTTCATCGAAGGACATATCTCTACTACCAAATTGGCGCGGTTACTAACGAGTTACTTTAGAGGTCGATCGTGCCATCGACAACCTCGTGAAGAGTGGGAAATTATGGGCTACTCCGCGCAGAGATTCCATGCCCATGATGGTGGGTCGTGGCTACCCCGAATACGGTATGGGCTCTCAGTATTTGTCAAAGCGACCTATTTTCTAAACCTGGTCAGATCCTCGCGGGAGCAACATGTCCCATCGCCATCACTCGATTAGCGAATTCGATGGCAACAGGGTACACCCAACCCCCAATATGCAAGGTTTCTATGCGTCGCAACGGTACCAAGGTCGCCCAAATGAAGTAGAGCAGATGATGCAAGCAAAGCGTCGGATGGCAGCACAGCGTGAGAGGGAACTCCGCAACTATCACCAAGAGCAACAGTACAATCGAAGTACGTGGTAGCATTTTTGGAACTTTTTTCCTTTTTTTTTTTTTTTTTCATTTCCTTATATTCCCCGTGATCTTTCTACCCACATGTATCCGTTGTCTTGTATAATACATTGGGGGGCGTGGTCCCTTTTCTCTTTTTTCTGAACATGGTTTTAATTCTTCTCTTTCTCTCAAAGGCCTTTTAGCCGAAATGTCTGGCAGCAAGTCCGAACGCTCGCTCAGTCCCGCCGCCATGAGCGAGGAAAGCCGCCGAGAACTTTTGGCTCGTCAGCATAGGGCCCTGTACGGCAACGACAGCCCCGCCTTCTTCCCTCCAGGCAATTTCGCGGATGATAGCTCCCGACCAGAGAGCCAAGCAGGTGGTACCCCGTCCTCTGCTATTGGTGTTCGAGGTTCCTCTCCCCGCAGCGTTGATCCATTCGGCCAATCGGCTGCCCCAGGTAGCGCAGAGACCGGTCCTCAGCCCTCACTTCAGTCTCCTTCTCGTGCCGACAGTACCTCGTCCCCCAGCTCCGGTATTAACCCTGTCTTCGGAAAGTATGATGGCACCGACCCGACGGTGACCTCGACCTCGTCGCCCGGCGGGGCTGATTCCCCTTCCTCGAGACAGGCGCCGTCCAAGTCGGTCATCGGACCCGTAGGCCCCATTGGTTCCCGTCCACTTCAACAGACTAGTTCCGTTCAGGCCCCCAACCCAGCTCTAAACAAGCGCTCTACTACCCCGCTACCTTCTCCTCTTGGATTCGGCTTCACTCCCGGTGAGTCGTCTGTGGCCGGGCCTAACGATCGTTCGTTGTCATCGGCCTCCAACCCTACTGCTTCAACATCTGTAGGAACCGCCAGTGCTAAGGATACCTCCGGCGGTGTTGGACTTGGCTGGGGCAATAGCAGCGGCGTCTGGGGCTCTAAAACTGGACTGGGCGTCCAGGCTTCGGTGTGGGGTTGAAGCTAAACCTAACTCTCGAACCTGGTCTAGCTCTTACTTCCTTCTTCACTCTTTCTTTTTTCTTGGTTGGTACTCACTTTGCGCCGTGGCGTTTTTGAAAAGAGGTTTACGTTTTCATCCTGGGAGGGAGCATGGTACATATACGGAAGATTGCGAGCGGTGCAACAATATTCTTCTCTCGGCTCCATTTGTGCAGTGTTAATTTGGTCCATGGTTTACTGACTAGGTAGGAGCTTGGTTGGGCTGTTGGTTTCCGGAGTCGGTATTCCCCATTTGTGTGCATTTGACATTTGTTCCCCCCTTTTTATCTCTCCGATTAGTCTGGCCGTGTTTGGCTTTTCTGCATTTGTTTTATATGCCGTTTCTTTTTTGGTCGACATTTGTTGTGTACCTGGGAATGGTTTTGCGTGTTAATGTCTCGGCTCTTGTTTCCAGCTTATCCAGGGGGGTTAAGGTGTTCTATGTCATCATTCGGGTCTGGTTGCAAGTTTGGCTGAAGTCGTGGTGGTGTCTTTTATTTCTTCTCCTTTTCTCTTTTTCTTTTAATTGGGCAATGGGTTATGGGCACCAAAAGGGTTTCTTTTCTATTGTGTTCAATTTTGGGGCTTGGGCAACGGAACATGGGCAAACATCAAAAGAGTTATTGGAGTTTGATCCGAACCGAGTTCTCTGTTTCTGTCCATGTTCACGGCTTGATTTGAATTGGCTTTCTGGTTGTTTATGAATGATTATGTGTTTACCTTCTGATTCATCTTTCCATAATTGATTCTCCCCTTGTTCTTTTTTTTTTTTTTTTGGTTTTTGTGTACTGGATTGGAGTTCCTGGAGGATATATTCCGGGATGGATCGAGGGTTTCACGAATGAAGATTAGAGATGAGTCTGTAATGCGATATTGCGACGATGTAGCACGAGGTCTAGAATCCTAGTTGATCCTACATAAATAAATACCTTCCCGAGGCCTTGCAGATGCTAGAGAGCTATGTATATAACAAGCAGGGAGATCCATACTAGTAATCGATCCTGACTTGGCAAGAGGAATCTTCTCTTCAGGGGTTCAGCAGGCGAAATCTATATCGAGACGAATGTGAGGAATAGATCAGTCGCGGGGAAGGATACTAGAGAATGAATTTTATCGAGGGTTGGGAAAGAGAGGGTTGAGTGACCTGAAATGCCCCTGGATATAGATTAGGGACGGGTATGATCATAGCTTAAGGGCATCTAGAAGGATTCCAGCTGCACCTCATCGTTGACGTTTTCTTTCTTTATCTTTTTCCTTTTCCCTCCCTGGATTCATGAGACCCTAACTGCTCAGGTCGCGTGTGGTAGTGACTTATACTTATAACTTACCTCGAAAGAAGAGGGAAAAAATCATTCTAGTGCCGACCGATTACTGCCGAGACCATCATCCCCGATCCATTCCTCTTCTTTCTCTTCTTCCTCTTCCTCTTCCTCTTCCTCTTCCTCTTCTTCTTCTTCTTCTTCTTCTTCTTCTTCTTCTTCTTCTTCTTTGTCGTCGTTGTCGTTGTCATCGTCTTGTTATTATTATCCGTCATCTTACCCACTACTAACTAGTTAGTTACCTCCCTCCCGTCCGTACCTTAATCATCGATCGTCACCTGCAAATCTCATCTTCTTCCTCCTCCACTCCATTCTCTATTCTCCTCCCTCCCCGTGCTTTCTCGTCATTCATAACTTTACCTACAACCATCCGATCGCCCTTTTTTCTTTTCTTTTCTTTCTTTTCTTTTCTTTCTCGCCCTTCCAATTATTTCCTCAACTTTTACTTAGCGACTCACTTTCTCCTCTTCACCATCACCTTGGCGCTCTCCTCGCGCCGGTGCACTCGTTTTTGAGTTGTCCCGGAGTGACGAGACGCCCCCTCGCCCCTCGATCGGATCATGGCGCTGGACTTGCAACCACCCAGCGATCGCAAGCGGGTGAAGGTCTACGAACTCAAGGATAATGACTGGTTCGATAGGGGAACCGGCTTTTGCACCGGCCGGATCCAGGATGTAAGCTTTCTCTCGCCCCCCATCGCATGGCATGGCATGGCATATGGCATCATCCCCGCCCACGCGACGGGCGCAATACACCGCAGCAACCCGGCGCACTCCTTGCCCACTATTAGCTCGATGCTAACATTCTCATTTCTTTTTGATTAGGACGAACCACGGATATTTGTCGAGTCGGAGGATAAGCCCGTCCGCGTGCTCCTGGAAACCAAAATTTCCAAGGATGGCGGTTACCAGAAACAACAAGGTTCCTTTTCCTTGCCTACTCTCCTCACTTCCTTTTCCCTGGTCCTCTTCGCCTGTTGGATTGGGGGGGGAAAAAAAAAAAAAGAAGAGTCGTAAGCAATGGGCATCGCTAATACTACTCTTGTTCGGATTAGAGACCTTGATCGTGTGGACAGAACCTAATCAGACAGATATGGCTCTGAGTTTTCAGGAAGCAGAGGGCTGTGCGGTTATTTGGTAAGACTCTGCTCGCATGAGGCAGCTGTCTTGACCGAGTCTTTCGCTTATCGCGTCCAGGAACTTCGTTAATGCCGTTCAACAACATCTACTCAACATCGCCGCCGCTGGTGAGCCATTCCCGTGTTTCTTAGCCCTATGCGCGCTCTTCCGTGCTGGTCGTCGTTACTGATACCTTTTTTTTTTTTTTTTTTTCCTTTTTTTTCCCCCACAGATGATGCTTTATCCGACGACCTCGAAGGCTTTCAGTCAATCATGCTACCCGCGCCCGAACTTGGAAATCTCCCTGAGATCGATCATATGATGAGAGCTGCCAGCATAACCCAGGCCGGCCGGGACGCGCTATCGAAATGTGTTATCCGAGATGAATACATCACCAAGCTCCTACCCTTGGTCACTGTCGCCGAAGACCTCGAGAGTCTGAGCGATCTTCACCGTTTGTGCAACATTATGAAGTCACTTATTCTCCTCAATGATAACACCATTATCGAGACTGTCGTTACGGACCCCGTCATTATTGGGGTTGTCGGAGCATTAGAATGTACGTTTCTAGGGGCTTTGGACTGGGAAGAAATCGAGATGCGCTGCTAACGGGTGACAAGATGATTCTGAATTCCCCAACCATAAAGCTAATCATCGCCAATACCTTTCGGACCGAACTCGCTACAAGGAAGTCGTTCCGATCAAAGATCCCATTATCCGCCGCAAAATTCGCCACACTTGGCGCCTGCAGTACCTGAAAGACGTCGTCCTAGCTCGCATCCTGGACGACCCCACCTTTTCCGTCCTCAACTCGTTGATTTTCTATAACCAAGTCGAAATTGTTAACCACATCCAATCCAACGCCCAGTTCCTGAAGGAACTGTTCTCAGTTTTTGATCCGAGAAACACCAACGCAAAGCGCAAGGAAGATGCGGTCCAATTTCTGCACCAATGCGCCGCAATTGCGAAGAACCTGCAAGCTCCGGCGCGTGCCAATCTTTTCGCCAACTTCATCAACCATGGACTCTTTGCTGTTATTGCCTTCGCCATCAAGCACCCAAACCCAGCTATCCGCACCACAGGTATTGATATCCTAGTCGCGCTCCTCGACCACGACCCAATCATGATGCGCGGGTATATGCTTAAGGCTGTCAACGAGAAGAAAACCCCCCTTACCGATACCCTCATCGATTTACTCCACACAGAAGCCGATCTGGGTGTCAAGAATCAGCTCGCGGACGCAGTCAAGGTCTTACTAGACCCGCAGGTGCCTATGCAGGACGCGATGGGTCGGGCTGGCCCCGAGCATTACGCGAAAATGCGCCCTAATATCTTGTCCGACGCCTTTGTTCAAAATCACTTTGACGAGTCATCCAAGAGGCTATTTGCGCCTTTGAAGCGACTCGAGAGTCGTCCTACTAGTGAGTTTCTTCCCGCCTTGTTCATCGATCGCACGCCCATGACTAACATTTACCAGTTAATGATTTGGCCTTCCAGGAAGTAGCGCTGTACTCGCATCTTGTGGATATTCTTACCTTTTTCGTCCGCCAACATCTTTACCGCAGTCGTAATGTCATTCAGAACGAACACCTTGCTGCGCATATTACTCAATTACTCAAGGTGCCTCAGAAGCACCTGAAACTCAGTACGATTTTTGCCCCACCACGAAGTATGATCTTTGGGCTGACCTTCCCCCCCCCCCCCTCTTCTAGCTGCGTTGAAATTTTTCCGAACCTTGCTTAGTCTTCAAGATACCTTTTATCAAGCTTTGATGACACATAATGATACCTTTGGGTTGATTCTTGATATTGTTTACGAGACCATGCCACGGGATAACCTGCTCAATTCAGCTTGCCTCGAACTTTTCGAATTTATTAAACGGGAGAATATTAAGCCGATTGTCTTGCATGTGGTTGGGAAATACGGGGATAAGTTGAGAAATATTACTTATGTCGACACTTTCCAAGGATTGATCCTGCATTACGAGCAGTTGCAGGGATACGGCGGAGACGCAGATTCCACCATTTACTCCCAGGAAGAAGTGAGCCCCGTGCTCAAGATGCAGCACAATGGACGCTGGCAGGGCATGAAAGACATGGACCCCGCGGAAGAAGAGTACTTCAATACTTCGGATGACGAAGAAGAGGTAAGCCCCCAGATCTTAAAGAAGATTGTTCCAACATTGATTTTCGAATTTAGTGGCAACAGGATAACCAGCCTGCAACGCTCACTTCACAGATACCGAACGGCTCAGTTTCTCCGGCTGTCAAGCCATTGGTGGACTATCCAGATGACGACGAGGAAGATAATGATGCTATGGATTTCAAACCAGAATCCGAGACTGGGTCAAAACAGGGGCAGACGACGCCACAGCCGGATGATATTTCGAATGAGGATGCGCCTGCCGATCCAGCTGAGGAGCTACCTTCCACTCCGGTTTCGTTGGCTGTACAAACACCTCCCGAACGACTATCAGAGAAGCGCCGGCGTGAGGAGGAGGATGACGACGAACTGGTCAAACTCACGTTTGGGCCGAAACGGAGGAGCTCCACGAATAGCGGTCCTGGAACTGCGGGTATGCTCCGTAAGAGGCGCAGTGGGTCGATTGGATCGATGACGTCGGAGAAGGGAGTACCTCAGGGGGTGAATATCACTGTTTCTACAGGGCCGAAGCGAATTGCGATCAACCTCAATCCATCAGTCAAATCCCCGGTCGCTGCAAGTGGTCCTGATACTGCCGAATGTACGGGGAATGATGAGAACGAGAAACAGAGCGGCAAGAACAGTGGCGAAGGCGGATGATGTGAATGAATCCTCTCAACAGGTTGCCCAAAATTCAGCTTTCTGCACTGCAGCGTTCTCTTCCTTGTTCGAGTATGCGGGGTTTGTTTTCTTTTTCTTAATGACAGCATCCTAGATACCAGATGAAGTGACGTGCTTTTCTCCTTGCTCGAGGGTTTTTTTTTTTTTTTCCGTTCTTAATCTTCCTTGAGCGATTGATTGATTTCTCCTTTGCGACTGGTTTGAGTGCAATCTTGCAAATTTTGGCATTTGTTAGAGATTACGGAAGACATGCAAGCCTTGCTTTCTCATTTCCTGCGGCAGCCAGCACCCTGCTCTCTCTCTTTCCCTCTCTCCCTCTTGATGTACATGTACTACGTTTCATATTGTCGGTGTTCCTGGCGTCCTCTGCTGTTACGCATTACATTCTTGTTCTGGGCAGGGGTCAGGGCTGTCATGGAATAGGGACTGGCGAAATGAACCTTGCATATAGCTACGAGGTACTGGACTTTTCCAATTCATTCCTTCGGTACGATTGAGGTGTAGACTTTCGGAATTAATTATTAAATTTCGGTGAATAGTTATGTATTTATAAGTCGAGCGAGTGCGTAGAATTACTTGTAGAAGCTCCATTTTCTGTTTAGTCAATCAGTACATAGTTCATTAATATTTATTCTCCCTCACTCACTACTTAATCTACTCTAATCACTCCCACCAACATTCAACTATAATCTATTTCTTCTCTCTATCGATCCACCCATCCATCCTCTTCCTTCGTTCCATCAGAAAAAAGAAAGAAAGAAAAGAAAAGAAAAGAAACATGTTCCCAAAACCTCACATCTCCCAAGACAGTTTCTTCCACGAAACCACCCCATCACCAGCACCAGCAGCAACAACCCACCCCCCTCAACCCCCTATAACCATCTACTTCATATGCGGAAACCCAGGCCTGATATCCTACTACCACTCGTTCCTCTCCCTGCTAAGCGACCGGCTCTGCGCTGCATCGCGACGCAAGTTCCATGTCGTCGGCCATAGTCTTGCTGGGTTTGAACTGGCTTCCGGCCCTGGCCCTGGCGGCCCTGCACGTAAAAAACATGAACATGAACATGAACATGGAAAGGCAAAGGCAAAGGCAAAGGAGCAGTACGCCTACTACTACGATCTTGAAGAGCAAATCCGGTTCGTCCGGGAAAAGCTAGCGGTGCACATGGCGGGTTTGCGTCGGGAGTACTCTGCCTCGGCCTCGGCCTCGGCTTCGCTGTCTTCGGTTCCAGGAACCGTGGACCAAATGCCCCAGGTGATTCTTATGGGGCACTCTGTCGGGAGTTATATTGCTATGGAGGTGCTTCGTCGTTATCGCGAGGATAGTGATACCACTACTACTACTGCTGCTGCTGCTGCTGCTGCTGCTGCTGCTAGCGGGATTCAGAAAACCGGGTTTGATATCATCGGCGGCGTGATGCTTTTCCCGACGGTTCTGGATATTGCAAAGTCGCCGTCAGGGCGGAAATTGACTGTTCGTATACCCTTGTTTTCTTTTCGTTTTTCAGGAGGAGTGAAAGCTAATTTGAATACGGAAAGTTTTTGCTCAGGCTTATTCCTCAATTGGCCATAGTTGTGGCTTTCGTAGCTCGTGTACTTACGCTGGTGTTTCCTGACTGCGCGTTACGGACGTTGATCCGGTGGTTTATGAAGTCACCACCGGAGGAGGCTGTTACAGCCACAGCGTCGTTTCTAAAGAGTAAATACGGCGTGCGGGAGGCTTTGTAAGTTTTGCTTATTTTCCCCTCCTTCGATTGTGTTTGCTAACCAAAAAAGACACATGGCTGCCGATGAGATGCGAACCATTACCTCCGACAAATGGAGCGATGATGTTTGGGGTGTATCAACAGTGAAAGAACCTATGACTCGATTGTTCTTCTATTTTGGTAGGAATGATCACTGGGTGGCTGAGCGCACAAAAGAAGAAATCCTGGAGCTTCGCGGACGAACCCAGACCGGTCCTAAGATGGTCGTTTGCGAAGACTCATTACCCCATGCCTTTTGTCTTCGTATGTCTCCCTTCCTCTTCTTTAATTTCCCTACTGACATACTTTTAGGCCATAGCGATATCATGTCTCGTAAAGTTGCGGATATGATCACCGCCATCGTGGCGGAGTGAGCGCCTCGGCTGACGATTTGACCTTTGTCCTGTTATGAAACGCTTCGTTAAGGCCAACCAAGGAAAAACATCTAGACCCTTAGAATATCATATAGGCTAGACCGGACATGTGTGAGTTGTGGCGTTGATGGGTTGTATTTGGGTATCCTCGTGCTCTCTCGTCTAGACATGGCTAAGATAAAAATAGAATGAAGGATGAATGCAGTTTAAACGTAAACCCCCTCTGATCAGGGATTCGGGCCACCCTGATATGCTAGGCCTGCTCTCCTAAATAGATCTCCTAGAACGTCCGGCTGCGGTTTTGATTCCACTGTTGCGACTGATCCCATTGGGGGATGCTGTTCTTCCGGTCCCTGACTATGCGCGCGGACACTCCATGCATCATCCTGCACCCTTTGTTGGCCAAACAGGTCTCGAAGTGAAATTTGGCGGCCCATGGGAACACTAGACTGGACTTCATCCAATGGGTCTGTAGTCGCAGAAGCAGCTGTTGCAGCCGCATGTAGACCGTTCTGGCGGGTGGCTTCGAGCCGTTCACGCGCTAGCTTGAGACTCTGACCCGCAAGGAAGGCGCACTCTCGGATCACTTGGGCATTGATAGTGCGAGTCTCCGCCGTAGAATTCGGCGGGGGCTCTGAGAAGACCCAGAGGCCGTAAATGCGAATATCGCCGTTCTCTGCAGGTTTACCACTATAATTGGTTGTGGCTGGGGCCGTCGCATTACCGGTCTCAGCATTATAGTCGGATTTAAGAATAATGTATTCCTCTGTGAGTTCCACGTTCTCGCCGTCCGTCAAGAGAAGGTCGAAGTTATTGAGACCTCGTCGGTTAAGCACGAAGACACTATATCGCTCCTCTCCTAGACTCCCCGGTACGAGCTGACAAACAAATAGTGATCCTTCAACACCTGTCTTCTCCCACTGCCGTGTAGCTGGACTGAATATGTAGACGACTGCGAAGGGCGCAAGGGACTGGATCGAGTTCACGGCGGGGTTATGGCGGCGCAGGACAGAGAGGTTAAGCTCCTCGTTGGAGCGAAGAGGGGCAGTAGGCATGGCCTGCTCTTGTTGATCATGGAGCTGCTGTGTATCGGAAATGTAAACTTGGTAGTCCGAATCGTAATCCGAGGGTTGAATGCCCTGGCTATGACGGCGATTGTGATTGTGGTTGTTGTAGTTGTTGGCTCGACGGGGTTTGCGGGTAGCCATGATGAAAATATCAAGGAAAGCGCGATCCTATATCGACTGAGAGATGGAAATGGAAAGAACCGAGTTATATCCAGGAACACAAAAAAGGGCTGGACAGAGCAACCTTCTTTGGAAAGGAAGCAGGCAGGAGAATTGAGCTTGAAGCTAAAGTGAGGCTTAAACACACTCCGTTTCTGGAAAGCGGTCGAGCAGTCTGATGATGAATGGTTGATTCGCTTTTGGACTTGTCAAGTGTCATTCCAAGGTTGCTCTCTCTTCCAATTCTTCTCGTGCTATATCTTCATTCTCTTTCAAGGTATATATTATCATTGTCTGCCGTGGTGGATACACTCTGGTCTATACTTTTGCCCCCGTTGCTGGCTTTCAACCCCCTCTTACCCCTCCGTCGTTCCCCGGTCGATCCATCCAGTCTCCCGCTAATTTGCTATACCTTCCGCTCATACATATATCTCGCATGATGGTCAGGCGTTTCTTTAGGCCTTGACTGCTTTAGCTCCACTTCACATTGACTCGTGATGACTTTGACTGTCACGCCTTCTCTCCTGCCTATTCTGCTGCTTGTTTGCGCCTCGTGTCCTGACACTGCCTGTTAACACGAACCCTTGGGCCCTCTCCGGTATCGCGCGGGTGAACTGAGGCGTTGTTATATATACACTACGCAGACAGGCCTGCTGAGGCATGCATAAGTCTCTCATACTTAAATCAACAGTGCTTTGCTAGTATGACTTCCAGCGTTGATCAGCAGATGTCGCAGCAACATCCTCATTGTCCCGGCGATTACCCCTCGGATACCGAAAACCAAGGCGAGGCCTTAGACAGCTCTTTTGATCCGTCCTCCCTTCCTCACGCTGTCAAGGCGCGACGGGCGGAGTATACCCGTCATCAATCCATCCATGTGAAGGTTGGAACTTGGAATGTAGCTGCCATCTCCGGTACCGAGGAAGATATCGGGAAATGGTTTGTACAGCAGAAGGGGGTATGCGACCAGTTCTCTGAGTTGCATGTTTCCAAATATCCTGAGGTTTCGGGATCGAACCCCACTACTTCGAGGGGCACGGCTTCACTTCCTGAGCTTCGCCCCGATCAAATCGGCCTTTACGTGCTGGGCCTGCAAGAGATCGTCGATGTCTCGTCACCTGCCGAGGCGTTCAGGCCCTATGTGGACCCAGCCCCGGCAAACAGATGGAAGGCTGCGGTGGGAAAAGCGCTGCCCACTGGATATAAGCTGGTCGCGGAGGTCCAGCTTGTAGGACTGCTACAGTTGATTTACGCTTCTCCATCTATTGCCGATAGCGTCTCCGCAGTCAGCTGCACTAATGTAGGCACAGGTTTGTTGGGTTACATGGGTAACAAGGGTGCCGTCGCAACACGCGTCCTACTTGGTGAGACCACTTGCATCATATTTGTCAATTGCCATTTGGCGGCTGGGTCAGACAAGACAAGCTTGGATCGCCGAAACTGGGATGCCTCACAAATCGTCGGTCGTACGAAATTTGATCCAATTAACCCCGACCAGACACTTCGGAACGGTCCTTCCGAAAGTATAGGGGATGAAGACTTTGCATTCTGGTTCGGGGATTTTAACTATCGCCTCGAAGATATATCGGGGGACGACGTGCGACAAGTTCTTTCTAGACATGCAGAGAATGAGTATGACAAGAGGAACCAGGGTTCTGCTATATCAGATGGTCCCTCATCAACACGCGGCAGTGAAGACCGAAGGCAAGATATATCGACTTCTCAAAACGAGGACCAGGAGCACATCCAAGAGCCCTATTCCGATGAAGAACTAGATCCGCACCTGGATCCGGCTTCTCTTCAAACCACAATATCATCATTATTTCCCCATGACCAGTTGCGAATGCAGCAGAATAAACAGAAAGCTTTCCATGAAGGCTGGCGCGAAGGACTCATCTCGTTCCTACCCACCTACAAGTACGACGTTGGCAGTGTGGCCAGGTTCGATTCGAGCGAAAAGCAGAGAGGGCCGAGTTGGTGCGATCGCATCCTCTACAGATCACGCCAGGATAAACTAAGGCACGAGTGTTTGGCCAAGGAAGCCGAAGAAGCTAGAAAACGAGACGAAGAAATGAAGGCGCGAGGCCTTGAGAGTGCTGCCGCCGATGATAATGTGCTATTTGACTACGATCCGGACGTTGATGGAGTAGACAGTGGCGATGAATATGATCCGAACAAGGATCAATCCAGCGATAACGACTCGCCCGATATATCACCCGAAGCGGACGGCCCAATTCAGCTGGACTATTATGTATCCTACCAGGGGATTCTATCCTCCGACCATAAGCCATTGGTCGCGGGGTTTACGTTGCAGTTTGATTGCGTAGATCCAGAACTGAAAGCAAATGTGCACCAGGAAGTCGTCCGAGAATTAGATAAAGCCGAGAACGAATCTCGGCCTGGATTGACCCTCGTCGTGGATAGGTCCGGCCATGGGCCGGTTGACGACGAGTCAGATGTCGATCCAAATGCAGTCAATTTTGGCGATATTTCTTTTGATGTCCCTGTCAGTCGGTCTTTAACCGTGGCGAACACGAGTAGCGTACCTGCGACATTTTCTTTTCACAAACCTGAACGCTATAATGACAACACGCCACCCTGGCTTGACTTCAAAATTGAGCTGACACACCACGAAGACTCGAAGGAACAAAAACCTTCAAGTGAGCATACACTATTGCCTGGAGAGCTTGCCCACATTGTTATTACGATCTGGGTTCGAGATGTCGGGCTGGTTCGTCTCTTGAATAGTTGGCAACTGAAGCTTGAAGAAATCTTGGTTCTTCGAGTAACAAGTGGTCGAGATCATTTCATTTCCGCGTATGGAACATGGCTGCCAACTTCTTTTGGTCGCGATTTGGAGGGACTCACTCTCTTACCTGAAGCAGGCGCGCGCAGTTTAGCAAGTGGGAGCTCATCAGAGCAGCAAAAGGATACCCCTGGAGTTCCTTTGTCAGCGCCCCGAGAGCTTTTCAGGTTAACAGAAGCAATATCGGAGCTGACAGAACGTGCCGTTGCCGAGTGGGGCATGGTACAAGGTGAGTCTGAGGAAAAACCTCCGTGGGAGAGAGAGCCATACGGATACGCGTGGCCATTTGAACCCGAGACATGGACATTAAAAGATGCAGAAGAGCGCGCATCGCTCTCGGCCTCGGTCCGGGAAGCCTTGGATAGCAATAAACCTTTTAGCGATGTGTTTGCGCCTGAAGTATCCTCCCTACATCGCCTTGAAATCCTTAGCGAAACGCTTGTGCTGTTTCTACGATATCTGAAAGATGGAGTTGTGTCGGCGGCTGTTTGGCAGAACCTGGATCAGCAAATCCAGGCTCGGGAGAAAACCAAGCAACCGCCCCGTTCTTGGGAGGACTCGCAAGCTTGGGTGCTAGAAAGTCTCGCATACTCACCCGCTCATAGCGTCTCTTTCACCTTTGTAACCTTCATGCTTGCACGAATCGCCAACGAAGTCGCCCCTGTGTCTTCCATGCCCCCACGAGGCTCCTCGGGGTCTGTAACCGAGGATAACACTCCCTCCCAATCTACAGACGGTTCAGTAATAACTCCAACTCCAACTCAAGCATCCGCAGTGTCATTCATCTCGGGTGGAGGTTTTCTACGAAAAACGAATACTTTCCCACCTCCAACCCCGCCAGATCCTGCCATCACGTCAATGGCGAAACGACGACAAGCCGTGGAGACTGCTTTAGCTACGGTGTTTTCCACCGTCCTTATTTCCCCCGACGTTCCAGTTCCCAGCAAAGACAAAGAAAAACGGGCCTTGGAAGAAAGAAAGCGAAGCATCATCGAGCCGTTCCTCAAGGCAATTGGAGTAGATAATAATGGGCCATCAGGTGGTGCTACATGAGTTCTGGTTTCCTTTTCGATCCCCTTTGGGTTCAAGTCTCGGTTTATGTCGCTATCGTGACGTATAGAATTGGACTTTTTTTTTTTTGTATTGTATGTATGTACACTTGCTGTATAACCCTTGTTTATTTTCACGATATATCCTAGCCAGGTGCTTGAACAGTCGATAAAAGCGACACACGACTGGGTGAAAGAGAGAGATGTATCAGGTATATATGTTAATTCTAGTAGTAAAAGAGCGGTCTCTAGTTATCTAGAGACTAAAACCACATAAATACTGACTATTGCTTAAATATAAATATATAAATATGCCCTATTCACATAACTGTGCCAGTATAATAGACGGTGCGATGATAAAATGGCTGGATGCCCCCCCGCATTCTCGAGCCCTAAGTTACAGCCGAATATGTATATATATCACTTGCATATTTCCGAAAATTGAACCTCTAATACCGATACCCAAGCCGGAAACAAATCTTGAAATTAACGAGAAAGTAAGAAAGACAAGAAGAAATCGAGAGTACCGAGTACCGCAGGGATTATTCCTCTGGGATAGTGGCACGCTTGGGCCTTTTCTGGGAGGAAGACCGAGGCTTGCGGGGTTGCAGCCATTTACCTTTGTTATAGCTATGGGTATTATCATTGTTGTTATTAAGGGTATTTGGTTTTGGGGGTGAAGAGCCCCTTTCAAGGAAAAATTCCTTGTACTTGGAAAGGACCCCTCTTGCTATCTGGAGTGGAAGGGTAGCAAGGGACAAAGCGATTTGCGCGGGTAGAAAGACGACAATAGAGGTCCAGTCAAGGAGTACGGCGAAGAACCCCCTGGACCGCTGAGCTGCTGCCGCTAGTGAGAGGGCGTCACGGACATTTGTTTCGAGCACCTGGAGTCGAGAATCGGATTGGTATGCGGTGAGCGCGGTGCGTTTTTCGTACCGTCGTACGGCACGGTTCAAGGCGTCGATATCCTGCTGGAAGCCCTTGCGGAAATCGGCGGTGGCCTGTGAAACTAGAGACTGGATGTATTCCTGTTCTTGGGCCGCAGCAGGTTCGCCTTGCTGTGGCGGCGGGTCGGCTGGGGAGAGACGAGCCGCGGCTGTTTCTGCGACGTGGGCTTCTAGCTCCTCCAGACGCTTCGAGATATCACGGATTTTGCTCACGTCGAACTTTTCTCCATCTTCGTCGGACGATGCGACAATGCGCTGTAGGTGAAGGGTTCGAGCCTGGACCATTTTTAGGAGGTGCGACAAGGGTCGAATCTCAGCCGCGAGCAGAAAAATGGTAAGATTGTAGTTGGAGACCAGCCCCTCAGAGGGACGTGATAGGCTGGATCGGATGGTGTGCAGGAGCCCTGTGCCTATGATCGGGAAGATGAAGCAAGCGGCGAGAGCTGCGAGTTCATGTGTCTGTAGTTCTTTGCTGGCTGCGGTCGTGATACTGGCTGTTCTCCCATCTTTTTTATAGTCCGCGACTGTCTGGTCTTCCTGAGAGCCTTGGGATGATCGTTGATCATTCTGATCTAGTTCCACTGAGAGCTCAGGGCTGTCGTAAACCGTGTCTATTTGTCGGGTAGTTCGCGCAGATCGGTACCAATCCCTACAAGGACTCAGTTGGAGAAAGACAGTAAATATAGACGAGTTCCATACCATGGCAGCCTGACAGACCAGTTTAAAAATACAGCCGCCAAAGCCAGTAGCGTGACGTCTGTGACGAACGCGCTGCCATTTTGGAAGAAGATTCCGGCAACCGCGGGTAAAAGAGCGAGGGCCAAGGGCGCTGAATGCCAATGGGACTCATCCTCCTGTCCATGATCTGAGGAGTTGGTTACACGTGGGAAGAATAAATCATCTGTAGACGATCGGATCGTATTCCGTGCTTCAGACACAGAATCAGACAAGGTGGAATTCCGGCGTTGGCTCTGCCCGACGGGTGAACCTTCCGCGAAGGTCGCAGAGCGGGTTAGGCCACGATGACGGAGGTTCATCCGGCTGGGGGAGTGAACGCGGGGGGTCGGTTGTTGCCGAGGAGGCGGAGAAGGCATCGCGTGGGGTAAGCCGAGGTAAAGCGCAGTGAGGGTTTCCTCCCATGCTATCTTTCTATCTGTATTTGAAGATGTCGTGTTTTATGAAAGGATGAAGGAGGAGAAGGTAGCATGCGAAGTACTCCGTCAGACGCTAAACAGTGATGCACATCATTGCTCCACAGAGTTCATTTCTAATAATAGGTAGTTAGCAAAGTACATATGCACCACTCCGTAAGCACGATCAATCTTAGCCTTGAATACACAATCCCCAACAGGACCTCTTTAAGAGGGTAATATCTGCTTTGAACTGATAAGATTTTCAAAGAAATCACCCATATTTTAACCTCGCCATGGTAAGCAATTAATTGGGTTAGATTCCCAACCAAGATGTTCCACTGGATCTATCCGTCGCGGGTCTGGGGACGGAAGTGAATGACGCCCTGAGATTACGCTTAAAGGTTAGTTAGCTCTCTTGAATCTCCAAACGAAACGCAGGAATTAGAAAAGCTTATAACCTACTAGACCATACCGGGTTCTCCTATTGCAGCGATGAACCAACTGGAGTGGGTTGTGCTCTCATCGATACTTTCAGGCCGCACTGAGGAACCACACGCCAACATCGACTTGTCTTGTGATATAGCAGGCAATGTTCTGTCTTTCTTTTATCCAAGATGAGAGGCAGTGTGTCAAAATATTCAAATTGCATATGGCGCAGAGGGGTGTCGCAAGTGGAAGAGACAGAGATGCTCATTGAGAAGTTCAGGCTGGACCCCCTATTGATACCCCAATACGGAAATATCTGGGGATCGTGACTCTCTGCTTCATAACACTTTGAAGTCTAGACTTGAACATCCTTTTATCCTCCTATTCAGGACGAAAGCTGTATCAATAAACCAGTGAAGGACCTACAGCACGAAGACTATGGCTCTCAGACACAAATCTACTGTCTGCGGTGGGCCATCTTGCGGTAGTTGGCTTCATAAAGGTCTTTTGAGAGATGAATGTTTCAATTCAATTGGAGTGAAGGCATCTATTCGCACCTCCTCCTGTTTCGGATGTCTTTTGCTCGTCTCTGTGTCTGTGTCTGTGTCTGTCTCTGTCCTCTCTCTTCTTCAACTCGTAACTTATGCCTCTTCTCGCGCCACAGGATAATGCCGGCTCACTATCCTGGCTCATACTATTTAGACCCTTTTGCCTCTATTTCAGACTGGATTTTCGCTGGCAAAGAAGACGGAATTTCGCCTGGTTTTATCCCTAGTCGCTTGTCTATCCAACTACCCAATCTATTTCTTCAAATTTGCCTTCAAACATGAGCTCAGCTCCAGTGCTGCCATATCCTCAGGCAGTAGCCATCCAGACCCTCTCTGCCATCGCCATTTTGATTAGTCTGCCACCTCTCGTCTTGCATTGGAAGAACCGAAACTTCCCGGCGGCTAGTTTGATATGTTGGTTCTTGGTTCTCGATCTCTTCAATATCACCAACGCTTTTATCTGGCCTGGAGACGACATTGAGAACTGGTGGGATGGTGAAGGCCTTTGCGATGTGGAGGTCAAGATCTTGACTGGTGCCTACGCTGCAATACCTGGAACCTTGGTCTGTATCTTTCGGAATCTGGCTGCTGTGCTAGATACTAGGCGTGCAACTCTTGTCCCGACCAAGCGCCAGCGGCGGCAGAGCCATGGCATAGAGCTCATGTTCTGCCTCGGTATTCCACTTATTACTGCGCTACTGCATATGGTTTATCAGGGCAATCGCTACTTTATATTTGCTATTTCGGGTTGTGTCACTGGTCTCGATGAGAGCTGGGTTAGTCTCGCTTTGGGCTACATATGGCCGTTGGTGATCTGCCTGATAGGAAACTACTACTGCGGTACAGTCGCCGCTCCTCCTTACCTTTTAACACGTCTAATCCATTCTTAGGGCTTGTGCTCTACCGTCTCCATCGGTACCGCAGTCAATTCGGTGACATCATTCGCTCTGCAAATAGCGGCCTAAACAAGTCCCGCTTCCTGCGGCTTTTCTCTCTCTCCTTCGTTATGATGCTGGCTCTTACCCCGACACAAGCTTTCATGGTCTATCGGAATATCTCACTCAACCTACCGTGGCATTCCTATTCATGGACCTACATCCACGATTATGCATGGTATGAAATAGTCAAAGTCCCGACAAACGGGGAGGTTTTCTTCGATCGATGGATTCCGGTTATTGCAGGGTTCATGTCATTTATCTTTTTTGGATGTGGCAAAGATGCATTGAGCATGTATCGTTCAATCCTCCGATTCTTCGGTCTCGACTGCTGTTTCCGCACTCCGCAGTCTTCTTCAGCAGGAAGTTTCGCGCAAAACACTTCCAGGTCTTCCGGCAGCCGAGTAAGGTTGCTGTTTGCGAGAAATTCGAAACAAAACGCTAGGTGAGATACTCAAGTTCAAAGCTACGCTGCAAACATACTAACCCATTCCCAGAGGGATTGCGAATACTTCTTGCCGTACCGATTCCAGCAACGGTAGCTACGAGGATATAGAAAAGGGGTCCCCGCCATCCGAACCATCGAAAAGGCCTGGAAGATTTTCATGGCCTAAAAGCCCTTTCTCCTGGTTGCGTCATCCCTTTTCTTCTTCGAGCCATAAGGGAGTACCCTCTGCCCCGCGCCTGGCAGTCCCATCGAACACAGTCTCCACGAGTGCCTGGGCTGGGAGTAGCCAGAGCCGGGGCAGCATCGATCTCAATACATCTCCCACACAAAAGGATTTTATTCGGGTTAAGCAGGTGATCAGACAAGAAAGCAAGGTGCGGGTCTGAGGTCTATGGTGACTTGTTCTTTCTTTGGCAAAGAACCCTTGTATTTCATTGACTGTTTCTACGGGCGTTTCTTTCCATCTGTCATTTGCTGTGGTTTACTTGGGCCTGAATATCCTCAATATAACCTATTCTACTTTTTACCATTGAGTTTTTCTTCTTCTTCTTATTTTTTTTTTCAAGTGTAACAAATACTTCTTTTCAATTTTCTTGATATTCCTCGGTTCCTCCATTCGTTTTGTGGACTGTAGAGTAGAGTACATACATACGCACCTCGCATCTAATCTAACCCTAACACGCTTAAGCGTAGCGTAAGTTAAATCAGCAAATATTGTCAAACATTTAAGCAGTGAGTTTTGTTCGTGATAATTACGAGATCCGCACTTGGTGTGGTCATACTACTAGGCACTGGCTTACACGGTGCCCGTTACAGCACACTGCATCGTTGTCAAGGACCCTTCAACATACATTCTGAAGCTATTGTTTGGAATATATTGAGCAATTGTATAGCCTGCGCTATTTCCTCAGGATGAGTCGCATAAAATAACCATCGCTAGAGAAATAGGCGCCGTTTGGGTTTGGCGTAGAGGGATGCTTCTTCAATTTGATAAAAATCTCTGGGTTTCAAATAGCTGCGGGGTCATGTTCTTCTTCACGTCCGCAAGTCATGAACTGGGGAAGGGGGTTCTTCTACTTTAGAATGAATGGGCGATTTAAAGGCTTCGAGTGTGCTTGGGGCAATAAGAATTAATGACACTGCTCTGGTAGACGGGTCGAAAAAGGATAGAAGAAAGGACTGCGGGTATACTTGCACACTAAGCTAGGATATAACATACACATCAACCATATTAACATGAACCAAGTCTATCAAGACCCAAAGTAGTTTCACCGCCAAAAGTCGAGCCCGAGGTAGAACAGAGTAGAGAGGAAGAAGTACGCAACACGGGACCTTCAACACCAAGACGACCACCGCCCGTTATATTAAACCATATGTTATAGATCGCGTCGGATATGTTTACTCCTAGGGGGTTTCAGAGCTATAGTCGGGGTTGGAAGGGCGCTTGAGGACCTCGAGGTTGCCTATGATACTCGAAATATTAGCATCTCCCCCACATGGCAGATTGATTCTTGTTCCGGGTTCCGTTTCAAACATCGGGGGAATATCAAAGAGCTTACGTTGAACAATGTTCAGAGTGGTCTGCTTTTTGCCTTCAGAGTCTTCCCACTGCCGCATGGTTGCGTCTCCCTCGATGTACACCAAAGTTCTGGAGGAAGTCAGTCAGTAATGCATAATATTGACTTGGTGGCATGCGATTTTTGCAAGTTCGTTATCTATCTATATACATATTATATCTACGCATACATCGTAGATAAATTATATGCATAGACAAACCTCTACGCATCCGGGATGATATCATCGGGAAACTTACCCCTTCTGTAGGCCGAGAAGATAGTCCCGTTGAGGTCCGTCGTTCACAAAGCTCGAAACACGAAACCAGCTTGTCTGTCGGTTATCCTTAGGACCATGCGATGTGCCCACTGCATATTTGATGATTTCCTGGCCGGTAGCAGTGGCTTGCAGCTCAGGATCGGCTGCGAGACGACCGGTGATGATCATACGCGCGACTGACCGCGAGGAAGAGGAGCTGAAGGAACGCGCGGAGAGAGCTGCGGCAGGAGCGGCGCGCAGCAGAGGGCGCAGCGACGAGGTGGCGAAGACAGGCATGGTGTAATTGAGAGTTTTGGTAGGTCTAACCTTTAGTTCCCTTGTGACTCTTGAAAAAGTTGGAGGTAAAGGGTTTGCAGGAATTGGGCCGGGTGAGTAGTCGATTGTCCAGAGATCACTGCCCTCCTCTTTCCGCGCCGCGTGACAATCACGTGATTATTCTCCAAGTATATCTGCCTACGTGTTGATGTTGATGTTGACTATTCACCTACTCCGTACTTCTCACCTCCTCCACAGTCCTTACATACGACTAGCTCAAGTTCGCAAGAAGATTTTCTCCATCAAGTCTATACTCCCCCAAGTTCTTCTCAGGGCTTTTGGCTTCTGCGAACCTACTCCCTCAACCGCAAGATCTAGACCTACCTGGGGAATTGGCCCCCCGGTAATAAACGCACGCCATCAAATCTGCGTGCAGCAAGAGAGAGACTCAGCTTTCTGCTTGTTTGCCGCTGTGTGCGCTGAATCCAACCAATTTCCACCTTTCAACATCCGCACCGGAAATACATGCATCCCAGTATATCACTCATAAACTTTCGTGCTATCCCGCCAGGGATTAGGAGACTTCATCGCAGTCTTAGGCCTGTGAGTTGTCATATTTAACCTCATTTAGTGAGCAGCAAGGCACTGATCTTAGCTCCAAATTCTGCCCCTAGCAGAGGAAAAAAATAATGATTCCTAAATCACACCCGTCACTCAAGCCTTGTGGCTCTGGACTCGCTTCTCATGAGTTTTCCATCTACACTTTCTTCACCGCACCCACCGTGCATCTAAATTATTGATTTGTGTTGATTCAACCATTGGAACTAGTATCTTTAAAAGCTCCGTTCCAATGGATTAAAATCTCAAACCATGCAAAGCAGGTCACGCTGACACCTCATGCCATAGTTATTGTTATGAGAAGCTACAAGACATCCTTGTCCCTCTAAGTATCCGATGACCTCTAATGCAGGTCCCGAAGACCGCGAGCTTTTGTATGGCTAGACTCCTCACTCAATACCCCTGGAAAAAAGGCTGGCTTGAACTCGACGGGGGTCTATTGTCCAGTGAGAAAACAATCTGTTATTAAAGAAAGAAAAAACAGAATCGCTTTCCGGAGTCCCTCTTTGGAGCCAAGCCAGCCATGCAATCATAAATCGGACGTGTCAAATTCCTGCAGTCGATGGCGCTAAGGGCCTAACTAATGGTGGCTAGCGGTGCTAGTTCATTTACAATAGCGACGATCGTTGGCCAGCCAAAATCAAGATCGCCAATTGAACACAAGGTTAATTGCAGGAACTAGCCGGGCCAGCAAGAACGAGATTTGACTCCAGTGCATGGAGTATCGTTCCTAGCTCGGCAGAACTTGTCACTGCTGTATGATATCTGCGTGGACGAAACTTGGCAGCCCATTAAAGACTACCGTCCAATCGCGCGTGGTATCCTCATAGTCGCCTTGACGAGTTTGCTGCCAATTCGTTTGCATTGTTTTCTTTTTCTTTGTGTACTTCCCCCTCCCTTTTCCACTGTTAAGAATGGATCTTTCGGTTGTACTTGGGCGGAAACGTGGCCTAGCTCTCAATGAGATGTTCTTTATAGGACCCAGGCCATTGGGCCAATCTTACAAGATATCCTCCTTTATTAGTTGGGTATCGCCAGGAAACCTAAAAGGCTCCTCCATTCATACGATAGAGAAGTTTCCGCTATATGATCGATACCTGCGATTAATCCCCACAGCAGATCGCTACCGAATTACTCCAATTATCTTGTTCTCTATACGAATTATGTACGAGGATGTATTCCTTTTTGCTTTTTTTCTAGCCTCCGCAACACCCCCATCGGGTGGATTAACCCGCGCCTTCCATGCATCTCCTACCTAGTAGTCTATCTTCCCTCATCTCCTCCCGATGGCCTGAGGCTAGACGGTGAGCTCAGTTCGGAGGCAGCACAGCTCCAAGAACGCCATTGTTTTTTGAGTCTTTCGCGTCCGAGTTGCACGCCGAGTACTTACGTCAAGTCTTTTCCCTGTGTCCTTTTCTTTTCCTTCTTTTTTTCCCTCATCATTTGCTTCTCTTCGTTGTTAAGTTGTACATACTTATACATGGTGGGTACTCCTGCGTGGGCCGCCTATCGAATTTCGTATACAGCCACGTTTCTTGCACCTTCTTGTGTGTCTTTGCCTTGATTCAGGGTTGGTCTTCTTCATTATATTCACCTGTGGCCTTTTGTCATGAACTATGCGAACTGTTTTTAGCGGGAGAGCTTGTCGCAAAACTTCGATATCAGCGTGATATCCTCGCATCCATTTTGATTGAACCCCTTTAGCCGCCCTCTTCAACCCCCTCGACTCCTTTACCTGGAGCTCTAGACAAAGGTCTCTAGCGCTCTCACTATGAGGGTATCTCCTCTCCTTGCGCTTATTGCCTGTCTCATTCCGGCCTTACTTGCGCTTGTAGCGCAGGTACCTAATGTTGAGCGCAACGAATATGGCACCCTTGTAGCGAGAGAAACCGCTCCTGAAACTACAGCTACGAGTACTACTACAACAGATACAGAAAAATCCTCTGCTGATGTTCCAGTTACACGTACAACTGGCGCTGCAACAGTGATAGGCAATTCTACTTCTACTTCAACTTCGACCACGGCCACCTCGTCGGTGACGACAATCCCTACAATCAATACTTCGGAACCATCAAATGGTAGGAATAGGCCTGGTTAATCTCTTGTTCATTATGGTCTCTGATCCGCTGACATTTAAATGGGAGAAGATGGTGCGAATTCAACGGCGCCGGGGGCACTACCACTTGAGCCCGTGGTGACACCTGCTCTAGGGATCGGCGGTTTCATCCTTATAGCTACGGGATCGATTCTCGCAGTGATAGGAATACGGAATCTATGGTAATGCGCCGGATAATTCCTACCAAACTCTTAGTCAACGTCACTTACTTACTGGGGATTAGGGTTCAAGTTTTTCTATCCTCGGCGTTTTTGACCAGCTTGGGAGTTACTGTGAGATTACTTAATAAAATTCCCCGAGTCGAGGAGAGTGGTGTTCTAATAGACTTGAATCTTCTAGGTCTTGATCGTTTATGTCATGAGTCCTCCGGTTCGAGTTGCAATACAGGGCGCATATCTAGTCGCCATTTTCTTTACCGGGATCACATTTGGAGCACTCTCTATTGTGTTCAAGGAGTTGACAGAAGGGCTTGGATGTCTCTTGGGGGGGTTCTGTACTAGCATGTGGCTACTGACCACGAAACCCGGCGGTCTTCTCACAGACACCAATGCGAGAACTGGGTTCATTGGGGCGATCTCCGTAGGGTTTTATGCAATCTCTTTCAGTCACTACACCCGCCCTTATGGGTTGATAGCCTCAACCGCCATCGCTGGAGGTACAGCAGTGGCACTGGGAATTGACTGCTTCAGCAAAGCTGGCTTGAAGGAGTTCTGGCTTTACATTTGGGGTAAGCTGTTCGTATCCGGTATATGTGCTGGTGAGCATCATAGTCTAACCAGCTGGCTAGCATTGAACGATAACATCTTCCCTCTTGATACAAATACCTACCCGGTTACCCGCAACATTCGCGTGGAGCTCGCAGCTACAGTGATAGTTGCTCTCATGGGCGTGGTTTCGCAACTCAGGCTCTGGAAAGTAGTCCGAGAACGAAGGGCAAAAGAAGAAGAAAGACGCCAGGAAGAGCAGAAATTGAAGGACGAAGCTGAAGCCGAGGCTGGAAAAAGACTAGAAGAGAATAATCTCAAGGAGAGGATGGAATGGGAAGCTAAGTACGGTGACTCTGGGAGCAGTTCAAGCTCCCCCACCAGCGTTCCAGAAGCACCCGACCTCCCAGAGCTTCCAGACAGCTCCAAAAAATGTACTGCAGATGAAGCAGGGGCCAAGGAAAAAGGCGAGGGCATTGACATGGAAAGCATCACAGATTCGGAAAGTTCATACCGTTGCTCTGAATGTAGGGCAAATGAGGCGAACGACGATGCCGCTTCGGATGCGACTGGAGAGACTAAGGGCGATGAAAATGAACATGGGGTTACTGAGGGCAAAACTAAAGCCTACCGTAAAGTTTTCGATGGCGCTGTTGTTGCTAGGATAGCGGATGACAAGTGCTCCGAAGTGACTGCCACTGTGGGGTCTGAAACGGGTTCGGTGTACTCAAAGCGATTGTCTAGGACACTTTCAAAAAAGGTACTTGCAGGGAGGAGTAGCAAGCCTATTTCCGAGTCTCAAGAAGCACTCATTACCAACGACGATGATGCCTTCTCCATGCAAGGTATTGTCGACGAAATTAGCGACATGGAGTCTGACTGCCGTACCATAGCCGCAGAGAGTCATCATCAAGCGATGGTCAATACAGCACAGGCCCCAAAACACGAGGAAGACAATATGATTGACGAAAATCCGGTTAAGCCCGAAGCGAGGATGGAATCCGAGCTTGCGGAACGAGATATAGGAGACTCTCAGCTTGAAACAAGTGCTAACCCCAAAGTATCTATACCACAAAATGGCATAAATGGAAGCTCTGAAATGGAACAACCAACCGATAAAAACGCATCTAACGAGCGAAAGAAGTCGAATGATGAAGCCCGTGAAGAGCGGGCAGCTCCTGTGGAACCAAGCTCTCAAAATTGTGAGCCCGAAAAGAACAATGAGACGCAGGTCTCTAGGGATGATTCGCAACCCGCAACAAGAGTGCCAAAAAAGAAAGCAGACACTGACGCTGAGTCTGAAACTCAAGTCGAGATTGTTGTCCGTGATACATCACCGCCTCAAGAAAAGGAATCAGTTCCAGCAGGAAATCACAAGAAAGAGCAGGCAACAGAAGATGATGTCGCTACACCACTGGATGTGACAAAAGAACCCGAAACCAAAGAGGAGAGCGTTGAGTGCTTACAAGCCGATGCAGGATCTGCATTAAACACCCTAGAAGACAGCGGAAACCCTCCAGAGCCTCGACGAAGCAAAAAGCTTGAAAAGGCTTCAGGCGAGCAAAAGTTCGCCGGGTCTGAACCTGAGCCTGTTCCTGTTCCTGTTCCCAAGCCAAAGAAACAAGAGCCCGCCCGATTGAATGCAGAAACAGTCCAGCAGATTCCAAAGCAGACATCGAGAGTTGTGCAATCGTATCGTACCAACGAGTGGGCGAAACATTTAGCCGATGCTGAGGTCCCTGAGCTGGAACCTATCGCAGCCGTTGAACAGGAGGAAGCTGAAAATCCCGTTGAGAATGAAGAGGTTGCAGCACCGGTCAAAGTGACGGAACTACTGCAAACACCCTTAAATGCGCAACCCCCGCCTGCTATAGAGCCCCGAATCTCGAGCGCACGGGATGCAAACGACGGCCGGCGGGTGCCCAACAATTCCCGAACCGAGTCACAGAAAAAGAAGAGGACCTCTAGGTCTCCTAATCGGCTCTCTGGCGTATCCGTCGGGTCCGGGCATAATCTTCCCCAATACCCGTCCCCTGCAGCCCAAGTCCAGCCGGATAGTCTTGCCAACATGTTCTCCGCCACATTGCTCTCACCTGTTGGTCCGGCTGAGCTAGTTCGAGAAGAAAGCGAGACTGTGAAACCACGGTGGAAAGGGCCACCTCCGCTCATCGCTGTGCGGGAGGATATGATGCGAAATCGATTGTCGTCCTTTTCCTTGGTAGCTGATCCCTATGCACGCAGCAGCCCAGGGCAATCACCAACGGATCTTTTGCCTCGGTACCCATCGAACTTCCCTACCCTGGAAGCGGCGGCCGATGATGTGCCGCTCTCCCAACGTCGAACGATGCTTCACCACCAAGCCACCACTTCATCATCCCCTGTGGCGAATATACCTTCCGTACCACCGCCCTGGCGGAGTCAAGGGGGGACACCGTCGAGGGCAAACTCCCCGGCCGCCTTAGCAGCGTGGAGAGAGTCAGTCCGAGAAGATCTCCGAGAGAAGCGCAATCCGTTGAAACTGAGTAACACCACGATTGGCACCACTGGAGATGGGGATCGCGGCGCCTCCCCATTCGGGCAATTACAGCAGCAGCAGCAGCAGCAGCAGCAGCAGCGGAATGTGTCCTCGGTCAGCATTGGCGACAAGATCGCGGAGGGGATGCAGCGCGGTGACATGAGTGACTTGCACCGAGAGGCAATGCGACGAATGCAAGCCAAGGCCAATCAAAGTGCGAATCAGCAAGTATGACAAGGTATTGGTTATGAACAAGTTTTGTGATGAGGATTCCCCCTTTGTCTGGTTTTATCCTTGATGGTTCGTTTGATGGTTTTAGCGATGAGTTCATGGGTTTCTCCTGTAATTTTTAATCCGGTTACGTGGTGTTGGGAGTGGAAAGAAGAGGGATGGGTTGGACGACCTCAGCCTGGTGGAACTGTGGAACTGGGGACTGTGGGACTGTGGAAATTGGGGGATTTGATTGAATAGGTAAATGAATCATATAGAGGAGAGGAATGGGAGTATTATGTATGGGCTTATTTCAGATCCTTGAGACTGTTCAGTAACTCATTAATTAGTGATGTGATGTTGATAAAGGGAGGATTTATCCACAGGGAGAAGGAGAGATGGGCCAGACCTCATAGTTCGTTCGCCTCCCCTGTTTTCTTTATTTATCCTTCCACTCCACCTGTCGATCTCTGGAGGTTCATTTCTCAGGAGTTCGTCTCCTTTTCCTGGGTTGATGATTTGGAGGGACGAAAGAAATGGTCTGAGTCTGAGATGTGAGCCGATGGGGAGCCAGAGGTTGATATTGGGTCTCTCGATGAAAGCTATTAATTCGTGAGGTTAGGACGCATAAAAATTAGATGGATCCTTACTTGGATCTATTATTATTCTTCTGCTTCTTTTTCATCTTCTTCTTGTTGCCGGTGGTACTCGGAAGGTGAGTCTTTTCACAGGAAATGTTATGTTTAGGATATATTAATCAGACTTCTTTCTCTTCCACTTCTACTTCTACTTCTGCTTCTGCTTCTGCTTCTGCTTCTACTTCTACTTCTACTTCTGCCTCAACTCTCCCTCTTCGATTCTTATTCTCTTCTTTCTTCAGGTATACTAACTATAAGTACCTGAAGTGGAGTGAGGACTGTGATCCATCAATTTCCCCCAGATCCTTTTCTCTCGTCCGCTTTCTCCTCCACTATCACATCAAATATTTGCGTCAATTGCCTCAATTATAACTACCAGTCTCCCCAATTTAATCAATATTGTATCTTGACCCCTCCCGATATTCCCCTGGATTTGACTCTCCCCCTAAAATCTCTTGGATGTCGAGCTCAGATCAGCTTCGGTCCCTTGCTGCCAGTGCGCCCCTTTTCCTCCTTCCTCCACCAATCACAACCTCCTCTGACTCTGCGCTTCTGCTGGAATTCTTATCCAGTTCATCTTCATTGCTTCTCGTCCCAATATTGTTATCGTTCACATCACGGCTTCCCTCTCTCCTCTCCCTCCTCTCCCTCCTCCCCCTCCCTCTCCCTCTCCTCGTCTCTCCTCCTCCTCATCCTCCTTCTCCCCACCAAAAACGGCCCATTCTACCATCGACCCCGATCGCCCTCTCCTATCACCGCCCCAGGTTGAAAAGCCTGCTGCTTCGCAATTTCCCCCGCGCGTTACCTTCCAGTCCCCTCTGCCCTTCCCGACCCTTCCACCTGTCAACGCGTTGGAGGCAGAGACAGGGCCAGGGTCAGAGCCGGAAACACATATCGGTATAACCTCCTGGCGGTCCCGATCTGTCAAATCCTGGATCTCCCCCAAGCTCCTGCGACCCCCCGCGGTTCGACTCGCGAATCCCGTCAACTACGTCCCTCGCATCACACCTGTCACCACCCTCCATCAGTTACAAACCTCCGACGAAAATCTTCCGCTCGATTCGCACCGGGACGCCTATCCGCTCTTGACTATCCCAGAGCAGCGTCGCAGCCGGCTGACACCATCCCCCGATAGTCTGGTAGTGGAGCGCAGTCAGCAGGAGTCGGAAAGTGGACGCTCGAGCATTGCAGTGCCGCCAGGCCAGAGGCACGGTGGCGCTTTTGACCAGGAGCAGCAGCAGCAGCAGTATCTAGATATGGAGACCACGGCGGCGGCTGATCGACAACAGGGTCCCGGAGTGGACCGTCCCCGTCATGTTCCGTCACAGCACTCGTTGCGGTCCCAGTCACAAATCGCTTCCATCCCCTCGAATACAGGAGCTCCCGGTGGGCCTGAACAGCACGATGTCGCAGAGGAATTGGCCTGGGGTCCTGCTCATCCCTGCTTCCCCCACATTAACCCTCATGTCCCGCCGGGATCTGACGAATATCTGACGACCCGCATTATCCGCATCCGACGGGATTGGATGATCAAGGGGGATCTTGCCCCGACCTTTTCCAATCTCTATCCGGAAATTCTTGACCCGTTACTCCCGGAGCAGGAATTTCGCAGGATCATCGCCACGGTGAACGAGGAGCTGATAAGTGCTTTTGATCCGTTTAGTTTTCGCAATTGGCTGGATGGTGCTCTGGCACTGATCACTGGCTGGATCTGGGAGGACCTGGGCGCCCCAGGAGTGAAGAGTCACCTCAAGCGGGTAGAGGACTGGGTGGAGAAGTGGAATCGAGAGGTTGGTGCGAAGGATGGCGTGCGGGTCTGGAGTCTTCGAAGTACGGCATACATGTCGTTAGATATTCAGATCCCGGATCCCAAAGTCGGCATCATTCCCAGCGAAGGGAATCCGTCACTCCCCGGCACTCGACCGGGTAGCGGAGTATGACGAGTTTTCTTTTCTTTTCTTTTCCTTCAAGGCAGCTACACTTGACGAAACGAGGAGGTGATCCAGTCAGTCAATACCTTTTGCATGTACAGATTTTAATTTCTACCTAACTTCTCTTCAGCTGAGCCAACCTGTCTTGGTGCATGATCTGGGGAGCTCTTGGATCCCTTGTTTCTTTCTTTCTTTCTTTCTTTTTTTCTTCTTCTTCTTCTTCTTCTTTATTCTCAACTCTTATGAGATTAATGATCTTTTCAGCCATTGATACCATTTTGTTTTGGGAGGAGCTTCGTGGAGACTCCATTGGAGCATTTGTTTTGTTGATAGTCTATTTATTCCCCTTGTATATTTCGAAAGGATTATATTTTTTAGATCTTACATATATTACTCTACGCAGGATAAAAAAAAGCTATCTCATATAGTAAAGTAACGAGATGTGAGGACGAACGCGGTGTCTACTCTGTACTTAAAGCTTCGCCGCCAAATCGCGGGAACTTCGACTTTACTCCTGAAGAACCAAATGTGAAGAAGCCAACTCAACTCTTAACCCTCCCCTTTCATCTCTCCTTCCCACCTCGCAATCTCTTTTCCCTCTCTTACCCCGTCCACTATGCTGTCGGGTATTCTCGTCTTCAATCAGAAAGGCGAGAACCTTATCTTCCGTGCGTTCCGCAATGACTGTCGTCCGCGCCTAGCAGACATCTTCCGCATCCAGGTCATCTCGAACCCGCAGGTCCGCTCGCCTATTCTAACACTAGGCTCGACGACTTTCAGCCATGTGAAGCACGAGAATATTTACTTGGTTGCCGTGACGAAGAGTAATGCGAATGCAGCTCTGGTGTTTGAGTTCTTGTATCGCCTGGTGTTACTGGGCAAGAGCTACTTTGGGAAGTTTGATGAAGAGGCAGTGAAAAATAACTTTGTCTTGATTTATGAGTTGTTAGATGGTACCTCTATCCCCCTGTCGCCTACTTCCCACGGAGGATCGAGGAGGGAAGATGTGCTAATATAAGGTCGCATAGAAATCCTCGACTTCGGATACCCCCAAAACACCGAAACCGACACGCTGAAAATGTACATCACCACGGAAGGCGTCAAATCCGCGATCGTCAACTCCTCGACGGACTCCAGCCGCATCACCATGCAAGCTACGGGCGCACTCTCGTGGCGCCGCTCCGACATCAAATACCGCAAGAACGAGGCCTTCGTCGACGTGATCGAGGATGTGAACCTGCTCATGTCGGCCACCGGCACGGTGCTCCGCGCCGACGTCAACGGCCAAATCGTCATGCGCGCCTACCTCAGCGGGACGCCCGAGTGCAAGTTCGGATTGAACGACCGCCTCCTACTGGACGGGGACTCGTCCACGACCGACGCCCTCGACGGACGCCCCGGGAAACGCGACGGCAAGACAAAGGCGACCCGCGCGGCCGCGGGATCAGTCACCCTCGAAGACTGCCAGTTCCATCAATGCGTGAAGCTGGGTCGGTTCGACGCGGACCGCATCATCTCGTTTGTGCCGCCGGACGGCGAGTTCGAGCTCATGCGGTACCGCGCCACCGAGAACGTCAACCTGCCCTTCAAAGTGCACCCGATTGTGCGGGAAATCGGGACCACCAAGGTCGAATACAGCGTGGCCATCAAGGCCAACTACAGCTCGAAGCTGTTTGCGACCAACGTGGTGATTCGGATCCCGACGCCGCTGAACACCGCAAAGACGACGGAACGCACGAGCCAGGGCCGCGCCAAGTACGAGCCCGAACACAACAACATCGTCTGGAAGATTGCGCGCTTCTCAGGTGGGAGCGAGTACGTGCTGAACGCCGAGGCAACGCTGACGAGCATGACGCATCAGAAGGCGTGGAGTCGGCCACCGCTGAGTTTATCATTTAGTCTGCTCATGTTCACGAGCAGTGGGCTGTTGGTGCGGTATCTGAAAGTCTTTGAGAAGAATAATTATAGTAGTGTCAAGTGGGTGCGGTATATGACTCGCGCTGGAAGTTATGAAATTCGGTACGTTTCCTCCTCTTTTTTTTTCTTTTTCTCTTTCTTTCTTTACTTTTTACTAACAAGTCCACGCAAACAGTTTCTAGTTTACTTTTAGAGAGTACCATCAGTCTGCATTGGCATTGATATCTGCGACATATGCTATCATTGAGCTTGGTGTCTGGCGTTGTATCTATCTTGCATTAATCGTGTCATGTCGTGACCGTACAAACATTGGGCTGGCTGTATTTGGACTAATAGTAATAGTAGGGTAAATATGGAGGTGCCTCTATCCATTTTATAGTATACAACCTCTGCGTGTACTGTACATAGTACTGTCAAGCAATAGTTAGGTAGTAGAGTAGTATAGAGTACCGCAGTTATTAACGAGCTACGGAGTAAATAGGTAGGCAACGTAACGAGGAAGATCAAAGATATATACAACAACAAAGTCACATCTACATTGAGAGGAAAGAGAACCAAAGAAGACACAAGTACATAAAGTCGAAAGTAAAGTTATATATACAAACCAAACTACACTACCTATTGATTGGAATCTAGTTCCAAACCTAGGTAGATAGGATAAGTACAGGTACCTAGGTAGGTACTACGAGCTCCAGCCAGGTCCAGTGTGAATGAATATAAATGAAGAAAGTATCCACGATAAAAAAATAAAATACATGTGCAGTCCATCCAGTCAGTCATAAAGACGAATTCATCCACCCATCCATCCATCCGGAAAATAGTACAAGAAACCGGAATTAAATGTAGCAAGTGCAAAAGTGAGAAATTAAACAAGATTGAAAAGACACAGTCCAGTGTGAGGAGCCAAGCCACGGGCGGAAAAGGTAGAAGAAGATACATACTGTAGAGTACAAAGGATGAGTTGAAAAGAAAGCAAAGATTAGAAGGAAATAGAAAAAAAAAAGACAAAGGTAATAAAGGTAAAAAAGCACAGACATGGTGGAGGGAAATAATTATACAAGTAAAAAAAAAAAAACAGATAGAGTAAGATGCGACGCATATCCGGGAGTATATGACCGAGAGAAGAAGAAATCATGCCCCAAAACTCCGGTAGTAAAAAAAAAGGAAAGGAAAAGGATTACATCCAATCTTTATGAATGCGGCTGCGGACCATACGTCGCCCTCGTCGTAGGCCAACATTGCCTTCCCCGACAAGAGCCTGCCAGCGTTGTCCCACGCTGGCGTGATCTTTGCCCATAAGCCGAGCGCACTCATCCCAGTCTTGCTTGGAGAGCTTGAACTTTTCAAGAACCGTCTCTACCAAACGCTGGTCGTCCTCTGCTGTCCACGCTGAATCGTCTGCCGGCGCTGGCGCTGGCTCTTCTGATTCTTCGATCGAAGGCAGCACAGCGTCAGGATCATAGGAAGGTATCGCTCGGTGCTTTTCGGAACGGTCGGGCTCGCGTCGCTGCGCAGACGATGGAGGAGATTGTGTGACTGGAGGGGAGTGAAGCGAGTAAAAGTCGGAATGCGAGAGACCTAGGGGCAGGTCAAAGGGAAGATTGCGGGGACGTTTTGGGGTCGAGGGTCTTGAATGCGAAATATCGGCATCGCGCATGCTGATATCATTATCTTCCTCGTAGCAGTCGCGCGTTCGTTTGTTGGCGCCGCGGGAAGGTCTTGAGTATGGTGTAGGGGATGGTCTAGTTTCCTTTGCTTTCCGCGACCGCGTCGAGGAGGATGGAGTGGGCGCGAGGCGGAGGTTAAGAGGACTCTGAAGACGTTCTGGTTTCGCTCGTCGCGAAGAGGGGGCTGGAGAGCCATTTAGGAGAGACTGAAGGGCGCGACACGTTCCCAAAAGGCCGTTGCCTGGAGGGCCGTCGTCGTCGGATGGAGGAGGAGTCGCGAATGACCGAATGGGTGTGAAGCGCGACGATCGTCGCAGGTCGCAGGAAAGCGCAGATGGAAGCAACATGGTTGCACAGTGAAGGATAGCCCGTGATGGTGGGGGAGAGAAATATCGCAGGGAGAGAGCGAGAAAAAAAAGGGCGATGGATGGTGGGGAGTTCTGGGGGGTTGTGCGCCGACTGACTGCACAGGCGGGGGCTCGTTTGCGCCGGAGAGGTTCCTGACGAGCTGAGAGCGAAGGGAGGGTGTAAAAATACGTGGAGTCGATTCCTCAAGAGCAGCGCTTCAGGATGGAGGGATTCCGGGGGATGCGACAAGGCGAGAGAGATGATGGTGGATGAAGTGGTGATGAAATGGGAGGTGGTGTCAGGAGGGAATGAGAGAAAGTGAGCAACGCGGGAAAAAAAAAAGGAGAGTTCTCTGTTTTCGCTTCCGCAAACGGCCAACTGAGGAATAACTGAGCTGCAGACCTCCAGGCTACAACCACACCACAAAAATTTCAATATAATGAAATTGAATTACAGCTCTGGACTGCACAATTGAATCAAACAATGGACAAAGCTCGGGATGTCAACAAAGACTGGGATGACTTGGGTTCGGCGCTTCCTTCATTCTCCCTCCATTGAGGTCTCCTGCGCCCTGGACTTCTTTATCCTTTGTTCGTTGAGACAGGGAAACCTCCAGGATTTGAAGGTCTACAGAACGCCTGGAAAACTACTGCACTACTACTTTCATCGCACTTCCCCTCTCGTGGGCAGTGAGACAGTGAGACAAGGAGAAAAGGAGAAGGGATGCAGGACGCAAGGCAGAGTCGTCATTGCCATCGCGGTTTGGAGAGTAAAGAACCCCCCCCACGAGCTCCTTGTCTCCGGTTCCTAACTTCCTCTTGAGTTTGTCACTCTCATTGACTTTCATACTTGTGGAACTAGCGTGATCGACTTGCGACATTTCCCTATCCCGTCTATTCTATGTACGTACTAGATAGTGCTAGTCCCTGAGGTACGGAGTAGTACGATGTCATTCCCCTCTCTGGCCCGTGCCGTTGTGGGACAACTGGGAGTCGCATTGCAGTCTGCAATGCACGGTAATCCCAATTGCTTGCAGGTCTTGAGGCCGTTGTTGATATCAGTGTGTAGTTCGGAGTATGGAAGAGGTTATATCCCAACCTTAGCAGAACGAGGTACGGGCTCTATTCAACCAGTATCATGACCAACTCTTCGGCTAGGAGAAGCATACAATCTACTTCGAAATCTAGTAAAAAGTAAAATAAACCCCTCGACTCGGTGGTTGGGCTCGGACTCAGTCTCCCTCTACTCCGTACCATCCTCGACCTGGATTCTCTCCCACTCTTCTCCCTCCATTTGCTTTTATCCCATGAATCCCAACCCTCTCATGAGGCCATATTAAAATGGCAACCTTCTCCCGTAAAAACGACCTCATGTTGCTCCGAAGATTGCCTGATTCTACAGCGTACGAGTTGGCGTTGCGTGATTCTTTCCAAAACCGGTAATATTGAGTTCGGTCACGAACGCGACACGGTAACACGTTAAGACGCGTCGCTCGTGTCAGCCAATCAGGTGCATTTCCCGTGCCACCGGTGCCTCAGGCTGACTTGCAACTACTCCGTACAAACCCACACATATTCTCTTTTTCTCTTGTCAGTACGGAGGAACAAGTCTCTCCTATGGCTCAATCAATCATAATGTTCAGGAATTGAGCCTCCCTCTCAAAAGGTGCCCTTGATCCGGAAGACCCCCAGAATAGGTACTATCTTATCGGAGATACGAACCGCTCCTTGCTTGGTGGGCTGTTTTACATTCCTGCTGGAGGTGCAAAGTAAAAAAAGATCTTGGATCAAAGGAAGCTCACGATCTTGCAAGTGGCTAGGTAGCTGGGGATCCCTTTCTCAGCGTCCCCCTGAATTCGTGTCTCACTCCTTCTTCGTCTCTGGGCCCTTGCTGGGCTGGCCTTGAGAAAATATTCCGCACCCCGGCTTCGCTTCGCAGAATTTGTCCGACACGGGCTTTTATTCTCCTTGCTTGATGCTGTGATGCGGACAATTTGTTCACGAGGGCTTGCTTGCTTGCATTATCTTGCAGGCTTTATTCATTCATGATCGTGTACCCAACTAACACTGCGGAGTACGGAGTACGGAGTACTTACTCCCTGTTCTCTCTGTCTGTACGGACGGCCGACGGCAGGCAGCATCGGCTCAACGCAAACGCAAAACTCACCACCGAAACCGAACTGGCATTATTCAAGGACCCCCCAAAGTTCGATTACTCGCAATTGAACCTTAGAAACCCTAGCTGATCAACGGCAACCTCACCCCTCATCAAGACGGAAACGCCAACCACAGGGTCATCCATCCCCCTAGGGTACCTCCCCTTCCCTTCCCAATTACTCCAGGAACAATCGAAAGCCAATATCCCACGACATAGGGGTACGGAGTACGGACGACAGAGTACTCCGTACCAGCGCTGAATGGCACGCACGACTTCAAATGATCCGTCGGCGAATTTCCAACCAAAATGTCAACTCGCCAGGCACACCGCACCGCACCGTATCGTATCCCCCAGCTCACTCATCCAAGCAAGGGATAAAATGGGGTCCGCAGCAAAAAAAAAAAAAAAAAAAAAAAAAAAAACTTTAAACCAGCCACTCACCACCGAAATTCGCCGAATATGTCAATCCCAAAAGCAAGCAAGACGGTGCAGCGGTGGATTTGACTTGTTGGATAAGATTTAGGCAGGGGACATCGTTTTGGGCTCCTCCTGTGCTTACTGACACTTCCACCTACAATCACGCATCTGATCTGATCTAACCCTGAATGCAATGCACCTTCTTCTTTCTGGATATGGAATTGTGGCGGTGGGGCTGCAGTGACTTGACTAACTTTCAAGAATAAATAGTTAGTTCCGGAGTAGTTAGTATATTGGTTCCCCTGCTGATGATCAAGGCACAGAACGTGGTCGAGCTCGTGTTCTCTCTTTTTTTATGATCCAAGTAGCTTTTCTCTCCTTTGGTCCCTACCTAGATTCCGTTCCCTTCCTAGCCGGTAGTGTATAGTGTCTTGGTGAAGATGGCCAACAGAGTTGGTTAACTGCACCCCCTCTACTCCTCGAGGGCACTCGCTCCCTGTCAAGGGCTTGGAGATACAATTGCGAAGGTATTGCATGGAGTACGGGTTGCCACTAAAGGGATGTAGTCTACCAGGTCTACCAGCCCCTGTATGAAATAAGAACGAAGTATTCATCAAATCCTCTCTTTCCTTCTCATAATGATGAATATTTGGCTTTCCTTGCGTAAGTGAACGTATACTCTAACAACCTTGTCACACCTGACATAATGAACGATGTTTTAATATTCTGATTGAAAAGAGTGGCAATGTGTTTTTCCTCATGAATCATAGTGACCGTCATTCAATTCGGTCAAAATATCCCCCGTACATAGGCTGGTGCCGTTTCCCAGTCACCACATTGCTAACCTCCTCATAGTCCTGCCCTTCGAGTCCGCTCGAGCCGTCACAAGGGCGTTTCATACCGCCTTGGTTTTTAATCCACCATGGGGGCATAAATCCTCTTGCATAGGATCCTGGGTATCCAGTAAACTGGGGGTATGCCTGTTGAGATGTTAATGAGCCGCTTGATTGAGTCTGGGGGCTTCGAAGTCTGTTTTCATCAGCGACAGGCAAGGGAATGAGGTCGACTAGGCTTTCGGTGGAACAAACGTCGGACGATTTTGAACTAATATTAATACTACTGTTTTGCAGAAGGCGTGAGGATTCATTTGCTGCATCACTAAAATTCCCATGCGGTGGAAGATTTAAATCCGAAAGTGTTTGAGAGCAGGCTGTTGGAACCCCAGTACCCAGTTCAGAGCCTTCCGAGCGAAATGATTCCGAAACCCTTTGCGAGTCCATTAAGATCCTGGACGGACAGTTCTCTTTTTGAAATGGGTTGGACAAGTGTTCCCTGTGATGATAACTTGAACACTGGCTTCTTAACACCTTGACGGGGTGTGCATACCTGAAAAGGTCCACGCTTGACGGTTTCTTCGGCAACCGTGGTTTCCAATCCCGAATTGACCTCCTATAGAGTGCTTCAAACTCTTCTTTATGGCAAGGGTTGGTGAACCAGCTGTGCTCCAGTGCTTGATTCACATCCATCCGCGCTGCCGGATCGAAGACCAACAGCCGAAGGACGAAGTCTTTTGCACGTTCACCGACTTTATGCCTCTCAAGTTTGGCTTGTAATCTCCCTAGGGCCTTCTCCTGAGCTGGTCCTGTAGCAAAATATTTGCTTCCCACATCGTCAAATGGGGCCTCGGCAGTAAGCAAAATGGCTGCGACGCAACCCAGTGACCATAAATCTACAGCTTTAGTGTAGCCTTGTTGATCACCTCCGAGAACTTCCCTGTGCATGAAGTTAGCCCGTTGCTTATATCGCCCAATGAGGTACTAACGGTGCACTAAATTCCAGAGTACCAGCCATTGTTGACATACGCCCAAAAGCTGGTTGTACTAATCTGGCGCATCCGAAATCAGTGAGAACGACCCTAGATCCGTCTGCTCGGGATGACATGAGAATGTTATCTGGCTTTATATCTCTGTGTACAATATTACGGTCATGCAAAAACTTCACGGCTATGGTAATTTGGCGCACAATAACCGCTGCCTCAATGTCAGGTAACCTTCCACCTTTGTACTGGATGTATGAGAACAAGTCTCCAGCTGTGATAAGTTCTTGAAAAAGGTAGCTATGAAAGTAAGCACTCACCCAGTAAGCGTGAAGTTTAACCTACATAGTACTGCTGGACTTTATAACCCTTTCCAGGCCAATGATATTTGGCTAGTAACAGCTTAGTACCCGAGCGCAAGGGAAATATTTCTAAAACTCACATGCAACAACTTTTCGAGGATCGTGGCTTCGCGATCATACACGTCAAACCTCTCTTGCAACTTTTGGGAAATATACCTCTGCAAGTGGCGTAAACCATTTGAGTCGTATTCTTTCTCTGCCCAAGCCTTGGAGTGTTTTGCTTTCGTCCGCTTGACCAGCGAGTCTCTCAGTGATTGAAGGTCGACAATCTTGCACGCCAATTGTTCACCAGTGCCTTTCTTATATGCCATATGAACCTGTCCGAAAGCACCTGTCCCTAGCTTTCGGTTTGTGATAACGTATTCTTCCTCAAAGGCCTATAAAGCGAATAAGTGCGGATTTCAATTGATTGTCGTAGAGCACACACCTTCATCTCTATCTTTTGTAAAAGGGAGAAAGACTTGCCCCTGAGAGGATCCACCTCTCTGAACTGAATGTACGACTTTGGGGATAATCTGAGGATGTCTCCGTCGCTAAGGAGGAAGCTTCGTTGTGCATTTGCCATCCTATACCCGTTCCATTCTGTACCATTCATCGAGATATCTTGAACGTATACCAGTGGTGCAATCTCTTCCGGATTATCTTGATCGAAGAGGACGGTGTAAATGCAGAGGTGCTTATTCGAGACCAACGGATCGTTCATAACATACTGGCTAGTAATCCTGTTAGACACGGTATGGACAAGGTGGAGACATGATACCATTTCTTTTCGTTGCGGCCCACGAATATCTCCTGGCGACTATATATGGCCAACGGGTTCTCTGTCTTCTTTGTTTGAGGGTCCCACCTCCTCAGTGTGCCGACCAAACACCCTGGAGTAGGGGGGAAGCTTTGTTGCGACATGGTGGTCAGGAGTAAGGATGAGGCACAGCAAATACAACAACCCCTAATTCAATCATAAAATACATAGATCTAATAGAATGGTGTTTTGCAATCAGGCTAAAAATGCACTGTGGGTGAAAGAAGGAGTAAGAAGGTGAAGATTGTAAAGGTTTGTGTTGTTCCTTCACCCACCATCAGAATAGGCAAGTAGGAGGCACTGAGGCACTGATGTCGATGGCACATTACTAGGCACCCATCACTACTAGTGGTATTATACTTGATATAAACAGGATATATGCAATATCATGGCTTGCTCATTCTTTCATTAAAGTTGACTTATCATAAGGCATTAGTAAACCCTTTCTATTACTGCACACATATATCCAAATCATGAAAGAACCAGTGGACAGGAAGCAGTTTCGTCGCATTCACTGCTATGACCCTCCCTGCATTCTTCGAATTCGTTCTTCTGCGGCCCTTGCGCGGCGTTCTCTTTCCAGCCGCATCCTCATCTCTGGAGTCATACCTCGCATCTCGTCTTCCCGTTTCTCGGCAGCGGTCTTCTCAACACCTCCCAAAGCTCGGCCTCCTTTCCTTGCGATTGCATGCGCAGCTCGTTCCACTTCCTCCTTTTTCAAGCGGTCCATTTCGACTTTACGTCGATTGGACTCTTCCTCCTGAGCGGTTTTCCTTTCCCTTTCCATACGGCTATCTACGTCCGCCTTGGAGATGGCTGATGGAACCTTGGCGCTATCCCAATCCCATTTCAACTCGCCAAGTTCGTGACGGGCCACACGGAAGGCATCCCGAGTGGCACGATCTCCAGCGAGCTCGAAGGGTGTTCTTCCTTCTCCATTAACAGCTGTGGGGTCTGCACTGACCTTGGAAAGCAAGGCCAAGACCACGGCAGGGGAATCAAGATTCGATGCGAGATGAAGAGGTGTGGGGCAGCGGAAATTCTGTTGTGTGTCGGAGGGCAAGAATGTGAAGGAAGAGGGTATCGAGTTCTTTGACAAGTACGACATCAGGGCCGGGATCTTAGAGCGACGAATTAAGGCTTGGATTTGGGTGGTATGAACCATAGCAGCTTCGTCTTCCTTGGAGACTTTCGGTTTCTGCTGCTGCTGCGGGCGAGGTGTTGAAGGTTTTGATGTTTCTTCTCGCTGTTTTGCCTCTGCGGCCGCCAAAGCAGCCTCGTCAACCTGGCTGACTTTAACCCGAGTAAGTTCTTTGAAGCACCTCATAAGCTCGCTCTGAGTGGCTCGACGGGTACTGAATGGGAAGCCTCTTATTCTGGGGTCGTTCTGCTTCAAGGCCGCTCCATCGTATCCAAATAGAATCTTGCGATTTGTAGTACCAGCAGCGCGAACAAAGAGTAACTGAGCCTCATCGATCATCTCCTTCCAGTCTGATAGTAGCTCTCTAATTTCTTTCTCCAATGCGGCTTCGTTGTATCGTCTTAGACTAGAACCTGCCGAGTGTGCTGCTCCCTTGGAAGCATCATTGGCCGATTGCGAGCCACCTTGCTTTCGCCTCGTCGTATAGCGGTGGAACGTCTTGTGTGCGATCACACGAGCTTGTCTTTCTTCAATACCTCCTTGTCTTCGGTGAATTTCAGGGGCTAACGAAACAAGCATCGCTGCAAAGTGACCGCCACCAATCATACACAGAAAAATATGCGGGCTTGGAGAGGGGTGTTTGCCCAGGCCAGATCCGTTACTCTTCGGAGGATGAGCCGCCGCAAGTTGCTTTTTCTTCAGAGAATCAGCAAGATGTCTAGGCTCTTCCTGCTCAACATTCGTGAATAGAGCTCTGTATACACCAAGAGACGTGTTCGGGGGAAGAAGAGGATTGGAAAACCAAAGCAGCGGATGTTTTGCGGTACTCTTCATTGTTGAAGTCACTTCCTCGCCCTCTGTTGCTGGTGAGATCTTAGCTTGCCTTTTGAGTAATGCTGTGAGCTGGTCGCCTCCCTGATCTTCTTCTCCTTCCGAAGACTCGGATCCCGATATCGATTCGTCAAGCTCCCCAATCGCCTTTGTAAACTGCACCTCATTTAAGACCGGATTTCCTCTGAGCTGAGCCTTCACATTGTACTTGTGGTGGTCCGATCGCACATGTTCACGTTGTTCCTGTACATTCCCGAAAGAGACCTTGCAGAGGGTGCAGCTAGTGGAGGCTGCGATCGCATAATCTTGGGCAGCTTCTTCGAGCTTTTTGGTGACATGTTCTTCGTTGTCTTTGAGTGTGATGGGCTGGTCTTCGCCTTTGAGGGTTATGGATGCGAGGAGTTCCTGAGGGAGATCATACACTTGAAACTGCGGTTAGCAACTAGGATACAAATCCACGAAACTGTCACAAATAATTACCATATAACGGTCTTCTCAGAAGCTCTTCAACATGTGTATCTGCAGCCATAGCGATAGGTTAAAGCGTCGAATGGGTAAAATGTGCAAGTATGATCCACGTTCCACGTTAACGGAGCCCCTCAAATCCGAATCCACCGCCTTAAGTTTCTAGTGGGGGTTTGCGTTAATCCTTTGATATTGATTGATAAATTCGAAATTAGTACTGTAGTTTCTTAACTCCTCTTCAGATTAACTTCTTCGCGGAAGTTTTTTTTTACGTAGATACAGCTTACCTTTTTGTATAAGTTCATTGACTCAGAATCCATACTGACTCATAATGAACCCGTTGCAGTGCCTGCAAATACAACGCCACGCTGCCCCCGCCCCAATCATGAGGGTTCCAGGATCAGGATACTGTTACACAAATTGGATTTGCTAGATTTGAAGATCAGATACAATCTTGTGTTTAACTAGGTTGGATGTTTACAGGGGGGTTGCCGTGAAGGGAAACTCCCCCAAATATATAGTTTCTGTGCTCTGTATAGAACTTGATTCGTACCTACTCTGTAGTGAACTCGGAGTACCGCTTCGGAGTTAGGAGTTTTACTCTATATGCTCGGAGTACGGTATTATTCCCGGTCGGTGGCTCTATACAATCAGGGGCAGATGTATATTCTAGTATCTGACTGGAGGGTTATGGATGAAATTAGTTAGACTTTCCTATTTACAGAGTACATGCCTCCTTATTCGCACCTTTCTAGATATCAGATTAATTAAGCAGAAAAATGCACATGGAATGAACTATATCAACACGGTTTGTAAATGCATATCATTTCTAAGCAAGAAATAAGCAAGCAAATGAGGTAGAGTAGGCACCTAAGTACCTACGTACATCCCTCGTAGAGCCACCAACTATTTCTGTATGCTTCAGGCACTCCTAAACATGCTCTGACCTGTGGAATTATTGACAACTATAAAACTAGAGGCTAATTTCAATTCAAAATCGCGTGTTTTGGTGGTTGAAGATCGAATTCGAAAGATCGATCGTATCCGGGCTGGTGGCGGTGTGGATTACGTTATCTTCCGGAGACAAGGACGCATTTCTTGTTCGCTGCGATCGCGACCTTTTTTTGCCTGTGCTCCGAAATTTCCTCGATTTTCCTTCTGTGTGTCTGAAAGGGACAGAGGAACTTGAGGTTTGGGTTACACATTCCGCGGGAAAATGCTGGACGGCAGCTCTCAGGCGGTTCTCGGGGATATTTCCCCAGGATCCCTGTCGTCAACCCCGGCGGTCGCACTCCAACCTCCAAAGCTCCAACCCTTCTGCGGCGACAGTGAGGGTTGGGGCCCGGTTAGCAGTATTCGATTTGACCTCACGCCATGTTCTCTTGACCTGGGGGTTTCTCTGGTTGCAGTGTTTGGAATACTCTTCGGAAGCGCTGCTCTTTGGTTCTTGTTCAAGAAGCGCATCCCTGAGCCCGTGCCGAAAAATTGGCATTTCTATGCCAAATTGGTTCGTTTCTCGTCAGCTCTTCTCTCAATTCCCTTAACGATGTACTAACATATACGATGTTTGTGACATAGACCGTGTTATCCGCTTTGATATTCACCACCGCTCTCCAGGCGGCACTTCAAGTTGAGACCTACACCGACTGGTTTGGTGACTTCCGGTTCTGGAGTTCGATCATTATTCTTGCATCATTGGGGGTTATATATGCTGTGCAGTACTACGAACACTGGCGCAGCAGACAGCCTAATGGGGTTGTCCTCTTCTACTGGCTTTTTTTCATCGTCGCGTATGTGGTTAAACTGCGGTCGCTTGTCGCCCGGAAAACCTATGACGACCACCTCCCCTATTTCATCTGTTTCAATGTCAGTCTCGGGCTGGCGATCTTGGAGTTCGCGCTAGAGTACCTGATCCCCAAGAAACAGAGTGCTTACAACGCGCTGGGCGACGATGATGAATGCCCCTACGAATACGCAGACATCTTTTCCGTTCTTACCTTCAGTTGGATGACTCCGATGATGAAGTTTGGATACAAGAACTTTTTGACGCAAGATGACCTGTGGAATCTTCGGCAACGAGATACAGCCCGTGTCACGAGTGCTACGTTGGAGGAGCATTGGGAACACGAGCTTCGGAAAAAGAAGCCCTCTCTGTGGATTGCAATGTTCAAATCCTTTGGCTCCCCTTATATGCGTGGCGCGATAATTAAGATAGGAAGTGACACGCTCGCTTTTGCGGAGCCACAACTTCTACGACTCTTGATTGATTTTATTCAATCGTACCGTACCCCCGAGCCCGATCCGATCATCAGAGGTGTTGCCATAGCTCTTGCGATGTTTATAGTCTCCATTGTCCAGACTTCATGTCTGCATCAATACTTCCAAAGAGCGTTTGACACTGGTATGCGTGTCAAATCGGGTCTCACTGCCATGATTTACACCAAGTCCTTGAAGCTTGCGAGTGAGGGCCGTGCAGCGAAGACCACTGGTGATATTGTCAATCACATGGCTGTCGACCAGCAGCGCTTGTCCGACTTAACTCAGTTCGGCACCCAGCTTTGGTCTGCGCCCTTCCAAATCACCCTCTGCATGATCTCGCTCTACCAGCTTGTCGGTGTGAGCATGTTTGCCGGAATTGCAGTCATGATTTTTATGATTCCCATCAACGGCGTGATCGCTCGGATGATGAAGAAGCTTCAACTTATACAGATGAAGAACAAGGACTCCAGGTCGAGGCTGATGACCGAGATTCTCAACAACATCAAGAGCATTAAGCTCTATGCCTGGAACACTGCCTTCATGAACAAACTTAGTCACATTCGTAACGACTTAGAATTGAATACCCTTCGCAAGATCGGTGCGACGCAGTCCATTGCAAACTTCACCTGGCAGTCAACTCCGTTTCTCGTCTCTTGCTCTACATTTACTGTCTTTGTCTTGATTGACGACCGTCCATTGACGACGTCAATCGTTTTCCCGGCCATGACCCTGTTCAATCTTCTTACGTTCCCACTCGCGATCCTCCCATTGGTCATTACGGCTGTCATCGAGGCCTCCGTTGCTGTTCGACGCCTTACGGAATATCTCACCGCCGAAGAGCTCCAGCCCGATGCCGTTAAACACGAGGATCCAGTTACCCACATCGGTGACGAGTCTGTAAGGATCCGTGATGCATCCTTCACCTGGAATAGATACAAGGGCGATCATGTTATCGAGAACATTGACTTTAGCTGCCGCAAGGGAGAGCTTAGCTGCCTCGTTGGCCGCGTCGGTGCTGGAAAGTCGTCCTTCCTCCAAGCACTTCTGGGTGACCTCTGGAAAACCGAAGGCGAGGTGGTTGTTCGGGGCCGTGTCGCTTACGCCGCACAATCCCCTTGGGTGATGAACGCCAGCGTCCGAGAGAATATTGTGTTTGGTCACCGTTGGGATCCTCAATTTTACGAGCTCACTGTGGAGGCATGCGCTTTGTTAGACGACTTCAAAACCCTTCCTGACGGCGATCAAACCGAGGTTGGAGAAAGAGGAATCTCGCTTTCAGGAGGCCAGAAAGCACGGTTAACTTTGGCCCGAGCTGTGTACGCTCGTGCCGATATTTACATTCTAGATGACGTGCTGTCCGCGGTTGATCAGCATGTTGGCCGACACCTTATCAACCGGGTTCTCGGACGGAATGGAATCCTCAGCAGTAAAACAAGGATCTTGGCTACGAATTCTATCCCGGTCTTGAAGGAAGCGGATTTCATTGGCCTGATCCGCAGCAAAACCTTAGTCGAAAAGGGTACCTACGAGCAGTTGATGGCCATGAAGGGCGAAGTCGCCAACCTCGTCCGTACCACCATGAATGACTCAGATGATGAGGGCTCCGACTCCGACAGCCCTGGACTTGCTAGCCCCGAGAGCTCAGAATCTGCGACTGTCATTGAGAATGGTGAGTCTGACATTTCCGATACGGATGAAGCCGAACAGGAGATTGGATCTCTTGCTCCCATCAAGGCTGCTACCCAACGACGAACGAGTACGGTCACTCTTCGTCGTGCTAGCACCGCAAGCTGGCAAGGTCCCAGGCGCAAACTCGCAGACGAGGAAAATGTCTTGAAGAGCAAGCAAACCCAAGAGACTTCACAACAAGGTAAAGTCAAGTGGAGCGTATATGGCGAGTACGCAAAGAACAGTAACCTGGTTGCTGTCGGTTTCTACCTGTTTGCTCTCGTGGCAGCACAAACAGCTCAAGTGGGTGGAAATTTCTGGCTCAAACACTGGACCGATATGAGCGAAAACAACGGGGCGTCTAATGTTAGAACATTCATCCTTGTGTACCTGGCCTTCGGATTGGGATCGTCTGTATTGGTTATTCTTCAGAATCTTATTCTCTGGATATTTTGTTCCATTGAGGTATGTATAAATATTTGGCAATATTGGATAATTAAGTCTAACGTCACTTAATTTAGGCATCTCGGAAATTGCACGAAAGGATGGCATTTTCCATTTTCCGTTCTCCTATGAGATTTTTCGAAACAACACCATCTGGAAGGATTCTTAACCGATTCTCGAGGTAAGCCATGTTTTATACTACCTGCCTAGTGGCTATACGCTATAGCTAACGGATTACTAGCGATATCTACCGCATCGATGAGGTTCTTGCTCGAACATTCAATATGGTTTGTGGTGACCTGGTACCTTGTTTAAACAAAAAACCGTCACTAACTCTTCTCTAGCTTTTTGGAAACACTGCGAAGGCAATCTTTACAATCGTTGTTATCGCAACATCCACCCCTGCTTTCCTATTGCTGGTCATCCCCTTGGGCTACATTTATCTTAGCTACCAAAAGTACTACCTTCGCACCTCGCGCGAATTGAAACGCCTTGATAGTGTGACACGAAGTCCGATATACGCCCATTTCCAGGAGTCGCTTGGCGGCATTTCAACTATCCGTGCGTACAAGCAAGAGCAACGATTCAGCCTCGAGAACGAGTGGCGTATGGATGCCAACATCCGCGCGTACTTCCCCTCTCTTAGTGCAAACAGATGGCTGGCTGTCCGCCTTGAATTTATCGGTTCTCTTATTATTCTGGCATCAGCTGTGCTTGCGATTATATCTGTGGCGACTGGCAGTGGCCTGTCTGCAGGTATGGTTGGTTTGTCAATGTCGTATGCTCTCCAGATTACCCAATCCCTGAACTGGATCGTTCGACAGACCGTTGAGGTGGAAACCAATATTGTGTCTGTTGAGCGTGTACTTGAGTACGCCAGTCTCCCCAGCGAAGCACCCGAAGTGATTTTCAAGAGTCGCCCCGCAATTGGTTGGCCAGCGCAAGGTGCAGTATCCTTCCAAAACTACAGCACCCGCTACCGCGAGGGTCTGGACCTTGTTCTCAAGGATATCAATTTGGATATCAAGCCCCACGAGAAGATTGGCGTTGTTGGCCGCACAGGTGCAGGCAAGAGTTCGCTTACTCTAGCCCTCTTCCGTATTATTGAGCCTACTGGGGGTAGTATCAGGTAAGGACTGGTGCCCAAACCACTTTTTCCCACTGGCAACGTAGTAACGCTGTCTTTAGTATCGACGGACTGAACGTCTCGACGATTGGCTTATTCGACCTGCGGGGACGGCTCGCTATCATTCCTCAAGATCCGGCCATGTTTGAAGGAACAGTGCGAGACAACCTGGACCCTCGCCATGTACACGACGACACTGAACTGTGGAGTGTTCTTGGTAAGTTGGGCCCGAATCTTTGCCTTGAGCAAATAATTTAACGGTTGACTGACTTATTATGCAGAGCATGCGCGACTGAAGGAGCACGTCTCTCAGATGGAGGGTCAGCTGGATGCACAGGTTCAAGAAGGAGGTAAGCGCATCCTCTTCCGAACCTTTTGCTCATCACACATATCCGCAGATTATTATTATTATTATTATTATTTTTTCTTTTTTTTTGGGGAAAGATGGAGCTAACCTAAATCTTGCAGGCTCCAATCTCAGTCAAGGTCAACGCCAGTTAATATCTCTTGCACGCGCGTTATTGACGCCTAGTAACATTCTGGTGCTTGATGAGGCAACAGTAAGTAACCGCCTCCCTTCACCGTTTTTTCTGCCCACCCTATCACCTTTCGCCTCGTGCTTGCCGTTTATTGTCGCTTGGGGAGAAAGTTTCCGGCTAACAGTTATCGTTTAGGCGGCAGTTGATGTGGAAACGGATGCGTTACTGCAACGCACACTGCGCAGTACCATCTTCCAAGACCGCACAATCATCACCATTGCGCATCGGATCAACACGATTATCGATTCGGATCGGATCGTGGTGTTGGACAAGGGCCGTGTGGCCGAGTTCGATACGCCTGCAAAACTGATCGAGCAACGCGGTAAATTCTATGATTTGGTGAAGGAGTCCGGGCTGCTCGACAGTGACGGGAATGCCATTATACAGCCGGGCGCCGCGTTGCCGAGGTAGGACTCACTGCACCTTTAGTGAGTGGTGGCAGGGGGGTTTGGGAATGCAGCATCCGGTCCTAAGGCCAATGCTACCGTTCCTTGCCCTCATAAAAGCTGGAAAGAGGCAAAGAAAAGAGTACATAGTCAGTGCCTTGGGTTGTACAATCTGGATACTAATACGGGAGTACTGAGCAGTACTCTAGAAAAAAACAAAAAAGCATAAATAACCCCATAAGCAACGGCAAAAGTTGATGGATTTGATAGGCTATGTATTAATGTCTCATCTGGTGCTTAGTATGTTTACTCCAACCACACGCACAACCATAACACATAACTACCTAGGTACATACATAGTCATTGTTTTCTAGATAGTTAGTTAACTATCTAATAAGTGACAAATATGACAAATATCCCACAAATAACACACACCCGAGAGAAAATAAATAAATAAAGAAATAAAATATACACAAAACACACAATCTCACTTGGTACGGAGTACTGTATATTAATTAATTTCCCTCCCCCCCAAATGATCTTTCAACGTCCGAGATTTTCATCCAAGGTCACGGACCGGATTCGAGCGAGTAGCGGTGTAGGGAAGCACCTGGACGGAGACGCAGGTTTTTTTTTTTTTTTTTTTTTTTTTTTTGCATGGATTTCACATGTACATACAGATGCATCTCAACGCCACGACTTACTCCAGACTTGGTCGGAGTTGGTCAGAGTTGCGGACAGGGAGTACGGAGTAGTTAAGAGTCATTCACCCCCCCCCCCTACGGAGTACTAGAGGGAGTGATACTGTTGCTCTACGGAGTACTACTTGGTGGTAGGTAGGTAGGTAGGTAGGTAGGTAGGTAGTATCATACCCTAGGGTAGGGTTGACCTAATACTCCGTACGAGTTGGCATACTGTAGGTACTCTGTCCAGCCATCAGGACCAAAATTTCGCTAGTATCAGCCGGGCATACATACGCTAATACTATCTCCTAGTTACTTGTAGCGGCTGAACTTGGCCTCGATCCTACCGTGCTGAACTAGCAGTAGCAGTAGCAGTGGTAGTGGTAGTGGTAGTGGTAGTGGTAGTAGCCTAGACAAATCGTAAACAGTACTCCGTACAGTACGGAGTATGTACTCGGAAGGAGATTCCAGAATTCGAATCGTCATCTCTATCTTTCTCTCCGGGTTCTCTTCTCTGTACGGAGGATCTAATCCAGAGCATGAGGTTTTTATTTGGTAGTTATGAAGAAGAAGAAGAAGAAGAAGAAGAAGAAGGCATGACCTTTCTCTCACGTGGCAGGTATTATGTATTGCCTCTCCTGGGTAGGTAGTTCTTTGGATAGTAGGGTATCCGAACCTAGGTTACTTTTGAGAGCACCAGTTCCAGTTCCACAACTTTAGAACTGTTGTAGTAGTACGGAGTACTCCGTAGTAGTACACACTTGCGAAATAGGTAACTAGGTAGCGGTACGGAACGCTTTTTCCTAGTTAGCCACAATTCATCCCACCGGACTAGTACATAAATACATAAAGGGATCTGAACTGAAAATTAGATTACGCCTACGATCACGATCGCGATCAGAATTAGATCCCGATAGGGGGGGGGGGGAAGGAAAGCAAGACAACACAAAACAAGATATGTCAGTGATCTTTTTCTCTCTTCCCAGTTCAAGTCGGAATTGCAAATCAAGTCACGTCAAATAAATCACGGCTGGTTACGGAGAGAGAGAGAAAGCGAGGATGAATGGAATGGATAGATGGGTCCTCCTTGTATCCGTACTCCGTATGTACTCCGTATCCGTACCTACCTAGGAATCCCCCTCAAGTCCACGGTACCTAGGGGAACTGACTGGTAGTGGGCGGGGGTCTGGTCGGCTGGCACAAGAATCTCAGAAGAAGAAAGACGGGAATCGGGATCTGAAGAGGAAAATTTCCTCATTCAGCCCGAGTCCACTTTCTTAAACCCCTTCCACCGATCCAGGGAATTGAAGGATTAACAAATGGAACCGTGCATGGATTGTTGAATAACCTCTTTCAGCGGCGTGCAGATTCGCCCATCTTGGTTTGATTTTGAGGGTGTTTTTTTTTTTTTTTTGTGTGTGTGTGTGTGTGTGCATGTGTTTTCCCTCCAAAACTAGATTAAGTGGAGTTTTTAACAGCAAAGAAGAAAGAGACGGAGTACCTATAATTTGGAGAAGACGGCTTTATAGTGGGGGTTTGTAACTTTTTGTTCCTTTTCAGGCATGTATATACATCGGTATACTATATATACAGAGTATATATACCCGTGACATAAATCAGATATACTCACTTGGTTTGTACATGCACTATGAATAAATCCCCCAAGGATTTGACTGCGGGATAAGATTCTTGCGATGAACTGGAATACTCATGAATCCGATCATCGTAGTAAAGTTTATTAGAGTGGCCGTGAAAATAACTCCAGAGCAAGATGATCTATTAATCCGGCGACGATGAACAGCTGTCCATGATTTACACCGGGATCCCTGCTTCATTTCTGCACAGGACTTTGGAAATCCAGGAATCCAGGAATCCAGGAAATCCAGTGGATCGACTCCATTCTTTCATCTGCAGTGGACTCGAAACACAGAAACATACTGGTATGTAGAAAGTATTCTCTCTCTCTCTCTCTCTCTTGGGGAAACAGTTACCTACATAGCAACTCCTCCTCTTCCTACTGGTACTTACTCTCCATAGAGGGTTATGCCTATTGGGGAAAATGTGGCGCAATAGACTTTGCGACGGAGAACAGAGCTCCTGTATAGCATTAGTGGCGAGGCGAATATCTCCGGAGGTTGGCAGGTGCAGGTGGCAACCTTGGAACCTTGGAAGACAAGATGCACTCAAGCAAACTGAAACAAAACTGCTATGCGGGGGGGGGGGGGAGGAGGAGGATATATCTTGAAACATGAACATGGCACTGACAGACACCGTCAGCTGTCATTAATATCCATTAATATCGCGGTGTAACCGATCTACATGTATGTGCATCACTACATAGTATGGACTATGGAGTACGTTCTCCTGATAATGATGGACGAGGACTCGATATGCTGGCTGTTCCAGAACAACGGGATGATAGAACTAGTCTAGATCGCAAGTAAGGGATATACAGAAACAAAAAAACAAAAAAAAAAAGTTCGTTCTTGCAGACGGAACTGACCCAGGTGCGTCCGATGTGCGAGGGACAACGGGTTATCGTTATGTGGGGGATTGACGAGAGGGTCAGGACAAAAGGAAAGAGAAAAGAAAGATAGATCATCCGCCTGCGAGCTCTTGACCACAATACCAGGATGATTCCAAGGTTCATCGTTCTCTGCAGAAGCATGGAAAGGGTAAATATTGCGGATACAACGGGTATAAGAGAGAGAGAGAGAGAGGCGGAACCCCAAGGTTTCATATCCGCTAGCGGGCTGATATCATAGGATCAGCAACAATGGCGTTGAGTAGATTACGGAGTAACGACGCACAGCAAGCTTGGATCATCCCTACCTTATTATTTGATTGACAGGGGACGATTGGACGGAGAGAAGACAAGCTAGCCACGCCTCTGGAGGGGCTGCAAAAGAACTGTTAGTTATTGGTCTACTTCCTTAGGGGGAATCTCTTCTAGCGAAATTTCCTTGATTCAGTTCGTAGCTAAAAAAAAAAAAAAAAAAAAAAAAAAAAAAAGAATCCCCTCCCCATTGATCCACGATTGATCAGTGGATAAATGATTCGCAAGAACCCGCCAGTTATATTCCTGCAACAGGGATATACAGGGTAAGGTAGCTTTGAAGCTACTGCACGGTTGCAGATTCTCCCATCCACGCGAGCGTCCGATCCAAGGTAAGTGTTGGTTCGAGTCAGAGTCGCCTCCCAGATTGGTGTCTGTGTTCATTGGAGCGGGGGGATCGTCGGCCACATCTCGACTCAAAAAGAGAGAGAGGGAGAGAGAAAATATACTCATCAGATCTGGCAGTGGAGATTAAACCTCACCGAGCGGTTACGCATGCCTATTATGTGCATCTATCATTTCCGTCAATCCACGACTCCACGCTGAGACAACACATGGTACAGAGTTGCCTGTAACACAGATTTTGGTGACTTGCAGTTTCAAACTTGGACATAGGGGGAAAAAAAAAAAAAAAACAAAAAAGAAGAAGAAGGATGAAACCTAATCGGCGATTAAATACCCAATGAGATGATCTTTATTCCCCTGACGCGGAAGAATGGTTAACGGGTTAGTCGCGCGATTAACCCCAAGGTTACTGGGCTCTTCAGCGGCGGGAAATGTATTTGGAATCATGTTAATCATGAGATCAGGACTGTGCAGGGTGCATTGTGTGTATCATCTGGCTCTGGTTCCCCGCCTTCGGGGGGGGCGAGGGCTTAGGGCTGATCTGTAATGGAATACCTGGATACGCTGTCGCAGCCATGATCCATGGAGCCTGGGAGGCAGTTCATATGCAACTCTCACATCCACCTACCTAAGTACATTGCCCTCCTGCTTTTGAGATAGTTCGAGCACCCTATGCGGTCGGTTCCATGGTTCAGGCGCTCTCCCGGCGTTACCCGCAACGTTAGCTGGATGAGTTGGCAAGTCCAGAGTTGGGTTTATGGCTTTCGCAAGTTCACACAGCCCAGGGAACTATTGGGAAGTTATATTTAAATTCGTTCCCTGCAAATCAATCTCCATTGCAGCGATCCCCCCTGTTGTTTCAAATTTTCTGCTCCGTATGGGGCTTCTCGGGGGGGAAGAGTCGTTCCCGGATCAGGAGCAAGAATCCCCCGCCACAATCTGCACCCTCTTCCTCTCCTCTCAATCCTCCCGACTCCGACCAACGAAGCCTCGGGAAATAGCTTATTTAATAACCTGCCAGATGGGGTGTCACAATTCTCCTCCACTAGGGCCCTCTTGACTTACAGTAGTCTTGTGGCACCCTATGCACACTAAGCCAGAGTTGTCGCCTATTACATGCATTACCCTGTAGAGGCTCGGCCCGGTCGTGCACGATAGACTGACCCAACTGAGCTGATCTCTGAGGCATGAATGAAGCATCACTATTGAGAAAACGAGGATATGTGAATTCCAGTTTTCTTTGCAGAATCGATGAGAGCATGCTAGCGGGGCACAAAAAAAAAAAAAAAAAAGGAGCTAGAAGTCTAGAACCTGGTTCGCCCATTTCTTTCCCCTCCACAGAGTAGACAAAAGACAAAAGTACTGGGCTATCAAGCGACCGATTCAGTGAGAGAAATCGATAAGGAGGTCTGATCCTCGATCATGAACAATAATTTCCATCTCGTTGTCTACGGCTTCCAGCCAGTTGATGGATGCACATGGAGCCGGAGAGGTAGGGGATAAAGTACGTGGGATTAATGTCTGTCTTCAATAGCACCCCGTCCTTCCTGCCCCTGAATCATTAAAGCCAGTCTCACGAGAAAACCTGGACCTGCGGAAGGTACCCAAGACATGATATGATGGCACGAAAAGCTATTCCACGCGGATTTCCTCGGGGCGCTTTGGCCTAGACAGCCTCATTTTGCTATCTTTGTCTAGAAGTCGAAAAAGAAAGCGTAGCTTGGACCCCGTCATCCAGATTCTTTAAGGCCTGACAAGGATTCCATCCCATCTACCAGGGCATTGGTTCATCGTACCTGGAAGAAGCTTCTCGGGGAAGAATGAGATGAAGGAAGGTGGGGGGGGGAAGGGAAGAGAGAGCTTCGACAAGGCAAGCATAATCCTACTTAGGTAGGAGAGCAAGAAGAGAAGTACCTTGGTCCATGCAGTACTTTTTCTCTCTCTTTCAGCATGACTAGCAACTCAAGGAGCACTCCACATATGAGCAGCCAGGGCGTCTGATCCCAGGAAATTTGATCGAGTTTTCACCAGCAAGCGCGAGATTACGCACGATCGCCCAATGATCAGGAACGATCTGTCAATAGGAAAATCAACATCGATGTCAGCTTGGAGGTGGGGCAGACAGAGGCCCACTGCTTAGACCGGTGGAGCTCCAGCACTGACAATCAACTAAAGGACGACTTCCAAGTTCCAAGTTCCAGCCTCTCTAACAAGCGATCGTATCCGAAGTGGATTTGCTTTTGATGGGAGGCGTTGGCGACGTTCGGACCGTACTCCCCGGGCCGCCGTCTTCTTCCCCCGTTGTGAGACTTTTACTCTTTCAGGACTCGCTTTTCCCTCCCAAGACGACGACGGAGAAATGACAGCAAACCGCTGAGCGCCAAAGTACCAAACCTCTGGTCACCGCGGGGTTAACTCGTAGTCTAACTGTCTTAAGGGAGTGTCATTATGTCAAACTAACTATTCAATCTGAGTCAGATGACAATTAACTTTCGTACTTGGTCGTTTGGCTTCTGGATTCGGGAGTTTGGCTAGTGCGATTTCGAAGCATAAGGGATACTACGAGTATTCTTTGTAGTCCTCGTACTATAGTACTACAGAGTATAGAAAGTATTCGTCATAATCACCCTGTTCCTGAACCTGGAACCTCAAGTATCGTCCTTCCTAATCGGGAACCCCTACATCGCTTTGCCAATCGGGAAAATAAGAGTCTACTACTAGTCATTTGATGACGCAAGTTTAACAATCTTTTTTCGATCCGCATCCATCTCATGGCATAAAATCTAAATGAGACTTTCTTTTACTACCCTAGGTTTCGCGTTTCGAGAAGCTAATCGTTTCGTCATGACTCGACTTGACACGACTGGTCTGGTCTGGTCTGGTCACTTAGCTTTCTATACCTACGAGTAGGCAACATGGAATTGACCGGTTAGTTAGTTAACCCGTTAGTTAACTAGGTCGTAGCGGAAACCCGTTTAATAACTAGTAACTTAACTACTCCGTGGTTAGTAAGTTAGGTATGAACCTGCGAAGAACCTCGGGCAAATCCAGTGTTGGTCCTTGCACTGCCCTGAAAGAAGGTATCAGAGCAGGTACTCCGTAGACTAGGTGCTGAAATATTTCGCACGGAGAATCTAGGTAGGTAGCACCGTAGCAGGGTCAGCAGGGCCACATTCGGATATAGTCGTTCCAATAGAGCCGATAGCACGCTGACTAGTCTACAATAGCTGGACGCTAAGGGCTACCTACGGAGCAGATGGGGACGAAAATAGGGTATGGTAACTAGGGACGGAGTAGTCTAGGGGGATAACCGACAGAGGGTTGGCAGTGGACGATCATGTCTCTGCGAAACTCGCTCCAATAATGTTTGCTATTTTGCTATTTCTAATGACACTTCATTTTAATCTCCTTAGTCCCCCGCTACGACTAACTTTCTTGGGAAATACTCTGGTAAGACTACTACTGAGGCTGACAGCCTCCAAGAGTATTACCTATTATTATTCCCTTACTCTTCCTTGCACACCCCCCCCCCCCCCCCCCCTTTATTTTAAAAGTGTTATTTTTTTTTTGTTCTTTTCTGGTGTATTTTTTCTTGGCCCGGGATCGATCCTCGTATAATGATGACGATTGGCAATTTTTGATGGATGTAGGACAAAGAAACCGGTCCAAGAGGTCTAACGTGATTTGAATTAGGAAGTGGGTTGCAGTAAACGTGGGATCGGTTCGAAATGTCTTAATATGACGAGGTATCGAGGTCCGGTGTTTACGCAACAAACTAACGACAACAGACTGAAGAAAACGAGGGGGTTCCACCAATGTTCACGGGCCCAGTGCAAGACTACTACTACTACCACTACGGAGTACTACCACTACTTTAGTATGATCATGTACGATTTCATGTACGAAGGCGTTAGCCACGCTTGGAGAAATTTCCATACCGTGGCGGTGAGATTCATCAGCCATGTTCACGTTTTGAATTGCACCTCCAGACTAGAGGAGAGCCACGGGCTTACTTCCTACCTTAGGTACCTTAGGTACGTAACGACGACACCGGTATCAAATCTAGTCCATCCATGCAGGAAGACAAGAAGCGGTGGCATATACTATATATATATATATATATATGTATGTATATTACCTGCAGTTTCCTTCTGCCACGTTGTGATGGCAACACCTACGGAGTACCTACCTACCTAATATACGGCTAAAAACACCCAAATTGGCCTGGATTTCCACGGGCTTGCGCGCCCAAACCTACACCGTTGTTATGACAGCCTTCGTTTCCGTATGATTGACATTGGCAAGCTTCCTATAGAGGGAGATGACGTGCACCGCTGTTCTAGTAAGCTAACACGGCGAGTGGGGAAATTGAGATAAATCATGCGAGGTAGGGAGTGAGTGTAAATGAGCTTTGTACTCTATAAGAAAAGGGGATTTTTGCGAATGTGACTGGAATGAGGTGAAAGGGTGATTAGAAGTACCGGGGATGGGATTATCTATTTACCTGGGAACTCAGAGTATCACTATAGAATAGTCTATTCCAGATAGTTAACTAATGTTATCCACAAACTGTCTTTGTCATAGTAGCGTATCCATGACTGCATTTTTAAACTACTACAGAGAATGGCAATGAAAGCCGCAGATTCTTCCTGCGCCTCAAGACTTCTTGGAAGAGCAGGTCAATACTACGTACCTAGGTAGTATGGAGTGGTAGGACTGAACTAGGAATCATCATAGCATGTTGACATGGTGATTGATTGGGGCGAGAGGATCCAGCTACGTTTAGTCAATGAGGAATTCCTCCGTTATACGAATCCTTTAATTTATCTCTTATTATTACGTATTATATTCTATATTATTATTATTATTGCATTTCTTTCTTCCTGATCTTCCGCTTGGTGTTTCCATGCGCGGGGCTGGGGTTCTTGGAGTATAAAAATTCGAACCCTCCAGATCGGACTTCCTGACAAATAGCCTGGCAGGGAGCATCGCTTAAACCGCGAAACCTGCCCTAACGTCAAGGACAAGATTAACTTTGGCTATCTGGGGTTGGCCAGAAGGTATTAGCTTGAGGAAGGGGTTTCCTGGGATTTCTAGAGTATAGTAGGCTCATGTAACTTGGAAGATCCCTAGGTATCCTAGGTACATTACGGAGTACTCCCAACTACTACTACTACATACTTAGTAGTGAAGAATAGAGTCACGGAAGATGCCCTCTCAACCAAGGAACTGGAAGATCACCCTTTTGGTTCAAGAAGTTGTCAACAAATGTTAATCAACACTTAGTTAATTAACTAGTAGTTAACTAGGTGCTATCTACCTAGTAAACAACGGCCTCTTTTATCCGCCCGCTCTTTCAATATCCACAAGATTTAAATGTATTTTTGGTATATAATACTATATGCTTTGCCTTTTTCATTTCCTCCTGTCATCCTTTATGCAGTTACGTCGTCGCGGCAGGGTCCCTGTCGACCTAGGGACTTCGATTCAAGTCAAAAAAGGCCGATGCGGTCGTGGGACTGGCGGATCTAGATTCGGGCTGGGTCCCAAATACATATATGGCTGCGATGATTTTTCTTTCCATACCTATTAAGGAATAACGCTAAATGACATGACCCTTTCCCTCCGTCCCTAGTCTCATCTGGGCAGAATCGTTTAATTCCAGTGACTTGGGATTCTTTAGCTCGGCGTTACTACGGTTTGGAGATCCCGACTGTTGGAAATTGCCATTTACGGCACACCATTGGTACAATATACTTCCGGCTTCTGCTAACTTGTTGACCCGGGCATATCCGGCTCGATCTGCAACCGGGGGAGACCACTCTATATCACTATCTGCGTCTCTGATGATCGATTTGCCGTCAGGTACTTTGAGATAACCGACGGAGACAGGACAGCCGCGAGCGAGGCCTATCATAAGGACGGCTATTGTTTCCATCTGGTCGGCCCCTTGGGTGATTTCCGCCAACTATCCGGTCGCTCTTAGTACCTCTCTCTGACCTCCCTCCCTTCGTCCTCGGGGGGCCAACCAACCCAACTTTCGGGAAGCGCTGTTCGGGGATTTTCTGCTAGTTAAGGTCTAGTGGTCTTACCTTACTCCTCCCATTACGGAGTACACACGGAGTAACTAGGTCCTAGGTTACGGAGTACCTTCTACTTAGCGACCGCGCACGGATTGTATCCGCAGAGTCGGGTAGGGTAGGGTAACTTTCGCCTCCTGCTCTGGGAATTAAGGCTTTGAACTTTCAATTTGCGAGAACCGCTACACCGGGACGACTCTCTCGTACTAAGAGAATTTAATTTCCGTTGATCTCTGCGTCCTCTGAGCCAGGCAGAATTTTGGGGAATTGGGCTCTGACTAGAAGTCAGGTGACGACGGTTGGCCGTGAACTCGCCCTTATTAATAAAATAGTCGAACATACCTAGGTAGCAAAGTTACCAAAGTATCATCTGGAACTAAGAGGAAATACTTGGAGCTGAGGACCAGTTTTGGTTCTCAATTGTGAAGGGGCCGTTGCCCCTCTTTTGTTCACAAGAGCATCGAGATGATGAGAAAAAGGGAGGCATACGATCCACCGATCTGCTACAATCGATGATGTATTTGACTTTGAATATCAACCTTCAAATCCTGGTCCAAGCGTGGACTTTTGTGCGAGATAGGCTTGCGTGATCGAGTCCTCCCAGAGTTTGGTCTCGGGGTTTGTTGTGTGTCGTATAAAATGCAAGCCATCCGAGACGGCCAATTTAGGGGAGAAAGCTTCCTGGCCACTTACAGTATGGAGTGCATAAAGTACAGCTCCGGGTTCGCATCCTTTCTTTCCGTTTTAAACTATAGACTCCGGGGGGGAGAGAGGGAGGGGGGTTGTCATAGACTCAGGGACAAGCTAAATTTCAAGAGTTAAACCTGTGACTCGGAAATAATAATGATCATCATAACCATAATAATAACCATAATAATTATAATAACAAGAATAATAAGAATAATAATAAGAATAATAATAATAGTAATAATAATCTTCCAGGTCACTCTGGACTTGGAAGGTGACTTACGCCCAACGTGACAAAAGGCCCCCCCTCCCCCTCGGGTCAGGAACCATCGGGCGATTGTCTCCAAGGGCCGGGTACACTAATTCCTACCATTTCAGGATATACCTCGGATGAGAGCTGCGGAACAGCTCTGTTACCCCGTAGGCAAAGATGAAAACGGATCCTACCTAGGTAGGTACCTCGAGTGGACTTCCAGTACGGAGTAGGGGAAGGGCTTAAAATTAAATTGGGCTCCCCGAGCAAACGAAATGATCCTCCCGCGTCCAAATCAATGGGGAGCGTTTAGGGAGACAAACCAGTCGAGCCTTTGGCCAGGAATAGAAGGAGCAAAAGTCCGAGAAGCGCTGGAATCTGGGTCCCGAAAAGAGCATCCCTGGAGCTCGTAAAGACTCAGGAGAAAGAGTTGGAGGAGAGAGGCGTTTAGATTCCTAGCTCAACTACTAGTGATGGGACTAACAACTTCACTATACTAGCTAGCCCCGCGGCCCCCAGCCAGTGCTTTTGTCAGGTCTATAAAAGAAAAATAAAGAAATAAATCAATAAATAAATGGAATAATTTTATTTCCTTAATAATATATTAATATTGCGCTTTGTTCAGGGTTATTTGGGGGTTATCCTCCCAAGCTTCCCAATGCTCGACATACACACTTCCAGTGCTTTGGGTGTGGAGTTCCAATTCTCAGTACGCCACCGTGCTTTTGAACTAGACGGATGGGATGTAAAAGCCTGGGGTTGCTTCCACTGGAAATCATTCACAAAACTTGAAACTGGGGGAGAGAGAGAGCGGGTGAAAGATGGAATGGAGGAGAAAGAAAGGGAGGAGATCTACAAATCACAGCACAGGGTAGTGTAAGTAAGTAAGTACTGGAAAAAAGCAAAATGATAGAAAAAAAAAAAATAATTGACAGGAAAATATGATAATTAAAATGAAAACCAAATTCAGACAAAAAATCGAGAAAAAGCAATTTCAATTCCATTCCACATTACTGCATGGCTTCTATCGCAGACATGCATTGGACCAGACGGTGCTTTTTAGTTGCTCTCTGGTTGTTTCGGCTTTCACCTGTGATGCGCTCAAGGATGATCCATGTTACTGGGATCTAAATCGGGATGGGGTTCGATGGCCTTTTTTTTTTTTTTTTTTTTTTTTTTTTCCCAATAGACATAAATTTATTAAAATAAAATCAAATTTAAAAATATATTCTAAGAAAATCAAATTAAATAAAATAAAGACAGACAGAGACAGGAATAGAGAGATCTAGATAGAGATAGAGAGGGGGGAAAGTGAGCAGGGAGCCGTGAGTGGATTCTGGTTCTTTTGCAATCTTGATGCATCCATGATCTCTCTCTATCTTGCAGACTAGAAACCTGTGGTTTACGTTCTTTTCTTCCCCCCCCCCCCCCCGGTTGATGATGGCCCATTCCTTTTCCTTTCCCAACACTATCTTTATAAAAACCTCATTCGCCCTTATTATTTAGCACTTTGATTTCTTCACATTGTCCTTCTCTTACTCTCTACTCTCTTCCTATCTATCACCAACTTCCTATCCTGACTCTCTATCTACCTAGGTACTTACTATAGTACTATCTACCACCACTATCAAACACCTCCCCCCCCCTTCTGGGTTTACGTTTACCTCCCGTCGAGAACAGTGCTTCTTTTTTCCTTACGGCGAATCTTATTGCTCCTCGATCTTAATTTGTGTTCTGTCATCGGTTACTAGCATTTGCATCCGCGACTGGTTGTCTATCACCCCGCCTCTTAACCCTGTGTTCTCCCAACGGCTCCCGGGTATATCCCTCGACATCTGGTAAGCACCGACGCCCCATACTCGCCCTTTCCATCCCATCCCCGTGCTTTTCTGTCCGTTTGAACGGGTTGCGGGTGCTGTAAACCTTCCCAAAGCTCGAACTGGGAGCTAATCAAGGTCCATGACCAGATTTGTGTCGTTGCAGCTTACCGTCAAACAATCGTTTCCCGAGTTGCTTGATTGGAAGGACGCTCTTTTGGATCTCCTTCCAGCCTGGGGATTTGAGCTTCTCTACTATAAAAGTGCGCCTCTGCTCTTCAGAGGAAAACACAAATTCGCTCGGTTGTCCATTCAAACCCCCCTTCAATAGTAAACCTATGCTTGGACTCGTCACTCTTGCCTTCTCGCCAGGACTTTATTAAATCACCCATATTGTGGATCCATTTACTATTTTGTCCGAGTTTTGCCAGTCTGTCCTGAAGTTACTTTCTTTCCCCTGACAGCAGTATGGTTCTCAGTGCTTCCGTCTCCGGGACCGGGGCTGTCAAAAGGCCCTTATCATCCTTGCAGGACGGATGTGCTGGGTGGGAGAGCGCTCCAGTAAGCCAATATCGTCGATTCAGCATCCATGCCCCAACGATGCTGACCTGGAAATTTCTTAGCCTATGAGCGCTCATTTGCGTCCCTCCCTCAACCTCCCGTTTGCCCATTATGCCTTGATATATCTCGACAACATGGGTAGACTCAAGGTTGCCGAGTCACCCTCTATCCAAGAACAGCATGGGACTGTTTTTACCCCAGATGTCCGTGAGAAATTCTTGGAAATCCTGGGATCCAAGATCGGGTATCATAAGCCCTTGATACGCCGTATGTGTTGAATTCGACCCTCCGATCGTTCCTCGCTAATCAGCTCGAGACAGGGGTTTCTGACCTTCCTTACGGCTATAACCGCGCTCATGACGTCGCCTACCACCGACAGGGCAAGCGCCGCAAGGCTCCAACACACGATCCTGCACTTGACATGTCCTTTAGCGACCACTTTTCTGACCGCGTGGAGGAGGTTCCTCCCTACTCAGCTACTAACATGGTGGCGTTGGAGGTTGGTGACACGGAAAAAGTGCTTGAGTACTACGAGACTGCCCTGAAGCACTTCCAGCAGATAAATTGCCGCCAGATTGCGAAAGCTTTTATCAAGTTCATCGAACCACGCAAGCAGGTCAAGCACCCATACAATGGAGGTCGACCTCGGGCTGGAGCACCACCGGGAGAAAAAGGAGATCCAGAGAAGACAAAGCCAGAATGGTGGCCCGCGGGGGTTCAGCATAAGGAGCCTGATCATTTGAAGAAAGAGCGTAAGTTAAGAAATACGCTTTCTCTTGCTCCTATTCTGACCTTCCACAGAGCGACTTCGACTCTTGATCCATATCCTGCGCAAGCTCGGTAAATTTGGCATCACGTCCGACAAGTTGCAGGAAGTCGCACACGATTCTAAACGACAGCTTCGCCCAGAAGAGAAAATGGAAATATTGAATGAGATATTCAGAGTTCGAAGACTGGAGGAGCGCTTTGAGCGGGGTGAAGTTGGTAAGTTTGGCTGAAGCTCTAGCTCACCATTAGATACTTACAGTTCGCTTTAGACCCTACCACTGTGGTTTATATCCTGAACCGTGATGCCAACCCCAAGGAAACCAAGGATAACGAGTCCGTCAGTGATGCAGAAAAGGTTGATGGTGATGAGGAGGATGCTGACGAGGGCCTCATGACACCTCCTCCATCATCAGATCATCTTACTGGTTCATTTGCGTCAATTGACCAAATGACAATATCACAAAACCGATCTTTTAGCATTGGTGCCGATCGAGGCCAGCTCTTCCCCCTCAGCGATCCTCTAAGCTTTGGAGAGCATTCTAGACCGGACCGCCCATTTTTCACTTCAGCTGCAGAGTATCCTGATGATTATTCTTCGCATCCGATTCTCAAAACTTCCGCAGCCTCTGGGGTGGTTAGTCCCGCTGAGCAGCCTGCCGCTTTCGACTACATGTCGCACACTCCTTATACCGCTTCTGCAGGAGAGCAACATCGCCCTCTTACAATGCCTATGCAGCACCATGTCAATCACTTCGATGCCTGGAATTCGCCTTTCCGCCCTCATGTGTATAATGCCATCGAGTATGGAGCCAGCCAAGCTATGGCCCAGCCCTCTATACACTATCAAATGCCGATGAATCCTACGTCCCATGTTCAAGAATTATCTCACGGAATTCCAGAAGTAGTCCGAGAAAAGGGGTCTCATATGGAACTTATGGGTGCTCGGGGTCCAAGTTTCCGCACTGGATCTCTCAACCATCCCAATGTTCTCACTGCGCATGGCTCACACCCTACCTCCGGGTAATCAGGATGACTGGATCGATAAAGTAATAAAGTTGGAACTAGCCATACTGTTCCACTGAACGACATTATGAATTCTACGAAAGACTAACTAACTTATTATTACTTGTCGGCAATTGTGCTCTTTTTTTTTTTTTTTTTTCTTTTTTTTTTTTTTTCTCTATCTTCACACTTCGTCGGGGAGGGAATATTTCACATATTACCCACACACAACAGAATGTTACTTCTGCTGTACTTGAACATTTTATGAACTGCTATTCAGGGTATATATATATATTGCGCTTTTGATTTTTGCCTTTTTGATTCATCGTTTGCAGATACTTGCCATCCATATACGAAACAAAAGTCGCTGGGGCTGGGGTTGTTGGCGCTTTGGGCAAATGTGCTCTGCGAGCTCTGTTTTTTTTTTTTTGTTTCCTTTCCCTTGTTTCCCCCTGATCTCGTTGGATATTTGAAGTTTAATTTGATAGACTACTGGAAGCGAGGGCGCATGTGGAGAAGCTAAATTATTTTGATTCTGACAGTCCAGAACAAATGATTGTGTTGACTTGAGTATTCAGCGGTTGGCGTTTATTGAAGAGTTTTGTTCATAGCTTATGGGGTTTTGAAATAATATGGATTTGGATGATATCTTTGCAATATGATACATAAAGTAGATCATGAGGAACTTGAGTATCATTCTTAATCTCGATATTTGATCTACCTTTTAAGCCCTTTTCATTCTCGAGATCGAGTGTCACTCTCAGCTGCAGAATGTAGACTATAACTGCCTCTGCGGACAATATTTGAATTATGTAGTATCTCCAACACTCATTAACAGTAAATTGTCAATTTCAATGTGAAAGGCGGCATTTTGTTGTATGTTGTGTGTGTATACTCGAAGGATCTCGATGGTTATCGCGTCTACTTGATTGGGATAGACGCGCGGCAGTAGCGCTTGAGCTAGACCTGGAGAGTCACGTCCCGCTCCCAACAGAAGAGCTTCACGGAGGATCCAGAACAAAGAGAATTCGCCTCCTCCCTTTGCACTGATCTGGAGTGTCAGACAGTTTCCATTGACGCATTCACCAATCTGTAACTGTTTCTATAACAGCATTTCAATCGCTGCGATTGCGCCTTTGTGTCGAGTTTCCGCGTCTTTCGATTCCTGTCTCGTCCTCTGAACGCCACAGTCAAGTCGCAAAGAGGGCCATCTGTCGCTTGAAAACACTATTCCCCGTGCTTAATACGAACTCTTGGATATAATATACACTGCATTATCACTCCAGGCCTTCTGATCGCCGACACCAACGCTAAAAGGTACCGCGCCCTCGTTATCGCTCCGTGCTTTGTACATCCATCCATCACCCGTTCCACGTTTCCTCTCTTTCCCCCGCTTATCGCTTCTTCATCGCAATCGCCATATCGTGATTATCTGGTCTACTGGAATGTCATCTGGGCTGACTCTCATAATGCTACTGCCAACGGTTATGGGGGATAGCACTTTTAGGACGATTCGGTCATCGAAACCCGCACCTCCCGTCCCGGACGCTTTGCTCAACGGCTTCGCAAAATACAAATACAACTCGGGGTGATATTCAAACGACCAAGCAAAATTTAGTATTTTCGAGCTGCATTCAACCAGGGGGATTTCGGCTCCGTCCACGGCGCCTCCGCTGCTCGCGGCAGAATGACCAGTCAGGCAAGCCCATTTTCTGCCCTCCACCAGAAAGATGGGGTAGCGGGCTCTACAGGACGTGGACGCGGCGGAGAGTTTGCGCGTTCAGCGCCCTCCCAAGCCAGGAACACGAATCCTGCTGCTCCACGGGATCCCAAGCTTCGGGGTCGAGGACGCGGAGCCCCCTCAGCAATAAGATCTACCCGTGGCAACGCGAGGGGCGCGAGTACTGCAGCAAATACATGGCGCGGTAATAAAGCAGAGGCGCAAGCAACGGCTACTGGATCTGCCGGCTCGCCGTTTGCTCAGATCAGGCAGAACCAACCCTCCCCATCTGCGGCATTGGGACAAGGAGCGCAACAGAAGCCGTCATTTGCAGGATTTGGGAAGGCGTCACCACAACCATTTGGAGCATCGCCGGCATTTGGTGGGACCGTGGTTGATGCGAGTAGGGATCCTCGGAAGCGACCACTTTCCAAACCGATGAACGGGCCGAGTGGACTTGGAGTACCTGTGGAGGAAACCTTGGCCATGAACAATTACAATGAGCGGTATGAACAGGTAAGTTCTTTCTTTGCTTTCACTCGGGTGACGTAATCGAGGGCTAGGTGAAAGCTCATATTTGTTGAACAGCTTAAACTTGACCGTGCCAAACAAAGAGGACAGGCGATCAAGGATGGGCAGATGGCGGATCCTAACCAACCTACTTCCCTGAACAAGGCGATTACGCCGGTGGGAACTTGCACGAGCATGTGTCCCGAATTCGAGCGAGTCGAACGTATTGTTCAGAAGATGGTCGATAAGAGCGAAAAGGTACCAGATTCGTGATGTTACCACCGTTTAATTACAAATATTAACCCGACACTCAGTTTATCCACCCTGCCACAAATTCGCTACAAATTATGGAGGCTAAGATGCTCAAGCGCTTCCGACGATCCGCTGCTGGATACGACGAGCAACTTCCCTCCGATATTCGAACACCCCGAACTCTTCTTCAGGCCATGAACTACTTGATTCGGCATGTCATAGGTGGATCAGAGCCCCTGGGCCTGATTCACAAGTTCGTATGGGATCGAACCCGGTCACTTCGCAACGACTTCTCTGTCCAACAACTTACCCAGGAAGAGGACGTGAAGATAGCAGTAACGTGCCTTGAAAGGATTGCTCGTTTTCATATAGTTTCTCTTCATTTGCTTTCCAGTCCTGCCAACGAGGAGCCTTTCGACCGTCATCAGGAACGTGAGCAATTGAACAATACGATGCTATCGTTGATGTATTACTATGATGACAATCGCGGTCGTATCTCGTTTCCAAACGAGGACGAATTCCGGGCCTATTATATTATCTTTTCCATTCACGACCAGCGACCTGACTTGGAGGCCCGTGTCCAGAAATGGCCCCCTGAGTTGAGAAATTCCCCACGCGTGAAAGCGGCATTGGAACTTTTTGCGGCTGCGGGCAACACTTGGGAATACCAAGGTACATTGGATGCCAAGAGGCCAAATGCCATTGCACAGGGCTTTTACGCGCGTTTTTTCCGCCTGGTGGACTCACCTGGCGTTTCATATCTTATGGCCTGTGTGGCGGAGATCTATTTTAACCACATGCGCCAGACAGCCATTCGTTCGATTTGGAAGGGCTACTGCCGTTATCCATCCTCCCAGCAACATAAGAATGAGGAGTGGACCGTTGACGAATTGACCACAGTTTTGTACTTTGACGACGATGACCAGACTGTCAAATTTTGTGAAGATCAAGATCTAGAATTTTTCGAAAACGCCAATGGTGATCTGTATTTGAACTGGGGTAGCCGTCCTGTCGATTCTATTGGTACGTGTCACTGTCAGCCGCGATTTTGCCTGTTATTTTTCGTCCGTTGGCTACTTTCTCGCCTCCGCCGTGCACGAATCCCACTTCCAATGGCTCCTAGTTCAATTTTGATACATAACTTCGACTGACCCTGTTACCCAATAGCTTTTCAACCATCTTCAGACCACTCTTTCTCCGAAACATATGTTGAGTCGAAGCGTGCTGGTAGAACCCTGCAAGCTATCGTGCTTGGATTGAATATCAGAGAGTCTGCGAATCTGGGAATGATAGAAACTTCGTCTCTGTCTCCACGCGCTCTTGATACCGCCATGCCTGGTTTGCGGGTACCTGTGGACAATGATGATTCGCTCTTCGTCAGTGATGATGAGAACGAAGTTTCAACTTCAAACTTCTCATCGAAAGAAGCACCAGTCACAAACATAAACGGCGCGCCACCTCCAGGGATTATGTTCGGGGGTTTCTCGCAAGCAGCTGGAGAAACCCGATCCGAGTCTGGGAGTGCTTCACAAGCCCCTTTTGCTCAACATCCGAATGAAACTCAGCTGTCTGGAACCTCCGGTCCTTTTTCTTCGTTCTTTTCTACCAGCACCACATCAAATAGTTCTGTGGCAGCTGCAGCACCTGTGGGCCCATCGCTTAACCCGTTCGCGAAACCTTTCAATTCATTTCCCTCCAAACCTTCTGAGACGTCCGAACAATCTACCACTCCTTTCGCTACGATGAATGGGTCCCAGCCTACAAGTATTTTCTCTGCGACAGAAACCTTTGCCCAGACAAGGCAAGCGGATAAAGGGTCACCCAGACCTACTCCGTCCACCTTTACCTTCCCCCCTGCCTCTCAGCCGACAACTTCACAAGGCTCACCCACGTTCAACCTTACCTCAAGTATCTCACAGCCCCCTACAACTTCTACAACCTCTCCTTTTGGTGTTTCTCAATTCTCACTTGGCACCAAACCCGATCAGCCTATCGATTCGACTGCTGGTCAGTCCTCTAGTATTTTCAATGTCGCCAAACCACCTCCTGCTACTCAAGCTTCTTCCTCGATCTTTAGTTTCCCCAATCAAAGTATAACCCCTGTAGGAACTATCGCTCAGAAAGAGACAACCACACCCGAGCCCCCCAGGGAACAACAGCCTGCTGCTGAACCACCGCGGTTGTTCTCATCGTCTTTGAACTGCGAGAAAAATGGTATGTCTATCAAACTATACCGGTCTTTCAAATGTTAACAATTAGGTAGAAACACTGTCGATATCCTCGACATTCGCGAAACCATCTGAGCCTTCAAAAAATATATTTCAAAAACCCATCAGTCCTACTTTGGAGACCAGCCAGGAGCGGCCTTCAGTAAGCCAGACGACTACTACAGGGAACGAGAAGACCGATCCGGGAACCACGATAAAAGCAGCTCCTCTTTTGTTCAGCAACGCCAATGTAGAACAGCCAGCGTCTTCTCTACCGCACCCCTCGGCTCCGTTTCCAGAACTGCCACCAACTATTCAGCCCGATATTCCGGACGTCGATATTGTTACTGAGGAGACTGCCAACGAAGAACAAGGTGAATTGTCCATCAACTCTCATCATTGCTTATTTAAGCGGCTAATGTTTTTAACAGCGGACAATACAGAGCGCCAAGCTTCTTGGATCAAGGCATTGAAAGAAGCGGCTGAGAGGCGACGAGAGGTACGGCCCATAGCAAGCACAGCCGCTCGAAAACGGGTCCTTGAGGAGCAAGAACCACTCCCTGTGGAAAGTGGTTCTAAGGCACTCAAGGTCTCCGGAACAAAGGAAGCTCCTCCCCGCAAATCTTTGGCCCTTTCTTCGATGAAGCCTTTACCAAAGCTTCCAATACTCGAGGTAATCGAGTCGATGACGGCGCGAAAGCCTATTGAACAGAAGTCAGAAACACCAACACCAAATCAAGTCGATGAGGACGAGCTTCTTCTCTCAGCCGCGCGTATAGCTGCTGAGTCTTTAAGGACTGGGCCTCGACTTTTGGACGGATGGTCTACATCGTACGAACCATGGCGGTCTTCATTTAGTCCAGGAAGCAGTGTGGCATCGTCGGTTGCCTTTTCCAGAAGCCAGTCACCCCAACTATCTAACGTGAATGGGTATGACGTTGCTCTTGCTCCCGACACCGAGCTTGGACTGGGCCGTACAATGTCCCGAACAGAGCAGAGGATCCGAATAACCGGAGGCAAGGGGCTGGCATACAAGCCGCTCAACTTCACCCCTGAAAAATCCAAACAGTGGAGTACACTACCAAAGAAATAGCCTCGAGACACTAGTCTCCGCTGTCTATATACCCCTAGAGCTTCTTTTTTTTTTTTTTTTTTTTTTTTTGCATCAACCGGTTGAATATCCTTTTGACATCACTTCTCGAATTGATTCACGACGAGAGTTTATTATTTGGGCATTGTTGAATGCGCCATTTGCATTGCGGGCGGTGTTTATCGGGTTACTTGCGTTTCCAAGTCAATTGGCGTGGTGATTACTGTATTTTTTGATATATAATTTTAGGATTGATTTCATCTAAATCCTGCTGTCTATAAGCGAGGCTCAGCCACCGCCTTTTCTCTAACCCGGGGAATTTTATTCATCGATACGCTGCAAGTAGTTCATTTCTCTCATGTTCTCTCACACCTAGTTACCTCCGTTATGTGGTGGTCTAATCACATGACCCATCAACCAAACCAACCAATGAATCTTAAAACAAAGTATCACCTCTTCGCAACAACTTCAAAGTCACTCTCAAGCATAAACAGCTAGAGAGAATATAAGAAAGCACTTCTTTTTTTTTTTTTGTTTTTTTTTTTTAAATTTTCCAAACACCAATTTTCTCACCATTACTCACCCAGGGATCTTCAGTCCCCTCCGTGTTGGGGCCATCCAACACCGACTTCGCCCTTCCACTCTCTACACGACTACTCCTTCGGACACCATTAGAGATAGATACCTCACGCTGCGAGGAGCAAGGCTAGATCCGAGCGCAGGCGCTCATAGCAATTCCGTATACACAGCGACTTCCCCGGGGCCCACAGCTCGGTCTGGGCTCGGTAAACGGCGCAGAGGCATGAGAATCGCCACGCTGCAATTCGCCCCGAAAGTGGGCGATGTCGAAGGGAACCTCGCACGAGCTAATGAGGTGCTAAGAAACGCGGAAATCCGCAGTCCTGCGGGGGTCGTTTCGAAAGTTGACGAGGGGTTGGGGCTGGATCTCTTGGTGTTGCCGGAGTTGGCGCTCACAGGTGAGTTGAGTTGAGTTGGGTGATGAGTTCGGGGGTTGGGGTTTTCTTTTTCTCTAATCTCTGGGATTGTTCTGCTGCTTTCTAGGGTACAATTTTCCCTCGTTGCGTGCAATCAGACCCTACCTGGAAGTCGCTGGGCAGGGTCCGTCTGCGACTTGGGCTAAGGAGACCGCAAGGCGGCTTGGGTGTAAAGTCTGCGTGGGGTATCCTGAACTCGCCATCGAAGATGATGACGGGTCAAGTGGCGGGGAAACGGAAAAATGCTACAACTCTCTGCTTGTTGTGGATGAACTGGGCAACGTCATTCTGAACTACCGCAAGGCGTTCCTTTACTACACGGACGAAACCTGGGCTTCGGAGGGTATCCCCGAGCACGGATTCCAGGAGCTCATCTTTCGCAAGAACAAGAAGACTAATAATCGTCGCGATGATTCCTTACCAGGAGAAACAGCCGTCAGTATCGCCACTTCCTTCGGCATCTGTATGGATATCAACCCGTACAAGTTCGAAGCCCCGTTTTCTGCGTGGGAGTTCGCCAACCGCGTGCTTGATTCCAAGTCACAGTTGGTGGTTCTTTCGATGGCCTGGTTGACCCTACTCAGTCGCGACGAGTTGGATCTTCTCGCCCACAAGCCGGAACTGGACACCTTCAACTATTGGGTGCAGCGGTTTTTGCCACTTGTTCGGACGAAGATGAAGCATGATGTGAATGGGGATGGGGACGAGGGCGCCAGCGATAGCGAAAGTGCGAAGCAGATCATCATTGTTTTCGCGAATAGGGCTGGCGAGGAAGAAGGTAGTACTCTGGCTCGGTACGCAGGGACCAGCGCGATCATTGCTGTCACACAGCGACCGCGCAGGGGAGTCCACGAGAGGGGTGAGGGGAGGATCCAGGGTGATTTGTCGACGAATGACAAGGTGGCACAGGGAGAAGATCCTCCGTCCTCTGTCCACCCTCCCAATCCCTTTGACGTGAGGATTCTTTGTTGGGATATGATGGGTGCGACAACGGAGGGAGTTTGCTATGCTGATACAACGGCCGACCCGACCATGGTTTTTCAGTTGGTTAAGGCGTCGGAATCTTGACGGGGACGGTAACTAATGAGATAAATAATTCATGTATCTGGGTTTGGGCTCTGAGAAGGAGAGTGCTTGGGTTGGGTTGGGTGTTGGAACAATCAGAATATGGCCGGGACTTTGCCTCAGTAGCTTCACTACCTTCCGATTCGGGTAAATGATATAAGATCTTAACCTTACGTAGCGGCAGATGGTACGGAGTACCAGGAAGCTTTCTACTAGCATGCCGGAGGAATGCACAGCCTTATCTTCAGAATTCTGGTTTTCTAGTTATTCAACAACCCTTTTTGCTCAGTACTGTCGAGCAGCTGACATTGCACTTGGTGGTTCACTAGTTACTATTTACCTCATCTCATGACCAACTAACCGATCAATACAAGCCATCATCAGACAGATGGTTTCTTCAGACCTAGCAAGGTATCTTGTTTTGCTAGACGCGACTCCTCAGAAATCCACACGGTCCACCAGCTTCAGGTTACGCCATCGTCCTCACCAAGGCGAAAAAAAAAAAAAAATCAGGATGTGTTGGAAGGTGGTTGTATGCCTGGATGGCGTACATGTGACACTGGGATTAAGTGTAGTCAGTCAGTCCCACTTTAGTTAGGGGGTTTAGAATAAATATCTATATGTATGTATGCATCCTGAAGGATGCATGCAAGGTTTAATCTCCAATAGATAGACAAGAAGCCATTCGCAAAGAGTGTTCGAAGTAGAGTTACTCTGTCGAAGAGAGTAGATTATCCGGATGATGCCCCCCCTCCCCCTTATTTTCCCTAGTTCCGTAGAGTTGAAACAGAGTTAGGGCAAAAGAAGAAACCTCTTAGACTACTCCGTACAGCCTAGCAAATGTGCTGAGACCCCTCGTCAGCTGGGTCATCTGTTCCCTGCATGGGAAAAAGCAGTACTTTTGTACGTTTTGGCAAGAGGTCTGCGCAATGTGAGTACTTTGCGACGTTGCGTTAAGACAGAAAATGAATGATCGGCAGCTAGAGACGAAAAAGGATAATAAGATACAAAGTGAGTGGGTGGACAGGGTCACCTTATATTCTGACGAGCCCTACATATGTATGTAGTACTATGTACTCCGTAGTTAACTATCTAACTCGAGGGCCGGCCCGCGGGAGGGGAAGCAAAGCAGGTACTTTGGTGTGAGGCGGCAGCTCCTCTCCAATAATCAACGATAACAGTTGCATGTGTGGCGAGGTAACCCTCCCCCTGGTCGTTGATTTGATCCGTGCAAGAAAAGGGGGGGGGTAGCGCTGCAGGGGAGATTTCTCTCTACAGAGCACTCCGTAAACGTCTGCAGACAAAAGTTCCTTGACTTTGATTGAAAGCGCGTTCTTAACTTCTTATTAGGGAGGGTTGCAGAGTGACACGTGATCTCGGGTGAACCCCTCCTCCGGCAACCGGACTGGTGCGAGCCGTCAGCCAATCAAGAAGCAAGATCAGGCGCCGCACGGAGGCGGGAGGGACACGGGATTCCGGCACATGACATCGACGACGGCGAGGAGGGAGCAAGAAAACAAGATGGAGGGCATCACTTAGGGGTATTATTTCCTGGGACAGGAAGTACGGAATGGGAATTTCTTGCAAGGACGATAGCAAGAAAAATCACGTAGAGCTTTCCACTGCAAAATCATAAATACTACGCCTTCTTAGATGCAGTTCAACTCAAGTCAGGACAAATCCAGAGCTCGGTGTCCGGTGACTAAGCTGCGCCCCCGGCATATTTCGGCACCCGCACACCCAGCGCTTTCTCCTCTTTCAATCCGCCGTCGTCCCTCGCCACGTGAGCAGTCCCTCTACTCGACCTCTCTCTACTCCTCCATGTATCCCTTCTTTCCATTGTAAAAACCGCCACATCTTTTTACTCGAGTTCAAATCCGGTCTGTCCGTTCGTCTTGCATTGGAAATCTCTATCGCGCCCTTTTCTTCCGTTTTGAAATTTCGAGTTCCTGCTTTTGCGCTCGATTCTCGATCCTCCTCTTGTTGTTGTCCGTGGCAGGTGACTTGCTGTCAGGTGATAGACAGACCATCCCAAGGTACAGCAACTCCCTTTTCCTACTTGCTTCTTCTACATCCTTCTGCTTGATTATCTATCACGACCCGCCGCAACGGACCGTTGAATGATTGTGTTGCTGGGCCTCCAGCTCCCATCGTCTTCTCTCTCACGCTGTCCGCTGGGAGCCGGACTGGTTGAGGTTCACGATGTTGTGTCTTTTTTTTCGCGGTTCCGCCGGTCACAGAACCATCATGACGCGCCTGTGATGCGGCTCCATGCCTTTGCTATATCTCTGAACTGCACTGCACTATACTGTTATCTGCTTTTTCTCTGTCTTTACTTTTTAATAGATATGTGATGTGTTATGTCCAGTACCCAGCAGCCTCTACCTTTTTTTTTTTTTTTTTTCGCAAGATGTTGATGTTGGAAGCGGAGGTAGCGCGTCAGCCTAACGCGTCTCTTGCTCCCACCTCCAGCTAGCCACTTGTGATCAGCATCAACACTGAGCTTCTATCTCTGAGTTAATATGCACATAGCTTTGTTGCTGCTGGCTGGGGGGGTTTTTTTTTTTTTTTTTTCTTGTTTAACTTTCTGTCATAATGAAACTCCCTAGAATTCTTTTGTGGAGCTACTTATGCCTTGCCTGGGACTATACTCTCATCTGCATGATTACTAACAAGACTATTGTACCTTCAGATTTCTTGGGATATACCTATATTCACCACGCAGGAACAATTACAGGACAGATTCTACCTGAGCGGGTATGCACTGTCGACTCGTAATGATGGGTTCTCACTAACACCTATTCGTGATGTTCAGGGTAGATCCTTCAGATTTCGACATCATGTCTGATACCCAACTAGGTGTCCCGGAAGGCACTGGTGTACCCAAGCGCAAGCGTGAGAGCAGTGATAGTGGTGGCCCTGATGTCCAGCGTCTAAACAGATCGTCGCATGGAAGCAATGGCAGCATCCCTGCCCCGGATCCCCAGCCCAATTTCACACACAGCGCTCTTGGCTCGTACGACCACGGCTTACCAAACACGACATCAGAACTGAATATCGACCAGCAAATTCTTCAACATGTTGGCACTCAAAACGGCATCTCTGATGAGAATGCTCTGACCGCCAAGGCCGCTCTAGCTGCACATAATCCCCAGAACAAATACCCTCCCCCACCGGATACTACATTCGACAACAACCTAGGACATGGCTTAACTTTTGGAGACGATATGGGTCAGGGTATGGGCGCCACCCATACTCACAACTCTACTGCCGCTGCAGTGTATGCTGCTCGTGAAGCGCAGAGCATGAACCAGAAACCCACTGTCGGGTCGCCTGAATGGCACCAGATTCGCAAGAACAATCACAAAGAAGGTAGGTACACTGTTTGGAACTCGTACTGTATTTTAAATCCTCTCTAACCCAGTTCCCAGTTGAGCGTCGACGTCGCGAAGCGATTAACGAGGGTATCAACCAGATTGCCCGGCTTGTGCCCAATTGTGACAAGAACAAAGGTGCTATTCTGCAACGTGCGATCGAATACATCTGCCAGTTGCATGAGGAAAAGAAAGCCATGAGTGAGCGATGGGAGCAAAATAATATGACGACAAGTCATGCAATCAGTGAGATTAGCGCCCAAAACTCCAAGCTAAAAATGGAGGTGAACCGTCGCGGCGATATTGCACAGAAGTGGGTGCAGCGGTGTCGTGACGCCGGCCTGGAATTTGATGACTACGACGAATCCAAGGAACTAGAGCCACTTGATGTCGATCAAAGTCAGGTTTGAGACCTTGATTTGAGATACTCTGCTTGATTCACATTTGCCGTTTATATTTCTTCTTCGTGGTACTTTGTTTTTATGGCTATCGCCTCCCCATGAATTGTCCATTTCGGAAAGTTGAGACTTGTTACTGCTCTTTTACCTATCTTTTCTCTACACAATGCTCACAGACATCTCCCCAACAGTCACATTCCCCAATTTCTCAATGCGTTACCGGGTTCTAACATTGTAGTCTGGTCGGTTATTGTCTCTAATCATGATTGCCGGGTGGATTTCCTTTCCGTGTCGCCGCGCTTGTTCTGTTTTCTTTCTGTATGTTATCTTATGGATGGGTTGGCGAACTAGGATTAGGAGTCGTTAATTTGCAGGCTACGGAGCTTGTATACGCAGTGCGTTGACAGAATGCAGCTATTATTTCTTCAATATCTCTCTATAGTAGTTAATTCTTTGAATGTCGTCCTGATACGGAACCGGACGTGAAGAATCCTCAAGAAAACCGGCGGCACAGTTAAATCAGCACTAGTTAGGTGTTTGGCGCTTTGTCAAATAGAAGTGAATAGTTAACTTAACTAGTTATACACCGAAACTTAGCTAAGCTACACTAACAGGAAGTGAGCGAGTAAGAGAAGAGACGAAATCAAAATCCAACCGAGAGACAAGACACACGATGAACATGAAATAAACAGATAGATAGATAGATAGCAAAGCCAAAAAGAGAATAACAATGTTCGACACAGCAAATGCTACTCATCTATCTATGTATCTATGTATCCATCCATCGATCGCATCTGTTTGTTGTCTATTGATTTACATATCAATCAATCACAGCTCAGACTCAACTTTGAGCTCTCCATAGTCCCACTTAAATCTGACTCAACTCGACTAGGACGGGGAAGTGCAAAAAAAAAAGCAGAAAGGGACACTTAAAAGTTCGTGGCGGTAGTGATGGTAGAGCCCGACGCGCATCCGACGTTCTTCACGGTAATCTTCTTGCCGGACTCGCCGGTGATCCGCACGTCGACGGTGTCGGTGTGGAATCCGGAGCTGTTCTCGAAGAAGTTGTAGAACGAGCGCGTCGTAGACTGCCAGGTGCTGCCGCTGTCGGTGCTGACTTCGAATGCGGTGATGGCTTCGTTGGCGTTCACGACCTGCATGGAGAACCAGTAGGGGGAGGTGCCTTCCTTGTTCTTGAGGATGAGTGGGGTGTCGATGTCGCAGGAGACGTAGGACCATTTGATGGGGATGATGCCCTTGGAGATATCGGCTAGTTCGGCGAAGGCGTTCTGGAAGAGATCAAGGTGATTGGATTCACATTCTGGGCATTTGTCGACGATCTATTTGGGGGGGGGGGGTTTGTTAGATTAGTCTCTTTCAAAGGTTTTCGTGTTCTTGTTGCGAGGGTAGGTAGGAAATGAAGGAAGGAAAGCTTACCATTGCTTTGATGGTGTTGCCGTTGGGTCCGGTGACGGAGACACAGGCACCACACTCAGCGGCATTATCCCATCGCTCACCTGAGAGGGCCGTGCCAAAGAGACCAGATGGGATGGTGTAGCCGGTGAACGAGCAGGTTCCGCCAGACACGTTGCCACCGTAGAAAGTGGCCCTACCGGAGTTCACGGTTCCAGAGCTTGTGGAAGTAGTATCAACGGCAGCAGCAATGGCTTTAGTGGTTGCAGTGGACTGGGCCTGGGTAGTAGCCGTTGTAGTAGTGGCAGTAGTCGCTGCGAGGGTAGTGGTAGAAGTAGCAGTAGAAGTCTCGGAGCTGGCGACCCGGACAGCGGCTGTTTCTTCAGCAGCAATCGACGATGTGGTGGAGGTCTCAACGGCAGAGACATCAGCGGTAGAAGTGGACACCAAAGGGATAGCCTCAATAAGACCAGCTGCGGTTGTGGATACAACCACAGTAGTAGAAGTAGAAGTAGAGGTAGAGGTAGAGGTAGTAGTAGAGGTAGTAGTAGAGGTAATAGTAGAAATGGCAGTAGACGTAGAAGTGGAAGTAGTGGAAGGAGTAAAAGAGCTTTCAACGGCAGCAGTCGAGACGATAGTAGGCTCAGCTGTGACGGTGATGTAGTAAACGCTCATAGAGTATCCCGGTGGGCACTGGCCATTATCCTCACGCTGGACAAGTGGGCTCGCAGAGACAGCTGTGCTTGCACCGAGGGCCGCAAGGGCTAGAGAGCCAAGACGCTGGTACTTCATGGTTTCTGATATACAGAGTATATGGCAATAGAAGAAGAAAGGCAGAGAATGACAAGCGGTCTCGGACTGCTTAGAAGTAACGGATATGGATCCTATAGAATGAAAGGACGTGCAACTGCACAAAGGCTTTGTGTTGTTCAAAGAACGGACGCCTGGATGTCAAATCCAAGGACTATTAAATTTGCTAGTCAACGCAGGGTCGTAAAAGAGAAGTTAAGGAGCAGGAAGAGAAAAGGATGGATGCATTTAAGGGAAAGGATGCCACCAAGAGGAGAGACCCCTTGTCGACCGAAGAACCGAAAGCTGGCCGCCGGCGCAATATAATAAAATTAAATTTTTCGTATAATGTATTTCAACCGACTCGGACCTTTAATGAAGGGCAGGCACCATGGGCCACTGATTGGGGGACTGCGGCTGTCGTCGGCACTAAGGAAATGAGACCGCGATCTGAAACACCGGACGCGGATCTCGACGAGACAAACTATAGGATGAGTGATCGGAGATGCAACCGAAAACATTTTCTTCTGGGCCGGGTGAAAAAAAAGGGGGGTTCCTCCGTCCGAGCGAAGAACCTCGACAGGGTCCTATCCTGAACATCAGGCAATTTGCAATTTGCTATGGGGGTACTCCGTACTCCGTACTCCGTACGGAGAAGCCCTGACCCACTGCTAAATATCAGGAGGAACTATTGCCAAATCTTTTGTGTCGAAGCAATTAAAATGCTCAATTAGACACTCGGGGACGGATGGTCAAGGTGGTATTTATCGTTTACGCGGAAGGGAAGCCTTGAAGCCCAGGGGGGTTTGGTTAGACAACCCACTGCTTAATCAACGAGGAGCCGAGATAGTTAATGATCGGCTAGAATGTAAAGAAAGGTAAAAGAAATTTTCATTACTTAGAATCCCACATGACCTCGTTGAGTCTCAAAAGTGCATCCGCCCTGGCTTTCTTTGCAGCCATGAAATCTTCCCGGTTGTCTTCGCCTCTAGGCCCTCTGAGGATATCCGAGAAGCATAGATCGACCAGGACCTTGAGCTCGTCGTAGCTAAACGGCTCGCCATCTCCAGCGGCCAGAGCCTTGTCACCCTGTGCCGCAAAGTACTCCTTTTCTTCCTTTGCATAATCAAGCGCTTTCTCCGCACCTTCCAAGAACCAGTCTAGGAACTTGGCACTTCTGGGGAGAGCGACAATCTCGTTGTCTTCTTCGGCTTGGTATGAGGTGTCGCTCTCATCGAATCCCCCCGTTTCAGTTGGGTTTATAATAATATTCTTCATGTTTTGCTGAAGCACAAGAACATCTAATTGCAGGCGCAATGCTCCATTCTCGTTCATAGCCCAGATGTGGCGAGTACTTGAAACAAACGCTCGATCGATGAACCGAGCAAGCCCGGACGTAATGAAGCGACGTTCGGCAGCGCCCAGGTATGACGAAATATTCGTGTCGAAACTAATAAGGTCCTTATTCAGCTCGAGGATTGTCTGCGAGGCTGCGGTTGGTGGTCCCATGATAATATGGAACCAGCCGCCGCTTGAGCTTGGAGATGGGGTCGTAGGCTCTGAGTTGCGACTAACAGGGGGTGTAGGGCCAGCCATGGTTCGTGTCAGCATATGAATCACTCCGCATCGAATATCAATATGCAAAGCGAATAGGGCAGTGAGCGAAAGATCTCGTAATGATTGAAGAGTGGTGTCAAATGCAGTGCCTGTTTCCGGATTCAATGGGAGATATACTGGCTGTGCGATGCTGTCACGCTTCGGTTTCATGGCGCCGATCAAAGTCCAACGACGATTTGATGTTCCAGTTCCAGACTGGACAGGTCGTGAATCTGCAAACGGCGAGGAAGCCTGACGTAGTTTGGCAAGATGGGTCGCAAGCCATTGCTAAGGTTATATCAGTTTCACTGTAGACGAGCAAGGGTCATATAAAGGCAGACGAACCATGCTGTTATAAAGAAGAGATAGAGATACTACCGACTTCTGGTCAGAGATGATGTCAAATGGCTCCAGTGGTACTCTATCGGTTTGCTTGATAAGAAACTCAGTTTCCTGGTCATGTTAGTACAAATCCTCGACCTATCCCCACACGAGAATACAAGTGCGGTTACCTTGTCAATAAGCTCCTGCTTGTTGCTGCTAGAGTCTGTCCAAAGTTCAGAAACTATATCATGGATTGGACCTGACTCCGCAAATCCTGCTCCTGCTTTGAGCTGAACTTCTTTATTTCCCCGGGGCGAAATCTTCGAGACGATAGCTGTGAAGATATTAGGCAGCTAGACAAGAAACCAGCTAAATTTTCCATACCTTTATACCATCCACAACACTTATCATAATACGTCACTATCTGGGCGATCAAAAGCTGGGTGAATGCTTGATCGTGAGGAATGCTGGAGAGCATTTTACTAAATTCTCGCACAACTGACATGAATTTTACCGTCCCCTAGGCGCGCTAGTTAGAGAAGAATCAAGAAATTACTGAATCAAGAAATTCAACTAACCTTAAAGACTGGTCGAGGGGAGATGGCGGACCATTGTGGATCTTCTGTGAATGCATCTGGGGCAATGAAGCTGAGAGTGCAAAGATCTGTGACAGTCTCATCAAGTTGTGGTAGGAAAACGTTCACAAGGAAATCATCAAGGAACGAAGTTAATGTGGTTGTAACCATGTCAGAGTCCACCGGCACGATATCTTTCAGTCGTTGTATGAAGGAGAGAGAAGGTGGCAGCAATAAACTCATGTTAAACACACTAGGCTTGATGAGAATCTTGTGACCTGTTCCCTGCCTAGACTCGCATATATCATCACCATCAGAAGTAGAATTTTTCTCTGATTTAGACACTAGGCCAGGCACAGATGACCTGAGAATCTCGTCCAGCTCGTCCTGTTCAGCTTTCATTTCCGCTGTTCGACCAGTCTCGGACATCTTGAACATTTTCTATCGAATGTTAACTATGTCCACCATTTCCAGGAGGCATTCAGGGCGCATACCTTATTCTTGTCTCTATGTCCCGAGTAGAGCTGACGCCGAGCATCCGCCTCCTCATCCATTGCCCGGATGGAAGATTCCCCATCTGTTGCTAGATAATCGTGCAACAGCGAGCGGATCTATGAATAGGATAAGTCTACCGGACAGAATACCAAGGGTTATTTCTCCTACCTCGCTTTGATAGAGTTTCCACAGTTCCTTGAACCCACCGGCAAGGGTATTACTCTTGGGTATTCCCTCACGCTCAACGATTGCTGCTATTACATCATGAACAACACGGTGTCCTTCAGCAATAGCTTCAAACTTTGCATAAAGCGTCCGCAGAAATTCTGAAAGCACATGCCCACGCTTCTCAATGATTTCTGCAGGAGAACTCATGCTACCATTCTCAGAGGTAGGTCCTCGTGCAACATCTGAATACCGAACGTCAATCTCCCCATTCGTTTTATCAACTACCGCAAAAAGCTCCACTGGAAGCCGTTGTTCGATACGGTCAACGGCTATGTCTAGATGCCCCATTTTATTCAAAGCTTCGATGAGAAGTTGTAGATAGGAAAATGTGTCCGCCTCGGGGTTACGAGAAGCGTCCTCAATCATGGGCTTTGAGGCATCTAGCTTCGCAAGGAAGCCATAAACAGGCCGTTCCCATGCCCCGGGTCCGGTCCAGGTGGAAGAATTCACTCCGTTGGTTTCCGCCTCTGCACTTGGAGGCTTCCAGCGACTGGAGCAATACGGAGATTTCAGATAAAGGTGATCGTGTAGCTCCTCGACCAGAATATCTGTAAGCGATGACTCCTGATTGCCAAAGTATGCTCGAATGTCCGCAAGCGCGCCGATGTTCTCTAGCTCGGAGCGCCTCAAGAGTCGCAGGGCGTGATGAAGTACCTCAACTGCCCCAAGAAATCGCTTGTTGGATACTTGAGACTCGAGCTGTTCTGGAAGAGACTGAAGTTCTTGGATCTGACTGAATAGTTGGATTATGTCGTCGTATTTCTGAGATGAAGTGGCCAGGTCCTTCAGCTCGGGTTTGGTTGAGAGCAGTCCAGATTTCGCCTCCTCTAGCGCATGTTTCAGGTTCCGAACCCGGCTCTGAGAGCTCTGTATGTTTGACTGAATCTTGTGGTATGTACCAATGGAACTATTAAAGCCCTGGTGATGTTCTATAGTTGACAACTTTAGTAAGGTTCTCGGGCCTACATAAGGGAACGGGAAACCAACCATTGACAATAGACTTCAGTGTCTTCTGAATCTGGTCATGCATATGTAAGAAATCCGGTTCGCGATCAGCTTTTCCAAGAGTACTTGTGTCCATCAATTGTAGCGCCACCTGCACCGGCACGCAATCATCGGAGGCCACGAAGTTCCATTCGCGCTGGATGAAATGTAGGACACCTATAGGTTGCGCATTCAAACGTAAGCAAGTGACCAACTAATAGGTTTTCAAAGACCGTCGAGCGATAGGGAGGTAGTACGAACCCTCCACAGCTTGTGATCCCCCTGCGCTGGTAGTAGCATGCTCCCTTTCTTGGCTACTGCTATTTCCTAGCCGGCTGGCTTCGCCTCCACGCGAATCGCCATCTCGGGAGCCTTGGGCGGGTATCTCCCTCTCTGACTCTCCTCCTCTTGTTCGTGATCGGGATGAGGAATATGACCGGTCTTTGTCCAATCGTTCGCGACGTCTTTCCGGGGAATGCGCTGGCGACAGTGAAGCCTGCTGCGACCCTTCTGAGTAAAACCCACCGTAACCGCCCGGACGTCGCTCCCTTTCCCCGCCCGGCCCATATCCATTTACACCAAGATTGCTGCTGCTCCCGTACCCTCCTCCATCACTGCGATCGTATCGGCTGTTGGCATCGGAGTGCCCGTGACCGTTCGCGTAAGGATTTCGGCCGCTCATACCAATTTATTGCGGGCACCGAGCAGTTGAATTCGGATTAATCACACCGATAAAATGCGACTGCGGAGGGCTGGTGAGATGTAGTGGTTCTATTGTCAAGTCTCAAGGTCCAGCCACTAATGAGGTGATTAGAGAGTAGGGGATGCGGGCATCGTCGGGCGTGACGAGAGGGAGATCGATTTGAGGCTCTGAATAATCTTCTTGGGTAGGCAGAAACGGAATCGTCAAAGACGAAAGAAGAAAAAAATCGCTAGACTGTAAATCTGGCAGCAGGCACCTAATTAGGGACTTGGGGAAATGTTGCATGGAAGGAGAGCAACCCAACCTAAAGGCGTTGTCGGCAAGTTGTTGTTCTCCACATGAGCGGCGGCCAGCCACGTTCCACAACGTAGAATTCCTGGAAGAGCTCCGTCACTACTAAGATCGATATGATATGTACATGCAGACAAGCGCATAAAATCGAGGTATTGGATACTATACTACTTAAGCTCTGGATATTCAAGGCTTTGCCAAAGTTTTATTTTATTATAGCCGATGCTAGCTTAGCGTATGACTCCTACAAAATATTTGCGTCCAACAATACGCCTATTTAGAGATTGGTTGAGTCTCCCTCTTAAGCCAATTGCGAGTATACTCGTCATTCTCGAAGTATGTATGGGTCTTTTCCCACACCTCTGCATGGTAATCATTCACCCATTTGATTTCAGAATCGTTCAGAAGCGATGGTTCAATCAGGTTGAGGCCGATGGGAGCCATGGTAACATGCTCAAAGCCTAGCCAGGGTCGCTCGCCAAATTTATGTGTCGTTTGGACCTCGCGCACCATGATCACGTCTATTTGAGAATTAGCATCGAAATTTCCGTGTCGCGGTTGCAACTGGAATCTTACTCTCAATGCGAATGCCGAATTTCCCGTCCTCGTAAAATCCAGGTTCTGGTTGGGTCAGTATAAACAACCTTCTTTCACCAAGAGCAGCGAGCTAGGACATACCGTCGGAGATGACATTTCCTGGCGCTAACGGGACTTCAGTATATTGCACACGGGTACCAATTCCCACGGGACCTTCGTGAACGTTCTACGAGGATTAGCAGAAAGCGATGGCTTAGAGAGCTTCCGTTGCTTACCAGGTATGATCCAATTCCGTGACCAGTTCCATGCAAGAAGTCGAGCCCTTCTTTCCACAAGAACTGCCGGGCTAGGGCATCAATCGCAAATCCGCTTGTGCCTTTAGGGAAAACAGCAGAATCTATGCCGATAAGTCCCTTGAGCACAAGAGTAAAAGCCTTCTTTTCCAGTTCCGTAGGTGTTCCGAAGTGGAATGTTCGGGTAACATCTGTGGTTCCATCAAGATACTGGCCACCAGAATCGCAAAGATAGATAGCAGTGGGATCTATGACGGAGCAGCTTCCTTTCTCGGGTTTGTAATGAATCACGGCGCCGTTGGGACCGGTTGAGGAGATGGTATCAAAGGATAAACCTGCAAAGAGGTCATGTTTTGACCTGAACTCCTCCAACTTGTCGGCCGCATCAACTTCGTCCAATCGTGTTTTCTTGTTTATCAGTTCATTTTCCAGCCATGCGAAATACTCAATCAAGGCCGCTCCATCCCGGATGTGACAAGCTCTCATACCCGCCAGTTCCACATCATTCTTGACGGCCTTAGCGTCACCAATAGGGCTACGAGTTTCATCAACATAGTCCTCGCCTCCGAGGCTCAGGCTAAGAGCCCATGAGCCTCTGTTCGATAGGAGGAATTTAGAAGGAGTGGCCTCAGTATCCTGTTTTCTTGCCTCGCTAAGTGCTTTGGCGTCGGCAAAGATAGAGTTATAAGGTTTGATAATGACGTCTTGCCCGAGATGCGCCTTAACATCTGGGCTCAGCTTTCCATCGTCGATATAAAGCTCGACCGTTGTTGGCGTGACAATGCAGTAAGAAAAGAACACCGGGTTGTAAGGAATGCTAAATCGAACGGCAGTTAGAAACTAAAAGAAACCCAAATAGAGCAATCGAGAACTCACTCGCTTCCTCTCAAGTTAAGCAGCCAAGCAATCTCATCCAGCATGGCTGCGATATTTGTTAGCAACCAAGAAGAAGAGGTAGGAATGGGCCAATAATACAAATGACAAACCCAGCTGCCTTTTTGTTCTCCATTTCCTTTCGCAGATCGGCAATCTTTTCTTGGAAACTCTTCCCAGCGTACTTTTCCGGGTGGACTTTGACCATCCCTCTTGGAGCAGCTGGTCTGTTCTCGCCCCAGATGATGTCCACCAGGTTCTTCGGGACTCCTACAAGCGACGAACCAGTCTTTTTTAGACTCTCCGAGAGACTGCGGGCGCCGGCTACATGTTTTTAGTACCCTATGTAAAAGCATCCGCTGAGCTTCGTGTTCACTTACCGGCTGTAATTAAAGCCGGATCAACACCAACTACTTTACCACCCTCGGCTTGCTGGCCAGTCCTGTCATCAAGAGTGTCAGCTCCTGAAACTCTGGAATCTGTAGCAAGATTGATAATTCGTACCATTCCTGCCACGTTGGGACACCCTCGACCCCCCGCTTTAAGAGCTTCCAGTTGCTGTCAAGTTGCTTTGCTGCTTGGTTGAAGTAGCGGCCATCGGTAGACAGGGCTGCCTCAGTCAAGGAAACAATAGCAGTTCCAGCAGATCCAGAAAATCCAGAAATGAACTCTATAAGAACCAAGTGTAAGTTATATAGGGAGCAAGGCAATTGAATACCGCGCGCAATTATCGAAAAGCAGAAGGGTGGGCGAAAGGTTTACCTCGGCGCCCATCGCATGGCGCAATATATTCCGACTGATGGCTATCTTCCGACGGGATAACTTGAAGAATAGTAGTGAGAACCAAGCTTCGGTATGAACCAAACACCAAGACTATCCGGTAACATACTATATACATCAACCTTGTTCTCCTGCATCAGCTGTCTCAAGCTCGCCAGGCGTTTGGATGTATCCACGGTCTCCATATCGATAGTGTATCGCGGAACGGATATAGAAAAATATTTAGGACGAAGGAGGGGTAGGGATCGAGTTGATCGGAAAGCCGTTATCCAGGAAAGGCCAGCAGGAGGGCGCGACAAGAGCATGGGCTTGAAGAAATTAGCAAATTGAGCAGGCAAGGTCCGGGGGGAGGAAGGAATACCTCGATTTCAATTTCACGCAGACGGGCGGAAGCCCCTCAGGAGTCGTAGAGAAGAGGGAAGAAAAGAGGACCAAGGTGAGCGGAAAGGAGTGGGGGACAGCAAAGGCGAATGGGATATCCAGCTTTCCAGTCAATTAGATGGTGACAGGATTCGAAGAGATGTGACCCAAGAAGATAAGGGAAAAACAGTGTTTTGGGCCTGTGGAGTCGGTATTTTGGTACGGTGGATTTCATCAATAATACAGCATGCTACTCCAAAATTACAACTCTCTCCGATAATAGGTAAAATAGGTAATACTGTGCAAAGAGCTGCTATTACTTTAAGAAGAAACTTTTATCTTCTTCCTAAGTGTTCTATACTACCATTTAAACTGATGTGAAATACTACTAGTAGCTCTATATCCATTCCGAAGTCGTACTACGGAGTACTCTTCTGGGTAATGGTTAGAAGCGGTGTTACAGAGTACACATCACTGCTCTCCACAACAATTACGTAGATACTGTTATAGTAGTAGTCGCAAGCCATCTTTGGTGAAAAAAAAGAGAGAGAGACAAGAAGATAAAAGGGACAAAAACTGCTATAGTTGATATCAATAATTTTATGCTTTCTGGCATAGACTTATGTATTATTGACACCGATGGCTGGAATCATGTTTGGACAACCAGTTCACCCAGCTGGGTCGATCGTCATCGGCTCTGATTATCTTCATCCACATTATACGCAGTAGCTCTTGTTTTGACAACCCTTGGAGACTGTATGACGCTAGAATGCTTCTGAATGGGATAGTATGATATTTACCAGAGTAGTTATAAGAAAAGTTTTGGGGACAAGCTCCAGCAAGACCTACTCCGTACTCCGTATAGAGAGATTCCTTCCCCTCCTCCGACCGCCTTGGCTGATAGTGTTATCGCACGTGACACCCCTATATCGAATTGGACTATCCCCAATTAGGAAATAGACTCTATTTACCTAGGTACCTAGGTAGGTAGTGGACAAGTACTCCGTACCATGGACATATGTAAGTAGCGGCAATCGAAAGAATATCGTCAGGTCGGTTCGCAGGTTAGTTAGTTACAGCATACCTAATTAACTACACATTGGGCCAAAAAGACGGGGTGTTGGTCAGGGATAAAGTTTGAGGGTGCCAAAGCCCGGAACGGAAAAACATGTAACCCCAACGTCCCCACGGGAACATCGTAATTCCGACACTTCACACGGCACTATTCAGCCCATCTATATTGATCCTTTCTTATCCGCAACCTCAAAAGCGTGCTTCGGCCATCTCTATGGACTATTCAGGCCAGGCCTTAGATGTCCAGCTCCTCGTCAATGAGGCTAAGGAGGTTTGTCAAAGCTTTCTTTAGAGTTGCCCCTAATTTAAAGAGAGAAACAAGAAGAATCTAACGCGAGTTCTCTAGCTTGTGTCGCAACTGTATGATCCAACCAACACAGGCAACCCCGCCAAGATCAAGGCTATCCAAGAACATTTGCAAAATCTCCAGAAAGGGCCCCATGCGTGGCTTATCGCAAACAGTCTTGTTACCGAAGAAAATACTGATCTAAAATTTTTCGGAGCCTTGACATTCACTGTGAAAATCAATCATGACTGGTTTGTTTTCTCTAGTCCAAAGTACCTTGGTGCTTGATTGCTGACTCCGATTCCAGGCAAAATTTGACTCAAGAAGATACCGAAGAGCTTATTGGGCGCTTGATTGACCACTATGTTTTCTTGGTCAATGGCGGAGAACGACCTCTTGTCATCCGCAAACTTGCTTCTAGCCTCGCGACCATTTTTCTAAAGCCCGATGCTCCTTGGACTCGCGCTATCGTCAACCTAGCTGCTTCTTTGGCAAATGGAAAGTATATCCATGAAAAACAATGCCAGACAATTGACTTGCGAAGCACTATTCTTCCGGCAATGTCAGAAAGTCAGGTGGTCTCCTTGCTTTACTTCTCTAACATTCTTGCGGAAGAGGTAAACAGGCTGGGTTCAGACTCGCGACGTGGCAAAGATAGTTATCGTGCGTCTGAAAATATCAAGGACGCCTTTCTACTGGTTGAGTTCGTACTTGCTCAGTTACTGCATCATGATGCCTCCGGCAGGTCTGTTTCCAACGAGGTTCCAGGAACCGAAGCCATCAACTCTTACCAGGTATGTCAGGTTTGCATACAGGCTATTCGGGGAAGCTTCTAACGTAGGCTGCCAGTCTTGGATATATGTCCGAAGTTTATTCCAGCTACATGAGACAATCTCGGCCACTGAACTTGTACCAGCTACCAGCTGTGTAATCCAAAGCCTGAAAATTTCTTCCTTGGCGAAAACAGCCACACACATTTTAATTGATCTCATGTGCTGGCAGGACAGTATTCTGTCTTCGGATCACATTGATTCTATCTTAGATTATCTTATTAGCGATTCCGGGACCGCGCATATTGCATCCCTCATGGAAGGTGATTTTGACGACGAAAATATAACCTTCCTGGAACTTCTGTTAGCATTCTCCACACTGAAACAGAAACAGCTCCTCACTCAGCCGCTGGACCAAAAGCATGATAGGGTTCTCGCTCTACTTCATACGTTGTTCAGAGCCCCGGGATACGCCGCAGTAGACGATACCGCATCACCTCTGGTTCTTGAATGGTGGACTGAAGTTGCCGATGATCTGCAGGAAACATATCTAGGATCTGATGACCAACAGGGCCTTGAGTCCGCGAAGCAGAACCTCGCTCGTGCTGCTCTGGATTGTTTTGATAAGCTCAAGTATCCTTCTTCGGAAGAATTACAAAGCTGGGGCGATGATGACCGTAGTGAGTTTGGGTCTTTTCGCCGAGATGTTTGCGATTTTCTTCTCGCAATTTACCCGATTTTGGGCGTGGACTTGGTGCAAGTATTCCAAGCACAAGCACGATCATCCCTCGAACGCCAAGACTGGAGAACCTTCGAGGCTGCAATATTCTGTATCGCTCAGCTTTCCGAGGCCGTCGATGAGAACCAGCATGCTGACGATTGTCTGAACTCCATTTTCTTCTGTAACGAGTTCTCGCGTCTCTGCGAAGGTGATGGAATCATGATTCCTGACAAAGCTCGCCAAACATTGGTAGACATGCTTGGGAAGTATCAATCTTACTTTGAACGTACCCATGCACTGCTTCCTCGGGTTCTTACTTTTCTCTTTGCATCGTTAGATGTTGCCTCCTGCGCGTCTACAGCATCTAAGTCTATATCGTATCTCTGCAAATCATGCCGCAATGCCCTCACCATTGAACTCCCAGCGTTCATCACTCAATTTGAACAATTTCGTTTCAAGTCCACAGCCACTACACACACTATGGAGAAAGTACTGGAGGGAATCGCTGCTATCATCCAAACCCTACCCAGCGATAAAGAGAAAGCCCATTTCTTAGAAAGGATTTTGAAATTCTTCCAAGAACAAGCAGACATGGCCCGACAGGAGGCTGCTAGCGGGTTAGCAGAGCCCGCTTGTGGCCGAGCTCATATGGTTCTTCGATGCGTTGCAAGCATTGGAAGAGGACTGAGGGCTGATGGTGAAATTGTCGTGGATTCCAGCAGCGGCAAAGATGAGGATCCATATCCCCCAACATTCTGGAATACAGGCGATGGTGCGGTATCACAGAACCTAATAATGCAGTGTATAAGGCTGTTAATGACCGAATTTCCGTTCGACGTCGCCATAATCGAAGCGACTTGTGACATTTTGAAAGCTGGCTTTACTGAAAAGACTGGCCCATATGTTTTACCGCCTATGGTGACGGTTGATTTCGTCAAAAGCATCCCTTTGGGTACGCCTGGCACTGATATGGTTATGGGAACCGCTTCTGCCTTTCTGGCCTCACATAGCGCACATCCCCATCAGATCCGGGATGAGACTGTAGCATTGATTATCCATGTATATGAAACCTTTTGCTGGGTGCAAGAAAAGCCAGAGCTTTACGATCCAGAGATTGCGAATAGCGGGATTGACTTCTTGACACGCCTACTCCCAAAATACTATCCCTATCTCTTTGCGCTTACATTTACGCCACAGGAAACAGGAGACGCACGGGTGTATGTAGCTGGCCAACGTCCGCCCATTGTCCAAGCAATTTCAAATTTCACGCTGTTCTCTCTACAAGGCCCAGAACCCATCCCTCTCCGCTCTGCTTCTCAATTTTGGGTAAGCATCTTGAATCTCCCTGTTGAGGCTGAGGCTGTACAGAATACCATTCGCGATGCTCTGCCAGCGCTTTGTCGCATCCTAATCACGCAAGTGGCGGGACGATGCGCGCGATCGGATCTTGAACATCTCTGCGAGGTGCTGCGAAGAGTCATCTTTAAACAGCAGGGACACGCCCGGCCGCATCTCTCATCTGCACTTGCAGATCTAGGCAACCATCGGACAGGCCAGAGCCACGGCCATGCCCCGTCACCGGAGGAGAGACAACGATTCCTTGCATCCTTGTTGGCTGCGAGGGGCACCAGAACGCAGACAGTCCAGCTGGCGCGTTCCTTCTGGGTTAAATGTCGGGGAGCAGGTTTCGACTATATTGGGTAGATACATGGAAATAGTTTTACGCAGTTATGACAAGAAAAGAATTGCTTGGGTTATTGAAATCAACCTGCGAGTAAGGAGGAAAGGAGGCTCAATTTTTTTGGCGTAACAAACATCAACGACGGCAACATTCATGCTATTTCCACGAGTCTAGGAATTCAACGGTGATGAAACAGCAGGGCAGTGCTTACCCTTGGATAATTCAAGGATTGGCATCCCACAAGAAAAGCTCTGGATAATAATAGTCCAAGTCTTGTGAATGTTGTGTGGGTCATACAATACATATGCACTAACATCAGTCACAGCCACAGAGGCGGTGCATGTGTCAGGGCATTTAAGGTGACAACACAGCGTGCAGCCGCCTGAAAACTGACAATTTTTGAATTCTCTACCAGTGAATTAATTCAAGACACTCCTTGTACCAGGTCAACTTGGTTAATCCTGGCAGTGGTGACCACGTTGGGTCGGCCGCCTACTAATCCCAAAATCATCAATCAGCCTTAACGTATAGCCTCAGCTTGGGCACGCGACAACCCTATATCTACTGCTGACAAGAACTCCGGGTATTACTCGAGTTGCAAGCTGAACTTGAAAAGTCCTGAGAATGCCTCATATCGCCAACACGCCGGAATCTATCGTATCGCGCTCGGATTCCCGCAATCCAGCAACAACATGCACAGGCGTCACGGCTAATGGCCTACCATGCCGCCGGGCTCTGCCATCTCCCGACTCATCGCCCGCAGCAACGCCTCCCAGACGAGGCGGACGACAAAATGCGGACCCGGCTTCATTTTATTGCTGGCAGCATAAAGACCAAGCTCCATCGGTTCCTTTACGAACCAGCTGGAGAGCTGAAGCGGTGCACCCACAACCAAGAACAAGCATCGACACGTTGATGGACCGTCTCGGAGTACTCGAGATAAACGACGTTCAGGATCCTGAGAAACGCAAGCACCCAAACCGACCAGCACAGTCGCCTCCAAAGAGGAAAGCCAAGCGAACGATATTCTGCTGCTTCGAAACTATAGACGAGGATGAGCCGGTCCCACCAAAACCAGTGCATCCATCTCCAGAACCTCAATTGGGTCACGAATCATACTCCAACCAGCCTAACAAGCACAAACACAACCAGAATCAGAACCAGAATCACAGCCACAGGCCTGCACATCCCCAGCCCGTGCCCCAAGTCTCCAGTCCGATCTCCGGACGGCCACAACCACCCCCACGAGCCACACCTGCACCAGGTCCCAGTTCAACCTTTTCTCAAACAAAATCCCTCCTCTCATGGATCCCCTCAGCTCTCCCCCCACAGACCACCTCGCGCCTTCTCACGGAGCTCGCCAAACCAATCTCCTCCGCCGACGAACCAGGCTACATCTACATATTCTGGGTCACGCCGTCCACATCGGCTACATCTAAGCCTCCGTCGCGGGAAATCGCGTCATCGCTAATTCCTGTCGCAAGCGCAGGCGCAGACGCAGAAACACCTGAACAAACCCGTCGAGTGACTGACGCTATCCGCACAGCCAGGGAACTCAATACGCGCTCTTCAAACCCAAGGAGTGGTAGTAGTCCCGGCACGGTGCGACTCAAGATTGGCCGCGCAAGTAACGTGCAACGCCGGCTAAATGAATGGACCAGGCAGTGCTCGAACCATCTTACCCTGATCCGGTACTATCCGTATGCTCCTTCATCTGCATCTCCTTCTGCGCACCAGTCACCAAGCGGAAAGGGAAAGAAGGGCAGCGGCAGTGGTGGTGGTGGTGGTGACGAGATTGTCCTTGAACCAGGGAGGAAAGTCCCGCACGTCCATCGCGTAGAGCGGTTGATCCATATCGAGCTAGGGGATATGCGCTTGCGAGATCTCGGACAATGTCAAGAATGCGGCAAAGAGCACCGGGAGTGGTTCGAGGTTGCTGCGGAGAGGGCGGCGCTGAAGCGGGTAGACGAGTGTATTCGGCGATGGGTGAAGTGGGCAGAAAGCCAGAAATAGTCTTGCTGCATGTACTTTTTTATCATGACACATATAGAGAGAGAGAGAGAGATATATATATATATATATATTCAGATGACCTCCATCACGAACAGAGTAGAGTAGAGTAGAGTAAAGCAAAGCAAAGGGAAGAAGACACCGGTAGGTAAAACCACCCCTTCCATCATAATGGAGTAAATAATAGTAAAAGAAGAAAGAAGGCGACTCATCCATCTCACTTCCTCGCTTCCAGTACCTATAAGCCGGGGAAACAAACCTACAGATCCTCCTCCTCCTCCGCTATGACCTCGACTGAATATTTAGGCTCATAGGTATTCCTACTACTACTACTACTACTACTACTACCACATCCATGAGTGTATCCGTATCCATTACCGATATGAGTATAAACCCCATTAAACCCATCACCGTGACTCCCAACCGCAGCCCCCTCCGCAACACAGCCGGCAGCTCCCTCAACCGCCCGGCTCCCCCAAACCCAAAGAACCCCCCACCTCCCCAGAACCCACAACCCCCAGGAAACCCCCCAAAGCCAAACCCCCAAGACAGTGGTCGCAACCAACACCGGGAGCAGCACGAGCGCCGCGAAACAAGTAAACACCGCCACGGCGATAGAGGCGCTGATTGCCGCGCCGGCGAGAAAGATCCCCAGGGGGATCGCAGAGCAGAGGACCTGGCAGAGCGCGAAGCTCGCGAGGACCGGGTGGCGTTTTGCGATGTGTACGAGGGAGGTGCGGAGCTGTGCGGGGAGGGCGTAGGCATTCAGAGCTGTGACGGTGGCGGCGAGGCTGGTTAGGATTGTTGAGATTGTCATTGGTGTTGTTTGTTCGTCTTGGGGTCGGGATGAAGTTGAGGGAGGGCTGTGGGATTCGGATTCGGATTCGGAGTCTTGGTTGTGGTTGTGGTTGTGGTTGTGGTTGATTGTGTATTTGGATGGCTTTGAGGAGGGCTCAAGGGTTGGGGTATCTGCGGTATTATTGGGGTCGCTGGTTTGACCACTGCTGGACTTTGGAGTATCCGAATCCATGGTTGGTGGGTTGGTGGGCTCGGACTTGAGTTCGTGCTCCGAGGTGGTTTCGGTTTCCATTGAATATATCAAGAACACCCGTGGAACACAGAGATGATAATTGGATGAAGGTTTGAACAGAGTTAGACGAAAGATGATATCTACAGTACCCCGTACCCATACCTCAGGCAGCCGCAATGCTTGGCTCAATTAGCCTCGGCACTTGGCCAAATCGGGATTATGATGTGTGTCAGAGTTCTTCGTACCAAGATAACTGATAACTAAGTAGTATAGCATCAAATCTATTTTTAAAAGTCATGCGAATCTAAGACGCTTTGGCATCTTATACATGGAGGGGGTGCATGGTGTCTAATAGAGAATACTTTTCATATGCCTCGTTATTAACAATATACAGCGCTAGCCTCCTTTAAGACTATGCAAATCCCAATACAATGCAAGAAGTTGAAAATCTTGACCTCGCTCGTGACATACCAAATTTTTTTCCCTTTTTTTCCAACGCCCCATAAATGATGTTAGACCACAAAAGTTCCAAGAAGAAGGCTTGTTTACCACCCTCTCTTGGCCAGCTTATCAGCGTCCTGCATCTGCGACACGTTGATGCCGACCATAGCCTCACCTAGACCCTCGCTCACCTGTGCGAGCATCAGAGGGTCCTTGTAGTGAGTCACAGCCTGGACAATAGCCTTGGCGCGCTTCTTGGCATCCCCAGACTTGAAAATACCGGAACCGACGAAAACTCCGTCGCAACCCAGCTGCATCATGAGGGCGGCATCGGCAGGAGTGGCAACACCACCAGCAGCGAAGTTCACAACGGGGAGACGGCCCAGCTCGGCAGTCTCGCGGAGGAGCTCGTACGGGCAGCCAAGCTCGCGGGCGTAGGCGCGCAGCTCGGGCTCGGGGTCCTCGGAGGACTTGAGAATAGCACGGGCACGGGCAATATCGGCATTGACGGTGCGGATGTGCTTGACAGCCTCGACAACATCACCGGTACCCGCCTCACCCTTGGTACGGATCATGGCAGCACCCTCGGAGATACGGCGGAGAGCCTCACCGAGGTTACGGCAGCCGCAGACAAAGGGAGCCTTGAAGCCGTGCTTTGTGACGTGATATAGGTTATCAGCAGGGGTAAGGACTTCAGACTCGTCAATGTAATCGATGCCAATGGCTTCGAGGATCTGAAGTAAAAAAAAAAAATATCAGTTTTAACGACCGAGAAAATTGACAGAGAAAAAGAATCTTAGAAAGAAAATGTACCTGGCACTCAACAAAGTGACCAATACGGGCCTTGGCCATGACAGGAATAGTTACGGCCTCCATGATCTCCTTGATCATTCCGGGATCGGACATGCGAGCGACACCTCCTTGAGCGCGGATATCAGCGGGGACACGTTCGAGGGCCATGACGGCGGCAGCACCGGCCTCTTCGGCAATACGAGCCTGGAGAACATTCACTTAGAGATGGAGGGCATAAAGGATAGGGATGAGGGAGTATACCTGCTCTGCATTGACGACGTCCATAATAACGCCACCCTTCAACATCTGGGCCAACCCCGCCTTGACAGTGAAGGAGTTGGACGCGGGGGTGCCATTAGCACCGGTCTGAGAAGCCATTTTATTGAAAGGAGATTGAGAGAGAGATGAATGGAAAGAAGACGAACGAGAGAAAACGGGAGGAATTGGATAAAGGAAGAAATTTGGTAAGAGAAAGGGTACAGAAAGTCAAGAGGAAAGTGAGTCAAAGACAAGGTTCCGAGACCGAAATCCACGGTACAAGTCACCAGTGACTACTACTACTACTCCGTACCTAGGACTACTCCTAGATCGAACCTAATCACTCGGAACCTTCTACTAGTTAGTATACCTTAGTAGACCTGGTTAACGTTACCTGGTAAGATCCAGCCCCGCCGGGATTCATGAGGGGGAGAATTGCGGAAGGATGTTCCAATCATAGACGCTGCCCCTCCATCAGTGGACTGTTTTCCGCGGGATCTCCCGGGGAACATTTTTCTTCTGTCTTTGATTTGGAAAGAAAGCCTCGAATATGCTGTAGAGTGATATTAATGATATAGGGGATGTTATGTAAAGATATACACTATGTGTACTGTACATGTCGTTATATCTTCACGACGAGGATACTTGATGTACGGAGTACGGATCATCCTAACTCCGTCCCTCCGTGGTGGTGATGACGTATGTAGATTCATTCCAGTTTGCTTTAAGAACTACCAATTATACTAGGGATGCTCTACAAATTCCCAGTTTATGATAAAAAAAAAAACATCCTCTCTCTCTCTCTCTCTCTCTCTTGCCTGCTTAAAAATCTCACTTCTCACATATATTAAACGGGACGCGGAACAATGAGTCTGCTCCGATCCTCCACAATCCTTGGAATCGGCCTTGGCCTCTCCTTCTCCCTCCATTCTACCTCCCCCTTTCGCGCCCTTCCAATTCAATGCCAATACTCGGCTCCCAACTCTAGAGCCGACTCCCAGATCTCCCCAGATTCCACCTGGGCCATCCCCCCCGATGGTTCTCGAGCGCGCAAGCAAGGAACAACGAGGACCGGGTTTCTTACCGCGTCCACCATGCGCCAAGTGAGCTTGGGAAGCGTGCTTGGTCTTGTCGTTGGCGTGGGATTAAGAGCCTTCTCTCGCGCTTTGGTAGTCCTGTTTGGAATTGGAATTGTAGTTGTTGAGGTGGGAAAGATATTCTCGGTGTGATAATAGTGTATAGGTTGGCTAACTAGACTGACTACCTTACCTACCTTAGTGGGCTGCCGCCAAAGGATATAACCTTGTCCCCTGGAACAGGATGCAGAAATACGTCAAGAACTATGACCTCCAGAAAGCCGTGTCACGGAACCGACCCCTCAAGATCAGTTTCGGGGCTACTATGGCCCTGGCCGCATTTGCGCAGTTTTAATCAAAAAGCACTTGGAGTAGTTTACGAAGAGGTTGGTAGTGGTATTTTGTGGTCTTATATTATATATGCGGAACAGGATAAACCCGGGAACAGCAGGACTACAAAAGCCGTTGCAGATATGAAACAATTTTATACAGGGTATCATAGATTCATGCCAATGTGCTTGCTCTATTGAATGAGCTGTTTCAGCCCAACACTAGATCCTCCAGCACTCCCTCCATCTCATCGCGGGATAGCGGCACACTTAGAATCTCCATCCCACTCGTGTCCATACATGAGGTGATCATCTGGTGGTCGTGGAATTCCTTTAACAGGGTGCGAAACATCATCTCCGAGGATGCGATGAATTCCTCAGACGCCTTCTGGTACAGCGTGCGGAACTCAATACCGTCGTTGCCTCTAGATCCATCTCCGGCCACACCGTCAGCACCGTCCATATCGTCATCGTCGACGTTATGTCCCTCGTCTGCCATCGAAAGTAATTCGGTTAGGAGGAGTCGGTATAGGTTGCGCGCGTTCTCGGGAAGACTCTTCAGCACGAATTCAACACCTTCTTTGCCTCCCGCGCGAAGTCCCTTGCGGCCGAGCAGATTGTGGACTTCTTCCACAACGTCAAATTCAGCATCAAAGGGTGTGAATGTTGTGCAATCGTGGAACACAAAATTAAATTGGTCCCGGAGACTGATGTCCCACATCAACAAAAAGTTGGGGGTGTCTGCCGTCGCAAGTAAGTGTATCTTAGGGGTAGCTGCTAATCGAGCAAGAAGAGCTTGATTCGAGGCACGGCGTAGGGACGGAGCGTCGATGGAGTTGATGAAAACTGTGATCGGGCTCTGCGAGGGTCTCGACTTTAGAACAGACTGGAGCAGTTCTAAAACTTCTATCGGCTGCGCCCCCATCTTCGAAGGGATATCAGCGCCAAGGATTGCGGTGACTATCGTCGCGAAGATAGACCTTATAGATACATTGGGTGTGTGCCCGTTGACAATCACCACTGAAGGCGGGTTAGAGTTATATTTTTGATAGAGCCAGTCCGCGAAATGCTGTGTCAGCCGTCGTTTGGACCCGTATCCGTAAAGGCAGATACTGAACCCTTGATCAAATTCGAAATCCCATTGGGGGAAGGACCGGTCGTGGAGGTCGTGGAGAAAGGTGGTCTCCTGCTTGCAAGGGTCCTGGTATTGTGATCGTTTCTCAAAATACTCTTCATGGGTCAACAGATTCACCTTGTTCAAATTGTTGTTCGATGTTCGAGGAGGACCCGCGCGATTCTGGAAAAAATATCTCTCGTGCGGAGGCAGCTCTCCTTCCGGCGTTGGAGAGCGTTTATTCTTTGCGCCCTTTGGTCTTCCCGCACGACGCTTCGGGGTTGCCGCTGTCTTATCCCCTGCCGGCTCGCCAGCCTCAGCTTCGACTGTTTCAATGACTCCGTGCTCCTGCCCATTGACTTTTTCCAATGCATCGTTATCTCCAGCCAAGATTTCCTCTGCCAGTCGGTCTCCTCCGTCCCATATATCGTCTTCATCTTGTTCGAGGAGCAGACGTGCACTTTTCTTCTTCGCAGATCGATCGGCATTTCGAGCTCTTGAGGGCGTGGAAACAGCGGCATCTTTCGTAGGAGTTGAAAATAAAGCTTTCGCTTTCGATCGGCGTGTAGGAGTTCTCAATCCCGAAGCTTTCAACGCTGCTGGGGTTTCTGATTTCGGTTTTTGCGGCGTGCTTTTCATCCGCTTCAACGGGGTAATTACGGGCACCCCATCCCCATTGATGTAGTCATCTTCAGTGCCATTGGCCTTTGTAGTCCGCTGTCTCTTGGGTGTCGAGACAGGGAGCTCATCATCCACATCTGGTTGCTTCCGTTTCATGTTAGTTTAGAACGCGAGAAAAGCACAAGAACAAATACCATCTAGGCACGGCGAGTGCTCTAAATCCCCAACCGGCAGAGAATAATAAGGCACTAGCAGGGACGCAAGGGATGAGTCCAATGAATCCAATGGAGCTGCTACTGGGAATGTTGAATCTCTGCTTCTCCATCCCTCGTGGTCACTCGATCGGCGCGCTTCTTCTCGGCTGGGCCGACTGTTTCTCCGGGTTCCGCAGTATTGGAGCAGGCATCGCCCAACCTTCTATAAGAACTGGCCTAAATGTCCCCTTACTGTCCTCTCCTCTGATGCTCTAACTTCTTCTTCCTTCCCACATTCTACTCCTATATTCTATACTTTTTCCGTCATTCCCATCACTTCAATCTCCCACCGTTCGCTGGCCCGCCTTTTTTCTTAGAATTACAGGCACTGACACGGTTCAACTTTGGCAGGGTAGAAGACCTGTCGATGAGGGAAGGAAACGGAAACGAAAAGCAATAGTAGTAATAGGTAACTGAACCATACACCTTACTGCAGAGAGTAAGCAGACTGGTTGTCGCTGAATCTTCTATTTCTGCATAACTCGGGGTCCTCCTTATCGATATAGAATAGATGGTTCAAGGGGAGGCCACGTTCGGGAAACATGGTCAGGAGTTCAATGATTTCTCTGGCTCTCGATAAACTGCGTGATGAAAAGCCTGGCCTTTGTGGATAATGATATCGCCTCCGCGATCTAACATGAGTTTGACAACAGACATTGGGCCTGCTTCAACGGCGCATGACAGTGGAGTCATATCGGGTCAGCTCCGTGGTCAAGAAGCCAAGTTGTCATATACTCATCCTCAACTGCCTCACTAGGTTTACGGTTAGTGGGCTATGATTATTTATTTCAGATAGGCAAGTATAATCCGCGACGACTCACAAGAGTATTGGGGGGCGAACTTCGCTTAGTGGCTCATGAACATCCCTTCCTTCAAGGAAAAGTTTCAATATTTGTCGACCTCGCTTTGAATGCTTCCCCCGTATAGGAATAACCATGGTTTGCGGATACGCCATGGCGGTAAAGGTCTCTAATGAACTCAACATCGTGCCGCCTAATCGCAGTAATCCTTACTGGGTACAGGATGTGGATGTCGAAACCTCGGGGCGGCGGATTGGAGCGCACTGAATCTACCATGTCCCATAATTTTTGAATCTCTCCATTGACGTAAAGCGCATGTACTTTCTCAATTATATCAACTGGGGTTCGAGACGGGGACTGAGTGAATTCCTTTGGCAAGATGGGAGACAACTTGCGGGAATCTGAGTCGGGCGGTGGTGCACCTAAATATCATCCTGACGTGTTACTCGAATAAAAACAGTCCGTCACAACTCTCTAAACAGTTTGTCTAACAATAATTTCCCCTTGTTACCTATTTATCATATTTTTGATCAGCTTGCTGCGCCATTCTCTCTTGTTCTCCTGATTAAATTATATGATTTAGTCACGCATATCATGGAGGAGAAGGCTCCTTTTGCACACTTGAAGGGATTCATAAATTCTGTATCAGAGTTAGCCAATCCTTGCCACTGTCTACTTTTTTTATGATACTCATGACAGCATAGGTGTCAAAAGCGTGGAGAATTCACCGATTTCACCTTGGTTTGCAAAGGTGAACGTTTCCAGGTGCACAAGGTCATAGTGTGTTCTCAATCAGCGGTTCTGCTTGCTGCCTGTATGGGGCCATTCAAGGCAAGGGCTCCATTTACTGCCAATACAATAGCTATGCCTAATTATGCCACAGGAAGCATCGTCGGGAGTCTACGAAATGAACGATGACCCCTTGCCAATGGTGAAAAACTTGGTGGATTATCTTTACACTCTTGACTACAACGAAAACCTGCGAACCCTAAATCAAGAATGCCCCTCGCCTATTTCTGGACTCCAGGTTCATGCTAGAATGTTCGCGCTGGCAGATAAATATGACATCAAGGCACTGCAGGTGCTCTCATCTGAGAAATACTCAAACATGCTCGAAAGCTCTTCCATCGGTTCAGAATTCCTAGGGTCTATTCCAGATGTTTATACCCTGACACCACCGTCAGTAAAAGCTCTCAGAGATAAGGTGGCCCGTTTTGCCAGAATCAACCTTGAAAATTATCTCCAGGATCCATCTAGCCGAGAAGTCTACAAAAGAATTGCGATTGACGTGCCTGATTTTCTACAAGACTTGCTTGACCTATACATAATGAATCCTTTGACAGGATTTTGCTACCGCTGTAACCCCCTTTCAACCATGCAAGCTTTACAGACCCCTTGTCATAAATGTGGTTTATCAGGTATCTGTTATGACAGCGAGTAAAGCGTATGTGCTGCGATGTTAGTTCCATGGGCTATGCTCCGCTTATCTCGAGATCGTTTTCATTGTTCCGTGCGTACGGCAGTCGACGGCGACTCACTTGGGGTTTGAGTTATCAAGGTATCATTGAACGAGAAATACGATTTGCTTGTTGGGTGAAGTACTCGTAATCGGTTGATATCTCGCAAACAGTACCAAAGCTAGCATTGTCTCGTTCTTCTTTTGCCCAGTCCCTACCGTTGTGACCAGTGCCTGGGCAGCTATCTGATCTTAGAGAAGCCTCTAGGCTATCAATAGATGAAAAATTGCTGTAAGGATAGACTGCAATAGATAGTTAATAAAGAACGTCGTCAGGGTCCGGTGTGGCCAGAGTGAAGCGACCAAGTGGCCTCAACTGGTTTAGCGTGGCTGGGGACCGAAAGTGGCCAGCGAGGCGACTACGGAGAATCCAACTCGCACCTCCATCCATCCCCTTCACTCCTCTTCACTTCACTTCTTCTTGTTTTGCTCTTGTTTTTTTTTTTCCTTCTTCCCTTTTAATTTCTCCTTCCACTCCTTCTGCTGGTTATCTACTCCAGCTTCATTTCCTTCCCCTTTCTCCCCCCCCTGAATTATTGACCAAGTTGGGAGGTGGTCACAATGAGCGGACGTGAGTACTCCCACACGCGATCGTGACCAGTTTTGCGACAGCATCCTTTCACCAACCCCAATTGGTCTGCAATAACTGACACTGGAATATAGTCAGATTCCTTGATCTTATCAAGCCCTTTACGCCCCTCCTTCCGGAGGTGGCAGCCCCCGAAACCAAGGTGCCCTTCAACCAGAAGTTGATGTGGACTGGGGTAGGTTGCTTCGTTCGATGGCAAGAAGAGCTTTCCAAAACTGACTGCTTGTCTACTAGTTGACTCTTCTAATTTTCTTGGTGATGAGCCAAATGCCCCTGTACGGCATTGTCTCTTCCGACACATCGGATCCTCTGTACTGGCTGCGTATGATGTTGGCTAGTAACCGCGGAACCCTGATGGAGTTGGGTATCACCCCCATCATCTCCTCTGGAATGGTCTTCCAGGTACGTAGCGCAATCAAAAAACATTTCTAACAGATCAGAAATTCAGACTGGTACTAATTTCTTTTTTTTTTTTCTGCGCAGCTCCTTGCTGGTACCCACCTCATTGACGTCAACCTGGATCTCAAGACCGACCGTGAGCTCTACCAGACTGCCCAGAAGCTTTTCGCCATTATCCTTTCCTTTGGCCAGGCCTGTGTTTACGTTCTGACTGGTCTATACGGCCAGCCTAGTGATCTTGGTGCTGGTATTTGCGTTCTGTTGATCGTCCAACTCGTTGTTGCCGGTCTCGTTGTTATCCTGCTCGATGAGCTCCTCCAGAAGGGATACGGCCTTGGCAGCGGTATCTCCCTCTTTATTGCGACCAACATCTGCGAATCTATCGTCTGGAAGGCTTTCTCCCCCACTACAATCAACACTGGCCGTGGTCCGGAATTCGAGGGTGCCATCATCGCTCTCTTCCATCTCCTGCTGACCTGGCCCGACAAGCAGCGCGCTCTGCGTGAGGCTTTCTACCGCCAGAACCTGCCCAACGTCATGAACCTTCTAGCGACCCTCCTTGTCTTTGCCGCTGTTATCTACCTCCAGGGTTTCCGTGTTGAGATTCCTGTTAAGTCCTCGCGCCAGCGTGGCATGCGTGGATCTTACCCCGTTCGTCTGTTCTACACCTCCAACATGCCCATTATGCTCCAGTCTGCCTTGTGCTCCAACATCTTCCTTATCAGCCAGATGCTGTACTCTCGCTTCTCCGACAATATCTTGGTCAAGCTTCTCGGAGTCTGGGAGCCTCGTGAGGGATCTGCCCAGCTCTACGCCTCCTCTGGCATTGCCTACTACATGTCCCCTCCTCTGAACTTCAAGGAGGCGCTTCTTGATCCTATCCATACGGCTGTGTACATCACATTTATGCTCGTTGCTTGCGCTCTTTTCTCCAAGACTTGGATCGAGGTCTCCGGCTCCGCTCCTCGTGATGTCGCTAAGCAGCTCAAGGACCAGGGTCTTGTCATGGCTGGTCACCGTGAGCAGAGCATGTACCGTGAGCTGAAGCGTGTTATCCCCACTGCTGCCGCTTTCGGTGGTGCCTGCATCGGAGCTCTCTCCGTTGCCTCTGACCTACTCGGTGCCCTGGGTAGCGGCACTGGTATTCTCCTTGCTGTCACGTAAGTCATGATTCATCATTTCCCAATTTCACCGTCTACATTCTAACACACTCTCTCCAGTATTATCTACGGCTACTTCGAAATCGCAGCCCGTGAAGGCGATATCGGCGCTGGCCTGAAGGGCCTTGTCCCCGGTAACTAAGCCTGGCTTAGGTTTCAATTTTCTTCTCTCTTTTTTTTTTTTTTTTCCCTTTGACGAGCAGCATGAACAAGAAAGGTTATGGGTTCTATTTATTCTGTCTTCCCTAATCTTTCCGTTCATTCCCAGGCGGTGTGCTGTTGTGGCTGGCTCAGGTAGTATTGGATGTGTTTTGCGTAAGAAAGAGAGTCAGTGTGTGTGTATGGGTAAGGTAGTCAGTCAGTCCTACATTATCCGGGGGTGATGTTTTTTTTTTTTTTTTTTTTCCAATTTTTTTTCTCGCCTCGGAAAAGTAAAGCAAAGCCACAACTGTACATAACACTGACCTGGTTTGTAACCATATTTTATAAAGATACAAAAATTATATTAATTCGTGGTACTGTGCTCTGTCCAAATGAGTAATTGTAATTGCTTCCGTAGTTCTGTAGGTATGGGATCTTCGGATTCAGGGACGAAGGAAAACCGAGGTAGATACTTTTCCACGATCCAAGAACAGTTTCAGCTCATTGTACACCGTAATTGAAAGACATAAAAATAGAGAGAGAGAGAGAAAGAGAGAGACGGATCTGCTATTCTCGACCATGTGAGATCAGATCAGATGTATATATATATATATAGCTTATCTCAGCTCACTCCTGCTAGATATCGACCAAGGGGACAGACAACCTAAATACCCTAAGTTCTATAGTCGCCGTTAATAGTAACATACTCGTGACTAAAGTCACAGAACCAGTACACACCCTCCTCACCACCACAGCCCTTCTCACCCTTCTCCCCGCCACCAAGGTCAACCACGATTTCTAGGTCCTCCTCCTGGAGAATCACGCTCGCACGCTCCTCGTCCACCTGCTCCGGCTCGCCGTTTACAAGCAACTTCAGGACAGGGCTTCCATCAACAGGTTTGAAGCTGACGCTTGTGCGCTCAGGAATAACAGTGCCTGGTGCCACACCCTGGGTGTATCCAATTGCGCAGAGAATGCGGCCCCAGTTCGCGTCACGGCCGTACAGGGCTGTCTTGACGAGCGGGGAACGAGCGATTGTGGATGCGATGAGCTGCGCGGAGGCGTAGTCGGGGGAATTCTGGATGCGGACCGTGACGAATTTCGTGGCGCCCTCGCCGTCGCGCACGACAAGCTGCGACAGGGACTGCGCGAAGGAAGTTAGGATTTCTTGCATGGCGGTGTAATCAGCGGAGGAAGTGGATGCGATTGTGGAGCCGCCTGCGGCGCCGTTGGCGAGGATGGCGACGGTGTCGTTTGTGCTGGTGTCGCCGTCAATGGAGATGGAGTTAAAGGAGCGTGGGACAGCGAATTGGAGCAGCGAGGAGAGAGCGGAGGGGGCGATGGGGGCATCCGTGCAGATTACGCCAAGGAGGGTTGCCATGTTGGGATGGATCATGCCAGCGCCTTTCGTCATTCCGGCCAGGCTGTAGGTGTGGCCGGGAGATGAGGGCAAGGTGAAGGTGCGCGAGATGAGTTTGGGGAAGGTATCGGTTGTGCAGATAGCCCGCGCGGTGGTGAGCCAGGCATCGTGGGTTGAGGAGAGACTTGCATGGGCAGCCGGGATCTTGTCGAGGATTTTGGAGATGGGGAGTCTGAGAGTAGATCGTTAGTGCCCATAGAGCTTTCTTCGTGGTGGAAAGCGGTATACCGTTGTCCGATGACGCCTGTACTCATGACGAGGGTGCTTTTAGACTCGCTCAGCCCGTTGCATTCGTCGACCTTCGCGGACATGTTTGCGGCATCCTCTAGGCCGCCTTTGCCTGTCACGGCATTGGCACAGCCAGAGTTGATAACCACGGATCGGATGCCCTCACCCCTGCGAGTAGCAAGGATATTCTTGCTAATCTGGACGGGGGCCGCCTGGAACTTGTTGGTGGTGAAAACAGCCGCTGCGGAGCATGGGGTTTCGGAGGAGATCAAGGCTAGATCTGGAAACTTGGTGTTGGAGGCTTTCACGCCCACATGGGTTCCAGAGACAAGGAATCCTTTTGGATAGGTACCGGAAGAGGGAATATACTTTCGCTTGCTCGCGGGAATAGCTATGTCGGCAGGCGCAGAGTAGGAGCGCACTTGTCCCTTCAGCATGCGGGCGAAAGCGACCACAGAGGCTGCGGGTTGGGCGGGGGAGGCCATTGGAGCTGCTTGAGGGCAACAGAGATTAGTACAGAGAACCCAGACAGATGAGAAGGTGAGAGAAATCAATATAGCTCAAGGTTCAAGGCTCCGGAGGGGCATTAAATATACCTGTTGCTCACAATAAATGACTCAAGAAGCACGAGGGGATTCGCCCACCAAGGACTTGAAACTTCGCCTGTTTTCAGGCGATGTGGATGATAAAAACCGCAGCCAGAGACAGAAGCGAGACCGTCCCACCGGATTGAAGCCCAATGTCCCTTATGCAGCTGCAACGATGCTGTCCATCGGATTAATCGCTCACCAAAAATCGCCTGGAGCTGCCGGTCTCTGGCCCTCTCACGTGCTTGGCACCACACTATTCTGCACCCGCCAAGTCCAGTTTATTTCACTTTTAGTTAACTAGTTCTATATCTATAGATTACTATTCGTCTACTTCGAAATACAACTGTAGTGAAGGGAAGGGGGTAGCACAGGAAATCCAGCATTTATGTTGAGCACCGGACATGATATTAAGTTCAAGGTTGACGGAACCATCCATCTTCCAAGAGCTGTCGTGCTGACGGCCTATCTCGAGGGTCTAGCTTCATGATTCTTAACACAAATTCCTTATCCTCCGGACAAATTTCTCGCGTAGTGGTGAGATGAAATGGTCTCAATGTTTCAGGAGGGCTGTTTTGCATAATCCAAACAAGAACCGCCAGTCGCTCCTGGTCCGCAATTTGTTCGTACGATTCTGGAAAGGGTCCAAAGCATCCATGACTTCATCAAGTAATGGGCGAATAAAGGGTGTTTGGTTTTGGAAACGAAGTAGAATGTCTCGTTCGTTCTGTAATCGGAAGTGCCTGCTTCTCCTGGTATTTGTTCCTAAAATTGTCATTGTGAGCTTAATTTTCTGGATGAATATCAATGAAAAAGGAGGCATACGTCGCAAGCCAGACAGAGTCTTGCTTTGTCACAGTGTAAAGACCTGTTTTGCCTTTCAAAGCCTGGCCCAAGGACCAAGGTAGCCGCCATATCAAACAAGAGAATTTAGAAAATTTATTGGCTCGGGAGCAGCTTGTTAAATAGGTATATGTCTCTCTAGGAGAGTGGACGGTTCTCAAAGTGGTCAGAAATACGGCCAGCTGGAGATGTGGAAAGTTTCAGGTTCTTGGAACGCCTGTACCTCTGGTATACGTAATCTGCCTGGTAGATGCTTCCCACGAAGAAAGCGATACAGAGTGAGGGGGTAGATGAGCCCATGAGCAGATTATAAACCCGCCTGTCTGTTCACCTCTCTTTTCATTCCATAACTTCTAAAGACATAGGTCCATAGCCCGGCCGTTTTTGTTAGTGGGCTTCCCCTTTGTCTACAAACTCGAAGAATGGAGCACTAAACTGACTGTGGAGTAGTTGCACTTGTACTGTATTATTCTTAACACTCATCCTCGAAAAGCCGACCTGTAATGTGTGAGATACGTGTCACTACAACCCGATATGCCCGTTGCCCGGCGACATGCACCAGCGTCTCTCGGGATCTGATTACGGACGGCTGCCCCCATTACGCCTCGACTCAACGACAATGTGAAAATCCCAGAGAAAAACATCTTGGTCAAACTGTTAGTCGAAACCAATGCCATTTGCACAGAGATGAGGGTTATGCCGAAAGAGACACGAGATAAATCTACGCTTGTAGAGACCGAAGCCGCCATGGATTAAAGTGACTTTCGAGGAAAGGCTACATTTTGGAAGCGAGGACAGATTTTTGGTATCTAGGGAAATGTATATTCAAAATAGTCACAAACCTGAGCCGCGGTTACTTCCTGGTGCCAACATTGTTGAATGATAGAACCACATGAAATGCTGCTAACATCCGGAAATTGTGAACTTCCATATCGACTCTCGACATCATCGCTAGGGACCTCTTCGTAGGGGTACTTGTTAGTCATAATAAAGTAAATCAAGGATCCTAGCCCAAATATGTCATCTTTGAAATGAGGAGGATCATCCCATTTGTACTTAGGGTGGCGATAGCGTGTATTTGCAAACGCGGATGGAAGTGAACCGTGAAAGGAAGAGCCAGCAAAGTCCGAGATCTTTAAGTTTAAATCGTGGCCTAGTAAAAAGTTCCTTGGAGAGATATCACAGTGGACAACATGAGCATCATGAAGAATTCGAAGACCAGCTGCCGCTTGTCCCGCCCATTGGTGGCGAAGGCTGGGTGTCAGGGCTTTATAGTGACTTCTGACATATTCTCGAAGATTTCCGTGCTCTAGATATTCTATCGTCAGGCAACAGGTCAACGGATCCCATTTGATAAATCTGGGAATAGAAACGTGTTCGCCAAGTTCCTGATAAACCTGGGCCTCGAGACGCATATTCATTCGGTGGTCTTCCTCCTCATATGGGATAAAAGGGTTTGGCGTTGGGGTCTTTATCACTTCGCCTGAAGGTAATAATTCTAGGATTGCAGTCCCTCCCCGTACTAAAAACTTTCCCTTCGCTTTGTATATAACTTCGCCATACGATGGATTGGGGGTCTCCTCTCCAGGGTGAACATATCGGTACGTAATAACGGACGGTATTCCCGGAGATGCGCTCTTCTGGGGAATATCAAGAGTTAGGTGTATTCAATCGCCGCTAGGAACCAGCTCTCCACATACTGGTATCAAAGCACATTCAGTATCTCCCTCAAGGGACTTATTGGTATATCTACCGAGGAAACGACTGGAAACCCAGTGGAAGGGGCGAAATTGGAGAATGGCTAAGATAGAGGACCGTATTGGTAAAGAGAAATAAGAACAAATTATTGATAGAAACCACATGTTCGAAGGTTGGTTGGTAGTCAGAAAAGGGATGGTCGCCATTGCCCCCATTTGGCCGCCTCATTTACAGTCGGTGATCACCTGACGCCCAGTCCCACCTGACGCCCGATTTCACCACCACCAGTAATATTGAATATAAAGTAATTTAACTATATATAATTATTATTATTGCGTGATTTTTTAGTAGATAAATATAGTCATTATTAGGACTCTATATATAGTTTTTAATTAGTCTAAAAGTACTATAGGAGCCAGATCTCACGGCCTTAATAATTTACTATTAGAGGGGCCTCTAGGACTTCTATAGGTATTATTAGCCTAGTTTCTATAGATTTTTACTAGTATAAAGCTTTAGAGACCTTCTTTAGAGACTTCTTTATTTACTAGAAGTTATTTTAAAGCTAGTAATCTATCTTCTTTACTAGGCAAGTATCTTTCTTTTATTATTTTTTTTACTCTACTTCTAGTAGCTATAATTCTTACTAGAATACTTAATTTCTCTTTTACTCTTTAAGCAAGTATTATTTCTCCTCTTTAGTAAGTTATTAATAAATCTTTTCTTACTCCTTTAATATTTTAGTAAATTATATAGCTTTATCTTTCTATATTTAAAGATTATAAGCCTGCTAAATCTTTTAAGGAGAGTAAAAAATTATACTACTATTTTTAGGAGCTATAAGTTTAAATTATAAGGATTTTCTATATTAATACTTTTTCTTCTTATTCTAGAGAGCTAATTTAAGGTCTTAATAATATAATTTTAGAATAATATTTTCTATAGAAAGGTAATATATTATTAAGCTTAATTTCTTAGTATTTTTATTATATATATTAGTAATAATTTAATTTAAAAGCTTCTTAATCTTCTACTAGTCCTCTATCTATAGGATAGAGTATAAGAAATTATTTAAGGAGGGCTTAAAATTATTCTACTTATTAAATTAAACTAGAACTATTTCTAGATTTAACAGCCATATCCTTATAATTTGCTATAAAGAAAGGATATTTTTTATTAATAAGATTTATTTTCAGGCTGGCTAGAAGAGACAGAAGAAGTCTTATTTAGTAATATAATTAAGGCCTATTAATTTATATAGAAAGTCCTTAAGATTCTTGCTATAAGTAGTAAAGAGAGGGCTAAAGATCCTAATATTAAGTAATTATAGTAAATAAATTAAATAAGATAGATATATTATTAATAAGATCTTATTAATATTATAATAATTAATAAATTTTATAATAAAGTAAGATCTATAATTATTAAGAATAAGAAGTCTCTATTACCTATATATCTTATTCTTAATCTTATAGTTAAATATATTAATTAATCAGGTATATTCTAGCTTATTATTAGTTTAACTACTTATAGAGGAGATAAAGAAGTAAGAATAAAGCTTAAGATTAAAGTCTTAAAATTAGAAATCTTATATATTACTAGTAAAAGCCTAGTAAATAAAATCTAGTAAAAAAAAGATTTTATTAATATAAATATAAGTAATTAAAATTATTTACTTATAATTTTTATCTTACAGGCATTACTTAAGCCCTCCTCTAGCTATATATTTCTATTTTAAAAAGATCCTGAAATCTTTAACTAATATTCTAATAAAAAATCCTTTCTTATCTATATTATAGATATTCTCTAGCTATAGCTTATATTACTATATCTTCCAGCTTAATAACTTAAAATATAGAGTATATCTATATATAGAATTAGCTTATTTTCGCGTGATATTAATAGTTATTATATAGGTTAAGATAAGATTATCTTAGTAATACTTTATAAAGTATCTAGGCTAGTATTTTCTAGGCTTCTTACTAGTAATTTTCTTTATAAAATTCTAAAGTATCTTATAGGATATAAAGAGGCCTTGCTTAGTAAGCTTATTAATATAATTTATTAGTTTTTTTTTATATTAGTTAGTAAGAACTTACTATTATTTATATTAGTAGTCTTTAGGGTGCTGTACCCTGTGGTGGCATCTTAATAGTATTATCTGATTAATACTAAACTCTTTTATAATCTTAGTATAATTAATTAAATTACTAATCTTTAATAAATTGATTGCTTCTATCACAGCTTCAATTAAACCTATATTGGTTGAGATATAAGTTGTTGAAAATTATCAAAAAAACAGTTGGTGAGGGGAAATCAGGCGTCAGGTGGGACCGGGCGTCAGGTGATCACCAACTGTAGTCATCACAAGTATCCTAAATGGGCAATAGGGCTACCGGGGACGCAGCTCACCATGGGTAGAGCTTATTAGGGTATAATATACTGTGAACCAATATAATACTGTATCAGCTAGAAAGCTCTGTCTTGACACCTTTTTAGCTCAGCAGTAAAGTTCGACAGAAAGCCTTGTCTCCGGGTAAAGAGTACAGTACAGTAAGCCATTTGGACTACTCCTGCACCACTTCATGGTAAGCAAATAAACTAACATAGTACTTAACCTGCTACCCCGACTGGATGAACCCATAAATCCGACAATTAGCTACTATCACATGAATTGGTTATAGAATGGTGGAAAGAGATCTTAAGGTTCCAAGTTCCAATGTCGTCAGGTGTTGCCTCCAATGGTTGGACTAGACTGCCATATCAGAAGTTGAGGCAAACAGAGGAGAGGATGCAACTGTGGTTTGTTAAGGGAAAAAGGGGGGAGTTAGTGTAGAATAACAAATCAATTAGATTACAAAAGATATTATCATCTTGTAGTGGTACAGTTTCACATATGATTCCAGACCCTCTAGATACACTTGCGCCGAACTCAAATAGGTATAATTGTAGTATAGAAGCTTCAACAAATCGTCAGATATCATGGTACACGAGCCATCATGGGCAAACAGAATATGTCAATCTGGCTTTACAACGAAGGTATTTCTTCTGGTTCTGTCAAGGCCCAACAAGACTCAAACAGTCGTCTATTACCATCTCAAGTTCTCCCAGTCGCGTCTTCAAACCCTTGTTCTCTTCCTTCAGAATGCCCATGACGCTCCAGGCTTCTGAAGCAGGCACTCCATGACAGATTCCACATCTCGAGGAATTACCCCATGCGGTAGTAATCCCCGTCGATGCAAGGCCCTTGAGAACTTTGTCGTATGTGGACTGGCGAGTTTGGGGTGTAGGTAGAGGTTTCAGCTCTTTTGGGTTGGGCTGTAGAGTGGCGGATGGGGGGGTCGGGAGTGTGATCTGGGAGAAGTTCGGGGATGCTGCAATCGTCGAAGTCGGAGACTCAACACCTTCCCGGCGCGAGAAGACACTTTCAGCAAGACTCTCATCTCCCGAATCGAACCCTGAGTCACTGGGGAGAGTCCCGTTGCTCACGCGTTTGAACCTCCATTTTGGAGTCTGCAGTTCCATCGCTAGCTCGGATGAGCTATCGTCATCGCCGCTGGCTCGAATGAGCATCACGCTCCGTTGGCGAGCATCTTCTTCCCTCTGGCGCAGTTGTCTCTCTTGTTCAAGCTCTTCGGCCATAGTTTTCATGGCCTTGTCCTGGCGGAGCACCTTCTCAGCCATGCCGTCTAGCTGGACCTTCAAGTGTCCGATGCGTGTCCGAGTTTCTTCCAGCTCTTCCTGCTTCTCGGTTTTTTCCCCAAGAGCTTCATGCAGGGCGAAGGTCCTTTGCTTATAGGCCGCCTGTAACCGTCGAATGACATTCTCTGCATTGTTCCGCAGAGCATCAAAGGCTTCTTGATCATCCAAGTCGCGCATCCCGGGAGGAAACAGCGCCGCGGCGATATCGAGGTTCAGCAACTCATCCTCTGCAGGTTCCGGAAGGTCGAGTCTATTGTCTCCTTGGCGCTTGATCCCGAAAAAGGAGAATGGGCTTGTCGATGTGACCTGTTTTAGCGGCGATGGCGCAGTCATCCGTTTTTGGCCCCGAGTTGTAGACGTGGCCGAAGTATATGAAGGGGTGTGGTACTCCTGAGCACCTTGGTTGTTGTTCGCGCTGGTGGGCGCCATCGCGACGGAATTTCGGTCCCCTGATCGGTGCAGGAGTCCGAAGTTAACTTGGTCGGATTTCCCCTGGAACAAATCCGACAGCAGTTTCGCGCCCACTTCGAATTTCCTCCTGGCGAAGTTCTCGGTTGGCGGGGTAGGGCGCGTCCGAGTATAATCTAGGTCTTCGAAAGTCGGGGACTGATCTGCGAATAGTTGCCTGGATGGCGGTCGAGCAGCGCGTGGCCGAATGATTTCGGTATTTGCTCGACGGTGAAAAGACCCGCGCGGGAGATGTTGCTTCTCTGGTTGTGGTGATGACAGCGTATCAGAGCTCTGTGTTAATACGACGTCAGGGGTCTCGGAGCGGAACAAAGGATGATCATTGTAAGGCTGACTGCTGTTTTCTTTTGTAACCGGAGCAAGTGTAGTTGAGGGGTAACTTGAACTGAGGATTGCTGGCGTGGCAGCCGTTGAAGGGTGCTCAAGTTCCTCCAACATCGTTGACTTAGCCTTGACTGGTCAGCTGGAATAGGGGATGGGTCTGGAATGAGAAAGGGATGCACTCTGTCGCACCACTTGGTTCAGGACTGGAATGCCACGTCGATAGGCTATCCAATCCAATGCACGGTCACCCAGGTCAAACGCTAAGGTAGGTTGAGAGCCCAAGGAACGGAAAAGAAAAGGGAAAGGAGAAACGGGATTCAATAGTAGGTCGGGGCCAAGACCTAGTCTGTTTTGATTTGGTTTGATGTAATGGGGAGGTCGACGAGACAGCCCCTATAAAAGATCCCCTCCAAGTCTGTAACAATCAGATGGAGATCGTTATTTTCTTGATGAAGAAGGAGGGCGAAACTTTTGCTTCAGTTGTGATTCAGATTGGTGAAAATGGACGCCAAGTGAGAGCGATCACGGAGTAGTTTTAGGATCCCGCACGTGCCCCTGTCAATCAAAGTGCACGAGTAGAAGTTGGAATAATAGTTAGTTAGTTGATCGGTGTAAGTCAAGCAGTAGAGAGCAATGAAGACGATTTTTTTTTTCAAGAGACTGGTACAAATATTGCGAGGTTGGGTATATTACAGTAGATCTCTGGGGGATGAAGAAAATTGAGGTGGCTGAACGAATCTCGTCACTCCACCCTAGATCAGACTGTCAGAGAGGAAGAAACTTGATTCGGTTGTAATATATGGAGCAGTAAAAATAGTCTAGATTTATATTTTATAATTAGATTTCCTCATCCGAGGTTGTTGTATATTCTCCTAACCAAGTCAACTCCGGTAGCTACCAGAGATTGGGTCCAACTAAAGAGCTGCGAGCCTTAATGGATAATGCACATCGGAGTCACTTGTATGTAAGGGTCAGGGATAGATATGTATTCTGTATACAAACAAGGCAAGGCAGGAATCCAAACCCTCCATCCATGAAGCCCATTGAGCCCATTGAGCCCATTCCAATGTCGTCACTGCAGGCAGCTCGAAAGGGAGCTCCGACGCTATGCTTATATAAGCACCGCAGCAAAGACGGTGGACCGACAGACAACCAAATCATCCAGACAGGATCAAATCCACTGCTCTCAATCATTCATCGCTTGCGCATGAGTGAGGCATATTAAATCTTTAACTCTTGTTCCTTCCTGGAAATGGCTCCCCGGGACGTGCCCGGACTGAAGTATTTATCCAATGCATTGGCGACCCCCGAACAATTGACCAGCTCCTCTTCAGCTCTTGATGGAGTCCCCTCTGACCTGGAATCCTCGATCCGCTTTGCTGGAACCCAGCTGACACAAGCTGCTGGTATTCTGCTGCAATTGTCTCAGGATATCATAGCTCAAGCGATTGTCACGTTCACGCGGTTCTGGCTGGGCCCTGAGGGTGGAAGTCTCCGAATCTACTCGGCCAAGGTTTGTATATTCGCTCTTTACAGTCCCCCATGGGCGGGAAGGGAATGCTTGTGCTGATTCAGTTGATTGGAACAGGATGTTTCCGCCGCTGCTCTTTATATGACTGCCAAGATCTCCTTCCAACCAACCTCTCCAAGGTCCATTCTCAATGTCTACACATTCCTCCTTTCCCGAGAGGCCTCCCCTCTTTGGTTTGTGAACCCAAAAGGCTCCCCCGAAAAGCCAGTGCCCGAAACATACCACCTGACCGAAGGGGGCTACCAAGCTCAACGTCAAGTTCTCCTCCAGATCGAGTCGGCCATTTTACGCACATTAGGATTTAATACTCATGTCGCTTTACCTCACACCATCACATTGACGTACCTCCAGACCCTGGGGGTCTCCTCGCCAGCCGTTGCGCGACGAGCTTTCGAGCATCTCAACTCATGCCTCCTGTCGCCACAGTTACTCTACCTCACCCACCAACCCAATGCGCTAGCCGTTGCTTCCATCTACTTGGCGTCCCGGGAGAAAGGGGTGAAGCTTGTAGACGGGGAGTGGTGGGAGGTCTTCGATGTGGATCGAGAAGATCTTGGGTTTTTGGTGGTAGGAATGCAGAGCATGGAGGGGTTTGCGCGGGCGGAAATTGAGAAGTGGAAAGGGCGTGCTCTTCCTCTGGTTTTTGATGAAGTCGAGGCGGAGATAGAACGAAGGAGAATGCTGGAAGCTGGGGAGTGAATCCTTGAGACGACAATTTCTTCTCCACCGCTCACCACCTTGCGAGAGGAAGGCCGCAGCTCTTCCATGAATCCCGCCGATTGCAGGGTATGCGAGTCTTAATCTCGACATAACCCTGGATCAGGCCCCAGAAACAAGGCTATCACCATGATGAATGCGATCCTGACCAGACCATGTTCTAGTGTGGGATCTCATACCCATAGCGGGTAATCAACAAGGCTACATACAAGTCGATGGAAGTGAGAGCACCCGGCCGCGGCAAATCAGACAGTGCTGCTTCCCTCTAGCAGTCACCAGTAGTTAGAAATATAAATTATACCTATTGATACGCTCAATTCAATCTGACGCAATATTAATATCAACCCCCAAATTCCATCTGCGCAAGAGTTGTGGTTGTGACGAGCCTCGAGCCACATGATGTACCCCGCGTGCCCCAGGCAGCGAGGCCCAAGACCGCCACATTCTATCCGGGACTGATAAGCCGTCCGTCGTCCCTCTTTCACAGCACGCAAGGTCCCTCCATTAATTCACACATTCCATTTACCAGACTCTGTCCAAGCACCCATCCCTTCCTAATTTTCAACCTTGAATCATCCAAAAAAAAAAAAAAAAAAAAAAAATAGCACCCCACAAATAGAGCGAAAGAATGAACATCCTCCACTCCACCCTATCAACCTGGCGGGATCGCCTCGCCCCGGTCTCACGAACCTCTACCTTCCGCACAACAGGGCAGATCACCCCCGAGGAATTTGTGCTTGCGGGCGACTACCTCGTTTACAAGTTCCCCTCGTGGTCGTGGGCTGACGCCGCAACCCCAGCGAAGCGAGTCTCCTACCTGCCTCCCGGAAAGCAGTTCCTGGTGACCCGCGGGGTACCCTGTCACCGACGCCTGAACGAGAATTTCGCCGGAGATGCGAACCTCGATGACGAGATCGTGCGGGACATGCTCTCTGGTGCGGCGGATGACGATGGCTGGCTGCGTACGGGGGGAGGTGGGGAGCGCCACGAAAGTCGGATCGGGGATGTAAGGACGGTAGACGAGGCGGGCAATCTAGCGGAGCGGGAGGAAGAAGAAGAAGAAGAAGAAGAGGAGATCCCGGATATGGAGGATGATGACGATGACGAGGCGATTATCCGAGAGCCTGTGGGAGGGTCTGGGACTACGCAGTTCGTCGCCGCCTCTCCTTTTTTTTCACTGTGTTGTTTGGTTTGGTTTGGTTTGGTCTTGCTGACAGACCGGTACTTCACCAATGCTTTAGGCCGACCCGCACATACAACCTCTACATCACGTATTCGAACTTCTACCGGACACCCCGTCTCTACCTATCTGGATACCTTTCGCCGTCGGAGCCGCTCCCGCCGCAGCTGATGATGGAGGATATTGTCGGCGACTACAAGGACAAGACTGTGACCCTGGAAGACTTTCCTTGGTTCGAGGGCAGCGTCAAGATGGCCACGGTACACCCCTGCCGCCACGCCGCGGTGATGAAGACCCTCCTGGACCGCGCCGACGCAGCTCTCAAGCTGCGCCGCGAGAAACTCACGCAAGCCGGCGGCGAGTCTGCCTCGGGCTCTCCTCCCAAGCTGCTCGCCAGTGAAAGCGGCCTCGAAGGTCTCGTCGATGACATCAAGGCACTTTCTCTAAGCGACGCTCAGAAGCAAGCCGCGGACAAGGCAGCGCAGTCTGGCGGAGACGAATGGGAGGTTCTGCAGCATGACGAGGAAGACCAGGTTGCGATCCGCGTGGACCAGTACCTGGTTGTTTTCCTGAAGTTCATTGCGAGTGTGACTCCGGGTATTGAGCATGATTACACCATGGGAGTGTAAATCTTTTCTCTCAGATCGAATCTCCGATACACTTTCCAATCTTGTCTTTTTTTTTTTTTTTTTTTTTTTTTCTTGTTGTATGCTTGATGATATAAGGTGTATGGCGTTCTTCTTTCTCATGATGACATGATCAACAATGAAGACTTGAGTTCTGAACTTTTTTTTTCTGTAACCAAGAGCAGGGCCTGACATTCAATAGACCACAGGATCCAAGTATCTGACTGCTCCACTTCACACGAAGATATTAGTAGGATCTACCGATCTATACATACCAACGTGAAACATACAAGCTCACCATCTGGTTAGTTATTAGATAACCCCTCAAGCACCAACCGCAAGATAATAAGATAAGAAGAAGAAGAAAACCCTAACCCATAACCCATAACCATTAATTAAAACCTACACACACAGTACATACATACATACATACATACAAAAAAAAAAGGCTAGATAGAACATAGCATGACGAGAGGAATCCAAACCAAAGCCGGAATCAAACTAAAGAAACATAATAGTAAACTTTGTGCACATGAATGAAAGAATGAATCAAGACATCGTATCATAGTTAGTTAGTTAGTTAGTTAGTCGGTCGTGCCCTTGGGTTCCGGGAAACAAACCAAAACCAAAGCTCCACTGGAGGTCGAGTTGAGTCGAGTTGAGTCGAGTCGAGTCGAGTCCGCCATCTAAGCGCATGTGCATGTTTGGGCTGGAGGAGGGACTTCGGTAACTGTGGACTCGGGCTGGTGCTCTGGTTGCGGAGCAGGTGCCGGGGTGTGTTCGGGTTCGGGTTCAGGTTGAGGCTCAGGCTCAGGCTTAGGCTCAGGTTCCCTGCCGTCTGGCTCTCCCTCACCGGGTGTGGAGGACGGAGTACGAGTAGTAGAAGAGGTCTGAGTTTCAACCGGGGCAGCCGGGGTCGGGACCTCCTGAACCGGTGGCGGAACAGTAGTAGGAGTCGTCGTCGTCGTCGTCGTCTCCTCGTAGGTAGCGTCGTAGAAGGACCCGGTGTCAAAGTATGGCCCATCAGGAATCCCAATGGTGGTCGCGTGTTGCGCCTGCGTGTGGGATTTCACGTCATGGGTATTGTCGTCCTGCGCAGGACGATTTGGGCCTTCTTGGTAGGAGGAAGAGAAGAAGTCGTTTGTGTTGAAGTCGGGGCCGTCGGGGATACCGATATCTGTGCGTGAGGCGGCCTGGGTGGCGCTGTTCATTTGTTTGCGGACGAGCGCAGGAGCCGCGAGGACCGAGGCCGGACCAACAGTCATCAGGAGGCACAGTAGTGCTGAGAGGTTCTTCATATTATGCATTAGATAAGAAAGGAAACACCCAAAAGATGGACTATAACAAGGTAAGATTGACTTGGGAGAGAGAGAAGGAATGGGTAAGATGAAAAGAATGGATGATGCTATGACAGCTTTCTTAGAATGTTGCTTGATCGAGACAAAAAGAGGCTACATACAGAGGCTACGGGCTTTTATACTGTTGGACCTGGTCCTTGACCTAGCCTCAAGGAGTGGCGCAGTGCACAGCTGCAGAAACCCTTTCCTCGCAAGATCGTACGCATGCAACTCATCAGGGCTTTGAAAGCAAGGCCGAAAGTAGATAGGCACAGGGACGGCCCCTTTGGTACCAGGATCTCTGGTGGGAACAAGTGGCTCACTCTGTCCGAGACTATCTCTGTACACACGTACCAGCTCCTAAACAACACCCAAGTAACGAGATACATTATGTGGTCCGAGAGCTACAGTGGGCTCCGAGTTGATGCAAGGAGCTACGGAGCTATCGAGGATACCAGACCAACAGGAGAAAATAAAGGGGTCTGCACTGCTACAGTCAAGGAGCAAAGGGGTGACCAGAGACAGTTTTCGGATTGATTTCTGCAGGTAACACATGGTCATCATCTGTACCAAATTATTCAACGATATCAGCAATCATCAGAGTCATCATTCATAGTATCCATCCGCCCAGGAAGAAGAAGAAGAAGCAAGCAGGAGTGGTAGTCGTGGCAGTTTTGAGAAGCGCAACAAATAGAAACCTGGAGTCCCAGCCTGTAGGAACAAATAGATCCATCTGAAAGAAGAAGTACATAAATATGGAAACCCAATATTCACTCTATAAAGATTTCCCAAATGCAGTACCAAAATTTGTAGTGTTTTTGAATTTGATTTCCAACTCTTGTTCACCATGACCAGCAGTAGGCGCAACCTCTGTGTCGTCCCCGTCGGTGTCTTGTGATTCTGTCCTGCGGTGTCCTAGGATCAGCCTCGCCTGATTAAGAAGCCTCTGATCAACTTCCTGCAGAAAGTCGTCGTCGTGCTCCCTTTCGTTTAGTAGGGATAAAGGCCCTTTAAGGGCTGGATCGTCTGGCAAGTCTGGCAGGTCGGAACCCCCCGAGAAATACGAACTAGAGTTCTCTGCCGGCTGTTGGACGCGAGTCGCGGAGGGGGCAAGGGGGTCTTCACTCTCAACAGAGGGACCTTCAGTAGGGGACGGTTGCTCAGTGTCCACATCCCGATCGATGACAGCCATTGGGGTGTGTCCTGCATCCCTGACACGGTTATTTTCTGGGGGGCCTAGCTCCGAAAGCTTTAGCTTCAAGCTGTTGCGATGCTCCCCAGGAGCCCTCTGTTGGGACGAAACCGAGGGAGAGGTCTCACGAGACGACGGCGATGGCGGGGTCATGACCCGGGCAACGATTTCGGGTGGTAGCGCCGAAGACTTGAGGGTAATTCCGTCCAATGTACTATCGAGTTTCTCTATCGGCACTGGTATACTCGTAGATTCGATAGCATGAGATTTGGGGGAGAGCGCAGCGTCTAGGGACGGCGCAGCCAATATAGGATTTGGCCCTTGCTCCAGAGCTGTTGCTGATTGACTAAGGTGGTGATCCAATTTCCCCGTATCGGGAAATACTCTTGTGGGCCGGCTCATGGGGAAAGACCCCTCCCAAACCTGGGAGTTCATGGTCGGCGCAGTGTGGTGGGCTGGATCAGGTATCGCACCGGTCGCAACGGTTGTCGCGACACCCCTGCTTTTTAGCAGCGACTCAAGCTCTTTGATTCTTAGTTTCAGCAATTCCCGCTCCTTCGCCCATAATAGTCGTTCCTCCGCAAAAAGGGTCCTTTCATGGTTGAAGCTGATCCGTTGGCGATCGAGGACCGACCGGGACTGTTCGAGGTATGCGATCGCAAGTGTGGGGATGGACTCTCCCTTCCCTTCAAGCGTCTGCGCATAGTCTGGGTCCAAGGTGGGATGTGCATTTGGTACAGACTGGGAACGTCGGATAGGGGTAGCTGTGGGAGAGAATCGCACCTCCTTGTACAGGCTACCGTGCCCATTTGGGAGCTTGGTGGAAGTGGCGGACTTCATCACCGGTGCTTTACGCTTCAAAGGGGGGGAAAAGGGGGCAGGAGGTTCGGCGACTGAGACGATCCAAGGGGCAGTTTTGCTTTGCCGCTCATAAATGAATAAACCCAGGGAAGGAGTGGACAAGAGGAAGAGTGAGGCGAAGACGAGATGGTTGTAACTATTGGAACAATTGTCAGTTCGGAATTTCTGCGCCCGAGAAGAAGCCTCAGCCTCGACAGCTCTCTGGACCTTTGGCGGGGTGATCGAGGGTGGAGAACAATTCTGTCAGAAGCTCTCAAAAGGACAAATTGGATTCGAACCAAGGATCCATTCCCAGGAACCAACGTACCACTAGATGCCAACTCACGAGCCAGTGGAGGACCTGCTGGATCAGTCAATCAAGGGTAAAAAGCAGGCATCCAAACATCGACGGACAAGTGGGCGGAGATGCGCTTGACTGCATGAAGAGGAGAGGCTATGAATGACACGTCCTCTGGGTAATCGTGATAAAACAACCGACGATAATATACGGTATAATCCAAGGGTGACGATTGCGAGAAGGTAAATATAGATGGGACATCGAAACAGTGAAAGGGGGAAACATGAAGACTATATATCATTATTTCGTAAATATTACAAATCCTCTAGAGCTAAAGATTTGCTCCATACCGTATATTATGGTATGTAGGGTAGCTTGGGGCCGATCACAAGATAGGCATGACGTTGTAGGATCCTATCGCTGCATCCGCAAGATTTATCAAGACCAATTCTATCCGAAAGGACAGAGGGAGATAGATCTTCGCAGTGGAGGAGTCGTCTGGGTCCATAAGCGTCGGACCACTGGAGGGTGGGTGGTGATCACATCCGAGGCCACTGCACCATGAGAGAACTCAGTTCCCCATGACATACATACTGTCAGAACCGAGTGCTGGAGATCGATCTCGAGTTGTATCTCTTCTTCCGGCTTCTGAATCCCCCCGAAGCAGCAGCAACCCTCGTAACACAACATAGAGTAAATCTTCAACAGCCAAAGAAAAAAAAAAAAAACAAAAACAAATCCCATCAAAACCCCTTTCCACGAAATGACATACATACCAAAGCTGTGAGCAGGGATTGGGGGATTGGGGAACCCTAGTTCTTATTCCCTGGATGGAGACGTGCATGGGATATCTCTAGCTCCTCCACGCCAATCTCACAACGTCATCCTGCAGATTGCACGCCACCAGTAAGCCACGCTTTGACGGGTTCGACTGAATTCTGTGTTTCCCTGTTCGCTCTTTTTGGGGGAGGAGGGGGGGGGGGGGGGTTGTCCTTCACTAGTAGTTAGAATCAGGTATAGAAGTCACTTTCCCAAGAAAAGCAAACAGGAAGCAAAACTTACTAGATTTTGAGGACATCAACAAGCCAGCACCTCCTCCGTTATTGCACCAAAAGCCCCCGTGCTCTATACTGACCAGCTCTCCCCCCCCTTGAACAAGGCAAGAAATCCATCTCCTTCTGTAACCCCCCAAACACCATCTCCAAATACCCAATCCCACGGACCGACAAGTCCCGCTCTGCCACAACCGTTGTAGCCGCACAAGAGGCAAAGCAAAACCGCGGATCCAGATAAAAAACAACGTCAGACCAATGCGGCAATTTCTCCCCCAGGATGCTCGCGGCTCGATTATACTCGGCCCATGTGCGCTTGGGCGTCCCCGCCTGTGAATGGACGAAGAAGTAGATCTCAAACCCCACGCTGCGGATCCGATTGCGCGCCGTGGGACTGAGCATGTCGAGGAAAGCGCCGAGGTGGTCTAGATTGAACGAATTCAAGAAGAACAGCGTGTACCGGGAGTAGAGGAAGTCTTCGACTTCGTCGTGGATTTGGTGGTTGATGAAGAGCAGAGATCGGACTTGGCCGTTTTCGCCGACCCAGTTGGGACACATCGAAAGCGCGCGGTAGCGGCCGCGTGTGGTAAATGTGTTTCCGTCATCATTGACAACGATCATGGGGCGATCGGTGGTGTATTTGTTGGGGACTGCCACAATGTAGTCGTAAATCATGAGACGGAGCTCTAGAGGGAGGTTGAGCAAGGGCGCTGGTGGTTGCGGCTTGGTGACTATTGCCATTGCTTCCAAGGGTGGTGGTGGTGGTTGTTTGTGAGAAAGTACTTGGTAGTTCGAGTACTTAGCTAAGCTCGTCTCCCAGCTTGTTCAGGAGGTTTTGGATTGTGCAAGCATCAGCAAGAATGTAGCTGGCGATCGACTTATGCCTATAAGCAAGTAAAGGAGTATCAGGTGACAGTGAATGGTTTTGTCGTTGGTTTCATGTCATATCGGGCAATCCGAAAGCGCATCAGAAATTGACAAGTATTCCCTAGCGACAGCAAATCAATCAATCCATTCGAGAACGTGAAATTAAATAATGACCTGGATCAGCCCACCTTCATATCTTCTCAGTCGGTATCAAGGCTGATAAACAACGCCCAGTGAGCCGGTCCGCAAAGCTATTTATTGTTACGACTCGGAGGTAGCCGAATCGAGAACTTTATAGCCGACATGCGCAATGAGGATGATATGATGCTTACGGACGATCCCACAATAGCTCATATTCGAGCTTGGCTGAGCACATCTTGATTTTTTAATGAAACAGTAAGATACAAAAGGAGCTTCCCTCCCCTCCCCCCCCGGTAGTAGACCAAAATTCATATCATTTTCGACCTCTCTTCGATCGAGGGATTTATCAAGTTCGTCTATAAACACCTAGTGACCAGGCACCGCGTAGCACTGCTAGGCCCCAAGCCATCCCGATGCTATCTCGTAGAACGTTTAGCTTGCTTCCCTTGACTTCTCGCCAGCAGACGGGGACCTCTGCAACAGGGATTTGGGCAAATTCAGCCAGCATGAGCATCTCGACGTCAAAAATCCAACCCTCCGAATGCATGTGCGGGATAATGAAAGGGAGCGACGCTCTAGAGAACAACTTGAATCCACACTGGGTATCTTTGATGGTGGCCGTTTTGGAAGGCGTCATAAGCCAGAGGATTAGATGAAACGAGTGCATCAAGAAATTACGCAGTTTTGAGCGCTGTAGAATCACGATTAGTTTTCGGGGCCTTCTGGGCAAATCGGAATCAAAACTTACCTTGACGACGGCCTCGCTTCCAACCATATGAGCTCGAGAGCCAACCGCAACACCGCGTCCATCGGAGTCCTCGATCTTCTGACACGCCGTGACAAGTTTTCCCAGGTCCTCAAAGTTGGTTGCCCCGTCGGCGTCTGCAAAGATGACATACTGGCCACGAACATGTCTCATTCCGTGGGTGACAGCTCCGCCCTTGCCTCGATTCTGCGCCAGCGTAACCACGCGAATGGTCCCAGGAGGGATGTGAACGCCCTCCTGTGTTCCAGGCGTCCAGGGACCGGCATAGCCTTTCGGATGGAGTGAAAGCTGGTGGTCTCGCGCAAAAGAAAATGCCATTTCTTCTGTACTGTCTGTAGACCCGTCCGAGACAATGATAATTTCCCAGCCCTTATTGCTGTGGATCGTACCGTTTGCTGCGTGGCCATTTGCATGTCCATTGGTAGCTGATTTCCGTTGCCGAATTGCTTTCTCTTCAGAATCCCTCAATGTTCCATACATCCGTTCTAGATAATTGACCGCCTCTTCTAACATCCCACCTAGACGGGTTTCTTCATTATACGCTGGTATGACCAAGGACATGAATAGAGATGCATCTTCTATGGTCGAGGAGTTTGGCAGACGATCGGCGCGTTTCTCGCCGTCCAGAGCATCGTTCCAGCAGGGTAGTGGTTGGGGCTCAGTGACCGATCCGTCTTCTGTGATGGTTCGATATTTTTTCTCTTCTGGTAATGGTTGCCGTGGGACTGGGGCGACTGATGAGAGGAAAACGTAGAGCTAAAGAATCTCGAATCAGCAACGCTCTTTGTTGAAGCTAGTACAAGATTGGAAGGGAAACCCCATATCATAAACAAAGCCCAGAGTCTGGCACATACAAGGACAACTAATCCAATCGATGTCGTGGCTAATGCGACCAGAATGACGTAGACAGGAACACTGGCAATGAGCTCAGCGCAATGGACGCAGACTTCGGATAAAGCTGGGTTCACCATGGTCAAGGTGATTAACAGATATTAAGGGGGAGGTTAACGGTATGCTCTGGATGTGAGGTGAGCAGGATTGTCGTCGATAACTGGTGGGAAATAAGCACCGGAAATGCTCTCACGGGACAGAGACAATCCGTTGTTGGCCAGCCATGCGATGCGGACTCTGTCGCCAAATGATTAACAAGGGCAGGATGAAAATTGGCATGCGATGACCATGACGAGGAACAGGCCAGATTTGTCAAGAAATCCACGCGGGGGGGAAGAAGGGAAGAGGAGGGAAAAGACGACCCTCGGGCAGCGTGTCTCTCGCCAGCTTGTCCTTTCGGTTGGTCCTTGGCGGGTCATGATACTGCGCGAGAAAAGAACCTCCCCGTTCCCCCCACCGCTAAGAAGTCACTAAATGCCGCCATCGTGCAAGTCTATTTTAGTTCTCCGTTACAGAGGGGTCGAGGACTAATAGTAAGAAGCACGTAAGCTTAGTTTTCCGTTAACATTTAACTATGACTGTTGTTGTTGAATCAATCCCCCAAAGTCTATAGATGGCGTAGAATGGAGGTCATTGAACTCTTGAGAGATATACACGAGAATTGCTCCAATGGATTAACTAGAATTTTCCGATGGGGTTCGGTTATCCATTTGCTATTCTGTCTACTAATGGCTAAAGCATTTCGGAGCTGCCTAAACGCCCATTCCGAAATCGTCCACTCCGCTCAGGTATTCACATGGGTGGTGGACGGTATTGTACAATCCTACCTCCTAGGTAGATACTTCTATCCCAGCAAGGATACGTATATACAGGTGCAGACAGGTGCAGAGTCGCAAGCCTGCCCTGCCTTGGATTTAAGCGATCTCTGTCGCCTTCCACGTGGGTCTATACAATGGTATAGACTCTGAACCAATAAAATATCCTCCACCCGCCCTTCAGCTGCGTGATTGGTCGCCTCCGGTCATTTCACAGTATTGCTGTCTCAATAAGCAGATGGCACGGAGTCATGTATAATTTGTCAAAGGCCCTTTGAAAACCCGTACAATTAGGCATTAAAGAGAGGGCCAATGACCTGCTCACCGGAAAAATCGGAATCTGCCAGCTGGGTTAGGTATCGTGCATTTCCACATCGGTGATGGGCCTCTTCGGTACACCTTTACCGTAAAACGGATGGTGTTGCTGGGCCAGAGTGTCCAGTTCTGAGGCGAAGTCGGTGGCGGAGAAGTTTCGGCTGCTGGCATCGTAAGTGATCCAACGATTGAACTACATGTCATTAGTATTCTCTTCGCACACCCCCTTTTCGCCTTCGTTTCTCTGAGACGCACCATAGCAAGCCTAACTCCAAGCCATAGACACCTGTGCATTCTGGACAGATCCCGAGACGGTGGTTCGGTATTTCGCCCATCATCCGCAGTTGGTGCATCGTTGAAAAATCCGGATGGGTAGAGATTTTGACTCCAGATTTGACCACGGACAATGAAGTCCTCAGGAAGCCATTTTTCTTCGTCGGAAATTGGGAACTCAGATCCTTCGATGAGCGTGAAGTCGGTAAAATCGCGAATCAAAGTATTGAGGAAAGCGGCAACTTGCTTCCACGGCACTACAAGCTCAACATGCTTGATGCTGTTTGAGGTGCGCGATAGACACCATAAGAAAGCAAGAGACACGTGGAACGCCGGGTAGATATTCGTATCGCCCACTTGGTCCAGTATGACCGAAAATGTTTGGAATGATAAGCAAGAGCCGTAAAAAATGAGCTGTGATAGTGTCTTGGAATCTCTGGAAGCAAGAAAATCAGCTTCGATGGTTTTAAGTTCTCTAACGTGGGTCCAATGTCTGTGAGAGGCGATGTAGATGTCTTCCATGGACGCCGGATGGGCAGGTCCCTGGAGGAACTCGGTGGGTAAGAGCGCGTTGGTTGCGCCATACTCAAGGACCGATGCAAAGTTACAGGACACAATATAGACGCCTTGCATTTTAAAAGCTGGGCCCGTTCTACCGATATACTGCTCCAGGAATGAGAGGAATTCGGCGCATGTCCCCATAAAGGTATCTGAAGCATCGCGAGTAAACATATAACCATGAGCTGCCACGAATGCTGTTACCATCTCGGGAAGACGGTGAACTGTTCTAGGGCCCCCCTTTAAGAGTGGATTGAACAAGAGGAATATACTTTCCCGAGTACCCGCAAATGAGTGCACATTGACCAGAGATTTTGTGTAGTAGAAAAGCTGTTGCACAATGTCCGGCCGGGCTAAAACCGCGAGATGATGCTGGATCCGACCAACATCGGGGTTTCGGTCGGCAGCTTTGTTGTACCAGTACCTTGCCACACCGGCCCAGACTTCACGCTCGCGAAAGTCCGTTTCTTCGACGGCCATGCGGTACCTTGAGAGATCTCCAAGGCACTCAATCCAGGTCTCTTCAAACGAGGGAACGGTCTCTAATAGCAGAGTCATCATAGAATAAGCCAAATAGATGAAAGTCAGCATGTGCTCTAAGGAACCAGGGAGTCGGTGGCGCAGTAATTCGAGGAAGGCGTGGATTCCATAGCGCCACATTCGGGCTGGCATCGCGTACTTCTCCGATAGACGTTTTAAAACAGGGCTCGCGGATGGGTGTTGAGAAGCTAGGAAGAAGTCGTGATGCTCCTGTAGCAAGGTTCGATGCAGGGCAATTAACGCTTGCCATTGCTGATTGGATAACTCGGCTTTCGATTGGGATTGCTGGCGGTCGATCTCCATGCATTTCTTTTCCACCATGACTAGTCCGGCATAGATACCTCGAATTTCATTAATCAATTGCTCTTCTGTTATAGGATGAGTTTCTGGTTGTGGTAGGATCGCATAAGACGCTGTACCTCCGGCTACCGCAAATACTCCTCCAGCGGATTTCTGATCATTACTCAAATGCCCCGCAGACTCCTGGCCATCGCCCAGCCCCTCCGTGGATTCGCCCGAGGCCCTAGACAACGAGCCCATTTCGTCCTGTCTGGCGCTCAGGGTAAGCGGAAATCTTTCGTCATTCGAGACGGGACTAGAGCGGATTATGTGCTGTTGTAGTCGTGACGGTCCGCCATCGTGACCGATAAATTCCTCAGTGGAATTGACGGAATATCGCAGACGCGACTCGCTACCCCCGGGACTAGCTTTCGCGGCTCGAATTTCCGCTGCTGCTCGGCTCATGGGTCGACTAAGCGCGGTGCCCGACCCAGGGTGTTGTTGTATCTTCCGTGTTTGGCGACGTCCTTTGAGCGTGTTCGACCACGAAAAGTCGGCAGCCGGGTCGCTCACCGCATCAGAGCCATAGTCATCCGGCACATCGGTCGAGCCAGCTCTCTTGTGCGAAAACGAAACGCTGGCGGAATGATGCGCACGATTGGAGGTCATAGATCCATCGTCTGACAAAAATGCCATGCGCGACCTCCTGATCAGTCAGTTAGAGGGCTTCTGGATTCTAGAAAGAACAAGAGCAGACAGAAAACGGTCCGTACCGTCTTGCGGGTGCTGAACGGGGGGAAGAGAATTCGTCTGGGGGATTATGGAGCTACTCACTTGGGAGAACCGTCCCCCGGGTCCGCCTCGGGAGAGCCCATAGGCTCAGAGTCTAGCTGCTTGCCGTCGTGGTAGTCCCGATGTCGAAATGGAAGTGTTTCCCGACTGGTACTAGCATTTTCGTCGCTCATCGTACAGGTTGCTGTAAGGTTACGTCACACGTCATCTGATTCGATCAGTTATTGGTGCTCACCATATTATTATTATTAGAAGGGGAGAGATCTAAGCCTTTGAGGAAAGATGTGGGAGAGAGGGGCGCGGAGTGGGTTAATATGAAGAAGAAGGCCATACATACGCACGGGTACATCGGTTCTGGGGGGAAGCAAGTTGAAGCCCAATGTCCGCGATTTAATCGAGGGGCTCGGAAAGTAAATCGGCGAGGCTCCTGAGCGGTCGTATAGACGTTCCAATCGGTGAGGTTGACAGTGATGACATCAATGCGAGCAATGAGATCTGACTGGCGCGCGCTGTCTGGAGATCGAAAGCAATCTGGAGATGCAACACGTTGAAACTGAAAGGTACAACGGGGGTAAATTTATAGCAGGCCAGCAGATGATGACATTTAGATTTCTTAGGCAACTAGTCTCGTCTCTCTGCCTAGAGATGACCGGAGCAAATCAGTTCTTGGAACTTGTAACGTTAAATTTGGGAGATGAAAGGATTCCACCTGCGTCTGTGAATGGACCAGTTGAAAAAAAAAATTCCCTGACAAATTGATAGATGCTGAGGGGCTGAAAGTGCAACAGGAATGATAGAAATACTTAAGTACCTAGTACTCGGACGGGGTGGCAGGAGAGAGAGAGAGAGAGAGAGAGAGAGAGAAAGAGAGAGAAGAGCACGGTTGGGTGTTTTCTGGGAGAGGGAATCGTAATCTTGATACCGTAATATTCCACCGTGCTACCTAACCTAGTAGTACTGAATTACTAGTACCTACTAAGTACTACTTCGCAGTAGGAGTAGCACTGGCAGTATATAAGGTAGTTAGGTAGTAGATAGGTGATGTTAAATAATAAGAATCAGAAGAATCCTCATTGATGGTAAGAATCATCCAGTCTGCTTGTTACATAAGGAGGACGGGAGCCTGATGATTCCCACCCTAGTTTAGTAGTTGCCTTGTTGAATTTGTCCCACATCAACCTTACGATAGTTAATAGTTTAACTAATAATAATGAAAGAAGAATATGATCATTATTAATATTGCATGGATCAAGCTCTATCCGTTTCAATGTGCCAGCCTGCATTAAGTTCCTCTGATAAGCTCCTGGAGAGTACTATTTCCTAAGTAATAGTGTTTGTATTTGCACAGACAGGTTGCCACAACAGACATTCTCCATCCAAGCTAGTGGTTGCCTTGTCCATGCGACCCATTGGATGCATCATGAAACGTTCAAATTCCCGACTCTGAACCTCCAATTCCTAATGAGCTCCTCTACCCACAGTGAGCTGCGTCCCCTTAGGGACCTACCGACCCACTCACTCACCACTATCAAATACAACATCATGGTCATCGTGGTAAGCTTGTCTTCGGAGGCCCCGTTGCTATGGGCCTAAATTGGCAGATATATATGCTGGGAGATCAGGGAACTAAGGTACCCTTGAAATATCAAATGAGTCCCCTCTGCTTCTCTGCGGTAAGTGATCCTTCACTTCCTTGCGGCAACAAGCTATGCTAATGCAATGTCATGGATAGCGCGCTTGATGTGAACAATAAAAATGTTCACGGCCTAGCTCTACACAAGCGCTGAGGGCTGCACAGTATGAAGGCACTCTCAGCGGCAATTTTTGGAACTAGAGTTGCCAATCCATGCAAGAATTGCCAGTTTTTGATTGAGCTACATGGAGGGGATTTGCAGAACTTCTGTCGATTTGCTGGGTCTGCCGGAAAACAATTCATGACTAGGGATGGCATCCTCGTCCGGGATAATCAAGAACAAAAGTCAATTCTGGATCCAGCACCACGCTAAGTAAGATAGAACAGGTAGAACCATACCGGACTCCAAATTTAGAAGTTGAAATACACTGGAAATTTGAGGTAAATAAAACAGACAGTAGAATAAAGAGAGAAGGGAAAGGGAAAGAGAAGGACAATGAAGTAGAACGTAGTAACCAGGGAATTTATCACCCGATATTTATCATTCGCTGTAACCATTAATGTTGAAAAGAAAACAAAAATCCTACCCCTGACTTTGTGAATGACTTTGTGAACCGTAGCGCCGTTAGATGCGATCGTAGCCTGTAACCGTTGAAGGAAAGAAATTTCACTGGGTTGGAATATGCATAAACTGTATGAAGAGGTGCATGAACCTTGTTTTTTTTTAAAAAAAAAAAATGTTCATCCAAAGAATCATGGAAAATAAATGCGATACTAAGCTAGTTAGTTACCGGGCAAAGGTCGACAGAGCAAAGACGACGGACGTACCTTTTGTTTCACGGGTTCGCGACACATAGGACAGTTAGCCTTCCCCTTGGGAAACCCTTGAATCGACGGGATATGCTGGTCCGCACACCAGCGGCAGAGAATGGCGTGTCCACAAGGAAGGACCACGGTATCAACGAGCTGGCTCATACAAATCTTGCATTCCAGGTTGAGGGTCATCTCTTCGGTTTCTTTGGGCTCGGGGCGACTCTCGTGCGGAGCATCTAGCTCTTTCGGCGGAGGGGATGTCCCATAACCATCAAGGTCCGAGGCATAGCGCGTGCCCTGAATTAACGTCTCCTCATACATCTGTAGAGCTTGGGCTCCACCAGCGCGCATACTTCGAAGCAAACTCCTTAACTGGGCACTACGGTTTGACGCTGCATGCTGGTGCTGCCGATGTGTGATTTGTCGATCCGAATTCCCTATGCTCCGAGTCGCTGGCCCAGTGCTGGCAGGTATGACTGCTGAATCTTGGCTCCCCTGTATCTGTGAAGATGGCTGGGGTGAATGTGCGGCACTGGCGGTGGCTGTAGGTCGAGATCTCGCACGCACATGCTGGGATGCGGTGCGAATTGGTTGCGTCCCAGATGCAGTGATGGGAGCCGAAGCCAAGCTACTAGTCCGCTGGTGCCGTCTCTGGGGACCAACGCCGGATGGTGTCACTCCAGACTGGGGAAACGGGGTGTAAGGGCGACTCTGTTGAATTTGCATCAGTGGGTTAGGGGCCGGAAGCAAGCCTATGGCCGGAAGCGGGTTTGATGCAGCGATGGGCTGGGTTTGGGTTTGGGACTGTTGCATTCCCTGTTGGATTTGTGTCGGCACACTGTGCATATAGGACTCGGCAAACGGTTGGATTTGGTTGAGCGATAACGACTGGGCAGAGGCTTGAGGATAGTAGTATGCGTTCTGAGAGGGTGTACTGGTAAATTGCGGTGCAGTTGCAGGATACGGAAAACTTGACCACTGGCGGCCGATCTCTCCGTACTGGTTCGAAGTGGTGGTATTCAGACTGAGAGAATCGTCGAAAACATTGCCTGTGTTTGTAAAGTTCCCGTTATTGCCCATAGAAAGGGCTGAGTAGGCAGAAGGTTGGTTGCTCATGACAGATAGCAGATTTCCATCCGGGGTAAAGGAGCCGCCGTTGTACGTATTGGTAAAAAGATCTGCTTAATTCCCAGTTAATAGATCGGACCCAGAGATTTTACATTTTGCCTACCTTGTTCATTAGGATTCGATGTATATCCCTGGGAGGAAGATTGATTTGTGGACTGCGTAAAAGGGTCGGTACCTGGAATGCTATAGGCGATAGAACCAGGTGCTCTTGAGCCAGGAAGCCCCAGGCCAGGGTCCTGCATCGATGACTGTTGCAGCCCTGCGTCCATATTCACGGTTCTAGTCCCTGGGAAGATGTCACGATATCGAAGGCGACAGGGTAGAACCCCCACGGAGAGGAACGCAAGGGATTCCTGTAACTAGGAGTTTGAGTGAGGGTTAAGGAGATGCGAAGTTGAAGTGGAAAAGGCTGGGGAAGGTGAGGTGGTTCTGAGGGAGAGGCTTCCTGACACAAGGTCTAAGAAACGAATTCACTAAGCGAGCTTAGAAACGTCAGAACACAATGCAGGCAGGTTGACCCCCGTTGCCGGAGATATCCGTTAAAATAGTTAGGATTTGCACGGAGATGAGGGCAGACTTGACACATGCGAAGGCTCTAATGGCAACACCTGGTTCAAGGTTGGTGCTATGGGCATTGGTGAAGAGGCCCGGTTGCCGAGAAGAAATTGAGGGTTGACTGCTGAGATTGAAAAAAATCGACAGTCGAGTCTGGTGGGGGACAGTCGAGGGCTTGTTTCTGGATGTAGATAGGATGCAAGATCGAGGAAACCCAGGCCAACATGATTTGCAGCTGATATATTGTCCAGAGACCTGATAGATAGAGAGAAAACAAGGCCTAGTAATACCTTTAAATCCCCTGGCACTCTCTGTAATAACACCGCCCACAAGGCTGACAGCAAGTGAAGCAGTGATATGATGAATTCAGACAATGGAGGGTGAGGCTAGTTTCAGGCCCGTAACCGGGATGGATTCATGAATTAGGAAACAGGCAATCAACCTCCAGACCAGATGTCACAGGTTGGCTACTAGTGACAGGAAAGCCTTGGGGCCATGATGCTCTAGCAGGCGAACAGATCCTGGGGATAGAAAGGGAATTTGGGTGATAAAAGGGGGGAGGGGGTAAAAGGCCCAGAAACAAAATAGTAAGAACCGGATCTGCTACACCAACAACAAGAGACAAACAGGGACGCTCCGGCTACAAAAAGCAGACAAGAAGATCTCCAGCAGGTTTTTTTTTAGTATTTTTGATCTGCTTCTTTTTTCCCGTACCTGTAGTTATTGTTTTTTTTTGTTCCCTTTCTTTCTATCTTTCTCTCTCTCTCTTTCTTTGTTATTGTGGACTGATTACCTCCAGGTCGACAGAGTGTGAGTGGTTAAAGAGGTCTAGAAAATAGTGTGTACCAGGCCGAGGAAAGAGGAGCTTGTTAAATTAGGAAGAAAAGGAGACACAAACGTGACTGTCGAGAGAGGGGAAAGAAAGAAAGAAAGAAAGAAAGAAAGAAAAAAAAGGAGCAAGGAAGAGGGAGAGGGAGGGAGAGAAGAAAGCCAAAAGAAGCCCAGGTAGGAAAGGGAGCTAAGATACTCGAATGCAGCATGAAATTAAGACCATCCAGTAAGTTAGGTATCGGAATCCATTAGCTGGACGTGGCAAGGTGCAGGGGGAGGGAGGGGTGATCTATCTAGTAAGCCGGGAGTAAGTACAAATACCAGTATTTAAGAAGGGGGAAAGAAAAGGATACGAAGCTTCCAACGCAGATGAACCGGTGGATGTGGATGTAGATGTAGAAGAGGAAAAAGAAAAGGAAGAAAGGAGAAAAGTCCATGATCTGATGATCTGATGATCTGACCCCGCAGTGATACAGACAGAATACATTAGAGACAATGAATGAAGGCATTAATTCAGGTACTTTCCCAGCTAGGAACTAACTTAATATGATTCTATTGTCTATTGTAAGTGACAGTGGAGCATTCCAAATATGGAGTAATGATAGATTATATTAAATTAAATATTTCTCTTTAAGCCTTGTATGAAGCCCAAGCTAATAAATAATTATCATCATCATCATCATCTTAACAATTCCTGAATTTGTTGGTTCCAGAATCCGGTCGTGATCATCCTTTCAACGTCATCATCATACGGCGTTCATTAGTAGATTGTCTTTAGCTCGTCTCTTGGTTCCTCTGTCTTCCTTTCCCGACACGGCCAGCTCCCAGAGTTCATACATAACCCCCGGGTGGTCTGATAGGTCTGTCTCCATCAAACTTGTTTCTCGACGTCCAACCTGCTGGGATCACCAAGACCTAAACTGGACCTTGTCCGGTATAGCCCCCTGACACGTCCTCGGGAGGGGAAAGAGGCTAAGACCCTTGACCTATGATCCGGAGACCCAAAGTGTGGCTGTACGCGTCCAGATTTCTGCGACCAAAGCTACCAGTTCCGGCCATCAACCCGCCAATGTCGACCTCTGCCAAAATTTCGGGCAACGGAATTAGATCCTTGCCCATCATCTGTCCGCCAGATCTTTCCAAGGAGGATTTGTTAGGATTTCCAGCGTTCCAGATCTGGTTCTCGACCTTGCAGCGCTCCTTGAGCCGGCAGCACAATCCCTCGCACGAATTCTACAGCGACCCTTACGTGCTTCGCAAAATCCATGTCCAGGCAATCGATCGCTTCGGTGGGGGGCGGTTGGGGTTCGTGAAACTCAAGGCCGATGTATCCAATTCGGGTGGCGAGACTCTGCCCGGAAGCGTGTTTTTACGCGGTGGAAGTGTGGGAATGCTGGTAAGTTTTCGTGATTTTATTCCCATCGGATTAATATATGAAGGGTGCATCCTCATCCTGGCTATTGCCTCGTTATTTAGCTACTCCTCCAACCGGATGACGTTCTACCAACATCAGAGGTTGATAAATGGGCGATCCTGACGGTACAACCCCGCATCCCGGCTGGATCGCTTGCGTTCTCGGAAATCCCCGCCGGCATGCTTGATGACAGCGGATCCTTCGCGGGAGGGGCAGCAAAGGAAATAGAGGAAGAGACCGGCTTGAAGATCTCCCAGAGCGAACTGCTGGATATGACCTCTATTGCCCTACAGTCCGTTGAAGAACCTGAAGACGGCGAGATCCTCCAGAAAGGAATGTATCCATCAGCGGGGGGGAGCGACGAGTTTATCCCTCTGTTTTTGTGCGAGAAACGAATGCCACGGAAAGAGATCGAGGCATTGCAGGGCAAACTAACCGGATTACGAGACCATGGCGAGAAGATCACGCTGAAGGTCGTACCGCTGAAGGATCTGTGGAAAGAAGGGCTACGAGACGGGAAAACGTTGGCGGCATGGGCATTATATATGGGGCTTAAAAAAGACGGCAAAATCTAGGACGAAGAGAGCAGGATGCTTCGATTCCTGGGGTTTGCGATTGATGGCGGCTAGGCCTATCGATCCGCCGTTGCGGACACCCTTCGCCCAGAGGAACACATAAGCGCAAGTATATTCAAGTCTAACGGTCTATGGAAACACGGTTCGAATCTCCCTCAGAGCTTCAGCTTTTTTGCCAGTTCGATCCCCTCAGCTATCGTACCCACCCGGGCGTCGATGGCATACCCCTCGGCTTCAAGCTTCTTCATTTCGTCAAATAAGGTGGCGAGAGGAACCGTAAAGCACTCGATGAACTCGTTATCCTCAAGCTCTGGTTTGGGATTCTGGTTCTCCGGCAAGGACATGTCGACACGGACATGGACCATGTTGAGGTTTGTATTGCAGAAGCCGGGGTCTGGCTTTGGGTCAATGCCATCCAATGTACCGGGGATATACTAGCAAATACGACTCACCGTTATACATGACAGTGCTTGTTTGTTCCGCGACACCGACGTAGCCAGTTTCCTCTTTCAGTTCACGCACCGCGCACTCCTCGACTGTTTCACCAGCATCGATGAGACCTGCTGGTATTTCAACAACTACCTTGTCGATGGGCGGCCTGTACTGTTTTTGAAGGAGGAGCTCGGGCCCTGTGGTTTTGTTTAAGATGGTCACAATTCCAACTCCATCAATTTCACAATCTGCAGGTCGAGTCTAGGATGATTAATCGATAGATTAGTAAATGGCCTGATCAACCGCGGGTTCTAATCTGTGTGGTTGGCCGCGAGTAAGGGTATGATTGGCCTTGTGTTTGCTCCCAGCAATCAGCAAGGACATAAATGACTTTCGGAAAAAGGAAAGGGGGGTAAAAAAAAAATATCAATGATAAAAAAGAGTCTAAGACAGAGACAGACGCAGCGAGGTCGAAACCATCACATCGAGTGATAAGGAGGCCTACCTGTCGTTCTGCTGATTCCCAGGTTCTTTCGACGCCATTAGGATCGGAATAAGTGATCTTGACTGATCTGATCCATTTCGCCTCACTCGAATCCTATTGAAGTCAATTACGCATTCAAATCAACATGCAACACCCAGTCCATGTATTACTCGAATGCATGTAGACAGCAAACGAACTATATCAGGGAGAAATACCTACCAGGGGCTCTGTGGATAGGAACTTGGACTTTCCGTACTTCGGATCCGACATGCTAGATTTTAACTAAATCACAACCACAGAAGGGCCTATTCAGTATAGAATGGAATAATACAATCAGTGCCTACACTGTGCCGGCAAAGCATGGACCATTGGACGTGGACGTGGACGTGGACTTACCTCGGGGAAGATCTATTCTGAATCCTGTATAGAAGAAGAATGAGTGAGGGGCAAGAAAGGGGGAGGAGGGGAACTAATTCCTCCTGTGTCTTATTTTGACCGCCTCTCTTTGGAGTATGCAGGACGAAAATAGTAACAAACGTGGACATGGGAATCACCAGAATTGCTTCTTTGAGCACCAGGCGGTGTATTCTTTCTTTTTCTTTGTCTTTATAGTACGAGTATATACATAACTATGCCTAGTGGAGGTGTTAGCTACGAAGAGCTACTAATATCTGATTTATAAAGAGGCTAATTACCATATAATCTAAGTACTCGTATACTACTAGTTTAACTACCTGCTAGGATACGGAGTAAGCTAGATCGAATAAATGAGGCAGCTTTTTAAAGATAAATAGAGGCTACTGACTCTTATGTTCTAACTACTGACACATCTCCTATCATGTAAAAAAAAAAAAAAAAAAAAAAAAAAAAAAAAAAGATAGAGAAGAAAATAGACATGCTATTTTCCATAATAAGAGCACACAATACTTACAAGGGCGTAAAGGTATATACTACAATTCAACAGGATCTTGAAGCTAGCACTTTGATATAGAGTATAAGGATATTCCTTGTGGATATCAGATCAGATAAATGTGTTTTATTAATATACAGTACTACTCGGTAAGCAATTATTATATCCCCAAAAAGTCTGTATGGTTCATCAACCCAGCCAGCGAGCAAGCTGAAAGGTACCTAGGGTAGGTACCTCGCCTAGCACATCCCCCAGTCTCTAGGACTGAGACCTTGCTGGTATATATATATATAGCATACGACGCTTTACTCCCCTCCCTCCCTCCCTTTTGCTCTGCTCTATACCTAGGTCACATATATACAACCAGGACTTGAACCCCGAGGTCTTTATGTGACGAGCTATGAAAGCTTCTGATGTGTGTGAGGTGAGGTGAGGTGAGGTGAGGTGAGGTGAGGCACTGGCCCAAGGAATGGCGGGAGGTCATATTAGGCGATTGGGAGTTTCTGTCGCCGTAAGCAGGCTGTCTGTCTGTTCCCTTAGCGTAGTGTTTAGGAATAGAGGGGCATGTGGTTGTAAAAGAGCTTGGTTTGCACATACATAGTTAGGGGACTGGGAAGGCAATAATAGAACAGGCAGGCCTTGGACTAAACCTGACCCCGCTACAGAGCTATATACAACTGTTCTAACTTGCAACCTCACGCTGGAAGAACCGGGGGTTCTCCTATATTGTACTAGGTATCGTACTACAGTGGTAGAGTTTAGACCAAAGGTACTACTAATGTACTCCGTGCTAAAGACTCACATGTACCACTACATGCCTCCGTATACCTACATCAGGCGTGTGTTCGGGCCTCCCTGCATGAGAATGCTATGCTTACTGCTGTTGCTGTGGTACGTGTTTGATAGTCCCTCCCTTGCGTTACATCGAAGTTCGAATCAACGAAGCTCCCGCCTCGCAGGTTATAGCAACCACAACTACTAGTAGTTAGTGGAGCATCCGTCCCTTTGCTTAAACGTATTAATGTTGCGGCGGATCTCGGTTGGATGTCGAAGAGGACTGACCCCAGCTTCATCTTACCACGACTACGCCACCGCCCGGGGACCCCGTTGGGGCACTATTTCTGAAGAAATAGTTAGGTATGGAGAAGGAGGAATTGTGGAGAAAGGTGTTCTATTCTCTTGAAACTTAGCGCAGGCTGTAGACGCCCTATCTGGGTATCTTGGTGTCCATCAGAACCTGTCTATACTAGGAAATTGAATAATAATGCATGTATCCCGATAACTCTGCGAAATCCGGAAAAAGAAAGAAACGAGAATGTGGAGAATTGGAAAAAGAGAAGGAGAAAAAAAAAAGAGCTAGGAAAATCATTTCGTAAAGAAAGATGCGTTCGCTGTCGTAACTTCATGTAAAAAACCGTAGGAGGAACGGGTTCACAGAGCGGGAGACACTGCGCAGCTCTCAATTTCCTCCAGGCACTGGGGAAATTCATGCCACTCTCTCATGATGACCTGAGCACCAAGCTTCGTGAGTCGCTCGGCCATCTCTTCCTGCTTCTCTTGACCGGGGTAGCTTCCCACGTAACCAATGACGGCAATGTTGGCGCGGATGGCGCTCAGCGCACCGGAGATGCTGTCCTCGATAGTGACGGTCTCCTCGGCCTTCTTTCCGCAGACATCCAAAGCGTGGAGATAAATAGCAGGGTCAGGCTTAGAAGTAGGCTTGGGAAGAGAGGTTGCAGCGCTAAACACACGGTCGTAGTCGAAGTACTTGTCCTGTCCGACCTTCTGGATAGAGGCACGGACGCGACGCAGGGCAGAGGAGGAGACCACGGCGAGCCCATACTTTTTCTCGGCAAAGAGCTTCTCAAGTTCCTCAGTGGCTCCTACACAGGGCTTGGCCTTTTCAAGGAGTTTGGCGATAACCTTGTCCTCTTCCTTGGTAACATACCCTTCAAGCTCCTCCTTGGGCATTTCGAAGCCAAACTTGTCCTGGAGCGAGCCCATCATTCCGCGGAAGTTCTGTCCAACGAAGTCCTGGATCAGCTGCTCGCCAGTATAGCGAACATCAATGTTACGCGTCTCCAGGATTTCATTGGCGAGATCGGCGCAGGCCTCAAAGGCTAGCTCTTCCGAGAGAACAAGGGTATTGTCGCAATCGAAGAAAATCTCTGTGATCTACACCCCGGAGCAGATTAGTGACCCACCAGGAATATGATAGAATTGAAGGAATGCATACCTTAGGCATGGTGGATGATGTTGGAACTATGTGTGAAGTTCGTGTGGAGTCAAGATGAGAAGAGTGGATGGATGGGAGTTTGAGAGGTTGAAGGGATTGGGAAAGTGTTGGGATGAGCGATAGAGTGAGAAAAAATTGAGTATGGAAGAGGTGATGTGATGACACAGGAATTTTGAGTTGGAATGAACAACGGAACGAAGAGGCAAAAGAGGATATTTGGGTTCCTTAAGTAGATGGACCACGAGAAGAGGGGAAAAGTTGATACTGGGCAGGAGCGGGATAGCGGGGCCTTTGAGGTCATATCGTGACGTCTGCGATACTATAGTATTATACACTGTAGAATAATAACTACCTAGGTAACTAAGTAACTACAACTGCAGACAGATCTAATGATGTGAGGTACTTCGTGCAGACACTAGTTAGACTTACCTAGGAAGAAGACACTGAATGATTCTATTGAGTACTACTATCCAGAATTTACCCCTCGCATTCCTGATGATTTCCTCAGTATTACACGACAATTCCCGGGACTCTGCAGTCGGAACACGAATCCCTAGTCTGTCCTGAAGCAAATATTACTCTATCCACAGACGAAAATGAAAAATCCTTGCTTCCCATCCCAGCGCGCTTATGAGACGAACTGTAATCGAATAGGCACCCTATTGATATCACCGGAGCACTGTGTTCCAGCACCTAGGATTCGAATATATGCCTCAAGTGCTCAATCTGGTTGTAGTTTCTCTCTCTCCAGGGCTAAGCCACGAATCAACAAGAACCCTGGGTGCGCTATAACCTGATGCTGTGAGACTAGCTCTCAGTATTCCCTAGGGATTCTCCGGGGGGGGGGGAAGAGCGGGGCGAATGAGCCTGAATGCAACCGTCTCTTTTTTATTTTCATCTCTGCCTGGATCTAACTGCGAAGGTGCAAGTGCTCGGTGCAAGTGCTCGGTACGTGCATTCGACTAACACCAGTCTAATCCTTCTCGACTTAGATATTCGTATAATTGGCTCATCCCGGAGTATAGAGAGAGAGAGAGATGCTTCCCATAGGGCTTCTGACATTCTCCAGACACATGGTGGGGAGGAGGAGGAGGGAGATGACGGAGTAATCAACCATATCACAGTCTGTTATTCTCCACAGGACACCTCTGGGTCTGGTTCATTTGTCCGCCCGTTGGCTGAAGACCAGCTGGTATTGTGCACGTCTTATTGGTCCATTTCGCACCGGTGAATACTTTGGTTAAAAAAGAGCGCCTTGAACGACGTCTGATTTCGCACAGGACTGGGGTGTTGAATGGATACTGGATAGTGCTCGATATGATCATTTCTGTATAGCTGAGGTTCAAACTGCGCAAACTTGGAAATTTCCTTGTTGAGGGTTCGGATTTTGACGGGTTCTCCACCTCTCAGTGCTTTTGCCCCTTCAACCTTCTCCGTCATACGCTCATAACGAGATATTTGCGACTTGAAGAGAAACGAAGAAATCCTAGCAGACATGGGTAGTGATACTAACTTCCCCGTGTCCGTCTCGTCTCTTCATTTCCCCTCCACCACCGAGCGGTTATCGGTGTCCCAGACGCTAGCCTCGTTGCGACGATCCGCACTTTCAGTCACCAACCGACTCCGTTCGATTGAAGCTGACGCTACCTTTGTTACGGAGGTTGCGAGCCACTACGACCTGCCTCTGGTCGCCAACGAAAGATGTGGCAGCTGGTATATCCCGCCTGACTCCAAAACAGGCAGCGCGTATTTCAAGAGCACTGACGGCCATACGGGCCAGTGGGATTTCAGCTTTCGCAGACTAAACCTGCAGATTCTCCCGATTGCTCGGGAGCATGGGGGGTTAGTGAGCTCCTGCTATTGCCCTTGCCCAAAAGGCGTTCAGCGTGGTTTTTCTGCTCTAGCTAACCACCACTTACCAATGATCTGTGCAGCTGTATTATAGTGGATTCCACTCGTCGTGGCAAATGTAAGTGCCTTCGTTGCTAGCTTATGGCTGATATTAGCTTCCTCCCGTCGCTCTATCTGACAAGCTACCTTCCCCCAGTGATGCCCGATGCCCTGTCAAAAACTATTCCTATCTGGTGTGCCGTTGTGAATAGGGCACTATTCCCCTCGGAGACTGCATATCATTCCGTGAAATTCCCGCCAAACTACCTAGGGATCTCGGAAGAGTCGCAGATTGAACAAAGAATCAACGGCTTTGTCGATTCGCTCAAGGTATCTTTACCCCCAAAAGGCGGCAAAAAAAAAATGCCGCGTCAAGGCGTACACTCGACTAATCCATATCTAAGGGTCTTAAACTGGATTTGGATGAGCTTAGACAACAACTAGGGAAGCCAATTCGGCTTGCATGGGCGAATCGCTCGTATTTTCATCCAACAGACCTCCACAAGGGAAATGGCTATAATCTTTTCGTCCTATGCTCCGCGTCCAAAAGAGTCCATGGAGCGGAGATTTCAGAGGGCGGTTATATCCAGGGGGCAGGGGACGATAGTGAGGGTTGGGCTCACGGTCTAACACCACCAGTTTTCTGGGCTCACAAGTCTACTCTTCTGGCACAAGCTGAGGAAGATCTACCCGAAGTAATTGAAGATTTGCTACAGGAATACCGCAAACAGGATGTTGGCCATCAAGCGACTCTGGTTGCACCAACTCGAAACCTGTATATCAGTCAAACGAATCCGGATATTAACGAAAGCGGCCGCTACGATCTTGTCATTGATTGCAATGGCCGCCCATCGGCTGTCGAGGAAACCCCGAAACGATTGAATCTGGGGTGCGCCTCTTCGAAGCTGGGGGGTCGGGACCTGCGAAACCATTTGGACAAGGTTCGGGCTTTCATTAGGTCGCAGTTGGGCTCGGATCCATCCCAGTCCCTGCTAGTTACGTGCGAGTCAGGCAAAGATCTTTCTGCTGGAACCTTGCTGTCTATTATCTGCTTGTTCTACAACGATGCGGGTAGGTTCTGTCTCATCGAAATTATTCCGCTCCTTGCCCTTCCATGCTGACGATGCTCCAGGTGAATTCACTGAGCCGCGCGTGGACCAAGTGATTGGCAAGCAGTTCATCCGACAGCGCCTTGCCTGGATTGTCTCATCGAAGCACGATGTGAATCCTTCCCGGTCCACCCTGCAATCCGTCAACGCCTTTCTAATGCAACGGCCAGACTATTAAACTCTCAGCATTTGCATTATAATTATAATATCTAGATAGAGCGATTTATTCATTAACAACAGCTTCCACAATGGCCCCGACACTTCCCTGATCCAGTGCATTTAAGACGGCCATATCCTCGTCAGCGATGTTGAAGTCAAATACATCGGCGTTGGCCACAATGCGCTCCGGATGATCGGTTTTCGGTAGCGGAACCCACCCCTTCTGCAATGCGTAGCGTATCAGAATTTTTTGGGTTGTCTTCTGGTATTTATTTGCCAATTCGACCAGTGTAGGATCGTTGGCCTTATAGTTTCGGACGATTGGGGAATAGGCCTCGACGATGATTCCATTCTTCTTACAGTATGCGTCGATTCCCCGTTGCTGACACCAGGGGTGGAGCTGTGCGGTTCATGTCAGTGGTTGTCGTCACTGTACAGGAACGAAATATCCGCGAAGAACATACCTCGATCTGGTTGACGTGTGGCGGCCAAATTTTCGCATATGCCTTCATCTCCTCGATATGTTTCGCTCCAAAGTTGCTAACTCCGATGCTCTTGGTTCGGCCAGCCTCCAGGAGCCTTTCCAAGGCCTGCCATAGATCCTTTCGGCCCGAAGAGCCGGAGCTAGAGCTATGAATAAGAAACAGATCGACATAACCATCCTTTCCACCAATGCTATCCACACTCGCGACCAGCTTGTTATAGGTCGCTTCTGGCGAACCCGCCGGAGCAAGGATCTTCGTTGTCACGAAGATTTCGCTGCGAGGAAGACCAGAGGCTCGGATCGCGTCCCCGACCTCTTGCTCATTTGCGTAGAATTGCGCCGTATCTAGGTGGCGGTATCCCACCTCCAGAGCCTTGAGACAAGACTTTGTGCATTGCGCGGGAGAAGAACGGTAGACGCCGAACCCGAGGCGGGGGATCTTGACGGAGGAGTTAGGAAGGGGGAGGAGGTCGGTGATGGTATAGTTCGTCGACATTGCGGTAGTATCCGGTTGCTAATGGCCCAAATATGCCAACAATTACTTCGTCGGAAAGGCGATAGCAAAATGGTTGACTCGAGAACGTAGCTGTCTCGCGTGAAGAGTGAGAGGAGAGGAGAGGTGTTTTGATGGATGAGGCGGGGAGAAGATTCGGGTTGTCGCTTTGGTTCGTACCCCGCCGCCGACCATGATATCATACACCAACCCCTTCTCTATTGAAATTGCGCCATTCTTCGTGATTTCCTTCAGTTCCTAGGAACAATCATTGTATACAAGTCTTAACTCTTCTGATGAAGAAAAGAAAAATCATCCTCTATTGTCTTACCCGCCATTAATGGGTTGAAGAAGGTCCGTTTCGAGACGTTTTTTCCCCCCCCTCCGATCGAATACCACTGGCCCCTCCATAGTAGGAAGGTGACTCCAGCCACCGATTATATCCATACTAGCTCCATCGTCTTTGTTTATTCCAGACACAAAGGAAGAAACAAACTGTCCTGGATCTAGGCTGGTCTGTTACCAATCTACCAATCTAAGAGATGGTCTCCTGGTTCCTCGGGTTCCAACCCGGAAATGAGAATAGATTCCCTCGTTACAGGCACGGGGTGGCTATTCTTGCTGGAAGTATTTGATCAGTGTCTCTGCCACAATGATAAACTCACTTATTTCATCGAAATCTGCAGGCTTTATCTATCAATGCATTGTCTGTTGGAATATGCAGGTAGGTTTACATTCCTTTATATATAGTATATGCGCAACCCAGCACAATCAAAGTTAGCTTGGACACTAAATTAATCCATGCATCTTAAATATCAACAACAACTTAAAAAAAGAACAAAGAGTCCATGATAATAAATATGTAGATTAATATTCCTACCACAAACCAAAGAATGTTAGCCGGTGGTTGTTGTGGGGGTCCAGAGAAGGGGTTGTTGACATTTAATCTAGCATAACTCACCCCTTACAAAGTTAGGAGTCTTTCTTTCAACCCAAGCGGCCGAACTACATTAACTAAGACTTCTGCTTTTACACTCTTTTAGCCTTGTCTCTTGTGAAGATCCTACCCTTTTGTCGTCCTCAAATCCTCTACCGAGTAGATACCTATCCATTATCGATAGTGGTTACCTGGTCCCTGCCGACTTGACTCGCATCCTCGCTCCGATCGCTGATTGACAACAAATCTTCCTCCCCTCCTCTCTGAATGTTATCTGTTTTCACCACCCTGCATCATGTTGTCGGTTGAGAAGTCGTGGGTTAATGTACAGCAAAAGACCTTCACAAAATGGTCCGTATTCTTTTCCTTCCTCCCACCCCTCTTTTCCCTTGCTCCCTTCGCTTCTGCTTGGTCCTTGTGTTTTGTAGTCCTTCAGGCCCTCACCTTGGCTCATTATTGGGACTGAAAGTGCTAACATCTTGGGTTCCTGTAGGCTCAACGATAAGCTAAAAGTTCGAGATATCTTTGTGAACGACTTGGTGCTTGAGCTTTCCAACGGTGTAAGTGCATTCCCCTTATCTCTCTGCGAGGCTATTACACCCAAAAAAACAGCATTTAGTCATTAACTCGACTCCCGTTCCCCCGATCTTAGGTTATTCTTATCCATCTCCTCGAGATCTTAGGCGGAGAATCGTTGGGCAAATATGCTGCAAACCCGAAGCTGCGGGTGCAAAAGTTTGAAAATGTCAATAAGAGTCTTGACTTTATTAGGGGGCGGAGAATTCAGATGACCAATATCGGTGCGGAGGACATTGTCGACGGCAATCGGAAAATCATTCTCGGTCTGATCTGGACGCTTATCTTGCGCTTTACCATTAGCGATATCAATGCGGAGGGTATGACGGCGAAGGCAGGGTTGCTGCTATGGTGTCAGAGGAAAACCGCTTGTTACGAAGGGGTTCAGGTTCGGGACTTTTCGACAAGCTGGAATGACGGTCTTGCCTTCTGTGCCCTGCTGGATATCCACCGCCCCGATCTGATCGACTTCGATGCCTTGGACAAGAAAGATCATCGAGGGAACATGAAGCTTGCGTTCGAGATCGCCGCCAACGAAATCGGTATCCCCGACCTCCTCGATGTTGATGATGTTTGTGACGTCGCGAAACCAGATGAGCGGTCGCTTATGACATACATTGCCTACTGGTTCCATGCCTTTTCGCAGCTAGAAAGAGTGGAAAATGCTGGTCGACGAGTGGAAAAATTCATCAACAATATGCATGGCGCATGGGAAATGCAGAATTCTTACGAGCAGAGAATGAAGGAGCTTTTGCGTCTAATCAGGGCACAACGTGATGCATGGAAGACCTCGTCTTTCGAGGGAACATACAAGGACGTCAAGGAGCAGGCCTCCCAATTCGCCTTGTACAAGAGGAATCAGAAACGCCAATGGGTAGCGGAGAAGTCGGACCTTGCTGCCCTTTTAGGCAACATCAAAACGAAACTTAGCACCTATCGCCTTCGCGCCTACGATCCACCACCAGAGTTGTCCCCTGAGGCTTGCGATCAAGAGTGGGAGTGTCTCACTCGTGATGAGCACGAACGCAGCCAGCTGATCAACGAAACCATCCGAGATATTAAGAACGCTCTCCGTCGTTCTTTTGCAGACAAGGCAAATGACTTTGCATTGACCCTGAAAACGCTCTCTCTAGCGATCTCTGGTCTTGATGGTGACGTCGAGGACCAGATGGCCCATGTGAAGAGGCTCAACGACAACCTCCCTCCGCTTGATGCATTCTTAGAAACGATAGCGGTGCTGGATGAGCAATGTGCGGAAGCAAATGTTGAAGAAAATGATTATACGACATATACTCTGGATGAATTGTCCTACGAACTGACCTTGGTTAAATCAAGTATATCCAAGAAACTGGCTTTCCTAGAGAATCAGCTTGTGGCCCGGAACATGACGAATCTTACTCCAATTCAGCTCGAAGAATTTGAGTCAGTCTTTCGACACTTTGACCGCGACTCCTCCAACACCCTCCACGAGCTGGAGTTCTCGGCCGCACTGGCGAGTCTTGGTCTTGTGTATGACGAGGAGGAGATGCACCAGGTTTATGTGGAAACGTGTGGGCCTGCTAGATTGGTGCAGAACGCTGGCGTCAGCTTCGAGCAGTTTATTCATTTTATGGTCAGCGTAACGGAAGACCAGAATACCGCGGAGCAGGTCTTCCAAAGCTTCCGCGAGGTTGCGGATGGCAAGGTATGTGTTTGTTTCTCATTGATTTACTTGGTTGCGGAGCCTGACTTCTTTCTAGCCATACGTCACAGAAATTGACCTGCGGCATTCCCTTATTCCTGATGAAATTATCGAGCATTTGGTACAGACGATGCCCCAACACCAAGGGCCGGATCTATTGGAGGATAGAGATCTTCCGAAGTATGACTATATCAGCTTCATGGAGAAAATGATGGACAAGCACCCCGACGACAGCCAACACAGAGCGTCTGTAAATGGCAGGAATTAATAATAAGTTAAATTTTTTTTTTTTTTCCAATTGTGGTTGTTTTCAATTTCCTCTCCGTTTCCCGTTCTTGTTTGATGTTGCTATCGGTGTTGGCTGGACCTAAACGGGGGGGTTTTGTCTCTGGGTTAGCGATTAATTTCACAAGGCATAAGTCAGGATCACAGTCGAGTATTTCCCTTCTCATTGCATTCCCATATTTTCGTCCGTCTCATACTTGCATTTTGTGTTGGTCTCAGCGAGGAAAGTTTGGGAGTTCTGTCATGTATACCATAGCCCCTCGGGGGGTCGTAATGATCCAAATTCTAATAAACAATTGAACAAGCCCAAGGATTTCATAGAAAATGCCCACATATATATACTTCTTTTTATCTCAATATATCTTATGGCAGCTATTTGAGGCGACCGTCCGCTCTATTGCACGCGGTGCCGATAAACACTCACGTGACCAATCTGCCTGGATATCAACGACTTGTTCCGTCCTTTGATCCTGTGCTCCTCTCTCTCTCCTTCCATTGACACATCTCCGCTGCTCAGTTACATTACGGACTCTGATACTATATCTTTCATCGCTTGTATTTCGATTCCTTTCACCCTTAACCTTCCTTTCCGCGTCCAAGATGGACCGCAGCTTGGACGAGATCATTGCTGAGCGCCCTGTAAGCCTTTCCATTGAACAGCTCTCGGATGTTCCAAATCGCGCTGCCCTTCTCATTCCCATGGCCGGACTAACGTGAAGCGTATTTGAAGAGGCAAAACCAGAACCAGAACAGGGGCCGTCGTCCTCAAGGCCGCCGCTCAAATGGCGTAAAAAAGGTGTGTCTTTTTGCCGATTCTGAAGCTAAACACATCTCACCTCAGAGAGACTACCTTAAGGGGGATTGCTAGACTTGTGTTTTTTTTTTTCTGCTAATCTGTTGAGATTACATGTACAGGTCCTTCCTCCTCCTCCTCCTCCTCCTCCTCCTCTTCCTTTGCGCCCTGGTTGCGCAGTGTGATGAGCAAGAAAGAAAAAAAAAATACCTCGGTGGTCCTGTGATTTGTCCTTCAGGTAGAACAGAAGGGCCACGAATGGTCTACGCTACACCACGCAGAAATGATGGAGCAGTTTCATGATAACCTACATTGATTTCGAGCTGACCTTGTCTGTATTTCTTTCATCACAACAGCCTTATCGAGATGACCGTGTTGATTTGGATCTGTAAGTCGCTCTTTCGAATGGGATGGCCAAATTTCTTTTGCTAATGAGGTGATGCTGCAATTCTAGTGATTGGGTCCATGACAAGTATGAAGGCGATCGCGACAGTATGTTCTGAAACCTATTTCTACAGCAACGGCAGTGGAGGATGTCCTTAACACATGCTTTGCTTAGCACGCCCTTCTCGTGCCCCTCGTCGTCCTCGTGGTGACCGCTACTCTCCGTCTCCGGACCGGTACGTTTCCTCGGATGTATAATGGTCGCTCAATACAATGGGACTAATAGAGATCGAGCAGTAGCACGGCTACAGGAGCTAAGCTTCGCATTGAAAATCTTCATTACGACATCACAGAGAACGACCTCGAAGTAAGCACTCTCGCCGTTGTTGAGCAACCTGCGGTAATTAAGCAGTAACTAAAAAATCCCTCGGATAGGACCTGTTCACCCGGATCGGACCTATCACTAACCTATCCATCGTTTACGACCGAGCTGGACGCTCTGAAGGCGTCGCCTTCGTAACCTATAACCGCTACACCGACGCTAAAACCGCAATTGCTGAATTCGACGGCGCCAACGCCAAAGGCCAGCCCATTCGTGTTTCCATAATATCCACTGGCGGCAGCGGTTCCGGTGGGGGTCGACGGGACCGAAATCCCTTTGACAACGTGGAGAAGCCTAAGGGTAGTCTTTTTGATCGTGTCGAACGACCAGGTGGTGGTCGTGACGCCCGCAGCTTAAGCCCCGGCGGAGACCGCGATCGAGATGATGGCGGAGAAGGCGGTGCGCGACGTCGTCGCGGCCGTCGCGGAGGTGCTGCGCCTGGTCGCCGCAGCGACGTCTCCAAGCCTGCGCCCGATCACATCGACCGCTACATACCCGGACAACGATCTCCTACTCGCCGAACCGCTAATGGCGGTCGACGACAGGGTGGGGGCGAGAACAAAGGCGGAGAAAATGGCGGTGGTCGTCGCTCTGGAAACCCACGACCCAAGAAGACACAGGAGGAACTCGATCAGGAAATGGAGGATTACTGGGGAACGGCGACTGCTGCTGCTGGCTCGGCTGAGAAGGATTCTGCTGCCCCTGGCCCTGTGCAGCAAGCGGCGGTGGCTTCTGCTGCCGCAACTGCTCCAGCTTCCGCTACGGCCGCCCCGGCAGGTGGTGATGATGATATCGATATGATCGAGTAAACGGCCAAAAGAAATTTGTGTACTACCACTACAGCTACCATTCTCCCCACTACTCATTCACGGAGAACATGCGCACGACGATGTGCTCTCATTTGTAACTACTACACGAGTATTATTTCCTTTGGGTGTGCGATGGCTAAGTTTAAAATCAGACTGGGATATTATTGTATGCATCGGTTGCTGCGGGTCTAGCTCGGAATTTTATTAGTTGAATAAGGCGTCTTCTTGTCTATAACTATTTATCTCCTTTACTCTCTCCCCCCCCCCCTCCCCCCTTCCTAGCGGTGCTAGGTTATCGTTACATGTAGATAGGGGTGTGTCTAACTCAGAAGAATCCTGTTACGTATAGGAAGAAGAATGACAGTAGTAGGTATGAGAGTAGTTAAAATTATCTGCTTGGTCTTGATCAGATGAGATCAGACCTGACCTGACCTGACCTGGCCTGAATTTTCTTTATGGGTCTTTATTAATTGCTTTAGCGCCATAGACCATACGGCTCTCTACAGGCTTTCCATAACTTGATGGTGCCGTCTTCACTTCCTGTACCGTACAGTTTCCCGTCTGGAGAAAAGCTCACGGACCAGATGGGGCCATGGTGGCCCTTTTGGACTTCTAGAGGACATGTTAAAATGTGTGTGTGTTCAGAATAATACTAACAACGCGATGCGATGGCAAGGCAGGGAACCTACCGAGTTCTTCATCTGTGTGCAAATCATACACCCGCGCCCAGGTATCATCAGCACTGCCCGTTACCAAACGGGCAGTGTCGTTGTTCACGGCGGCACTGGCCACTTCATACCGGAAATCGATTTTCTTGAGCAGTCGGCCGGGGCTGAGGCCGTCAAAGAGATAGACGCTTTTTCCAGCGGCAACCGTGAGGATACCGGGGTCATTGGGTCGGACGGCGAGGGTGTTCAGCTCACAGCTGCCGATGTTACCTTCGACGACGTACTCGACAACGGGATGGCGGGAGCGGAGATCCCACCATCGGATCTTGCGGTCTTCGGCGGCGGTGGTGAGGATGTTGTAGTCCCGGTTCCAGACGATGGATTTGATGGTACCGCCATGGACTCCGGGGCCAATTTCATAGCTAGTCACTGGCGCTGGAGATCCATTTTCGGTCGCATTGGACGACGGGAATGTAGGCGATGAGCTGGTACTGCTGCTACCGCCACCGCCACTGCGGGTCAAGTCGAAGATGCGGAGCTTTTTCTCGAAGCCACCGGTGGCTAGGACTTGCGGCGAGGGCTGAAGAGGGAACGCAACCGCTCGACAGATGTGGGAGTGCTGGAGGGTGTGTAGGCATTCGCCGGTATGGGTATCCCAGACCTTGCTGTTCATGCGCGTTAGTTCAGATGGAGCGGGAATATTTCTTATGATGGAAAGGCGGGCCTGAACTCACGCTGAGAAATCTGCAGCAGCGGTTGCGGCAATGTTGGCGTCCGTAGAAAGACGAGCTTGCCAGACAGCTCCCTTATGTCCCAGAAATGTTCCGATCCTAGGGGGGGGGGGGGGTGGGTGGTTAGTCGGACAAGACTTGGGGGCGCGGGAAGGATTTGAGACCCGAACATACCAATCGCCGGTGATACCATCCCGCAGCATGGGGTTGTTATCTGAAAAGAGTCAGTCGGGGAGGGTTTATTGAAAAGGGTATTATTATTAATATTAACCTTTGCAGGCAGATACAAGGTAGTACTGATCATCCTCTACTGTGGAGGAGAAGCTGATATGCGGCACAGGACGAGAATGTCCGTGGCAGGTTAAAGGCACAACTTTGGGGATATCTGGGAATTTGGGGCTCAGTCAGAGATGAGTAATTGTAATCAGGGCTGTCGCGACTGCATGGACATACCTGAAGCCATGATGAATCTGCAATTCAAACCATATACCAAAATATCAAATCCACAACGGCCGTTAAATGCGTCAAAAAGGAGAAGCTGGATCCACCCAGAAACCAAGGGGAACACCCAGGGGAAGAATACGATGTGAGAGATGAAAAGAGTAGAAATACAGAAGGAAATTCGTCAGTCTCGTCAAGTCATCAGCAGTGGGAGGGTGGGGTTGCTAATATTAAAAAACGATGGGCGAGGAGGAATAAAAAGGAAGGGAAAGGTCGGGGCAAAGGACCGATGAAGAAGGATGAGAAAGCCCAGCAAGAGGGGGGGAAGAATCAATAGATCTCCTCCTTCTATAAACTCCAGCCCAGAAGCATACATGAAGTCGACTTTTTGATGCTTCGGTTTTGAATCGTCAGAGATTCCGGCAGAACGCCCGACTGGCTCACCGCCCACATGATGATGCCCCTCACCGTTCTGGTATTAGTTAATCTTACAGCATTTCGTATTCACTAGTAAATAGTGAGCAGTTAACTACGGAGAGAGCTGGATACGAATTGGGGTACCTTTGTACTCATCATCTCATCTACTCACTTTCCTTCCCTCTCCACCTTCCGTCTCTCTCATTTTCTCCTCCAAGACTCTCTCCCCTGAACCCTGAACTGTCGTCTGTTTATGTATGCCTGAGTTCAAGATCTCCGCTGCTTTGGAAGGTCACGGTGATGATGTAAGACAACTGATTCCCCTCTCCCACCCCCTCCCGCCGCGCTCTATGACTACACAACGAGCGAGGTAGAACTCATTCAATCGCTAATCTCTTCCTATGTATCTGTAGGTCCGTGCCGTGGCCTTTCCCAACCCCAAAGCTCTATTTTCTGCTTCTCGAGATGCCACCGTTCGCTTCTGGAAGCTTACGTCCAGCCCTCCCCCCACATATGACTACACCATCCCCTCGCATGGTTCAGCATTTATCAACGCCCTAGCATATTACCCTCCCACACCCGAATTTCCCGACGGACTGGTATTCTCTGGAGGTCAAGATACAATCATTGAAGCAAAACAGCCTGGGAAGGTTGTGAGCGACAATGCAGATGCTATGCTCCTAGGCCATGCCCACACGATCTGCGCATTGGATGTATGTCCGGAAGGAGGTTGGGTCGTGAGTGGAAGCTGGGATTCCACTGCTAGGCTGTGGAGGATCGGGAAATGGGAATGTGACGTGGTGTTTGAAGATCACCAGGGGAGTGTATGGGCGGTGCTTGCTTACGATAAGGACACCATCATTACAGGTACACACAATCCAGCGTTCCACCAAATACCCTGGACTGACTTACGCAACTATCTATTTAGGATGTGCGGATAATATAATCCGGATATTTAATGCCTCAGGAGCTCTTCTCAGGAGCATTAAAGATTCTCGAGACGTCGTCCGGGCCCTGTGCAAGCTACCACCCTCGCATCCTACAGGTGCCCACTTTGCTTCTGCCAGCAACGATGGAATAATCCGCCTGTTCACGATCCAAGGTCAACTTGTGTCGGAACTACATGGCCACGAAAGCTTCATTTACTCATTAGCCGTTCTGCCGTCGGGCGAGTTGGTCAGCTCTGGAGAGGATCGAACAGTGAGAGTCTGGAACGGTACGCAGTGCGTACAAACTATTACCCACCCCGCAATCTCGGTCTGGAGCGTTGCGGTGTGCCAAAATAATGGCGACATCGTCACAGGAGCAAGCGATCGGGTTGCTCGGGTTTTCACTAGGAGCCCAGAGCGTCAGGCCACCCCAGAGGTAATACAGCAGTTTGAAACCTCGGTCAGGGAGTCTGCGATTCCTGAGCAGCAGGTTGGTAAGATTAATAAAGAGAAGCTTCCAGGGCCCGAGTTTCTCCGGCAGAAATCCGGGACGAAAGATGGTCAAGTGCAAATGATTCGTGAAGCGGATGGGAGTGTCACTGCCCACACATGGGCAGCAGCATCCCGGGAATGGGTTGCGGTAGGCACCGTGGTTGATTCTGCTGCTAGCAGCGGGAGGAAGACGGAATATCTTGGCCAGGATTATGACTATGTTTTCGATGTTGATGTTGAAGACGGCAAGCCCCCTCTCAAGTTACCCTACAATCTCTCACAGAACCCCTACGAAGCGGCAACCAAGTTTATTCAAGATAATGAGCTGCCCATCAGTTATCTTGACCAAGTTGCCCAATTTATCGTGCAGAATACCCAAGGTGCTACCCTTGGTCAGTCTAGCCAGGGGGCCGCCGTCGCACCTACAGGATCCGACCCTTGGGGTACAGACAAACGATACCGTCCTGGAGATGCATCCGCCGCAGAGTCAGCACCGATACCTGAATCGCGCCCGAAGGTCCTCCCTCAGACCTCGTACTTATCCATCAAAACAGCCAATCTGAAACTGATCGCCAGGAAGCTGCAGGAGCTTAACGGCCAGTTTGTCTCCTCTGAGTCGAAGGATGTCTCCTTGAGTCCCTCTGAGATCGAGACGGTGGTTTCGTTATGCAGTGATCTAGAAGCTTCAGGCGCTCTGAAAGATTCCCCTTCCGTGAAAACGGGCCTCGTCCTGCTTTTCAAGATTGCAACTACTTGGCCAGCTGCAAATCGACTGCCCGGTCTTGATCTTCTCCGACTGTTTGCTGCTGCAACTCCCTTGGTCGCGACCGCAGATTATAATGGCCAGGACCTCATCTCCGGGATCCAAGCAAGTGGTGTGTTTGATCCTCCCGTAAATGTCAACAATGCGATGCTTTCAATTCGGATGCTGGCGAATCTCTTCGAAACGCCTGCGGGCCGTGAATTGGCTGTCGATCGATTCGACCAGGTTCTTGCTGCGGTGAAGACATGTCTCGTCAACAGTGGATCGTCACCAAACCGAAACTTGACTATCGCTGTAGCAACGCTCTACATCAATTTGGCCGTGTACTCCACATCGGAAGGGCGAAGCTCTACGCTCGAGTCTGGGAAACGGGGATTGGCACTTGTTGAGGAGCTGATGGGGCTCTTGATGAAAGAGAAGGACTCTGAGGCGGTCTACCGCACTCTTGTCGCTCTAGGAACATTAGTCAAGGAACTGGACAGTGAAGTGAAGGCCGCTGCCGTGGAAGTTTACGATGCTCGGAGCGCCTTGCGCAAGATTTCGGGCTCTGGTCTCGGAAAGGAACCGAGAATCAAGGGCATTATTGCAGAGATCGAGGATTGTTTGCCTGCGTAAGTCGAACTGTAGCGTTCAATGCATTTTGCCAGCGTTTCCCCCCCCTCCCCCCCGAAATCGGGCGGCAGGCTTAGTATAGATTTATGTTGCTAGCATGCCTACATTCTCAATCAAACAACGCGTTTACGAATATTCTAGCTTATAGAAGTCTAGCAAGTAATTCTTGAAACACATTCTTCAACACACAGCCTTGATAATCCTATTTCTCTTCTTTTACTCTTTAGGTTCTCATCCACCACTGTCATAGGTACCTGGTAATTAGTATAAAATAAAACCTTGAGATCATAACCAAAATCAAAGTCTCCCCTCCGTATCAACCCCAACCTCCATAACCTGATCAATCCCAGGATACCTCGGCAAATCCAACGCATATTTCTCTGTAATACTCTTGGTCAGGAATCTCCCGCCTAGAAAATGCCGTCCCTGGAAATACCTCACGCAGGGCTTGGGCGCCGTCAAACTAATTAAATACTCCGGCATGAACTTCGCCCCGGGGCCTTCCTTGGGCGGACCACTTTCAATGTCCCAGGAACTGGGCGCATCCACGCTTAATACTGGGATCGGTGCGGCTTCGATCTGCGAGATTATGGAGGGGAATGGTTCGCGGAGGGGACCGCCGAAGGAGAAACCGAAGATGGCGTCGATGAGGAAAGTAGTGGATTTTAGGGCTGTGGGGAAGTCTGAATCGGTTATGAAGGGGATGGACAGGTTGTGTAGTTGGGTTTTGAGACGCTGTTAAGAGAGGATTTGGTAATTTGGGGGGAGTAATATTAGTATTGTAGTAGTGGTAGCGCAGTGATGTGCTTGCTAGTAGTGGTCTGGTTCTTGGTCTTTTGGGGATATATCGGTATACAGTACCTGGTAAAGCACATTTCTGCCTTCCTTCGGATAGTAGATTGAAGGCGTGTAGCCGTACTGGGCGAGATGGCGAGCAGCGACGAGACCATCGCCTCCTGGTTGGGGTTAATTGGTTCGTTTCTTTATCCTTGCTGTTGTTCCTGTGTATGGTTGACTTGCCGTTATTGCCTGGGCCGCAGACGACAAGGACATTCTTCCCTGCATTAGGAGGATGGACGCGGTATACTAAAAGAGCCAGTCAGTACGGTCGCGATTCGAAATCAAGGAACCGTCTCATCTTACCTGCTTGCGAGACAGAGAGTCCAGCTAGTTCCATCAATTGGTCCAGGGACCAGCCGCCGATCTCCATGAGGTCCTTGTCCAGGGAAGCTGCATCTTTCGAGGAGATGGCCTGGCTTAGGATTTAGCATTGATTTTGTTTAGTCGGTAATATTTGGATATACAATTTTTGATATTCGAAAACGCATACCTTTAGTGACATGCTTGCGATTCTATAGTATCTTAGCGATGCGGGGATACAACGCTGGCCTAGGAATGCGCGACGTATCATACAACAAATCGTCTGACCGAAATGCGAAATGTGCTACTGCTGGCGAAATATCTAGAGAATGATGCCGTGAAACTAGAAGAAGATTTATGAGATCCAGACAATGATGGTTCGAGATAGTCGAGGCGAGATGAAGCTCTTGAGGTTTTTGATTGCATCATTGCCACTGTATACATATCTCATGTCCCCACCTGACTACCAACACTATTCCGCTCCGGGATCCATCGGAACAACATATTCTCCGTCCAACTTTGGAATTTGGTCTCGGCAGTTTTGATGCTTCACTTCAACATCGAGCTGTTGTTGTTTCCTCCACGCATACCAAAAACACATTCATTCGTTGAGTTTCAACTCCGTCAAAATGGTTGTCCGGATCCGTCTGTCGCGATTTGGCAATAAGCACCAGCCCTTCTACAACATTGTTGTGGCCCAAGCACGGTATGATTTTTCATCCTTTAAACTGCCAGTTCATGTGGTGGCTATGGGGGTTTGTCATGTTCAAGAAATCACTGGACACTTGAGCTAATTCGAATCTTCATATCCTATCTAGGACGGCTCGTGACTCAAAGCCACTGGAGGTTATCGGAACATTCAACCCTGTCCCGCAACGGCCTACAAACTTGTCCGATGAGGAAGCACGCAGCGCTAGGGCGTATAAAGAGATTTCCCTCGACCGATCAAGGGCAAAGTATTGGCTAGGAGTTGGAGCACAAGCCAGCGAGTCTGTTTGGCGGATATTGAACTTGGTATGTTTGCACACACCTGGGGCACACCACCTCCTTCGTTCTGTATCTGGCTTCGGATATAGAGGAGTCGGTTGATAATGGGTCTATGATTAACGCGTTTCTGCAGGCTGGCCTCGTTCAACCCAACGCCAATTCCCCGAAATAAACCTACGATAATATATTTCAGTCATATCCCATTCCCTCCCCCGTTTCTCCCCGGATCTGTTTTTATTTCGGGGAGTGTTTATTGCCTTGATTCAGCGGGAGGCCTCTGTCGGTTCGCATGAATGATCGGGGTTTCGTTAGCTGTTTCGAGGTTGATGATGACCCGGCATCAGATGTGGGAAAATTCTTGAAGATTTTGCTCCTGGTATTTCCTTTGGCGTTTATTGAGCATGGATTATTTTGGTATCTGGGGATCCAGAATTGTAAATTGAATTGTACATTATTATATCATGATGAGCTGATTGCAATCTTTGTATCATTAAGCTATCTTCTTCTTCGGTTCGAAAGTGTCGTATGTGGGTGACCGTTCAAGGCCGTTGAAAGCCAGATGCGCCCGCCCGGAGAATTCTAGGCGGCTGGTGGGTGTATTTCGTTTTGACATATTTCTCCGCCGCACAGGAGCTGAATTATTTGTGGCTACACTTATAGGACGGAGTACTCCGTACTCGGTATTTATCGACTTTCATTTGTTTTTATAGGTACTGAAACCTGACCCGAACAAAGCGCGATCGAGGTGGACCTCCCGTATTTTGTCTGAGCGTCAATCAGGTACATTTGAATATCAGGGGTAAAAGCGGCGCTTGACACAAGTCTTTCCCCGGTGGCTCAGAGCAGCGGCAGCAGCTTGATAAAGAGAGACGATGATTCTCTTACACGGCTACTGCTAGACTCTCTACCTGATGAAGTACTTGATCGCCGGAGTGCTATCCCCGATACAAAAGAACAAAGAGTGTACCATTTTCTCTCCTCGTTCTTTACCTAGCCTAGCCCTTCCGACACCGAATCGCAACCACGCCGGGACCAATCCCCTTGTACACAGGAGGAAGCAGGATGGACGAAACGACTCCTGACGCAGGCTGATTGGCGAGTCTCGAGAATTCCAGCTGGGCACGACCAACACCAGAGTTCAAGCTTCCCATGGATCCAGTGCAGTGACAGTCACCAGGGTCTGTTCTCTGACTTCTCCTCCTGACTTTGGTGGGAAATATGTGTTATAAACGTACGACCTTTTACACTAGTTAACTATCTCTTTCGGATGTTAACTAATCTAGCCTTCTTCGATTGTAAATTAGACAACGGCTGGGATCCGGAAGGACAGGATGGCCTTTTTTTCCTTTTTTTTTTTTTTTTATTTATCCCACCCCCTATTTTCCTATGTAGTAGGCCTATTTTATCTATCATTATTGTTATGATTATTATTCTCTCTTTCCGTCTCTTCTCCCAGTCTTGCCCCCTATCTACATAGAAATATCTTCCCGATCACATGGGAAAATATCGAAATAGATCCGTTCTAGGGCTGGATCGATAACCCGGCCAGTTAAAGACGCAAGAGAAGGAGATCTAGAATCTAGGATTTATTATTGTTTTAATTTAAAAAGATATGGTGAAGGTGATGATGATGATGGTTATGGTCATAATGATGGTGATTATTATTCCCTTGGTGGTCGCGTCGTCACGGTTCCATGTACTATTTCCATCATAAAATGATGGTATAGAGGATTAGTTACGGAGTACAGCAGCGCCAGTGTGTCGAGGCTGAGATCCTTGTCATTATTATATTTCCGGAGTCACTTCCAGCTCGTATTCTCTGCGAGATTAGTATTCCAAAGCAGGTAGTAACTAACTAACATTTAAGAAAAGAAAGAAACGAAACCCCCAAAAGAGACCGCCTCAGGTTGTCTGGAATTGTACAGAAAATTAATTTCAAGAGGAAGAATGATACGGTAATTACAGGTAATGGGGTGGATGGAACGCACACAGCCATCCCGCTACGGCCCACGCACCTCCTCCTCCCTCCACGTTTGCAATCCGAACGCGGCTTTCCCTTGATCGCTGCACTCGGTAATTGTTGTGCTGGATGCATCAACCGCTAATGTACGTCCCTGGGATTTATTTGTCTATACCTAACATTACTTGATCTCCAGGTGCAGGTGGGTTTGACGAGATCGACTCCATCTGGCGCCGTCCCTCGATAGCGCGTCGTGTCATCTTGCCTGCGATTCCACCTCCAGAAAACGGTTGTATTTTCTGTATTGATGTAAAACAGGTAACAAAAAGGTCTCTTCTTTATCCCACTTTCTCCATTATTCTAGTCAGGTTGTAGGAGTAGGAGTAGGATGATAATTCCTTCAATCCATCCAAATGCAAGATTATACTCTCTCTCCACTACTCTTTCTACTCCGTACACTCCCCTCTTTCTTCCCTTCTTCTTCTTCTTCTTCTTCTTCTTCTTCTTCTTCTCCCCCCCCCCCAAAAAACAAAAAAATCCCAATCGAACTTTATCCTTCCCCGAACGCGTTCTGTTCTGCCTTTCATCTTTTCCCTCTTTCTTCCTCCCATCTTCTACCTCCTCTTCCCCCCCCCCCCCCCCTAACTTCTTCCACTCTTCTTCTTCTTCTTCCCTTTACTCTCTTAATCTATCTCTTTTCTAATCGCATCATCTCGCCTTTCACTTCCCATAATCTTTTCATCTTATAGTCCATTTCATTTTCGCTTCCTATTCTTCTCCCCCTCAAAGGGTTCTCCTATCTCTCATCCTCGGTCCGTCGCATCCCTGGGTTGGTTTTTGGTATCCTTCTTAGGCGCTCAACCTGTCCTATTGTATTCAAGGGAATGATATAGCCTCCTGGAATCATCATTGTGAGACATACTGCTTGATCAAGTAACTTTGTTTTCTTCGCGAACTTCAACCTGAAAAAAAAAAGAAGAAAAAAAAAGAAAAGAAAAAAACCTTGTTCAACTATCCTGGGCTTGTTCGGCCTTTTTCCCACCTGTCACCCCGGCTCACTTCTGTCCACGCTTCCCCCTTACCTTCTAGACAATCCCGTGCTGCCATTTTGCGCAGGAGATCATCAGTCTGCGAGGTATGAGTGGCAGTTCGAACCAGTCCACCCGTACAAGTCCAGGGTCTTATAGCACCACCCACCGCACCCCCTCCGTCTCCTCGGGCGCGTCGCCACCGCAGCAGTCGCTCTCTTCTTCGCAGGCGCCCGCAACGGCCCAGAATGCGATGTCGACCGACGTGTACAATCCGCCCGTGTCGCAGGTATCAACATCTCTAAGTCCTACCTTCTCCTATCCATTCTCGCCACTTGGAACCGCCGCCTCCTTTGATAACGTATCACCCGCCACCATGCGCATGGGCGACTCGGATCGGTCGGCCCAGAGCCTCAACAGCTTTATGCGACCGGCAAGTGGAGCTAACGGTGGCGCGATCTTGATGCGAAGGCTTCCCAAGAATATGAGTCGCGAGGCTTTGCGCAGCATGTTTCTGTTCTCAAAGGACCTCCTGGATGCCGATTTTGTCCCCAACGATTTTCCCGAAGACAACGGGTTTTTGAGCGCGATCGCGCGCTTTTGTACAATGGCTGGTGCAGAAGAAGCGCGCGCCTTGCTTGATGGCAAGCCTAACTCGAAGAATGACGCCACGATGATCGTGGAAATTTACAACCCTAGCACCCCGGGCGCCTCTTTTCTTCCTCGGCGCAACACCATCGACCATTCCGCGACGCGCGGCCTCCTTGGCAGCGTCTCGGGCAATGGGCCTTTGTCGCGACAGTCGTCGCGTTTTAATGGAACATTTCAAAGCCTGGAGAAATTGACGGCCGCGAATCCCACAGGATCGGCCGCCAGTGATGCCCTGCCGTCTTCTTCCGAATCGGGATCGCGGATTCACAATATCTTTTCTCCCCAATCCCCGATCGGTAACGGCGTCCACGAACTCCCGCGCATCAGCGGTAAGTCAATGATTGACCAGGACATTGACGAAGATACCGGAGAACTCCTCAAGGACCCTGTTGGGTACGCGGAAAATGGGCATTCAGGGCCTGGCTCAGCTCCTCGCCGATCAACAAACCCTCATATTCCTACCAGTCACTTTGCCAACCTCTCTTTGTCGACGAATCTCCCAACGTCCCCGATGCAAAACTATACCCCGGGAGGATCGGCGCATATTGGGGCCCCGACCCCATCCTCCGCATACCCCCAACAGATTAGCAACAATATGGGTGCCCCAACATTCCCTTATGGTAGTGCCCACACGGCGCGACACAGCCTTCCTGCTGCTAACCCAAACGACATGAATCCGCCCTGCAATACCCTGTATGTTGGCAACCTTCCGCCAGACACCTCGGAGGAGGAGTTGAAGGTTCTATTTTCAAAACAGCGCGGCTATAAACGTCTCTGTTTCAGGAATAAACAAAATGGCCCCATGTGCTTTGTCGAATTCGAGGATGTTCGCACCGCGGGCAAGACTCTCAACGAACTGTATGGCTATAAACTTTCAAACAGCATCAAAACCGGTATTCGTCTGAGTTTCTCGAAGAACCCCCTTGGAGTTCGCTCTGGACAGCCGGGATCTATGAGTGCGGCGAATGCTATGGCATCGCCAGGTCCTGTCCCAGGTGGCTCTAGTCTTGGTGGGATCCATAGTCACATCTTCTCAACAGTCAGTGGGCCACCGCCCGGCTTGGCCGCGCCCCCAGGCTTAATACCACCACCCATGGCATTAAGAGGTAATGGAGCCATGCATCCTTCGGGGAATCACCACGCACCCATTCCCAACAATAATACCGCCTTCGGTCCCAATGCGGGCCTAGGAATTCGCGCGAATCATATGAATCCAATGATGACACCGCCTCCTACACTCAATGGAGGCGTGAATGGTGGTAACGCAGGGCCAAACGTCGGGGCTTTCAATTCCTACTACCCCGATTACATGATGGGTCGGTAGAAATACGCAACATCTTCTCCAGCGATAATGTCCGACATGTTTTGATGATTACTGGGATATCTGGCGCATTAGGGATTGCTATTGTTTTCATGAGCTAGATCAGCATTTGGAGGGTCCCCTTCCTCCTAGGAGTAAGGATTATGGGGCTCTAAGCTTCTTCAGCTTGCTTTTGATGGTTACTTTGGCTTGGTCTTATCATCATCATCATTATCATCGTCCTCACCCTTTTCTTCTTATTCCTACTTCCTTCTTTTTTCACCTACTTTTCTACCTGTTGCCTCCTTTTTTTTTTTTTTTTTTTTTTTCTTCTTCTTCTTTCTTTTTCTACTCTTCTCAGCACACTCTGATAGCATGGAACTGTGGGCGCCGTTATACATTCTATCGTCTTATGTGTTTAGGGAGGGTCGCATTTCATCACTCTGGTTCCTTGTTGCGATGTCATTTTATACCTGCGGAGGCTTTCGAGGATTCATCTTGCTCAGTACTCTAGTTCTCTTGTTTTAATGTCACCTTTAGCACCCCAATCATACCCTGTGTTCTTTGTTCTGTTTTATTGATGTTTTCCATAATCGCAGCTGATGGAGGTTCTGCACACGAGTTTGCTCTTTCATGTCTTTTCGAATGATATCGATTCCCTCTTGCATTCGTCACTGTCCGGCGTCCCTATCTTATTCTTAATGGTGTTTATTACCCATGCATTCTATTGCTTGGGTGGAATTTTATGTGCTTCTCTTCTTGCTCTTCTCCTTCCTTCCACACTCGACTTGTCGTGCGTTTCCCTAAATGGACCCTCTGGTTGCCACAAGATCCTTCGATCAGCTTCTCGCCGTGGGTGATCATAGCGCCGGCGGGAAAAGGAAAAAAAAAAAAAAAAAAAAAAAAAAACCAAGAGACAGTCTTCATATTTTATACCTGCTTCGGCATCTCACGTTATACTGTGTTATGATACAAGGTTTACACTGGAAGGCAACTATCATGAAAGAACGGCGTTTACACGGGTATACACCGAGATACATTTCTAGGGTCTTATCCCTTTTCACCTCGGGCAACTTCATACCAGCTGTTGACTTGCTGGTCAGTAACGCATTGCCGTGGAAATTTTTTTCTCAACTTGCATTTTGTTTTTCTTCAGTTCGATTGACTTTTGTGAGGGTGCTGCGGTTTCTTTGTTTCTTGCTCTGGCTGTTCAGATGGAATTCGGAAGACTGGGAAAGAGGGTGAGTTTCGCGAATTGTCACTGCTTTCTAGGGAATTTGATTAGTGTATTTGATACTGTAATGAAGTCGGGATTACCACCATTGTGTTCGTGGAAATATGCAGAGTGTCGCGTACATCCGTAGTCGTCCAATGTGTCTATCTAGTGGAGCAGGCGTGGTGTCACGTGAGCAACGCGGAAAAAGTTTCTTCGTCTTCGAATCCCCCGAAGAAATTTGTTGACACCAATTCCAACAACACCCACCTCCTTCCCATTGCCCTCCAACCATCAATTGGGCTGCTTTGATACCACTAGTACATTCTAGTAGGGAGCAATCCCTAGATCTTTTCCTAGGATTTGTGACACAGCGGCCTATTCTCCCCTATTAATCCCAAAATGCCTCCTCGAATACAAAACCAGCTCGTCTCTAATTCCCTCCTCCCATACCTTTCCTCCTCCTCATCACCCTCTTCCACAAGTGCTTCCTTGTCCTCATCATCATCATGCACATCCCTCTCCCAGTATTCTCGCTCTCGCTCTTCCCCCTCCCCTCTCTCATACAAGCCCCGACGCCCATTCTCCTCCACAAAGGCCGCGCACACAAAACTCCGACAGGACATGTTCACATGGCTCAACAGTGATGGGACTGCTCTGAAACACCATATCCCAGGCACAACTAACTACCTTGGTGATCTGAAGCAGCGGAAAGCAGGGGATCCACAGGCTGAAGAGAGAAGTTCGTCGCGGCCGTTCCCACTGAACCCTAATTTCATTAGCGAGAGCATCCTCAGCGAGGAGCTGCGAAATGAGATCTACAACCAGGTGGTGGTGAAGAAGAAGAGCGTTCGTGCTGTCAGTGTTGAGATGGGTGTTGATATGAGGAGAGTCGCCGCGGTGGTGCGATTGGTTGAATTGGAAAAGCGAATGAAGGAACAGGTAAGAATATTTTCTCCCCTTTTACTTTTATTATCACTTTTTTTTTTTTTTTTTTTTTCGGATACACTGGATCAACTGTATCTGTTTTGCAATGATGAGAAAAACATAAAAAATTCGATTAGTCTTTATGACCCGGTTACCCCCGGGAATGCGTACAACGCCTAATATCTGATTGCCTTACAACCTTTTCTTGAGATTTTTTTCGTTATTTTTCAAGTCAGTGTTCGGGGTATATGCTAATGTGGCCTACGAACAGGGAAAATCACTGGCCCTGCCATATGCCCGCGCCGTACATGAGATGGTGCCAAGTACACCCCTATACGAGGACCCACGCGACCAACGTTCCAACCCCCACGAGTCGATCAACGACCTCCCCGCGCACCGACTCACGGATGCTCAGATCTTCTACCCGGTCTCTGAATCCCGGCAATTCAACCGTATCGATGCTGGCCGCGTGTTCTCTGCCGCTCCTGCGCGCGAACACAGCAAGGTGGCAAAGGAAGTTGCCAATCCAGCTGAGACTGTGAGCCGCATTACGCAGAACCCGTCCCTCATTGAGACTGTTGGTAAGGGCGCAGAGGAACAGGCCGTCCTGCAGCCGGCTGATGTGCGTATCCCACACCCTCACCTCGTCGCTCATGAGCGCCAGCGCCTCGCAAACCCCAATGAGTGGCGTGAAACGCGCAAAGCCTACGAGCAGCGTCTCAAGCAAGAAGAAGCCGCGGAGCAGGAACGCAAGCGTCTTGCCAAGGAGCGCCGTGAGCGCCAGATGTCCCGTGTCCAGCCTGAAGCCTCGCGCTTCGAGTTCCGTATCAAGGATGTTGTCGTTAGCAAGGAGACTACCGGTGCGGATGGCCGTGGCTCGCAGGCTCCTGGTCGTAGATATGGAGTGCCCAGCTACGACCGGAAGAAGGGAGAGGTGAAGATTCCCACTCGTGTGGAAGTTTAGTTGGGGCATGAGCGTCTGTAGATTAGGTGCCCGATGGAAGGACCGATGTACTTGTATTCTACTATTATCCTATTATTAGCTTAGGATCTAGCTCCCCTGTATAGATATTTTCCTCGTGCTACTATTATTATCGTCGGAACGATGTTTATTGGTGTCGGCGAGCAGTTGTACTACTTTGTACTACTATTACTATTACTTGTAGTAGTACCAGTAATACGTATTTTGGTAAAAAAAATTACCTCCCGTACCAAGGTCACAACTTGACTGCTAGTACCACACGCTGTACTCTGTAGTTAGCAGGGTCGGCAAAATCGGAAGTACACTACTGGTCTCAAAGAGCCTTGCCTAGTACTATGTTGTAGTAGTAGTAGTAGTAGTAGTAGTAGTAGTAGTAGATAGGTAAGGTGGTGGCTTCACATTACTGTATAGTATAGTATAATATAGTACAGTACAGTACAGTACACAACGTAAGTAGTCAAGGTTGGTTTGCCCCTGAGATGACTCGTGGTGTTGGAGACATTATTCAGATCTGTACTCCTCCATGTTTCTAGTTATAGGTCCGGAGTCTTGTATAGTTTTTTTCTGATTATTGATTATTTTTCATTCCGAGAGATGAGAGGTATATTCTGGTCTGAATTTCATGCTGGTAGAGATGAGGATGGCTGGGGCCAAAAGTCAAGTCAAGTCAAGCCACAGTTCAGCCGCAGATGAAGGAAGGGGAAATTGAATGAGCCTTGAGGGCCCAGAAGGAAATGAAGGGAACATTCATTCATGCATGTAAGTAAGGTAAGACCAGAACAGTACACTGTATACCTACCTAAGTCTGGAGGGGCGGGTGTTGGAGTCGTTCAAGAGGAATAGTTTGGGAATTTGATTAAATAGTAAATAAATACTGTACAGGAATTAAATGAAGAAACTCTGTTCCTGTTAAGCTGTATATACGGATCTGATGGGCCACTGAAATGAAACCCGCCAAGGGTGTTTTGCACAGCCTTACCTAACTTTCCTCCTTTTTGGCATCTCCAGAACTCACTTGACTGCCTTCTTTTCTTCTTCTTCTTCTTCTCTCTCTCTCTCTCTCTCTATCTTTCTCTCTTTCTCTCTTTCTCTTCCATCCATCCTTGATTGGATACTCCCCAGTTATCCATCAATTTTCACTCGTTTCTCTCTCTCTCTCTCTCTCTCTCTCTCTTTTCTTCTTCTCTCTTTTCGGATTTCCCCCACCTTTTTACCTTCAATTCTCCTCTCACGTTTCACCCATATTTGCCTTGTTCCAGCCCGGTGCTGTGGTTCTTTTTCAACCCTCTTCCTTTCTTCTTTGTTTAGCTGCAAGGGGCTTGAAACCACCTTCTAAACATCACCCAACCTCTTGAAGAACCCTCTCGCTCTCTCTCTCTTTTTTTTTTTTTTATTACTCCGACCTCTCTTCATAGGTCTCTGTTTAGCCGTGCTGGGATTTCTACCTATTTTTTATCGGACCTTGTCTTTTTCTCCAACCCCCGTCAATATCCACCCTTTTTATCATACTATCTATCTATCTACACTCCCAGGTACGATCTACTTTTCTGTCCCTCCTGCCATCATCCTTTATCATTAGTAGTAGTATTATTATTATTATTACAACCTAGACCCCTTCTGTCCGTATTTGCGCTCGCGTTTCGGACCTTTTTTTTTTTTTTTTTTTTTTGTGTTATTGTCTGCCCCGATGTTCGCCGACCGACTAGTCGACTTGGATACTCCTGCCTACTTTCCCTCCACAACCGTTCCATCTGGCTGACTGCTGGGGGATAATTAGTGTCCGACTTCTATCATCGTCGCGCTGTCAAAACACCTGCGCTCCATATATCTACAGAATACCAGCTAGGTCGACTCAGCCAGCATTGAAGTCAACAGAACACCCGGGTGCTGTCAGCCGCGCGGGTCTTTTTGTGTCCACATACAACAAAAGCATACATAAGGGACAACACATCACGATCTCCGACTTTGTGTGTATATATATATATATATCTATCTATCTATCTATATATATATATACTCTCGTCGCTCCGCCCGTCTAAGCCAGCTTCATGGTGGAAGACTCTACCCATTCACCGTCTCTACACAAACCAAATCCTTACCCCCAACTCTCCCACAACATGGCCAAATTTCGAGCAAGCAATATCCTTGGCGATCCATTCGCCCTTGCGACAACTTCTATCGCCCTGGTATGTACCCCATTACCTCTAGGGAATCGTGTATTGGTCCACTGATCGAGATCTCCTGTAGCTCGCATGGGTGATCGCCTTCGTTGCTTCCGTCGTTGGTGATATTAAGGGAAATTACCCCACCTTTCAATGGTGGGCGATCGCCTACACATTCTGCTGTATCACTGGGTTGATAGTTGTTTTCGGTACTGACACCGGTCTTGTTTACGGCGTGGCGGTATGTTTCCCTCGCATAGGACGATCCGGATGATGCTGACTGCTTTCAGATCGTGGGATATCTCTCTGCCGCGCTTGTGATGACTTCAATTTCTGCAAACACTCTGGTTTATTCCGACTTGTCCTCTTTCCAGGCTGCAGGTGCAGGCTTCATTCTCCTGTCCATGGTTATTGTAAGCTGTCCCTGCGCGTTGCATCCAACCTGGACTGCCCTTTTTTGCTGACTGTGGTAGATTGTCTGGATGTTTTATTTTGGCTCTACTCCTCAAGCGACTCACCGCGGATTCATCGACTCGTTTGCGCTCAACAAGGAACAACAGGCGTATGGAAATAGCCGACCCATGTCATCAGCCTTTGGTGCCCGACCGGAGACAACCTCTAGCCGGCCCCAGATGTATACATCCGCTCAACTCAACGGTTTCGAGACCTCGTCGCCCGTTTCGGGATATCATGGCGGTGCCCCTGGCGCGGAGGCCCGCAGCCCGTCGCAGGCCCGCTTTGGTAACTCCGAGAACAACAACAACAACAGCAACAACAACAACAACAACACAGACTCCAACGGGGAGGTCCCCGTGCCCACCGAATACCCCTACCGCGCAAAGGCCATCTATGCTTATCAAGCCAACCCAGAAGACGCCAACGAGATTGGGTTCGAGAAGGGTGAAACCCTGGATGTATCTGATGTCAGTGGCAGGTGGTGGCAGGCCAGGAAAGCCAACGGAGATACCGGCATTGCTCCTTCCAACTATTTGATTTTGCTATGATCTAGCTGAAGGGACGTGGTGGGTTTTCTTTGTTTCTTCTTTTCTCGTCTGTCATGATCCTTGCCGGTTGGCGAGAAAATTTTCTTTTGATACCCTTCGAGTTGTATCACTCGGCGCGAGTTTTTTTTATTTATTATTTTTTTTTTTTTGCGGAATCATGTTACGTCTTGATGGGTTTAGGTTGCTTTTTGTTCTTTTTGACGTGTAACATTTCTTGTTGAATATTTGGTTGGGCACACCAACCGCTCTAGCTTGTTGCAGACGATTTAGGTACTTTGTTTCATAGGATGGTTATTGTACCTTTTTTCCCTTCTTCCTTGTCCACTGTATGAGACTTAAGCAAAGAGGGATGCGACGTTGAAACGGGGGGGGGGGGGGGGGGGGGGCATTCATTCTGATATATCATCGGAATGTAGCGATCCAGCGACCGCCACGTGAGCGTCGGAGAATTCCATCTATAGAGCGTATAGAGTAGTACCTCGTTGGAGTACCTCGAGCGTATAACGGCCCAAACGTCCAAGCCCAGTTCAGCTCAGCTCAGCAGCCAGGACCAATAAATATGATGAACCCCAATTCCATCTCCGATCCCATTAATAAGGTGAAATGGCGAGGCCAAGTAGAAGCGAAGAACCGAGTCGTTTCGTTTCTCCTCTGGTTTCCCTGTCTAGTCCTAGTCTATCTTTGGAGCAGTCATTTCTGCCAATAATGGAGGGGAAAGGACGGGAACGGGATCCAGTTAGTCAAGAGGTTAATACTAACTAGTTAACTATCTTTTAAAGAGCTTAATGCCGGCTGTCGATTGAATCTTTTCGTGGGGTGTGTGATTTGGTTCTTCATCTGGATTTTTTTTCTTCTAGATTTAACTAACTGTTCGAGTTCAGACACACACACACACACATATATATAATAATGGCTGGTGACGGCAACGTTACCCTCGCCTCGAACGTGCTCGGCACAATTGCCACCGTGCTCTGGTGCATCCAGCTCATACCTCAGATCTGGTATAACTGGAAACAAAAAGACACGGAGGGGGTGCCGCAGGTGATGATGTTGCTTTGGGCTTCTTGTATGTTCAACTACTTTACGCGAGTATAGAAGCTGATTTGTATGGTAGGTGCTGTTCCAATGGGCGCGTATTTAATTCTTCAGGTGCGTGCTTCCCCCCCACCTTACTGGAGTAAGTGGCTGAGGAGTGAGTGCTGCAGCAAGTGAACCTCCCCCTGCAAATCCAGCCGCAGATCTTTGGGTTCTTTGCGCTGGTCAGCTGGGGCCAGATCCTATATTATACCCAGTGCGTATTGTATTGGTTTCTTTCAATGGGGGAAGTATCCCCTGGTGCTAATGTTGGCGTGGGGCAGTCACTTCCCTCTCCTCCGAGTAGTGGTCCTAGTCCCCGGGACCGCAGCGGTGTTTGGGGCCATCGAGGCTGCGTTGATTCTCGGACTTAGGGTTCGTTCGTGCACCGGCAGCAGCCCTTCAGTTGGGTTGGGTTGGTTGAACTAATGTGCATGTATATATATAATATATAGATACCCTATAAGCATGGAGTCACTTGGCCGGATCTCCTGGTTGGAATCATTGCTGCGATCCTTCTCGCGGCTGGATTGCTTCCGCCTTATTTCGAGTTGTGGAAGCGTGGTGGACGGGTGATTGGGCTTAGTATGTGATGCGATGCGATGTTGATGTTGATGTCCTTGATCTCTTGTTCTTGTTATGACCGACTGACTGGGTAGATTGGTTATTCCTGGGTACAGACACTATGGGAGGACTTTTCTCGCTTTTTGCACTGGGCAAGTCACCCTCACTTTTGGATGTCTTTTGGTAGAAAATCAGGTGTCTGACGGTTTCTATTGCAGCTGCACAAGGCACATTCGACGTGCTTGGAGGAATCATGTATCTGATCGTGTAAGTTGCGTCTCGCGTCCTCCATAGCCCGGTATCAACTAACGCCTATCGACAGGGTTCTCCTGGAAGCAGGCATTTTCCTCAGCCATATCATCTGGCGCATTCGGTACCGGAAACTGCTGAGGGAAGCTAAAACCACAGGCAGGAGTATTGATGAGTTGCTGGAGGAGAGACAGCGGATGGAAAAAGAGTCTGAAGTTGGGCTGGAAAAGGTGGAATTGCCGATGAATTCGTTTCTCCCTGCAGCGCCAGTGGGCGCAAAACGAGGCTAACGCAGACACCAAATATTCCGTTGCTTTGGCCTTGGATTATGATTATGATTTGATTTGATTTGATTAGCTAGTTAGTTATCGTATTCTCTACTGTACAACATCCTGCGTCCTTTTCCTTAGGCATTGAAGTGCTTCTACTTGGTTGCTCTCCCCGCTTCTTGCTCTCTTTCTCTTTTTTTCTTCATCTCTTCATCTCTTCTTCTTCATCTTCTTTGGATCAATGGTCTCCTTTCTCCTCCGCTGAAAGCCATGCCGAATGACTTGATCTCTGTCCATGTCTCTGAGCCCACCGACGACGATGTGGTGACCAGGCCTTCTTTCTGTTGTTCCCTTGCTTGTTCTTGTTAACCAGCTGTTTCATGTTTACTTCCCCCCCCCCCCCCGGTTTCAGTGTTCTTTTCTTTTCTCTTGTCTTGTCCGTGACAGGCTGAAGTGTATGTCCTTCCCGGCCCAGTTGGCGTTGACTTCACCATGTCAGACCGCCGTTGGGCCACGAGACTCAAAACGAAGCTCCTGCGGCGATCATCGTTGTCCAGCAAAAACCACCACTCTTTTACCGCCACCACCGCCGTCAACTCCTTCGCCAGTGCTCTCAACTTGAACAATCATCACCACGGGGATGGGGACGAGCAGCACTCCCATCTGAACCACGGACGAAGGGCGGCGGTCGAGCTACCGTCGGCCGACCCAAACTTTCCCCCGACGGCCACATCTGCTATCTCCACCAACCCCAATACCCTCACCTCCCAACCACTTCCCCCGGCTCTCTCCTCCACCGGTCGTCCGTCCATCTCCTCCTTTACGGAATCTCAGTACACTCCGGACGAGGTAGCTAGTGCGCCTGGGTCCATTGGCGGCCATTATTTCCTTGTCCCTGAATACAGCCAGCCCTGTTCTCCCTCTCGTGGCCCGCGACAAAGGCAACCAGACGCTCCTCCGGACCCGAGCTCCATCCCTCCCGTGACGAGGATAAGGCAGACTGATCTGCAGGACCCTCAGGCCCAGCATCAAATCCCACGACGGCGATCGGACACTAATCACGATCGGGAACGTGCCCGATCTGGTTCGAACCGGAGAAGCTTTCCCTCTGAGCTCCTCAATTTCCCACTTCCACCGCCGCCATCACGAAAGGCTGAGCAAAGCTCTCCCGCCCCCCCCTCAACCCCTCCTACCCCTAAAGTTGATCGGTCTCTCATCTCGAATCCGGCACGAGATCGGTTACCCGCTCCAGAATCGCAGCCAAACACGCCGTTGAATGCCGTCGCAGAAAATCCATCTGGGGAACCCAGTTATCACTCCTTCCCTCTCCCTCCCTCCTCTTTTCCTAAGCGCCCGAGTCTAAACAGTCGTCGTCAGTCGCTGCTGCCTGCGTCTCATCAGCACCTGATAAATTCTTTGCTAGATACTGGCTCCTTCTCGGAAACCGACGGTCCAGGTAATAAGCACTTGTCGACCTCCACCTCCGGGATGGGGTCGCGCAAAATTTGGGTCAAGCGGCCGGGGGGCTCGGCCACGTTGGTCCCTACCTCGGAAGATGCGTTGGTTGATGAGCTCAGGGACCAGGTTGTTTTGAAATATGCCAACTCCCTGGGGAAAACGTTTGATGCGCCCGATATCATCATCCGGATTGCAACCCGGGAAGGCACGACGAGACAGGCGACTCCCGATCGCATATTAAGTCCGGAGGAACCGTTGTGTCCGGTGCTGGACTCATGCTATCCTGGCGGGCAAACAATCGAGGAGGCATTGATCATCGAAATTCCCCAGCGTCGAACCCCACGGCCTTCCCCGCGCCACCCCGTATATTATCACCACTCGGAGCCGGGCGAGCATGGTGACTACTTCCCTCTGATGCCGGCAAACCCCAACGTTCCCACACCTTCTACACACGCGTCAAATACATCGACCGGTGTCAGTGGCCATCCAGCACCATCGATCTCTATCTTGACCACGGGAATGGCCCCTGCGCTGCCGTCTCCAAGCGGCCGTACCGCTCGTCATTCTCGCCGGCCTCCTCTTACCCGGCATACAACCAATTCGCCCAAAATTCTTGGGCAAGCTCCGAGTGCAAAAGGTGTGTTTCCCGGAACCCCCCCACTCCTTTGTATGGTTACTGATACCCCGTAGACAATGCAAGCCAGAACACCATACCTTCTCAAGCCGCCCCCCCATCAATTCCGACCCCACCTGGCCCTCCTCCAGAATCACCACAGACCAAGTCACTTACTCCCCCGACGCGTGGTGCGTCTCCGCGTCCTCGTCCCGGCGGGAAACCCAAAAAGACAAACCGAGCATTAAATGGGGCATTCGGCGGTCTCATCGAAGGCACTGTGCCGCCGATCAACGTGCTCATTGTTGAAGACAACAATATCAACCAAAGGCTTCTCGAGGCCTTTATGAAACGGTTGAGTGTGCGATGGAAGTGTGCTGGCAATGGAGAAGAGGCTGTCAGGAGGTGGCGCGAGGGGGGATTCCATCTGGTCCTCATGGACATTCAGTTGCCGGTGATGAACGGCCTGGACGCTACCAAAGAGATTCGACGCCTTGAACGCCTGAACGGCATTGGTGTCTTTCCCAAAAAAATTTCCGGACGGTCTAGTGCGGCGAGCGCGAATGCGACTTGCGCCCACACTCTTAGTGAGGAAGATACTCTGCACGATTTATCGCTATTCAAAAGCCCCGTCATTATTGTGGCGTTGACAGCCAGCAGTTTGCAAAGTGACCGACACGAAGCACTGGCGGCGGGTTGCAACGACTTCTTGACCAAGGTTTGTCCGCTTTCTCTCAGTGTGTGCCACCAACTAATCTCTTTTTTTTAGCCAGTTCGATTTGAATGGATGGAAAAGAAAGTCACGGAATGGGGCTGCATGCAAGCGCTGATTGATTTCGAAGGCTGGCGCAAATGGCGAGGATTCGCCGATGATTCTCATTCCTCTGGCAGTTCGGACGGATCTTCCAGTCCTCTCCACAGGAGCAGTGATGCTACTTCTCGAAGAAGCTCTCCAGCTGGAGCATCCTCGGCCGCACCCACGAAAAAGACGGAAGGCAAATCACTTCGCCACCACAAGCGACTGGAACTGATGCACGAGGACTCGTCGGGAGCGGGCAGCGGAGACGGATCGGGTTCTCCTGCGTCGTTGCACATGGATGTGCCGCCGGTGAAAGACGACGGGGCTTAGCATTTATTCCTCCTTTTGTGTCTTTTTATAGATACCCCCCAACATAGCTATGCCAGCTCTTTATTTTTATTTTTATTTTTTTTATGTGTGATGTTATATAATTCCTCCCAACGGCATCTCCACGCAGATGAAGAGATGCTCAATTGAAATTACTTTATACTACTTTTGTTGTTTCCACCTGGGGGAAAAAGTAACCCAACCCAGAAACAAAAAAAAAAAAAAAAAAAAGGGTATATCTATTAAATCCATAAATCCATAAAAAAAACAAAACAAAAAAAAAAAACCAAGAGAGAAACAAGACTTAAGCCTCTCTCCCCCTCTCCCCCTCCCCCCTCCTAACCCCCTCTCCACCTCGGCAAGCCTCCCCTCCCACTCCGCCCAACACTCCCCCCCCCCCACAACCGAAACCTCATACCACCGCTGCAACGCCCTCGCCGTGCGCACCCGCAGCTCGGAAACCGCTCTGCCCTGCTCCGCCTGCGTCGCCGCCACCCGCGCAATACGCGGCCGCAGCGCAACCAGACAGGCCGAAGATTCCGCCGAGGGAACCGGGAGATCGGCGAGGGATGTCAAGCGCGATGCGGTTTCCGGGTACGCCGGGGCGTAGGCGCGGAGGATGACGGAGGCGAGATTCTGCAGCGTCAAGGCTGTGCTGGTGCTGGTGCTGGTGCTGGTGCTGGTGCTGGATTCTGGTGATGATGGGTTGAAGAGCGTAGGGGAATTAGCATCTATCTCCCATCGTTTCGTTTCGTTCGTTCGGAACCGTCTCAAAGTCAGTCATTCAGTCATCCACATCCCATGTATGTATGTATGTATGTATGTATGTATGAATGTATGTAATTGGAATAGCGAGAGAAGAGAAAAGAAAAGGGGGGGGGGGGGGGGCATACATAAATGTAACACGTCCCGCACGGCCGGGACGCATCTACTTAGACTCTCCAGGTCTTGTTCTAGGTGGAGCAGACGCCGCGATACGGTGTCGTTGCGGCTTGCTGGGGGGTTGGGCGGAGTGGGCACGCCGGTCCATTGGGTGTCGCCGGTGAGGAGGTAGGTTAGTCGGTGCAGGCGGGCTTCGAGGAGTTCGATCGTTGCGGCGGCGATGGCGTCGGTTTCGAGGGTCATGATGATGTATGTGTTTTTGTAGCTTTTCTTTTGCTTTTGCTTTTGCTTTTGCGTTTGGGGTTGGGGTTGGGGTTGTGGAAGCTTGATCTACCTAAGAAGAACGAAGAGAAAACCGGAATTGAATGGAGAGCAGCTTGGTGGTGGTTGGTTGGTACATCTCTACGGAGTACAAGCAAGGAAGAGCTAACACGTGGGGAATCGGCTAAACCGCTTTTGGGGATTATAACTCTATATGAACAACTCGTCTCGTTTCTTTATGTACAAAGAAATCAAATCGTAATTTGTATGTTTGTCCAATTCCAGGTGAATCGGGACCTGCTGCTAGATTACTGACTCCAAGCCGGGCTAGAATCCTGCGCAGTCGCGGTTGGGCTTCGACTGAGTAAAGGCCGTCGTCCTCCTCGCTCCTGCATTTCCTGCCTGGGCCCAGATTCATCCTCAAAAGAGGAAACCTGGTAGTCGAAAACATTGACTTTTCGAGCCGCAGAGTCGTCGTCGTTGACCGACGGCGACGGATACGTGGGCCTTGTGCCCACGGTTTGCTCCCACGTTCCCGGACCAGGATCTTCCATCGGATTTTCAGTCGCTTCGGATGCCTGCAATTCCGTCTCGAACGTCTTGTTATCCGCATTGACAAATTCCTAGTCCTTGTTAGCCCGGTCTACCTTCTCTGGGAGCGAACCTACCTGAAGTGGCATCGGGGCTGGCTCCTCTTTGACCGCCATTGCATTACTACTGGCATAGACAAGAAGAGTGGTTTTCGACTCTTCCCGCGCGGCCTGAAGGACTTCAATCTCGCGTACTTTCCGTGCCGTGTACCCTATAACCCCGGCGTTCTTTGACGCGGTGGTGCTCTGGCCTTTCTCGGCTTGTCGGGTCTTTGCATCATCGAGAGAGAAACTGATTCGCCACCACTCATACGCCTCGTCAAGCTTAGGTGTGGAATCTGCGCCATCCCCATGGGGTTCCGTTCGTTTTAGTACATAGGTTACATGGGGCTCCGTACACACGCCTCGGAGGGTATATTTGCGAAGAGGGGGTTCACTTGGTGAAGCTGATGGTTCTGTGAGAAATTTTGAATAGCCTCTGAGAGTTTCTAGGGCGCTTTGCTTCCTCTCTTCCAGTTCTGTACATGGGGTGAGCAGAGAACCAAGGTTGATGATGCATCTGAATACATACGTTTGAGTTTGTCTTCTATCTTCTGGCAAAGCGCCTTCAATTCAAGTGCCAGTTGCGGTGCTTTGGAATTTGACTCCTCCGCGGTTGATACCCCATTGGATTCAGCCTGGGGCTGTATTATCGTTGAGGCGGCAGCGGCGGCTTTCTCCAGCAGATCCTTTGACGTGAGTCCTGCGGCGGATTTGTTCGCAGAAAACCGGTCCAGAAGGGTCTGAAGCTTTAGAATCTCTTCGTCGACGCGAAGCCTTTGCGCGCGGTAATCCCGGGTGATGTCTCGACAACTGGCGAGGTATCGATCCGGGTAGAAGACGGCGGGGATCTTGACATCAACCGGCTTTGTCGTATCTGAGCCGCTCAGTTTGATGGTGAAAACGTCCGCGACATGTTCTAGCCACACGTCATCAAGTTCCTCCCCAGGACTGTCGGCCCACATGGTAATGTCCAAGGCATCGTAAAGTGTCTGGCCATGACTTTGCATCACAAACGGTTCCAGGGTAAAGAACTGCCTCTCAATTGGGGTGTCGTACGTTGACAGTAGTCGTTTATATGCCATTGAGGAGAACACAGTGGCTAGCTGGTTTCCTGGCGCAGCTCGGACTGCGGATTCCTGCCATAACTCTAAAAACCGGCTGACACCATCATCAGAGTCGTACTTGGATAAACATTTCAAACTAGCCAAAGCATCCGCACTACCGAAAGATCGGGTGGTAGAATCTAGGAAAGCGACTAGTCTCTGGGTTTCGTGGATGATGTCGTCCCAATCGGTGTCACCCTCCGGTGCATCATGAATGGTCACTATTTTGGGAAGATTAATAGGTTGTCCGTTCCACCATTGTGGGTCATGGCCGTAATTCGATAAGACCTCGCTCCGATATAAAAGGGCTTCCCGCGCAAGCGGGATTGAATGAAGAATTGTGAGCAGTCCGCCCAAGTGCAGACAGTCCTCAGACGGACGGATAAAGGCTGGCTCGTTTTCTTGTCTCTTGCGGTCTGTTGGGTCGGGGCTAATGATGATCTCGCGAGCGCTGGAGTTGAAGAGAGTCATCGCCCAGGCGCCCTCATCGTAGGAATCTCGGGTCGCACGGCCGAACGTTTGGCTTGGATTTGTGATCCCGGTCTCTTGCTGTCCCAGATTCTGATTCAAGGACATTGCCACCGCTTGCTGAAGCTGACGCTCCTCCTGCTCCGCCAAAGACAAGCCATTGCCGGGACTCGCTGCTGGATTGACGTTAGTCGATGGCTATTTGCCCATGCAAAGGATCCTCCTACCCGTCGAGTTCTGTGTTGGCGCTTGCGCAGGTGATAATTCGGTCGGATGCGTCGAGTCTTTGAGGTTCAAGGCAGATGGCGGTCGCGAAAGAGGGACAAGGGTTGGAGATACCGGAACTGCGTCAGTATGTTCGATTTGGTATGCTGTTGAGGGAAGCTGGGGGCCGGTGGGGTCTTCGAAGTAAGCATTGATGGCTTTATTCGAGTCGAGGTCGTTAGCCTGCATGAGAGAATGCGTTAGATCGATCGGGAATCGGTAGCGATTAGGGTAGAGGGACTTTTAGGAAGCTGATGGCCTGTTCACGCGAAGTATTTGTGAAACTAATGAAGCTGGTGATAGCTTCCTCAGCCGGTTCGGAGGTCATCGCGGAGTCCACGGCCCTTGACTAGAGCACGTGTAACGAGCCACACGGAGAACCAGGCGTACAGGGGAGGGGTTTGAATAAAAGGCAGGATAGTAGAAAGCAAACAAGAAGAAGGAGGAAGATGAGGAGGAGAGAAGAGGAATATTGAAGCCTGTTGGAGCTTTGTTACCAGGAGCTTCCCCACCACATGACATGGGATGTCAAGCCTAAGATGAAATAAGAAATAAGAAATAAGAAATTAAGTCGTGACTGTAATTCATCAATACCTTGAAATCGGGTTTAGATACCTAACTAACTAGCTAGGGAGTTCATTCTGGTTGGGTTGATATTGGATCTCTTCCATCCTCTCCACCCCGCTATTTCTTGATTTTGCCTTCTCCCCCAGAATATGAACTAACTGTCTATTCACTTTTTTTTGTTTTTTTTTTTTTTCCCCTCCTACGCCGAAAAGCCTCGGGAAAATCATAGAAACCCAGCGGACTTGTGGCCCGCGCAGACGTGGCACCGGAATATCCATCACGTCACGTTGTCCTCCACCTCAAAGCCGCCGCCTTTCACTTTCCCCCGAACCCTGAGAAATCGGGAGGATGGCTGCTGCATTCGATGACGAAGATCTCTCCGTCTCTCTCCCTTCCTTCGACCGTGACCGACATCGTGATCGTCCCAGCGGCTCTAATCCTCCCAATTCGAATTTCTCCGCCATGGCCATGCCCCCGCCTTCTCGCCCGGTCGGAAAGGGTGCTGACCCCTCGAGGCAGTCGCCCGCGACTACCAGGGACATGCAGCGCCTCGACCAGTATCAGACTGTGAAGGTTCTAGGCGAGGGCTCGTTTGGAAAAGTGAAGCTAGCCATCCATCAACCTAGCGGCCGTCAGGTCGCCTTGAAAATTATCTCTCGCCGCAAGTTGCTCTCTCGTGACATGGTCGGTCGCGTTGAGCGGGAGATTCAATACCTTCAACTGCTACGGCATCCGCACATCATTAAATTGTACGCTCCTCAATTCCCGTCTTTATTGTGTCCTGGATTGGTTGCAATTGAGCCCCCAAAGCAAAGGAAAACTGACTGACTCCTCTTCGTCGGACAGGTACACCGTCATTGCAACCAAAACCGATATTGTGATGGTCCTTGAATATGCGGAACGAGAACTTTTCGATTATCTAGTGAAAAGGGGCCGCTGCAACGATGCGGAAGCCCGCAAGTTCTTCCAGCAGATCATCTGTGCAGTGGAGTACTGCCACCGACACAAAATCGTCCATCGTGATCTGAAGCCCGAAAATCTCCTCATCGACCGGGATAAGAATGTCAAGATCGCAGATTTTGGTCTGAGCAATATCATGACAGACGGAAATTTCCTCAAGACGAGCTGTGGTAGCCCGAATTATGCGGCTCCCGAGGTCATCTCTGGAAAACTCTACGCCGGCCCAGAAGTCGACGTGTGGAGTTGTGGAGTCATCCTCTACGTCCTTTTGGTGGGCCGGTTGCCATTTGACGACGACTATATCCCGGCCCTTTTCAAGAAAATTGCCGCCGGCAACTTCCATATGCCGTCCTACATATCCTCCGGTGCAGCTCGGCTAATTCGGGCAATGCTGCAAGTCCACCCAGTTCATCGAATCACCATTGAGGGCATTCGCGATGACCCTTGGTTTCTTCAAGATCTGCCTAAATATTTACAGCCTCCCCCTGAAGAATTCATCACCACCGGGGTGGACCCGTCCAAGGCGATCGACCCGCGAAAGATCGCCCCGGGGAAGCCCCAGTCGGCTCAGCAAAAGATCAGTCAGGTTGCCATCTCCAAATTAGAAAGGAGTATGGGATATGGACGGGAGGACATTGAAGATGCATTAAAAAACCCCGAACCTAGCGCCATCAAGGATGCGTTTTTCATCATCGTGGAGAACGAGATGATGCAAACAAATTGTAAGTGGGAGGAACAGCTTCGGAAAGACAGAAAGGCTAACCGGAGGGGAACAGCGCCTACTGATGATAATATGATGGGTCCTCCTCCTGTATTGCCATCGCCTCCCCCAAGTCGCGCCGCGGCATCCCCAGCAACCTCAGGTCGTCTTCCCACCTCCAATGCGCAACAAGCACAGGCCGCGCCCCCAACCCGCACGAGATCTATTTCTCACCGCCAGCCAGTTCGCATGTCCTCTCCAGCCGATTCCGACGACCCGGAGGCCCCTAGGCCGAGTCATGTTAGAATTCTACCAACCAGCTTACCTTACGTCCATGATCAACTCATGGAACAGCGCGAGCGTGAGCGCGAGCGGGCCCGTGCACGACACGCCGATCGATTGTTGGAAGAGAAAGCCCAGGCTGGCCTAGATTCGGACGACGACCCCCACCGTCTGAACCGGTCCCCAGAGGAGCAGGAAGCCACCGCGAGAGCATTGAAGCCCCACTCACGCAGTATTATCGACCTCGAAAAGCTTCGGCTTGAGCCCCCAGAAGGCCGTAGCGCTCCACATCAACCCAGAAGGTCGCGGAAGTGGCAATTTGGAATCCGGTCGCGCAACGAGCCGTATGAAGCGATTCTCTATCTCTACAAAGCCATTGCAGCGCAGGGCGGAATCTGGGAAATGCAACCCGCCGATCCAGGTTAGTTAGTTCTAGCACCTATGATGGTCTTACCCGGCGATGAGCAAGGCTAAATGATTTCCTAGATGGTAGTACAATGGGGCCGGATAGTGAGTCTGGAGACCAAGCGCGGCGGTTGCAGGGCAAATACCCGGACTTGCCATCGGATTACTACATCCCTAAAGACCTGTGGTTTATCCGGGCCCGCCTGTTGAAAGAAGGCGTCAAAGCACCGGGCTCGTCGTCGACCAGTGTGCACAGCAGCCGGAGTGATCTTGAGGATCTCCGGCGCCGGTTCAACCTTTCTGGTGGCGCGTTATCTCTGGATGAGAAAACGCTGGCAGCGACGGAACAAATGCCGACGTCGGGTGCCTCTTCAGCCACACAACAACCCTCGATCCCACGGGTGTCTTACGGAGTCTGGGTTTTCATCGACATCCAGCTGTATCAGCTGGAGGAGAACAATTACATGGTTGACTTCAAGTGCGACGGGTACCAGAACGTGATCCGCGCAGAAGGTGACACAGAGTGGCACCCGATCAGCAAGCGATTCCGGAACAAGGAGAAGGAGGTGACAAGCCCCTATCCGTTCCTGGATGTGGCGTCCGACCTTGTGGCCCAGTTGGCTGTGGCAAGCTAGAACGGTATATATATATATATAGTCTTCACACACGAGAGGGGAGGTTTTATTATTAAATTTGTTATCATGGCGTTTGGTGGTAGTTGATCCAGTGAAAGGGCTTTTCTGCTCCTGATGGCTGCATCTGTGGGATTTATTTAGCGTGCATTTGTTGATATTATGAGTTGTGGGTAAGGATGATGAATGCGCTGGGGATATATCTATCTATCTATCTATCTATCTATCTATAGGTAATAAAATCCGCGCTTTCCCCTCGTCCAATTACATGCGCAGCACATACAAGGGATGCGACCCCCGTTGGCAGTGCACACCTTCAAAACAGTCTGTTCGCTCGAGTACTTTGCCAATCCCGAGTGCCATGTTCTCGCGGGAGTCAGTCGACTGGGACGCCGCCGGGGATGATAAAGCGTAGTCGGGGCATGCTAGTGCTTGAACTCCTATGCTGGTTCTCGGTGGGTGTGTGGCCTAGGTATCATACCATAGCTCATCCTAGAAAGAAAGAAAGGGGGGGAAGACGAATCTTATATAGAGCTGGCTAGAGGTGCATTGCAAAAAGCAAATCCAATCATCTCTGTGCCATTCTTGAATCCCGTTTGATGCCGTCTCCGTGACTGCTGCAATAAAGAGCGGTCTGTAGAGTTTTAAATTGTCGTACAAGACTTCTTGCCTAGTAGTTATATATATGTATGTACGTAATAATGTAATCCCTAGGGAATGCGGGAGAATTAGGTCTAGCTAGAAAACCAAGAAGAGTGAAATTCAATTGTATAATTTGAGTCAGTCTTGACTTGTTGTGTATATATCCCTTTTCTCCCTAATTCCCAGACGACAATGCACTGGTAGGATTCTCCCATATCAACTAGAAACCGTAAACGACCGACACCGGAAAGGAAATGCCTTTTTACAGGATATTAGGAGCTGCGCGGTTGGTTGGCGTTGGTTTGGAGACGTCCACCCCCGGAACCACCGTCTCGATCTCCGGATCGTCTCCACAGGTTGCCTGTGATTTGGTCATTGAATGAGAAAACGGAGGTAGACGAGCTGCGGCTCAGTGATGCCGGGGTAGATGGTTCTGATGCTCCGTTGGGAAGCGAACGCGCAGCTTGCGCATTACTTGCTGCCCCTGCTGGGTTACAGTGCGCGCAGATGAAGATATTGAAGCCCCGTCCGCTGCAGCTCGTACAGATTGCACCTCTGGCGAAGTTAGGAATGGGCGAATCTGGAGATACGAAGATGTCTAGACAGCATACCTAGGTGCGTTTCCCGCACAGTTACGGCATGTCAAAACGGTCCTCCCCCCAATGCAAGAGGTATGGGTAGGATCAAGATGAATAGTTGATGCTGTCTGATAAACCATGGTGATAAGAATATGGATTTAGGCGTGGACTTCCCAGGGAGGGTAGATAGATAGATAGACGTAAGAAGCTCGAGGTAGAATAGAACAAGAGGCTCAGGCAGTCGAGTCTATTTAAAGCTTATCAGCCAGTCCGACTTGTCAGTAATCCATCAGGCAATCAAATGAGTAGATACATTGAACTCGAAGAAGTCGATAAAAAAAAAAAAAAAAAGAACCCGGAAGGTCGGTATGCAGGCCAACTAGGCTATCCCCTGCTCAGTGCAATGATAATGTCTGCGTGGTAAGAAGCCGTGAGACACATACATGCCCAAGATTCATAATCCCTAATGTCGAGTCAGGGAACTCCTGTCCCCTTCCATCTCGGCCGCGCCGAAGAATTATGGGAGAGTTAACCCCATACGGAATCCGAACCGACGATATTTGGCCAATTCGAGATTTTTTTTTTTGGTGAGCCGCACCAATGGCACAAGATCGGACGGTACGACATGGGCCAAGGATCCAGTAATAGCTACACAATCAGCCCAGATGCGTCAAGGAACCGCCGGGTTATCTCTGTCAGACGAACCACCATTGGGAAAGTCATACCCAAGCTGATTCTTGGAAGACGAAGGCTTCAGAGTCCGAGGGACCCAGAAAGCTGGGTCCTGTGGATGTTGTTTTTGTGTCCAAACCGAATATTGCCCACTGAACCTCGAGGAACACAATACTAAGAGAAACTTATCTGAGGGGCTAAAAGCCCAGGACATCGTAAGAGTGGGGGGAAAGTACCAAGGTACCTGACAACACAGATCCTAGAGGGAGCGTATAATGCGGAAAATAAGACCGGGAGCATGGCAGCCACGGAGAGTTGTGCGACGCGAGGTATGAATAATCCAGAATATTTAGCAGGAATTCGGGGCGGCTGGCCATCGTCAATGAACAGAAAAGATCAATATTATATCTTCCATTCAGAATCCATGCCGGATAGCTGCAGCCGAGGATACGAGCCTGATTTGAACCCCAGTCCCTTAGATGCCAGGAAGCCATCAGGAGTCAGATGAAACAGTTCAAGAACGATCTGGTCGCACGGAATAAGTAAACATTCTCAACTATCGTTATCTGCTGAGACTGGAATCGGTTAAAGATCTGGTTCATATCGGGAATGAGATCTTACGGAATTCCATCATGCACCGACCTTGATTATGGTCCACGTATCAGGGAACGGGAGGTTCGTTTCAGACATAATGCAATCCCCTCCTCTCAGTCAACTTAAAGCTGCTTAAACCGGGGAATAGTAGAGACGCGCAGGCCGTCGATGACGGCATTGAGACTTGTCGACTTTTTCTTGGCCCTCCTATCCTAGTCAAAAGGATCAGGTCGACTGCAATTGTGGTGACAATGCATCTAAGTCTCGGAGGAATCGACAATCTGGAAGCAGTGAGGGGAGAGGAGCAGCGAGAAACGCACAGGAAAGGGGGAAGTCGGCAACTTCCGCCATACCGCGGGGGAGGGTGGAGTGGTGGATCGGCCAGCGTTTGATGATCGGATAATCGGACATGATGTTGAATGGTTACTGAGATCTTGGGAGGAATGCGAACCCTGTACATAGCAGTGGTCTCGTGGTGCGTCAAAGCCTGGCCGCCTTAAATTTGCTCCTGTCAGAACGTCACTTCATGCAGGTATCCAGCCAGCAGAGGGGGTGATGGAACTCCATCTCAGGTGTTTCGCTTCACAGTCATTGATTGCTCCACGTGAACCCGGAGAAATGAAGCAGGATGGGAAAAAAAAACACCCCCATGAGAGCCAATAAAGTAGAGAATGTAGTGTGTATTGTGCAAGTTGCACTGGCGAATTGGTCACATGTTAGCCAGCATGATATGAAACAGAACCGCTGAGTACACGATTGTCAAGGTGGCTGTGTGGTGCATCAAGAGGTATCAGAAGGGAAAAAGAAGGAAAAAGAAAAAAAAAAAAAAGAAAGAAAGAAAGAGAGAGAGAGAGAGGGGCCAAGAAGGTCTCCTGCTTCTGAGAATCGAAGAGCTTGAGGACGAACAGGGACGGATCAAGAAGCCCACCACGGCACTCTCATCTCATTTCCCACAATGGAAAGAGATACGCGACTTGAAGGTCTTTGTCGCCTAATAGTAAACAGTAAAAGTAAGCGACCTGCAGGCATCCGTCAGATATCACGCACTCCGCTGGGATTTGAGAGGAGCTCGGTGGGTTATTCCTTTATTATCCTTGTTTCCGGCTGGGGACGATTGAGATGCGTCTTGATGAGAAATGCCAATACAACAGTGGATGGGTAATTAACCAGGTGAGTATATGTGGGATGAGTGTGCAGTCCAAAACCTCTGTTTAGGGGACAAAAGAGGGTTGGTTGCACAAAAGGGACACGGCAACTGGGCACAACCTGAGAGGCTGTTCTGTTCTTCTGCTTCTTCTTTTCTGTCTTCCGTTGACGCAGTTGAAATGGCCTGATGAGGATAGGAGTAAACAGAGTACGTTTCCATTGAGTGGCATTGCCTAATCTGCTAAATGTATCTAGGAAATACAGCCATACATGCGGAAGCACCTTGTGTGTGGCGAATTTCTAAGATGCTCACACTTCAGCAACGAAACAAGAATAGTATTCCCAACAAATTGAAAGTGGTTAGAAAAAGGAGCCAGGGGGAAACGGGTGGTGAAAAAAACAAAGGCACCAAGTACGAAATAAAAACCCAAGCACTATTCACCGCACACACCGTAGGAGTAATTCGATAAAAGCTCATAGTAACGCCAAGTTCATCGCCAGCGGAGGTCAATGCTGTTCAGCCTAAACGAAGTAATCAGGAGGAAGCGAAGCCAAGGCTGCGATAGTCCCAATCGCACCCACCACAGCACCAATGACAGCAGTCGCAGCATGGCTTTTTAGGCTGCCCTTATTCGATGTCTTTGCTCGTTTCGATGGTCTCTCATCCGTCTTAGAGCTATTGGGGAGGCTTATAGTGGTGAGCTGCGAGTCAGAGTTAAGGATGGCCGCTAGGCTGTGGGGTTGTGCATCTGGGAGGCACGTTTCTTCTTTGAAAGATTCCGGGAAATCGTCAATATTCAAGGAAGAATCAATAGTACGGTGATAGTCGCGGTCTACTGATTGAGCAGTGATAGTCGGTTCTGATTCTATCTCCGCTGCTTTTCTCTTCAGTGAAGTCGACTCGAGTCTTTCCTTGCCCCTCGATGCTAGTAGAGATGTGGGTTTTCTAGCCAACGCGTTGCAGGATTGTCGGACTGTCTGTTTTATAGGATCTACAAAACGCATGGAGGGAACTTTCAAGGTCGTGTTTTGTTGACAAGTAGTCATAGCAGGGGGGCCGAGACCCGGTTGGCTGTTGGCGAAAGGACCATCGGTGTAAGGTGCAAGTGGATGCTGACAAGTAGTCATAGCAGGGGGACCGAGACCCGGTTGGCTGTTGGCGAAAGGACCATCGGTATAAGGTGCAAGTGGAACACAAGGTTCTGAAACAAGCATAAGATCGTATGCCGAACTATATCTTGGAAGTCGGTGTATTTGCTCTGTTGACATTGACGAGTAGGTGTTGGTTGGGAAAGGGGTTAGCGAGGGGTCAAAAAGCTTTCCACTGGGCTGCGGGGGGAATCCCGCGCTTGGCAGAGGCTTAGGAGGCAGTGGCCAACGTAAAGGTGGCAGCATTGCTGGTAATGAAGCCTCGGAATGCATTGGCTGTTCCAAAGGTTGAGAGTCCAAAGTTGGAATCTTGCCGGCCGTGGTACGATTATCGTCAGTGGAGATTTCGGCTAAAAAGGAATCTGACATGTGCTCAGGGCCATCTTTAATGGAGTTTCGCTCGGAGTTCTCAAAGTGAGATATGTCCTCACAATCCTTTTGAGGACTGGCGTCGACCATGGGCCCATCGACTTTGTCTTGAATGGTCTCGGTTGTCTCTGAAATAACAGGAGCGTCCGTACTCCGCTCTGGGACCTGCGCATCATGTTCAGCCAGTTTAGGTGTAAAGTCATCCACAGCATCTTGCTCTCCATCGCCCTCATCTTCGTCCACTTCCCAATTCTCAGATTCCATAATGGAACCATCGTCAGAGCTGCGAGCAAAATATTCGTCATAGTATTGAGCCTCTCCATTTTCATCTCCTGAGTCACATTCGACTAAGGGAGGTGTCATTCTAGGAGTAGCAAGAGGCTGTCCAGATGGGGCAACTGTAAAAGCGAGGGGGCTTTGGCATGATGCTTGCACTTTGTCATTGTGAGTCAGGGCCGATGGATCTTGAGGCTTAATGTCCTTTGCAGCATCATTCTTCAGTGGGGAGGTCATTGCAGACGATACAACTACTACAGACCGACTGTCTTCTGAGTCCGAGCCACCAGCGGATTCGTTTGACTCAGAGCTACGGTCGAGGGTAGATATTGGTGGAACAGGATGATGAGCGGTTATTTCCATGTCATCATCATCTTCAGGCACACAGAAAGTGTTGCTCATCTGGACTGACTTCTGCGTATCCGCATCGCTATTCTCTGGGTTAGAGAGTTCAGTATGAGCTTGTTGGTGGTCAACATACAGGTTTTCCTGCCACTGGCATTCGCAACGAACGGCTAGTGGTGGGAACGTATCTAGCGAAATTGAATTAGCACATCATATAGTAAAAGGCTAAGATCTAAGTCGACAAGTGATATCGACGCTTACCAGTTCCCCGAACAACCTCTACTCCAAACGTTAGGACATCACCGCTTGAAAGGGCGACATCCTCTCCAACAGGTATTTTGTCTCGATTTAGCCAGGTTCCATGCATAGAGCCAGGGTCCCGAATATAGACAACCTGAATCTCAGTGTTAGTAATGTGACGATCGCTGAAGAATATCTTCACCAGGGGAGCTGAACGTACTTTGTCTTCTAGGGACACATGGATTGTTGCGTGTGTCCGGGACATGACTCGAGAGTCAAACAGGCCGTTGTTACGAGCGGGAGCGAGATTCTTATTCTCACGTTTGGATGCTCGGCCAATATCAATACTATCCGAGTCGGACTTGAACTTCAGGGAGCGATATGGAAGGACGTCAGGGAGGCTAAGGTGGTGGAGGAAGACAACCGCTGCAGCAAAGAAAAGATATTAGCAAAGTTGTACTGCAAAGAAGATGCGGGTGGTTCCGCATACCTTGTCTGTTAGACATGGCTGTGAAGTTGACAGAAATAGATTCAAAGAAGTCGATCTGGTGGTGTCAAAGGAGTAGGCCCAAGACAGGGTATTTCTATGTTATCAGAGCACTGGATAAAGACGGCTCTGCTCGCTGAGTATAGTGAGTCAGCGGCAGGCTTCGAGGCACAAGGACAGCTGCGAAGCTTGAATGATCGGGGGGGTTCTACCCAAACAAAGCCGCTTGATAACAAACACTAGCCCAAGACTTATCTCTGGCTGGCATATACTATTGTTCGACGTAGAGGATGATGAAAGAAGGATAAAGGAGACAAGGCGTGATGATGAAGATGAAGGAGCCTCAAGAGGGGTAAGAAGTATCGGACCTGATGGAGTCAGCCTGAGGTTAACAGGCGGTCGCGGTCAGGCAGACAAAGGGAAAGAGGTCGAGTTGGTCAGTCTCCGGGATCTTAAGAGCATGCGAAGGAAATCAACGGAACAGTGGCTCCAGAGTTTCGTGGAACAACCAGGTTGTGAACTTGGATATGGCAGTCTGGAACCTGGTCTGATAAGGAAAGACGAGGAAAGGAGGAGGAAGGCAAAACGGGCGCTCGGGAGGGCGAGTGACGTTGACGGGAGCAAGTACATAGGGGAAAGGTAACACCAGAAAGACGGACGAAAAAAGGGCGGAGCTGTAAATTTTGGAGGAAGAGGTTATATTGAATAGCAGAAGAATAGAATCGAAGATGAAGAGCTGGTACAGATACCAACAACAACAACAACAATAACAATAACAATAGCAACAATAAGAATAAGAATAATAAGAGGTAGGGGAGAGATTAAGAGGGGAAGATCTAACGATGACGATGAGAAGTACAAAGTAGTCTGATAGGGCGGGCGAAGTGGGGGGAAAGAAACGTCTATCAGGTGGAACTCTTTAGTGTTGGGTCACTTTAACTAGTCCCTTGTAACAACAAGGTTATATTGAGTATAGTTACCAAAAAAAATCATTCCAAAAAAAAGACCTCTCTATCCATTATTACCTAGGGTACTGTACGTACGACTCTGCTCACACCTCATCCTGCGACTATGATACATACACAAGTGCTGGCTTCACCGCATCGTCAACCTTGAAAGTCATGAACCTCCACCCTCAAAAGACATACACTACTACCCTAGTATTTCCTTCAACCATATAAGCCCAGTAAGCCATACATTGTTAGCAAATGAAAACAGAAAAGAAAGGAAAGGAAAAACACTGGAACGAACCGTTTTGGGAAGTGTGCCATGATCATCAAAGCGCAGAGAAGGCATCAGGGTCACACATATAGAATCTCGAACAAAACAAAAAAAAAAAAAAAAAAAAAAAAAAGAAAGCACAAGAGGAAGTTGAGGAAAGAGTCGGAAAAGAGTCGAAAAGAAACCATATAATAATAAATACACGCACAGACGGCCACGGCGCAAGACACCCGTATCTCAAAACATATTAGATCGAGATTGCCAGAGACCAGTCCAATGTCCCCCTGGCTATTTGAAGCTTGAAAGAAGAGAATTTATGACGTCTCAGCTTTACAGGCCAGGAGGTCCACCGAAGCCAGCACCCATACTCTGCAGGCGTGCGGCAAGTTGTGGGTACCTTTCCTGTACTTCCAGTTGGGTCCGGGTGGCTTCAGCATAGGAGATTGCGTTAATGATCTCCGCTTCGGTGCGTGCAAGCTCCGCCGCCCGTTCAAAGTATTTCAGTGCCTGGGAGACCTTGCCTTGCTGCAGAAGGAGCTGGGCCATAGTTCCAACAGCGATATCGCATTCAGGATCGACTGGGTTCTGTTAGCTTGAAGTTCGAATCTGGTACGGAGACATTAGGGTAACCCACTAATCAGGGCCTTCTGGCAAAGGTTTTCGGCCTCTTGGAAGTCATGCTTCCACTGGAACAAGGCAAGGGCCTTGTTAATCAAAGGTAGGACATTAATGCCCAAGGGTTTACTCTGCTTCTCCATCTCGACGGCCTTGTCAAATTTTTCGATGGCCTCGGAGAAATTCTGCTGGTCCAAGAGAAGTTCACCGTAGTAGTTGTAAACATCGGGCACGTCCTCGAAGTTCTTCACGGACCTCCTAAAGGTGGCCATAGCAGAGGCAACGGAGCCCATCTTGTACTGTGTAACACCAAGCTGGATGTGAGAGTAGATGAAGGTGCGGTCGAGATCAATGGACTTTTGGTAGTCCTTGGCGGCTTCGGCGAATTCGCCTAGGATGAAGTGCAGCTGGGCGCGGTGGTAGTAGATATCGGGATCGTCCTTGTTGTGAGTGATTGCAAGTTCAAAGTCATCTGCCGCAGCATCCTTGTTGCCTTTATAATCAATTAGACGTGCGCCAAATAGAATGATATGATATTAGGAGAACCTACCCAGTTCAAGGTGCAAGCTAGCACGTTTGATGTAACTTTGAACCAGCGATGGGTCCAGTTCAACGCTCTTGTTGAGGTCAGCCAAAGCGTTTTGAGCATTTCCCTGCAAGTATGTGAAGGTGGCTCTCAGGTTCAGAGCGAGGGCCTCGAATTCGCCCAAATCGCCGACTTCGAGAGCCTTGGTGAAAGCAGCGGAAGCCTCCTCGTAACCGTCGCCAGTCTTCTGATCCATGGCTAGCAACCCTTTGCGGAGCTGACCCTTTCCAGAGTCTTCGGAGAGATCGGCAGACTCGTCAAGACCCTCCGGAAGAGACTTGGGGCGGAAGCTTTGGAGATAGTTGGATACGAAGGTCGGGCTGGGGAGCTTATTGCCCTTGGCTTCCAGGATAGCCTTGCCCTTCTTTTCTGCAACCTTCTTCAAAAGTCTCTCCAGGGCAACACGGCTGACCTCATTCGAGAAACCATCGATGATGCAGCTAGCAGTGAAGTCGAGAAGAGCCTCGCTAAGCTTCTCGAGGTGCTCGTAGGCGATAGCCCTCCTGTTCAGAGCCTTGACATACTCGCTGTCCATCGCAAGAGCCGCGCTAGTATCCTCAACAACTTTCGCCCACTCCGACAGAACATTGAAACAGGCAGCACGGTTCGAGTAGAAGACAGGGTCGGGTTTGCAAAGAATAGCCTTGCCGTAGAGCTCAATCGCCTTGTTGTAGTCCTTAGAGCCGTAAGCCTTGTTACCAGCCGCCTTCAGCTTCGCAGCATATGCTTTTCTCGTCTAGGAGCCAGGATCAGTATTAGCAGGTCGCGCGAGTACTTCAGAACCAGCCAAAACCCACCTCTTCGTCCAACTGTCCAACTGTTGCTTCGTCAACCTCTGGGATCTCATCAGAAGGCTCCTCGACTTTCTTTACTGCGGGCTCTAAACCAATTATCAGTTCGTGGTCGGATTTAAGACCGGAAATAGAGTATGTATCTCGCGACGCACCATCTTGAACAGAGGAAGCCTTGGCTTTCTTTTCCTCCTCGGCCTTTTTCTTTTCCCTGCGTCTCTGGTTCTTGCTCTTCTTCTTCTCTGGAGTATGAGAGGATTGGCCAGGTCGACTTGAGTCGGAAAGGTAGTAGACGACACCAGCACTGGTCACAACCACGGCAACTCCCGCAATGGTGTAGACGAGAGCCTTATTCTCCGACACCCATTTCGAGATTCTGTCCCACACTGATGCTGAGGAGGAAGAGGAAAGCGAAGCAGTGTCGATAACCACGCTCTTGGATGGTTCGGGCAATGGCAAGCCGCTCGACATGATGACTGATATGAACCCGTATCCTTCACTTCGACTATTACCTGGTTTTTATGCTTTCGTTTCCCCCTTTTCGACGGAAAATCTGCAAGGAGACAATCAGCTTTTTATCGAGGTAAGTAGTCAGAAATTTATAATGAGATAAGAGAGACTAACAATGCAGGGTGGTTGACAAGGAGGCTGCTGTGTTTTTTTTTTGCGTCAAGGTTGAAGGAAAGAGAGAGTTGCGGCCAGAAAAAGTTATGCGGTTTGGCTGTTTCGGCGACGCATCAGCGGCTTTCCGAGCTCTTGTGCTAGACAGGCCAATCACACCCGCGTCAAAAGGGACGTCCAGCTCCTGGATTTCTCCACAGCCGCCATCGCCGGTTGGCAATTCGAGTTCTCATAATTCACTCTGGTTTCTCTGATGGTCTTATAAACAGAGGTTGTTGGCTATTCTCTTGTATAGATTGCCCTCAATGGCCTTTTTACCAAGAGACTAATGATATTACCTAGGCATAAACCTGAGCTGACTCGTTATACCCCCTTCAACGCGATTCCGGCTCATCCCACGCTTTGCTTGATGACTCAGGACTGGTCGCAAATCAAGTTGGAACTAGAACTAGAACCATCCGTTCACAATGTCGTCGCAGTCTTTCGAAATCATATCTTCACTACGCTACGATCCTGCCCTTCCACCCGTACTCGCTGAGAGAGGTGTAGATGCCTCCCACGACTCCCTCAACTCCCCTTATTACCTTCTTCCTTACCATCAAGACCGGCTACGAAATGCCGCAGCTAATTTCGATTGGAAGGATGCATTAAATTTTCTCCAGCAGGACACGGAACAATTCAGTCGATTCCTGGATACCTTTATCCCCGATAAAGCAAAGCCTTGGCGCGTCCGCATTGTTGTTGATCGCAGCGGAGATTGCAAGGTCGAAGTCAACCCAGCGGCACCGATCCAACCTCAAACCCTTTTTATCCCTTTCTTACCACGCACGACGTCGAATCCATGGCGCGTTTACATTGACACAGAGTCTACAACACCCTCCGCGTTCACTACGCATAAGACTACTGCTCGCGATTTCTACACGGCTGCGCGCCTCCGATCGGGTATCATTTCTCCACAGGATGACGCCGAAGTATTGCTTGTGAACCCGCGAGGCGAAATTATGGAGGGAAGCATCACAACACCATTCTTCAAACGGCGAGGAGATAATTTAGAACACAATGCAGCAGAGTGGATCACTCCTCCACTTGCAAGTGGCGGCAATGCGGGCACCACCAGACGGTACGCTTTGGTCCAAGGCTTCTGCACTGAACAGACCATTGCAGCTACAGATCTCGTTGAAGGAGAAGAGTGCCTGTTAAGCAACGGAGTGCGGGGCTTCATATATGGCAGGATCGTCCTCAAAGGTCCTCACAGCTAGCCATTATTCCCAGGTGAAATCTTCTTGCAACTATCGGAGGTTTCGGAAACGAACAAGAGAGCAGCGTACAGAGTAATACGTACGACCTCGCCCATCCTAACTCCTAAGGTCAATACCAAGTCGGGAGAACTTGTAGATCCCATCCAATATTTCTTGGAATTGCCATTTAAAGGCCAATTGCATGACTCAATCCGGAGAATAATAACTAGGGTTTATACTTTATACTATAGTAATCGGAAATACCTTAGGTGCCTAAGGTACCTAAGTGGTCCAAGGATATCCGCGGAAAGGGCCAATCGGAATAGGCTAATGTAGACCATCTCACAGAAGCGTACTTTGGTCACCAACTCGATGTAACTCGCTGAAAACCAGACCAGTCACTGTAAATTCCACGACCAGAAAATAATACCAGGAAACCAACGCCGATTGCACTGTATTCGAGACGCATTGAAGTGATTTGAAGTGGTCTGATTTCACGTGACAAAAAATGGAACCACCCCCGCGTTTACTAATTGGGCTAGCGTGTTGGCGGTTGGAAGCTGGCAGAAATTCTTCCTCCGAAAAGAGGCTCCGATCCGAACAGAAGAAATCATAAGAAAAGGTGATCGCGCAGACGACCTCCCTCAAAAGAGCTGCAACCCAACCTACCGTCACGCCACACCCTCAATCCATCCACGTCCCTCTGTGATTACCCAAACATCGACAATCTATGGTGCATATGTATAAGTAATTATGAAGTTCTTCGAGAATGTCTATACTTACGATTATTCCTTCCCGGCCGTTTCTCTCGCCTACTTCCTTCGCTACCCAAACCCTTACTCGCGCCATGTACTGACTACCGATGTTATTGATCGCTACGTCGACCCGAAAACGCATCGTCTTCACACGACGCGGATTCACTTGAAAAAGTCCAAAGTCCCGTCCGGTATCCTCAAGCTTCTGCCAAAGGGTATAGGAGGTTCCGACAACTCCGGTCAAAGCTACATTCTGGAGACGACCGTTGTCGATGTCAAAGAAGGCTGGATGGAGTCCGAATCTCGTAACATGGAGTGGACTGGGATACTTAGCGTCGTGGAGAAGCAAGTTTATCGTCGTCAGCTTCTCGAGGGTGCGCTGGAGAATCTTGAGGGACTATCTCTGGACGACAAGCGCAGTGAGCAAACCACGGTTAAGACGACCGTCACATTCCGCTCCCGTTTCGGGCAGGGAAAGCTCCTCGGCCGTAAAAAGGCAGAGCCAGCTGGAGAGCACCATGGAGACTTCGAGGAGGAAGCGCCTAAGAGAGGTTTCTTTTCGTCGCTGTCTACGGCCGGCATTCAACGAACCATCGAGCTCATCGGGTTGAACCGCACCCGGGATGCCATTATTACGAGCAAACAAGGTATGAATGTTGTCCTGGAGCGACTGCGCAGTGGTGGAATCGTCGGCGTTCTCGAGGGAATGCGCCAGGACCGGGAGGCGGCTGTTCTCGGCGCAGAGGGGCCTTGGAAGCGTGTTTGGCTAAGAGGAAACGGTCACGGAAGCCATCTCTCTGAGGGCGACGACAACTGACCCGATCTGAGATTTGGTTCGGCAAAATTCACATCTAGCAATCGATGCGGCATTCAAGCGTGGAGCATTGGCGTTTGGGGTTTTCTTTTCTTTTTTTTTTTTTGGTTGACACTCTCCTACCATCTCGACATATTATTCATCTACGATTCTTATCTCCTATGGATATTTTAACCGGTACCAAGGAAGCATGTTCGCACATCATCATGTATTTAACGGGGGTCACGAACAACGTTGGCTCATTGTATATTAGGAAAGGGGGACGGATCTGGTACTCTCAGTTCGGGAGGCACCTGTTGTACAATATATATTAACCCTACTTTATTTTTCATTCTCAAGTATATTCACAGTATCTTTTTCTCGTTTGCATCTTTGGTACTCACGGAAAATTATAGAGTGATTCACCTGATCTTTGTGTTGCTTAGTAATAAGTATTGAATTGAAGCCTGGGTTGCGCATAGTTACCTCATGGGCCCAAGCATTCAACTTCCACTTTCGCAGTTAAGCAACTTTTGAGACCGGAATCCATCTCTTTAAAAGGCCATATCATCTATGGAAACATCAAAATCTGTACCGGATACCTAATTTAGCAAATGGATGCGGAGTGGATAGACTTGCAACGTCTTACTCGGCCAGCCCACGGCTATCTGCGTACAACCACCAGCCTTTCCTGTCCAGCTGGTCTACATTCTAATCAGCGATCCTAATCTCACATTGATCTTCCAATTCTCCCATTTCCGGGTCTACCTACCTGGGTGAATCATACTCTACTGATAGCCCAGACTCGCCACCACCCCAGCTTTGATGTCAACATCGGTCGCCCCTTGTAAAAGGCGGTATACATACCCAAGGGAAATGGAAGGCCAGGCACCCTTTAACGATAAATTACAACCCCTTGACGAGGAAAGCGGGGCAGAAAGAAACCAGAATTTGAATGGTTCCCCTGATACGAAGATTTCCGACACAAAAACTCTCGATCTACTACGATTTAGTGAAAATTTCCAAATCCTCGATGCTCCAGGAGGAGATGACGACCTAGAGACGACAGCCCGAAAGTTACAGCGGTTGGCGGAGGTTGTGGAACAGGGGAACAGTCTTGCACTATGGACGGGACTAAAGCTTGCCCGCACTCGCGAAATCATCCCGAAAGACCAGATGACGGCGTCCGAGTGGATGATCTACGAGAGGTGGAAGAAGGGCATGTTCAACGCTGCATCCGCAGACAGTGCTAGGGGCATTCAAGGTGACGAGCAAACTTTCAATCTCCCTGAATTTGACTGGGACAAGAACAGGGCTCCAGTACCACAAGGACAACAAAGTATGAAAAAGTTCACCCAGCGGGCCACTGCAATGGATATTGTATTCGGGTATCAGGGAGCTACGCCCGAACATGCGTCATGGTTAACGCTAAGCATGCCAGAGATGCTGCCTCTGATCAAAGTGGTGGCTAAAATCAATAATATTGAAAGGAATTCCAGGAGTCATGGACATCCGCATCTAGAAAGCTTAAGTGATATGGAGGTTGCGGAAGTCCAAACAGCACGGAAAATCGTGGCTACGGCGGAGAGGAACCGGAACCGCGAGCTGGAGAGGATTCGCAAACTGAGCCGGTCGATCAACGAGTATTTATTGATAATCAAAAATCGAGCAGAAAGTTTAGAAAAGTAACAGGATGTGATATCACGGGTTTGGAATGGCATGGTTGGGGGCGCTCTTTCCTATGGGTACGGAAAGTAGGGTAGATGGCGCAATGGGAGGTTATAAGGTTATACTATAACTGGGTCTTTAATGAATCTATAGGTTTTTTTTTTTTTTTTTTTTACCTTATTTACATTTCTAACCTCGGGGAAGGCCTGCCTATAACTATCATGGATAAGTTACATAGAGTGACCCTGGCAACTGGTACAGTTCAGCCAGTAAAAATAAATGCCACTATCACTGGTTTTTATAAGGGGTAGGATAGAACAGTAACTGGTGGTTTAATTGACATTCTTGTGGTGGGCCAACATACGTCACAGAAAGCATTCTATACAGGATATAAACATGTACTAGATATAGGTAAATACCTAGGTATACCTGGTAGGATCAGTAACTACCAGTACTTATGTTAACTGTGCAGTGCATTTAGATAGTCTTTTACTATATACACCTTTAATAGGTATCATAGACTGTATCCCGAGTCGTGCAGTTGATATTAGGTGGTACAATGTGAATGTAATAGTTTATGTACTCCGTACTACAAATATCCAGTCCAAACTGAGCTGGGAAGATAGCTACCCTAACTCTACGTCATTGACAGGGACGGATAGAAACGGTGATACCAGGCTGTGGAATGTTGAGTGGATAGAAAGACCCTGAAAACACCAATTGATGGAGACAGAGATGGAGATCAAGTGGGGAGAGAGCGCTAGGAACTATTCCCTGAAACCACTCCATAAATATATCTTTGATCAACCAGTTGAAATGCCATATTTAGAGAACGGGTTACCAGGTAGAGTCCATTCAGCGCTGCGAATTTCTCCAGCCAAGATACACCAAGAATCCACTTCGTTTTTTCCCTGAATTTATGAATCCCAAATCCTCCCTCTGAGTCCTTCCATAATCCATCGTGAGAATTATTATTTCCTGTCTTAATTAACTGGCATCATTACCATTGATGACTCCTCTCTTGACTTGTATTTTCTTGGTATCCTTATCGCTCAGTTCTTGTTGAATCGCTTCTCGTCTTCGTCTTCTTCTTCTTCTTCTTCTTCTTCTTCTCTTTCTTCCCCTGCTGTGTGTCCTTTTGGAATCCCCCCTTCTTTCCACCGTCATCCACCACCGTCATCATCCTCTTTCTCATCGCCAATTGTAAGTAGACTCTTATTTCAGTCGTTTCTAGTCTTACACAACTATTCCTTCCTTTTTCAAACTGTTCCCTACTCCCGTCTCCTACACTACGCTGTCACCTGCAACTGTCTGTTTACTCCCAGAGCAACACCTGGTTCCTCGTATGCCTCAACTTTGGGCCACCCAAAGTGCCTAATTGCTTATTTATTTACTTACTGCTCACTTCTCACTTACACACAGAATTTTAGACTTACTCAGGCCTCACCAACAAGCCTGACTTTCTACACGGAGAACCACCTAGGGACTCCCGTCGCTCTCCCGTCTCGCGTTTCACCAGGTATTTCTGGTATGCTCTAAGACAACCACCGTCTTTTTCGACCTCTTGACCCATCATAAAATACAACCCTTACACGGTGATGGGCATGTTGGCTGGTCTTGCTATTTTTATCGCGTAGTCGAGCCTGGAGGCCGTTCGACCCACCGTCATATCGAATGGCCGCCCTTTTGCACGGGTGGTCTATGCCCCGACCCTTTCTATTGCTTTTCTTGATTATCGCGGCCTTTTCGTCCTCGACGATGGCCCAGATTTGTTCCTTTTGGGATGCCGGATGTGTCGACCCGCTGGCTCAGACCGCCATCGCCTTTGGATTTCCTCCTCTCTTCCTCGAGAACATGAATCTTTTCTACGCCTTCGACGCTGACCCCCGAGGGAAGGGCCAAGAGCCCATGACTAAGGTTAGTTTCTGGATCGGATACGAAGCCTACATCAACAATTCTGTTATCGACCTCAACCGAACATCCGAAATTGGAATGCGAGTCGGGAACTTAACAGGGAGCCCATCAGGGGCTAACAATGGCTGCGATGGTGTTTGGGGGTCTGAATGCTCCTATAACCTGATCGATTTGTTCAAGCAAGCCATATTTGATCTCACTACAAAGGGGGAATACTACTCAAATCCTCTGGCTACAGTGATACGACGCTTTCGGGAGCATCCACCGTTTGTTCCAGCTTGCCCCCCACAATTCTTTGAGATCCAGGATTTCCCCGTCGATCGTATGTTACCACGCATAGCACCTGGCCAGGTACACTATTGACTTTTTGTTTTAGCATTCGCACAAGAGACTGAAACGGACCAAACTGCTGTGATCAAAACCACAGGGAGCAGCAACAGCCCCTGGAGAACGTGGTTTATTGACAATATGACCGCAAGTCGGCAAGCTGAACAGGTTGCGGTCGCTATCATTGGTCGGGCTCCATCATACCATAGCCTCCCGCCCGCAGATAAGGACGGGATTCAGATCGAGCTTGTCTGTGCTCAATCGCCGGCAGCGGGAAGTTCCGGGAGCGAAGATTGATGGCTGGAATGGAATCCTTGCGCACTATAACATCTTACCGGCTGAGGCATATATCTCTGCGTAGAAGTACTCACCAATACTAAGATGAGTATCTAGTGGTCTCTCTGGCCCACGCCCATCTTGATGAACTGGGCTACCTAACGACTTGATGACCGTACCCCGCTCCGGCAGAGCGCAAGCACAAGCGCAGGCATAAGCACATGCAACTTGTTGCTTTTATCGCCCACCAATTCGGGGGGGTTTCCGTCTCGTACTCAACTATGAGGCACTGAGACAGGCCCAAGGACGCCTGCCTGGTATTTGCCCGAGGGCCCACGACGAGACTCTGCCAACTTATAATGCCGGGTCTTTAGATCGGCCTAATTCTTGTACATAGCTAACTAGAAAGGAATTGGATATACGTGAAAGCACTTTCTTTCGGGTTTCTTTGGCTTCACCCACCATTCAGTGACATGCTCCTCTGCCTCATCGCAGTTTTTCTTCCAGATACTGAACGCGTCTGTATTCTCTTCTCATTAGCATTCCACTCCTGGGAACAAAAGATGGCAGAATTCAGCTCTGTATAGCTCCAACTACTATACTGAGATGCTTTATCGTGGCGTCATACACTACACCCGTGCCGGACTAGGCTTTCCCGACGACGGTTGGTCCAGCGTCGAAAGCAGGCTTGATTCAAATTAAGTTTGGTATACAGGTTTATTTGAACTATAAGCAAGCATTCGTCGAGATCCGTTTATTGAATTTACATCACCTTTGGACGGAAACTTGAAAGTCTCCTCATGGCCCAATTGTCAGAACTTTGGCGACACCATTCTCCCACGTGGTCTCCGATCTTAATTGCTATCTATACCAAAGGCTAATAGGAAACAAGCTATATAGGAGATCGCCACCTTGTTCGCGGCTGAGCTAGATACTTCTCGACCGGATTTGATTTCGGAATTCTCGACTGGGCCTCAGCATATGTAACGAAGGAGATTCCGTGGGAACCAATGGCCTCATTCTCCAAACGAAAAAGACAGAAAAAGAAACAGGTCAGGCCACATATAGAAGTCTGCCAATCCCATGCCAATCCCATGGAAGGCGCACTCCGGATCTACGGGCCGGAGTAAGATAATTTCAATCCTATCATTTTTATCTTTATAGCTATCCAGAGCTATCAACCACGGAACCACCTTCCATGACATATTATCATCTATGAAGGGACGCTTTCGTCACAACAAGGCCTTTTGGCACTTTGCTGAAGTTGAGGGAATGGTGATGCAATAGGATGCATGGATGAACAATAAAACCCACCAGATAAACAGACATCCGCAGAGCTTTTCCCAACATTGTTCCCCTTTTCATGTATGATCAAGTATCGCTATGGCACCATCTAAAGAAAACGGCTCCATCTCTACTGGAGATAACAAGCAATTGACTGGTCTTCTGCGCGAGGCTCGCCAGGATATTCTCAGCCAAGCAGGAAGAATCATTCCTGATCTTCGTACCCTTCACGAACTCAGCCAGACGATCTCTAGTGGTGATATCGTCGATGACCGGAAGTATCTGGTTCGCACTGTACAACCCATATTTGACACCAGGACAAGATCTAACCATTGGTAGATTGAAAATATCATTCAAGCCGCAGCATCACTGCCCAATGGGTCTATCCTTCGGGATAAAATTACAGACCAGTTCATTAAGACACTATGGGAAAACCTTCAGCATCCGCCTCTGTCTTACCTCGGAGACCAGTTCAGATATCGGACGGCTGATGGCAGCTTTAATGTGTGTCTTTGATTCCCCTTGACTGGCTTGTCTGGTTAAAAAAAAAAACCAACCAAAGACTAATTAATCTTCTAGAATATTATGTACCCCCGTCTCGGGGCTTCTGGCAGTCATTACGCCCGGAGTGTATCCCCAGAACATCCTCGTCCGGCTATACTACCGGACCCTTCTGTCATTTTTGATAGTATGCTTTCTATCTAATCCTTTTTTTTTGTTTTTTTTAATGCTAATTGATTAGCTCTTTTGGCACGCGAAGGTCCCCCAAAGGAGCATCCTTCCAAGATCTCTAGCAATCTATTCTATCTAGCTACGATAATCATCCATGGTATGTGCCTCTCTACCTTTTTTTTTCTGTTGTTCCATATACATATGTTCAAACAAAATAGATCTCTTCCATACGGACGAATCCGACTATACCAAACTCAAAAACTCTTCGTATCTCGATCTGGGCCCTTTATACGGCCATAACAAGCACCAGCAGAGTGAAGTGAGAACTTTTGCAGATGGCCTACTGAAGCCAGATACCTTTGCGGAAAGGCGACTCCTCTCCCAGCCCCCTGGGGTCAGTGCCTTGATCATTGCTTTTAACCGGTTCCATAATTATGTGGTTAAGGAAATGGCATTCATCAACGAAGGAGGAAGGTTTAGTTTGCCTTCCGGCGTCGAACCAGATAGTCCCAAGTATGCCCAGGCGCTGGCGAAAAGGGACAATGATCTATTTCAAACTGGAAGACTGTATGGTTTATTTCGCACGATGATTTTTTCCTTTTTCTTTTCATGGGTGGAAGTTGTGTGTGCTAATTCCAGGTACTAAATTAGGGTTACGTGCGGATTATATGTCAACATTATTCTCAACGACTATCTCCGCGCGATCTTGAATCTCAATGAGAACCCAGTCAACTCGGACTGGAAACTGGACCCGAGGAAAAGCCTTGCGGTGTTTGATCAGCAGGGACTTGCTCGCGGTGTCGGAAACCAAGTCAGTGCCGAGTTCAATATGATATATCGGTGGCATGCCGCGATCAGTGCGCAGGATGAAACGTGGATCGATGGCCTTGCGTCAAGGGTTTTCGGTCCGCACGTTGATGCCAGTGTGTAATCCGATCTCAAATGTTGGAGGTCTTCTTTCACTAACTATCAAAGGCAATCTGTCTGTGGACGCGTTTCTCGGTGGCCTCAAACAATACTTCGAAGCAAACTTCTCAGGAGATCCATCAACATGGACTTTTGATGGTTTGGAAAGGGGAAAGGATGGAAGCTTTGCGGATGATGACCTCGTAGGTTTACTTCAGGATGGCTGCGAGAACGTGGCCGGTAAGTATCGTCCTGTACATTGTTTTACATTGAAGCTAATCTGGTTGACATAGCGGCGTTTGGGGCTCGAAATATCCCAAAGGTAATGAAAGCTATTGAGCTGCTCGGGATTCAGCAAGGCAGAGACTGGCAACTGGCCACATTGAACGAATTGAGATTATTCTTCAAGCTGAAGCCGTATTCGACTTTCGGTAAGTTAGTTGGAAGTCGGATAATTTTCACGAGAATCAATATCTGACCTTAATCTTTCTGTAGCGGAGGTGAACTCCGATCCTTCAGTCGCTGAGACCTGTAAGTAACTCCAATCGCGAGGGAGAACGCTGCTAAACGGCTATAGTGGAAGCATTATACGGCCACCCCGACAATATCGAACTATACGTCGGAGTGCAGACTGAAGAAGCCAAAAAGCCTTTCATGCCCGGGTCTGGATTGTGTCCTGGATTTACCATTTCAGTAGCTATTCTATCCGATGCGGTGGCTCTTGTGCGCGGCGATCGTTTCTACACGGTTGACTATAACTCTGCCAATCTGACCAACTTTGGGTACGTTTGCGGTCCAAACACATCCAGATAAAGTCAACTGACTGTTTTTTTTTGTTTTTTTTTTGGACAGTTTCAATGCAGCTAGTTCCGATTTCGATGTTGCAGGCGGCGGAGTCATGTACAAACTGCTGATGAGAGCCTTCCCTGGTTGGTACCGACCAAACAGCGTATACGCTTTATATCCGTTCGCGACCCCGGAAAAGAGCCGTGAAATCTTTAAAAAGATGGGAAAGGCGAAGGAGTTTGATTTCACCCGGCCATCGTATATTGGACCGCCTGTTCCTGTCACAACCTGGAAAGGTCTGGTGGATCTGTTGAATGACCAAGACCAATTCCATGTTCCTTGTATGTTCCTTATTCGGGGGCTCTTTTTAGCATGTACTGACAGTAAAACAGGGGGACAGCATACCTTCCAACTCACCGGACATGATTACATGCTGAGCGGAGATTCTTCCGCTAATTCGGAGCAGAGAGAATTCGTCTTTGAACGATTATACAGACCCTCCGACGCATTGGAGGAAGTGCGGCAATACTACGAGTCAATCACCTTTGATCTTATCCAGAAAAAGAGCCGGAAAATAGGGAGGTCTTACCAAGTTGATATTGTTCAAGAGTATATATCCCGTCTGCTCACCAAGATGAAAAAGCAACCCCGCTAATGTGTCTTGTCTAGTGTTGGAAACCTCGCACATGCGTATTTCTGCGCAAAGTTTTTCAACATCCCTCTTAAGGAGACGGCCAGCAGCTCTACCGATGCATATACACCCCGAGAGCTTTCCGACGCTCTTTCCGATCTGTTCGGTTATGTCTTCTTGGATGTCGACCCCGTACAATCGTTTGGAAACCGGGTGAAGGCGGCTAGAAAATCGAAGCGCATGGGTGAAATTATGGCCAAAGCTGTGTCAGACAGTAACGGACACATCATCAGCCGGTTTTTCAATATGTTTGCTCGTCATGCTCCGAGTCTGCCGTATACTACTACTAGCTCTTTCTTGAATGATTATGGATCGCAGCTCGTGAAGAGACTGCTGGAAGGGGGGAAAAGTGTTGATGAAGTTGTTTGGACAATTATCCCGACTGCAGCAGCAGCTTGTGCCACTCAAGCTCAGGGGGTGCGTTTTAAGTCTTGTCTTTTTTTTTTTTTTTTCCCTCCCTCTAGAATATGCTAACAATCTTAACAATGTAGTGGGGACAAATGTTAGATGTCTACCTATCGGATAAGTATGCCTCGCAGTGGCCTGCAATCCGGAAGCTGGCCCAGTCCGAGGAACCTGAAGCGTTTGAGAAATTGAAAAAATACGCTCTCGAGGGGTATATATTCCCATCCACATTTCTACGAGTACGTTGGATTTTGCTGACTTGGTTTAAGATTCCGCTTGTCCACTCCGGCCTTTGGCGTGCTGCGCACCTCAATGGATAACACCACGATCAAAGATGGCAAGTCAATGACAGCCGTGAAAACGGGAGACACTATATTTGTAGACTTCGTTACGGCCGGCCAGGATCCCAGCAAGTTCCCGGATCCCGAAGAGATCAGACTTGACCGTCCACCGGAGGTCTATATTCACCATGGCTGGGGCCCGCACTCCTGCCTAGGCCGGGCAATCGTTACTACAGCAGGCGCCAGTCTGTTGCGTGTCTTGGGCCGGCTTGGAAACATCCGGCGCGCACCAGGACCAGCGGGAGAGATGAAGAGCAAGTTCGTGAACAAGGCATTCAAGGTGTATTTACCTGAAGATGGGAGTGAATGGACACCATTCCCTTGCAGTGAGTATTGTCCTGATTCTCGAGCCCAGGACTTGGGAGGGAAAAAAAAAAAAAAAAAAGCTAACTCGCAGTAGATAAAAAGGTCGTATTCGATAGATTGGACAAGTAGGGTTGCTTAAATGATACAGTTGGCCACCACCATGATGTATTTTCCGATGTAGCACTAGGTCGACCTCAAATGACACAAGTATGATTTGATCCTGTGGCAATAACCTGAATGCTACCTTGTAGACCTTGTAATTATTATATATAAAAGTCAGCCTGGACGCATGTCTTTTCCCTCGCAGCACACCTAGCAGCCTTATATTCCACCCTTCCTCTTCAGCAAGCAAAATGGCATCGTTCTACGCAAACCCACTTGTCTATGGAAATCCTTTCCTGGACATTCCGTCCGACATGGACACGAACCCTTTCCGTTGGGTTTGGGAGGATATCTGTTCCGTCTTCAGTCTCGCCAGGCTGCTCCCACGCATATTTCTTCCTCTTGGGCCCTTGAAATCCGAGCACCTCGACGAGCTCTATCCCGACCTCCGCAACCTTCGAGATATCTCCCTGCATGTGATTTTGATAGTCATCCAGGTGGTGCTTCTTCTGTCGTTTCCGCTGGTTTTGATGACCTTCTGGGCGTTTCCCCTGGTCGTTTACGTGGTGTTCTATGTGCTGCTCACGCTCGTGACCATGATCATCATGAGGCTGCTGAACGGGCCTCCCACAGGGAGGTCTCTCATCGGCGTGCCAAAAACAAAACCCCCGGCCAATAACGCAAGCGAGCCATGGTTTTTCATCAACGGCGTTGCAACCGGGTGGGTAACAACCCCCCCCCCCCCCTTCCCCTCCCCATCATGGCAGGGGGTTGTTTCTGTGTGTGCTGATCAGCCTACAGGCGACACTGGCATCTGTCGAATCTAGCCCTACTCGCAGAGATATTCGGCCGGGAGATTGTAGGCATCCACAATCCAACGTGAGCATACCATACCATAGCATAGCATAGCATGGCACGTAACATCCCTGCTTCCCCGCAGCCAGCTAACGCGAAGGAATAATAGAAAAGGGTTGATTCTCGACCTGATCGAATGTCTCATCCAACGCGACCTCGACTACAAAACCATCGACATCCGACAAGGCCGCGCGCAGCTCCGCGCAGCGCTCGCGGCATCCACCACCAAACGGGCCGTGCTGATCGTCCACTCGCAGGGCGGGATCGAGGCAGCCTCGATCATCGACTGGCTCTTCGGCGAGCTGTCGCACGACAAGATGCGCAAGCTGGAAGTATACACGTTTGGGAACGCGGCCCGACAGTTCCGCAACCCGCCCATCCACGACCCCGTGGACGAGCCTCGCAGCGGCAGAGTCAACCCGCGCCGCCAGACGCACGGCGAGCGCGTCATCCGGTACATCGAGCACTACGCCAACAGCAAGGATTTCGTGGCCAACATTGGCGTGTTGAAGTTCACGACGCCCGTGGCGGCGTATTCCAATGGCGGGCTGTTTTCCGGCAGTGTCTTTGTCCGGGTTGGGTCGGGCCATTTGCTGAACATGCATTATTTGGACCCGATGTTTGGCGAGGACAGTGCCTTTATGCGGTCCATGGTGGATATTCCGTCGGCGGAGGGCGCGGAAGGCGTGGTGGTGGTTTCGAAGCCGGTGAGGGAGTTGTCGAGGCTGTATCAGTATCGGAATGGGGAGAGTCCCAAGGACCCTGAGCTGGATTGATTGGTTTTGGTATTTATTTTTATTTTTTTTATGCGTTTTGAGTCTGAGTTATATTGGTGGAAATGCTCCCAGGAAGCGGCAGCCTAAGAAAGGATATATATTTACAAGTAGAATTTGGACGACTCTAACTAGTTAATGTTAGAGTGCTGCACTCAGTGAATGCAACCAGCACCACCATAAAGCAGCATCACCATAAAGAAGAAGTGTTGGATATATGATGATCCTAGGGGTAGCTCAATGGAAGCAGGTGATTGGATATATTGATGTGTGTGTCTGTTGGGGGGTTATGTGCTTGCCTAAGGCCTTAATATAGGGTAATAACCCCCCTTTATTTACTAAGTATATCATAAGATACCTCTTTAATTTAATATACTCTCTTAGATTTAAAGGATTTTATTTAGTTTAAATCTATAATTATATAATTTAAGATACTATTCTTATCCTAGATAGGTTTAAATTATATCTAATAATAAGTTATTTATTAACTTTAGTCTCTTTATTATTTCTAAATCCTTTATAACATAATTCCTAGGTCATCCAGCCACCACAAGTCATCCAGCCACCCACCAAATTCTACCAATCATTGAAAAACTTGAAGCTATCCCTAACTACCAAAACACGTATATTTCTATTAATTCTAATTATTTAGATATGTAGGATATCTAATTCTAGTATAATCTTAAATATTATAATTAGAGCATGTTAGTAGAGTATGTTTTAAACCTTCCAAAGATAGTATTCTAACTAATACTAGATCAATATTTTTACTAGTAGACCCATTATTTTGCCTATTTCACAATAAAATTAGATCTCTTACTTCCTATACTAAAATACCTTTATTAAAGATTATCTAGCATTTAGATTAACTCCTTTTTTACTTTTCCTTTACATTTTCCAACCAGAGTTTATAAATTTCAGCTTCCATTAAAATTATATTATAGATAGCAACTTCACATTCTTTAACTAACTAGTTAAATACCACTCTAGATACTATCTTAGAAGGCAAAGAAGGACTTTTAGATTAAATTTAAAGAGTCTTCTTAATAGAAGATACCTTTTTATATAACTAGTAAATAGTATAAGAGATTATAATAATAGAAGAACTAGTAAATTCTCTATAACTTTTAGAAGGGGTAGGTATAGATAAGATATTTAATTTAGTAAGGACCCAGTAAGAATCCCATGGTAGTATTCTAGCTATAATAAAGCTATTTTAAATATTTTAAAGTATAAAGACCTTCTAGTGGGCCTCTAGATAGACTTTTAGGAAGTCTAGTTTATTAATATAATTAGATCCTAGTTAGGTCTTTGCCTCTATCAAGCCCCCATATATATATTTTAATGGTCTAAAGCAACTAATATCTAATAGTTATAGAAAATAGGATAAATAGGGTAGTATATAGATAGCAATAATATTATTATTATTATATATCTTATTAAAAGCAGGTATTAAATAACTTCCATGATTATCTAGAACTAGTAATTAATATTTTCTAACTATATAGCCTATAAAGGATAGAATAAAGACTTTTTAAAGCTATTAAAGACCTATTTTATCTATAGTCTAGCTATTAGTACTAACTTTAATCCTCTAATCTAATAGTAAAAGATTTTCTTTAAACTATCCTTTAATATAGTATTTTTCTTTAAAAATAATATATAAAGATAAACTCCAACCTCTTATATTAATATATTTAATAGTAGTAACCTATTCTTAATTACCTAGTTAGATAAGATGAGGTCTTCCAGGCATACTAGATCTAGTAACTACTCTAGTAGTTACTATTAGACCTATTATAAAGCTAGTTTTATTAAAATTATAAATATCTTTATTAGCAATACTATATTATAATCAGGTAGCTTATAATTAATTAAACTATTAGTTTAATACCTTTAGATCCTTATATTTAGCTTATTAGTAATTATATTTTCTTATAAATTAATTTTTAATTAAATTATAGCATATAATAAAATTTATTGCCTAGTTTTTTCTAATTAGTAGTTAAGTAGTTAAACTACCTAATTAAAGTAAGATATAAGCTATTTTTACTACATATATTAGTCTAGGAGTAACTCCATACTTATCTCTAGATATAATCCATTCTAATAGAGTATCCTTCTAGATTTTAAATAGCTAGAGATTATAATTATAGAATTCTACTTGATATTAGTAACTATATAGGTAATTAATTAAGATAGATTAAGGCATGTTATAAATAATAGCTATATAATAAATACTTAGAATTTCACCATTTTTAAAAACTTAGATAGCAAGCTGGATCCTACTCTCTTGCTTTATCAAGTTTCAAGTTGATTAACACACTTTTGGTGGCATGGTGATGGTTTGAATAGTAACATGTAATTAAACACATGAAAATTTAGTAGGTGGCTGGATGACTTGTGATGGCTGGATGACCTAGGAATTACGTTAAATATCTTAAAGCTTTAGTAAGATAGTATCTTAATTAATCTATTTATAATTATCTTAATAATAGAATAATATAATACTTTTATTCTTTTTTTTTAGATTTCTTACTTAATCTAATAATTATAAATATTTATATAATATAGTCTTATATTTAGATAGTTAATTTCCTTATTTATTAATTAGATAGTTTATATATTATTATATTAAATATTAATAATTAGATTTTCTAACTCTATCTAGATTTTATTTAATAAATATTTAATAAAGATTCCTTTTTTTATTATATATAATAATACTAATAATTCTACTTTAATTATAAAGATTATTATAATTATCTATTTATTAATTTTTTATTTTATTATATTTCTAAATAACTTTATAATATATTCTTATAAATTTCTCTAGTCCTAATTATTTATAAATAAGATATTACTATATAATAAGTAATTATTTAAATCTTTAAATTATAAGGCAAGTTTATTTATTCTTTTTAAATATTATAGATATTAATCTATTTTAGTATAATATTTTTTACTAAAATTTATAAGATACTAGAATAATTAGAATATTATAAATATAATATCTAGTTATATTATAATTATTATATATATTATAGATCTTACCTTCTATTAATATTATTAAATATATAAATAAGATACTTTATTTTAATTTTTCTAGAATATTATTTTTATTAATATAAAAGTAATATTTAGATCTTTCTTTTTATTTACTAGATTAGTAATCTTATTAATATATATTAATTAATTTAGCTAGATAAATTTATTCTCTCTATCCTAGATAATCTCTATTTTTAAGAATTATTATAAGTTATTTTCTCTTATTATCTTAAACTAGTCTTAAAACTCTTATATAATAGCCTATATTTATATTAATAATTTTTAATAATAGGTAAATATAATATTATCTATATAAAAAAATATTAGAATCTTATCTTTAATAATATAATATAATTTATATAAGATAGATTTATATTCTAATAATTTTAGGATCTTTTAGAGAATTATTTATTATAAATAAAAAAATTATTTAAATCTATATAATACTTTCTTTAACTTTAATATTTTATCTAATTTTTAATATTCTAGAGATATTTTTATATATATTTCCTTATTATTATTTATATTAATAAATATATTTATAATATTATATTACTTTAATTCTAGATTAAATTAAGCTACTATTATTAGAAAGATTTAAAAAAATTTTACTATTAGAGTTATAATATATAAATTCTTTATTAAATTCTTTTATTAATTTTTTCTTATTACTAAATATACTTTATATTTAATTAGATTACTATCTTAATTATTTTTATATATATATATTTATTTATATTCTAGTACTTTTATATATTTAGATTTATTTATCTTTATCTATATTTTTATTATTTTATAGCTAGCTAGGTAGTCCTACTCTATCTTTATAAATTCTTTAGATAGTAAGTAATTTTTAACTTAGTAATATATCTTTAAAAAGATTAGTAACTAATCTAGATAGATTCTAATTAGATTCTCTAGTTACCTATTCTATCTTTATATTTCTATCTTAGAGGCTAGTATTCTATCTTATTAGGTTAGTTATATTAATCTCTCTACTATAAATACTAATTTTTATATAATTTAATAGCTTTTATTTAGCTTAATTTCTTCTTTAGTTTTAGCTATCTTATATTAGTAAGTACCTACTAATATTACTATTAATTATTCTAAACTATTACCTAGTAATATTAAATAGATTATTTACTTATTTATATTAATATCTTTATTCTTATCTATAATTTTAAGTACTAATCTTAATATTTAAACTAGATAATTAAATAAGTTAAAATTATTTTCTAGAATATTCTTTATTATAAGGTAATTTATATTTAATACTCCCTAGATTAAAATATAAATTTTAATTTTAATATTCTTAATTATTTATTTAAATTTATTAATTTTAATTATTAGGAAGTTATTCTTTATTATTTAAATAAATATATCTCTATCTTCTAAGAAAAATTCTTCTTTATTAAATATAATATTTTTTATATAGATAATCTTCCTTTTCTTCCTTAGATTCTATATTTAATAGATATTAATAAATTTATATCTTACTATATATCCTATAAATATTCTTAAGTTAAATTATTTTCTATATTTTATTATTATAGTTATTTATAATTTAATTATTATAAATATCTTATAATTATATACCTTTAGGTAAGCTCCTTAAGATTTCTTATATTTTATTACTATTCTATCTTAATAGGTAATATAGATATAAAATTAATTAATTAATATTTTTTATCCTACCTAATATTTAAATATTTAGTTATATAGATATATTACTATATAAATATATTTAGACTATAAAAATATAAATAATTTTATTTCCTATCTTATTATATATATCTTTTCTTTTATTATATTCCTTAAGTACTTTATACCTCTATTTTAGGCTAGTATATATAGAGTAGAATAATTAAGTTTTATTCTTTTAAATTATATAAAGTCTTCTAACTATCTCTTTATCTTACTATCTAACTTAATTATTTAGGGTTTAATATTATATTATCTTTCTAAAAGAATAAATAGATTAAATAAGGTATTTTTAATTATTTCTATATATTAGTTTAAGAGATAATAATCTTATATAAAACTTAACTACTTATTTATAACTA